TTCCGCAGAAAATAGTATGGAAAAATGAGAGAGAAAAAACGCCGGCGTTTTTTCGGCAAATTGAGAGTGCTTACATAAAACTGCGTTTTTGCTGCGGAAAAAACGCTAGCGTTTTTTCCGCTGGTTGAGTGCTTACATAACTTGCGTTTTCCGCCGGCGGAAAAAACGCTCGCGTTTTTTCCGCAGTTTGAGTGCTTACATAAGTTGCGTTTTCGGCTGCATTTTTTCCGCCGGCGGAAGAATTTTAATATCAAAACTGTTTGATATTTTTTTGCGGAAAATTTTTGATAAAATTGAAAAATTAATTTCTCGATCAATATTGAACCAATTTTAAAAATTTAAAAAGATTATTAAAATTTAAACTTTTATCTATCGATTGATTTAAGCTTTTATTTTTTAAATTTAAAATTTTATGATGAAAAATTTTTTTGAAAAAGGTATACTTTTTGTTAATTTTTTTGTAGAATTGAAAAGGGGGGACCCTTTTGAAGAATAGTAATTTATAAAAATTGTATTTTAAATGTAAAATAATTGATTTAAATTACTTTTTTTTGTTTTTAGATTAAAAAAATATTTTTTTAATGTCAACCAAAATTGATATGAATTTATTTATTGAGATGATACAACAGAATGAATTAATTTGGCGAAAAGGGACGCGAGCTTAAAGACAAAAACAAAAATGATAAAATCTGGTTATTGATTGCTGAACAATGTGGATTTGATGGTTTTATTTTTAGTTTTTTTAAATTTTTGACTAAATTATACAGATGTTAAATCTGCCAAACAGAAATGGAAACATCTCTGTGATTATTACTCCAAATTAAAAAAACCAAAAGCTTCAGGTTCTGATGGTAAAGATGTTAAATGGCCTTATTTAAATTTAATGAATTTTTTGGAAGGAGAAAAAGAAAATTGTTCAAGGTTCTATTTTAGTTTATATTGTATTTATAAATTTATAGTAGGATTGATTCAATTCAAACAACGTCTATTCCAAATGATGTTAAAGATTTATTAAATTGTACTATTTCAATGAGTTCAAGTGATGATGAAAATGAAAAAATTTTTACTCAAAAATTGCCTTCAAAACGTCGGCGAATTTCTGACTCGGACAAGGATGACGCTGTTGATAATTGTATTATTGAATTGGCTAAGCAAATTAAAGAAAATATAAATGATTCATCGCCAAATAAGCAATTTGGTTTGTATGTTGGATCAGAAATTAAAAATCTTTCAACACGATTACAAAATGAAGCAAAAACAAGCATTATGAATTTATAATTGAGTTAAAATCAAGAAAAAGTTTAGCTTTTGAAGAAGCGGAAAATCTTTTCCAAAACTTTTAATTATTTAAAAATATTTTGATATTTGTATAAAATTTAAAACAAATTAATTTAGATATTTTATGGCGTTTATTTTACGTTACATTATTTTTTATTGAATTACCGTAAATGCTCTAATAGAAGCACATGTGCTTGTATTTTTCGATCCTCTCGTAGGGTGTGCTTATATTAGAGAGTGTGCTTCTACTAGAGAGTGTGCTTTTATTTTTCGATCTATTTTTAAAATCTGTAAGTTTAAAATTTGTAATTTTTTTTTTAAATTTGTATCTATTTTTAAAATTTGTTTAAAATTTGTAATTTTTAAAATTTGTATTTTTAAAATTTGTAATTTTATACTCCAAATAAGACAAACCAACAATTAAATTTCAATTGAATTACGCCTTCTTAGCTTAATTTTTATATTAAAGAATATTATGTCATGCATTTTCTAAAATTTTATTGTTAAAATCCTCATCAGATAAGTCCTGGAGTTGCAATTAGTATTGCATCCCTAACGTTCAGGGGCTTAGTGTGTCCGGGGATCAGGTCCGGGAACAGGTTTGTGATGAGAAAATTCTTTAAAAGAAAACCCTTCCAGAAATAATTCACTCTCAATATACTGTCGCTCAGTTATTCAAAAATTAAGGAAGATTCTGAGGGATTAAAGGGATATAAAGTGATTGGAAGGACTAAGCGCCATTTTAAGAGATCGAAGAGTATTTATATCTGGTGATGGGATTCAAGGGATTCCAAATCACACATTTTAACAGATTTTCTAACTCTTTTAAGAATTCCATCATAAGTTTAACTATCTATTCAAGCTAAACTCCTAAATGGTTGTTGTTGTAGTCCAGAAAGAATTCAATTTCCGAACTGGAAGTGAAATACAATTTAATATACTTAATATAAACTCAATATAAAGTACCTAATTCTATATATGACCTGTTTACGTTAGGTAAAAAGATAATTGCTGCTTTATTCAGTCGATATACTAGGGGTGTGCTTATATTATGGAGTGTGCTTCTACTAGAGAGTGTGCTTTTATTTTTCGATCCTATTTTAGGGTGTGGTTATATTAGAGAGTGTGCTTCTTTCAGAGAGTGTGCTTCTATTAGAGCATTTACGGTATATTAAATTTATATAATATTTTCAGTTAATGCTTCCAGGAATATTGAAAAAACTGGATTTATTTTTAAAATTGATAAGATTAAGAAGAATGAGGAAGAGAAAGAAGAAACGTTTATGGGTTCACCCATTACTTTCCAAACAACAAACTGAAGGTGAATTTGTAGTTTTGTTTGAGCAATTACGCAAAGATGAAGAAAAATTTTATTGTTATTCAAGAATGTCCTGTTGTGAATTTGATCTTCTTTTAGCACAGATTAAATCCAAGTTGTTTCTTATAAATTTTTAAATTAAGTATTATTTTTTAGAATTGAGTTGAAGAGTAAAAGAGGAGTTTCACCCGAAGAACAGTTAATCATTTGTTTACGTTTTTTGCAACTGGAATGCAATATCGTGCACTTGAATATTCATTTCGTAGAAGCAATTCAACAATATCTTTAATTGTAAGACGTGTTTCGAAGGCTATTTGGTTACTGCACGAAAAATATGTAAAATTGCCTTCATCAAATGAAGAATGGAAAAATATTGCAAATGGATTTGAAAAAAGATGGAATATGCCTTTGTGTATTGGTTTGTGAGAAATATAAAAACAATTTAATATTTTAATTCAATTTAGGAGCGTTGGATGGAAAATTGGTTCGAGTTCGTAAACCAAATAATTCAGGAAGCTTGTATCATGACTATAAGCATAGTTTTTCTTTAAATATGCTTGCTTTGTGTGATTATCGGTTTTTTAGTTTTAAAATATTTTTAAAATTAATATTTAGTTATCGAATTCTCTATGTTGACGTTGGTGAGTATGGATATAAAGGCGATGCCAATGTTTTTTCTTCGTCTTCATTGAAAGCAAAATTGAATGATAATTTGTTGAATATTCCTGAACCAACCCATTTACCAGGCTTGCCTGATTCTGACAAAATAAATTATTTCATTGTTGCTGATGCGGCTTTTCCACTTTCTTTGAACATTATGAAACCTTTTGCTGGCAATGCACTTTCACATCAGCAACGGATTTACAATTACAGGTTTATTTTATAAAATTAAATTATTTAAATTTTAAATAGAATTTCAAGAGCTAGAAGGGTTATTGAGAATGTTTTTGGTATAATGTGTGTAAAATGGCGAATTCTTTTAAAACCTATCGAAACAAATATTGAATCGGCAAACTGGATTATTCGTGCTATTATTGTATTACATAATTTTTTAATTGATGAATCAGCTACAAATAAAATACTTTCGATGGTTGATCATGAAACAGAAGTAAATCGAGATTTAGAAAATGGTGAATGGCGCAACTTATTATCTGGTTCAGAACCCCTTCCATCAATTCAACAAATTCAAAATCATGCAAGAAATTGGCCAGTTGAGGCGAAAAAGATGCGAGAAAATTTAATGAATTATTTTAATAGTGATATTGGATCCGTTTCTTGGCAAGAAAAAATGGTTTAAATTTATTAATTTGTTTGATAAAAATTTCATTTTTAATTTCTTTCAAAATATTTGAGTGCTTACATAAAAAACGCTGGCGTTTAGCGGAAAACGCTGGCGGAAAAAACGCCGGCGGAAAACGCTGTTTTGTGCTTACATAAAACTAGCGTTTTCCGCAATGCGTTTTCCGCTAGGCAGAAAACGCTGTTTTTATGTAAGCACTTTTTAGCGTTTTCCGCCAGCTTTTTTTCCGCCAGCGTTTTCCGCGAAACGCCAGCGTTTTTTATGTAAGCGTAGCATTAGATAAAGCTGTACCCTCTAAATTAAGTTTTTCTGAAATTTTTTCATTTTTATCCTCAGGATTTGGTAAATTAGGTAATTCATCCTCCCAATTAACTTCGGGGGAAACATATTCATCCTTCCTTTTAAATACTTCAATAGAATTTGTTTCATTTTTATTTTGAATAATTGGCTCCAATATTCCAACTCTAGACTTAGCATAAATTTGCAGGGGCGAATTTCCAAAATTTAATAATCGTAATGGAATTAAACGTGATGATCCTGGTTTAGACAACGTTTTTCCGACTTTTAAATATTCATTAATCTTGAACCTTTAGTTTTTGAATTTCTTCTGAATGGGCAACTTGTGGAGAAGGTGGGAGATTATGATTATTTTTAAATTTTATTTTTATTTTTTTTTTCAGTGGAAAACAGCAATAGCTAAATCTGTTCCATTGTTTATACACGGAGCTGGAGATGATTTTACAAGTGCTGTCCAAATAAATAAAACAGGTCTATAACTTAGGCTTGCGGCACGGGAGAGGCCAACTTACCGCGAGCCCAACCTACCGCAGAGCTATAACTTCGTTCATAATTGTCGATTCCAGGACGCCCTAGTATGGTTCGAAGCGCCTCGGCGAGCTGAAATGAACTACATCAGGTCGTCCCGGATTCGACCATTTTGAACAAAGTTATAGCTCTGCGGTCGGTAATTTGGGCTCGCGGTAAGTTAGGGTGTACCCCTTGCGCCACAAATTTCTATCAATTAAAACATTTTCTCTATATTTAGAAGACAAAAACCCTCGCTATATTTTGAAATTGCCAAGTATTCCAAAAAATTTGGAAGAAATGATTATTGTTCGATGTTGGTTAGGGCAGCTGTTTAATTGTGCTTTTGCATCTGTTGATACTGAATATATTATATTTAATCCAGAAATGATTGATTTATTATTTGATAATGACAAAACAATGCTTAAACAATTTCACGTTAAAGTCCTCTTTCTATACGCTCAAAAAGGAAATCCTAATGATAATTCAATTGAAAATTTTTTCAACTTTGGTAATGCTAGTAATAATTTGTTTGAAAATTTTTTGGACTTTGGTTTAAATCATTCCGCAATTTATAAGAAGTTTGTCATCATTGAGCAAAGCATTTCAGAGCTCCATGCAAATATTTTATTCAATATTATAGTAAATGAAGGCAAAAAATTACCTGCAGTTTGTTTCGGTTATTGTGATTTTTCAAGTCTTTATGAGCTTATTGTTGAAGTAAGGGTGGTACTTTTCCGTTATGCCAAACAAAGTCCGTAACTTTTTATCCGCAAGTCATTCTTTTGATTACCAAATGTCATTTTCATTTCTTCCAGTTTTAAGTACTTTGTCGGCACAACGGAAAAGTATTTTTAAAAGTTATTTAAAAATGTGAATTGAAAATATTTTTTAGTATGTAACAACATCCAAAGATTTCTCAAAAATGATATCCAATGTTTGCCTACTCTATGATTTTAGCGAAAACGTTAAATTGTCCGAGAAAGCAAAGAATGTTGAAACTAGAGGTCGGTAAAATCGCATTTGCAGGATCCTGTAACAGGATTGGGTTTTAAAATTTCGAACAGGACAGGATCCTGCAGGATTAATCCTGAAAATCCTGGAATCCTGACAATCCTGTCATTTTTTTTCCAGGATCCTGTACAGGATTTCGGGATTTTCAAAAAATCTCAAAATTTTTCAAAATTTACGCCTGTGGCGCTAAAAATTAAGATTTTTGGCTAATCTCCACTGTTGGAACAACTTCCCCCATCACTGAATCAACATCTCGCATTGTTGGGTCAAAAGTTTGGTATTTCAAGTAGTGTAAGTCGAGTACTAAGTAATATGGACAACCCTAGTTCAAGTAATGCCGCTTCAGAAGGCCAAATCCCTCGCTATATCCTTAGATCCCTTCAAATATCTGGATATCACTAAAATCCAGTAACTTCATTCAACGATATAACTCAAAATACTCCTTAATCTGTCCAAATCCTCTGATATACCATTCAACTTCCCTTTACAGCGCCGCAGGCAAAACTTTTGGGATTTTGGTGCCAGATTTCTTCCTTTTTCAGCGCCGCAGGCGAAAATTTTGAGGATTTTGGAAGGCCAGGAAGACAAAAATCGTCCTTTTTCAGCGCCGCAGGCGACAAAATAAAACCCTGAACCGTGAAAATTATCCAGGACGGATCCTGTATCAGGATTGGGTTTTAAAATTTCATACAGGACAGGATCCTGCAGGATTAATCCTGAAAATCCTGGAATCCTGACAATCCTGAAAATTGAAAAAAAGGCAGGATTTCGGACAGGATCCTGAAAAATCCTGTGCGGGATCCTGTCCTGTGCCGACCTCTAGTTGAAACTAAGCAAGTAGATGGCTCAATATCTACAGAATACCAAATTGTCAATATCTATAATCCAAAAGTGAAATTTTTGTTTTCCAATGTTGAACAAGGAAAATTTTTTCATACTACGATTAAAAAAATTGAAGAGTAGAATTTGAGAGGATATTATAGAGATTTATTATTGGGAATATATTGTTGAAGAAAATATTATTTAATTCTCATTTGTTTTGTGTAAAATTTGTTGTCTTGTTTATTTATTTCCATCATTTTAAAGCAGTTTGGTAATAGTTTGGAATTCGCCCCCCCTTTTTTTTTACCGTTTCCCTGACCATTTTGAGCTTTCTTGTTTGATACATAATTTATTATTAGAGCCCGGATTTTTAGGCACGATAAAGTTAAAAATAGGCGCCTATATAGGCACTAAAAAACTGCCAAAATAGGCATTAAAATCCGAAAAAAAGTGCCGTAGGCGAAAATTTTGAGATTTTTAAGGTTAAATTTAATTTCTAACCAGAAAGTCCGTATGAAATGTACGTCCAAAATAAGTACAAATCAGGTCTATTCCATCCCCCATCCAATTAATTTTTTCTAAAAATCTTTAAAAAAATTTTTCTATTTTTTTAAAATTTAATTTTGGATGTATAAATTCCAAAACTTTAAATTAAAAGTCAAAAGAAAAAACTTTTTTTAATTTAAAATGCATGTAAAAATTTATTTTAAGAAAGAAAAGGGATTATTTATAGAATTTTTATCTTTTTTGGCACAAAAAAAGGAAGGAAAAATGCTTAAAAATGTGTAAAGCATTCTTTGGTTTTTAATTTTATTAACTTAATTTAGAGGGGAAAATTTTCCTTTTTTATATTAAAATATATGTTTTTATAAGGAAATGTGTATTAATAAAGAAGGAAATGTCAACAAATAATTAATCATCATTTTTGAGGGTTGGTGACTAATTCTTTTATTTTTTTCTGAGAGAGAAAAAGGGAGAGGTAAATTTAGAAAAATTTATTCGCTCGGGAATGCTTTTTTAAAAAAGTTTTTTTTTATTTTTTTATTTTTTAAATTCATAAATGACCTAGTTTTTCAAAAAAATTTTTTTTTAAATTCGTTGATTTGTAAAATTTAAAAAGAAATTAAAAAATTTTTTTTGTTCTCTAAAATTCGCGAATATCCTCAAGAGCCCAAGAAGGCGCACGGCCATAACGGCGCAAAGCCATAACTACCTGGAAAATTTCTGAACCTTAACAATTTTGGTACCAATCTCTTTAGCTCGATGAGAGGAATCGTTTAATACTAAATTTTGAAAGATTCGAAAATCTTGAAGCAAGTTATGGCTTTGCGCCAACTTGGCCACGCGCCTAGCTGTACCCTTTCGTTGTTTTAGGGGGGACTCAACTGTCCATTCTCCCAAAATTTATTTTTTGGCATAATGTTATTTTTAATAAAAATATTTTTTTTATCATTTTTAACGTGTCAGGGCAGTTCTTCGAACGGACACGTCTTCGACCGACAAAACTTCGACCGACAAAACTTCGACCAGACAAAACTTCGACCGACAAAACTTCGAATGACCAAAACTTCGTCCAGACAAAACTTCGAATGACCAAAACTTCGTCCAAAGAGCTTGGGGTTATTTTGGCGCAAGCAATTATTTCTTTAAACAGGCAATTGGATTTTGGCTCTTGTCCAGTTCATGCGTCCCATGAAGATTCATGCGTCCCAAGAGAATTTATGAGTCCCATAAAAGTTTATGCGTCCCATGAAATGAATTGAAAAAATATTCAAAAATTAAAAATAAACATACTAGAATTTCACCGGAAGTTCCGGTTCCGGTTCCGGAAAGTTCCAGTGTTTTTTGGTTTCGGTGTTTTTTGGTTTGGATCCGGTTCCGGCTCCGGTTAAAATCGGTTCCGGTCAAACCGGAACTTTTTTTGGCTAAAAGTATTTGGCCAAAGTATTTGGCTAAACCGACAACACTACTTAAAATACAAATATTTTAAATTTGCTAGCAAAATTTTTTAAGTTATGGTCACGGTTCCGTGCCGGAACTTGGAAAAATTCCGGTTCCGGAACTCAAATTGGATCCTGTTCCGGTTCCGGTAAAATTTCGGTCCCTGTGAAATTTTAATTTATACTTATAAATATATTTGATCTTTCCGGTACGGTACCGGTACCAAAGAGTACCTGTTTAAAGAAATAATTCCTTGCGCCAAAATAACCCCAAGCTCTTTGGACGAAGTTTTGGTCATTCGAAGTTTTGTCTGGACGAAGTTCTGGTCATTCGAAGTTTTGTCGGTCGAAGTTTTGTCTTGTCGAAGTTTTGTCGGTCGAAGTTTTGTCTGGTCGAAGTTTTGTCGGTCGAAGAATTGCCCCTCACCCCATTTTTAAGGGAATCTTCTTTTTTCTTAAAAGAATTGATTAACTTTAAAAAAAGAATAGAAGATGTCACAGCAGCAGCGTTATACTACCACATCCTCATCGATTTTATCCTCAAGTCCATCAAAGCAATTAACAGTAATTGATGTTTACGATTTGGCTGAGTCGATAAATAGAGATTTTGAAATTTTGGTTGAAAAATATGGAAATGATTCTTTTGAGTCAATTGTTGGAAAGGTTTGTGATGAGGAGGGGACACCTTTTAGAAAAATAGTAAGTGTGGACGCAAATGAAAAAAATAAAATGTCCGTAAAATTTGTCCGCAAAAAGTGGTATGGAACAGGGATGTCATGGGTTAAGAAAAATCGTCTCGAGTTTTGGGTCGAAAATGCCGGTCTGGGTATCTAGTATTGGGTTTCGAGTAACCCGGGATCTCCCTGGTGGGAATAACAGAAAGCTTTATGGGTGAAAAAATTATTTTTATTAAAGGTAATATCAGCCTTAGAAACTCTGGAGGCTTTAGCTAAATACAATGATAAAGACAATTGTGAAATTATCGATTTGCAAAAAACTATACAACGGTTTGAACAAGAAAAACAACAGAGGATTAAAGATAAAGAAATTTTGGAAAGGGTATGGAATTTTTTTTGAAAATTTTTGAGTTTTTTTTTTAAATTTTAATTTTGGTAATAATTAAGTTTGTGGGCCCCTGTTACCATTCCTTTCAGGTTTCCACTTTTTCGCTTATTTTTTGCCAACCTAGATTTTTCTGTTCCATCTTCATCTGATTATATTAATTTTAATAAATGGGGGCCCACAAACTTAAGTATTATCTTTAATTTTTTTAAAAAGGATTTTATTGAACTAGAAGACAGTTACAAAAAAGAAATTGATGATCTCTGCAAAATTGTAAGAAATTTTCTTTTCAATTAAGAAAAAAGTTTTTTTTTCTAGATTCAAAAATTGCAAACCGAAAATAAATGTATGAAAGAACAATTATCTTCTGGAGAAAATGTTAAAAAGGAAGAAGAGAAGACTGGTAAATTAATTTATTAATTATTGTGAGGTTTGTAATTTTATATAAGCTTTATTTTTCGTCTGCTTGTTGTATGGGTGGTGTGGTATATTGGTGAGGATTTGTGGTTAGTCTTTTGGAAGGTGTCCGGTTCGTTTCCTCCTTGCGTTTTTATTTTTTGAGAGTTGTTTTTAAGTCTATTTTTTCAAAAAATATTTTTGGGGTTTTACCTTGCTTGTAAAAAATTTCTTTTATCTCAATTTTTGTTCCGTAGCTGTTTTGTTATAATTATTATGCTCTTTAGATGGCTGTTTTTAGTGTGCCTAGTTCGATTCCTTTCGGGTTTCCGTCTTTTCAGAGGCTTCTTTTAATTTTTATTTTCCCCAAAAATTATTTTTGGGTTCCCAAAATTTTTCTAGTAATTTTTTAACTCAATTTTTGGCACTTTTTAATAAAATTTAGAAAAAAATTTTTTAACAGAAGATGTAGTCGATGAACAACTCCAAACACTTATTGAACTCCGCAAAATGACTCACACCCAAAAAGATCAAATAAAACAATTACAAAAAGATTTGGATACTTATTGTTGTGAAGTTGAAAGTTTGAGAGAAAATATTGAAAGATTAATTAGACAAAATAAAGAATTGTTGAGAAAGAATGGGTCTTTACAGGTTTTTTTTGTTTTTGGAATTTTTGTTTAATTTCGAAAAATTTTTTAAGAAACAAGGAAGAATGCTTTTGTTGGAACGTGCAGAAATTCTTAAACGATTACAGGTTTTTTAAATAAAATATTTTTTTGTAATTTTTTGAGAAGCGGCTGTAGGGCAGGGATGTCACGGGTTGAGAAAAATGTCGGGTCGGGTTTCGGGTCGGGTTTCCAAAATTTTTATCGGGTCGGGTTGAGAAAAAAGTCGGGTCGGGTTTCGGATCGGGTTTTCGAAATTTTCTTCGGATCGGGTTTCGGATCGAAAAAAAGTCCGGGTTTCGGGTAACGGGTCGTCGGGTCGGGTTAGTTAAAATTTGAACATGAAGCCAATTTTTTGGAGCTGTTGTGGATATCAGATATTTAGAGGGTTAATCCTCCAATATCCGTACAACTCCCCGATATATCCCAAATCCTACTTTATCCCTCAAATTCTCCGATATTTGGGATTAAGACGGTTGATCCTCTTTTGCGTCACAGGCAAAAAAAAGCGGGGCAGGCGAGAATTTTGAGAATTTTTAAAGGATAATAAGCCAGATTTCTTCCATTTTTTGCGCCGCAGGCCAAAATTTTGAGAATTTTGGAAGGCCAAGAAGTTAAAAATCTTCCTTTTTCTGCGCCGCAGGCGAAAATTTTGAAAATTCTGGAGGATCCTTAAGCCAGATTTCTCCCTTTTTCAGCGCCGCAGGCGAAAATTTTTAGAATTTTGGAGGATCCTCAAGCTAAAAATCTTCCCTTCTCAGCGCCGCAGGCGAAAATTTTGAGAAATCTCGGGTCGGGTTTCGGGTCGGGTTTTGAAAAATAAAAATTCTCGGGTCGGGTTTCGGGTCGGGTTTTAGAAAATTTCTCGGGTCGGGTATCGGGTCGAAAAAAAGGCCAGGTTTCGGGTATCGGGTTTCGGGTAACCCGTGACATCCCTGCTGTAGGGGTTCCTTGACCATGCTTTAAAAAATTTTCCTTACCTTTTTGCTTGATCGAACCAAACTTGGGCAAATTTGTGGACAAAAATAAATTTGTAGACAAGGGATGTTACCGTCATAAAAAATAAATTCCCGTTTTCGGGAGTTGGGAATTCTCTACCTAAAATACGTCAAGAATTTTTTGGAACGTCTGAAATTCTTAAACGATTACGGGTTTTATAAATAAATTTTTTAGTTTTTGTGGGTTAGTTTTTTTTAGTTTTTTGAAGTCAAGGTCTGTATTTTTTTTCGTTAGGAACCGTGACGGCAGGATCCCCAACCTCCCTATTAACCTCTCAAAAATTAAAGTCTTTATGTCTGGAATGGGTGAGGGGATCCTTATATTTCATTTTTTAAGAGAATTTAACTTATAAAATTAAAATTTCTTTTTTTAGCAATCAGAAGAAAATACTTTACAACTTCGCCGTGTTTTGAACGAAACAAACAGAGCCTGTAAAGATTTGGAAGTTCAAAAACAATGGGATGAAGAGACAGCTTTAGCAGCCATTACTAAAGGTCAACAATCTCCAAGATTTTCTCTTTCTGAATTGAGGGATGTCCTTCAAGAGAAAAATGCTTTAAAAGTTAAAGTTTTGGAATTGGAAGAAAAAATGGAACAAATACGGGCTTCGTCGCCTGGGGGAGAAATTGAAAGTAATAGAGGAACGCCTTCTCCAAATATGAGGTTTTTTTAATTTTGGAGATTTTTTGCTATAAAAATATCTCTCGCTTTTAATGAATAGTGTTTGGTCTGCTTAATTGGCCAAAATATACCCTCTCAAAACTAGAGTAATAAGTCAAAGATTCTACTGTTTTGGCTAAAGAAATTATGGCTTAAAACTAATTTTTTAAGTCATATTCTTTTGTTTCCTTTCATACACGTAGACAAGAAAATTTTTTTTTCAGGGAGAGGTGGGGAATTATTTTTAGGGTTGTCGGTTCCTGGAAATTCTTTGTATAACCGAACCGAAAAATCCTCGTTCTTCGATTCGGTCCAGAACCCTACTCATTTTTCAAAATATTGAAAAAGTATCTATTCTTCTGGCTATGTGCCTGGGCTTATAAGTCATAATTTACTATAAGTCATAATTTTACAATTATCACAGTCTTGTTGGGTGGTATTGTTTCCCTCTATTTTCCGGAGGTTATTTTGTGTAGTGGGTGGTTCTCCCCTTTTAACATGAGTAAAATTATCCCCTTTTTTGATGCTTTTGCTTTTGTGTGTCTTGTATTTTTTTGTTTATTCCAGTTTGTCTTCTACGTCACTTTCCAAACAACTTGAAGAGTCTCAATTACAACACGAGAAGAAGGATAATATTCAATCTCCACAAACATCACCACCTCAAAAACGGAAAGAAACTGAAAAGTTGTTTTTTTGTTGCTTTTTATAGTCTTTAAGGGCTTTAATTATTCTCCTTAAATTTAGTTTTTATGGTGAATTTTCAAGAGTCCGCAAGTTTTTGTCCGCAAATTAACTTTTTCGTGAAAAACGATGATTTTAGTTACCTGTCACTAGTTTAAGCGTTAGTGGCGGGACCAGAGAATGGAAGGGGTTTTTCAAACAATTTTTACAACTAACAAAAATTTTCTAAAAAAATTTTTCGAAAAGAAAGACTTAAAAATCCGCACATCTGTCAGATCACCTTCACCAGATTTACTGCTTTAAATTTTTTAAATTATTTTTTTGCGGACAAAATTTGCGGATTTGTGTCTTTATAATCAATTTTTCCCCTTATCAACCTTTAATTTAAAATTAAAATCTAAAATTTATTTTTTTAAATTTAGCAGCGAAGAATGTCTTGTTTTTGGGCCAATAAATCGCGAACCTGATGAAAAATTGCATCCTTGGAAATATGAGCGTATGAACAGTGGAGTTCGTCGATTGTATATTTTTTCATAATTTTTAAAATTTTTCAAAAAAATTTTTTTCAGTTTTCGTTTATTTGCTTCTATCAGTTCAACAAATTTGTCTCCTCGTCGTCCATCTGGGGCAAAATGAGAAGGGACAAAAAATCTGGTTTTCTACTTTTTTCTCTGCAAATATTTTGCGGACAATGAATCTGAATGCTGCTGTGAATCTGTTAAATATTCTAATTGCTTAAGTATTATTTTTTAAAATAATTTTTTTTATCAGAAAACCCCAGATATATATTTAATAATCCTTTTTAAATAACCTTTTTTTTAATTACTATCCCTTTTTATATTAAAACTAGGGTTGTCGGTTTTCAATCGAACCAAAATTTTCGAGTTCTCGGTTTGGGTTAATCGAAGAAGAATTTGTTGAACCCGACAACCCTAATTATATCCCTTTTTTAAATTACAGTCGGACTTCATTATAGGATACTCTCAAAAATAGGATAATTACCAGTTTATTGGTTGACTATTGTGAGGGGAATCTGCTTAGGAGAGACTCCCAAATTTTTAAAAGCCTCTCAAAAGGGAAGTCTATTTTATAATGAGGTCCGACTATGTACTATCAAAAGTTAATAGATCTCTTAGGTAAGGAAATTAATTTTAAAAAATTTTTTAATTTTTATTGTAAAATTTAGCTTAATAATTAATTTTTTCTTTGCTTTTTCTATAGTATTTTAGGCCTTAAATAATTTTTTAAAATAACCATTCTTCAATCTTTTAAATAAATCCAAAAAAGCATTTTATCTATCTCATTCTCCTTTTTAAAAAAACATTCTTTTGCTTATAATAAATATACAATATATATAGTTGTCGATCTCATTTTTGTAATACATCCTCTCTCGGTTTTTTTGCTAAACTAAAGACTACACTGGTTATATATTAACTGATTAAATATATGTATATTTTAAAATTAATTAGAGCTTCGATTTAATTCTTTAAAAAAATTAAAAATCCGCAAATTTTGAAAAACGTCCGCAACTTTTTTTCTAAAGTCCGCAAGTTTTGTCCGCAAAAATTTTTTTTTCAAATTTTAGACCCCTTATTATTTTATTGAAGCTCTAATTTTATAAAATTAAATTTTATGCGAAAGTTGTGAATGTGTGTATTAATTTTTGCTAAGCTCATAATCTTGTATTATTTTTATCGCCATCGGAATAAATAATTTTTAAATAAATTTTTTCTGTTCAAATAAAAGTGCGTATTTACTATCTAATTTAATTATATTTTTGATGTTTATTTAGTTAATAGTATATTCAATGGAACTAATGGCTATTCAAATAGAAAAGAGAGGATAAATTATGCAAACAGAAGAGTCCGCAAAAGATTTTTGTCCGCAAAAGATGTCCGCAAAAAATTTTTTGTCCGCAAATTTCCAAAAATCTAAAGGATTTGAAATGATGAAAAATAAACTTTGGAAATTCTGGAAGTAAAAATATGGCTAATACCAAACTCGAATTTATTGAAATTTGCTGCAGAAATCGAGAGAAAACACTCAAAGGATTAAAAAATGGAAGTTATAAATTTTGCGGATTAAATGAGGTTTTTTAATTTTTTTTTCTTTCCAAAAATTTTTTTTCCAAATTTGTAAATTTAATAAAATAAATTTGTGTAATTCTTAAAGTCGTTTTAAGAATTTACAAAAAGAAATTTTTGTAAAAAGTGCTGAATTCCATGAATTTATTTGTCTTCGCGTTCTCCTCCCCCTTGACATTTTTAAAGAAGAAAAATTGTAAAAAGAAATCGTTAAGAGGCTAAATTCTTCTTTTAAATCCTCTTTTCCACTTTTCTTTTCTTTTTTTTCTATCTAGTCTGGCCTATAAGAAATTCTTCAAACAAATTAAAGAAAAAATTTTTTGTCTGCCCTAACATTTCTGTCTAACCACTCTCTTCTATTTACACACTATTTCTCTAATTTTTTTTCTAAAATTCCCCCTTCGGCGCTTTTTTTTTTAAGACTACTTTAAAATTAGACAAATAGAATATTTAAAGCAGCTGGCCCAAACAAATATTGATTTTATACACCGCGGGAAAAAAGAGAAAATGTGTGAGAGGAAAAAGAAAATTTTGGGGGAGGTGTAGGGGGGAAGGGCTGTTTGGAGGAGGGATTGGGGGTGTTGCCTTGCGACGGTTCTTTTTTTCTTTTTTTCATATCTTTTCTTTTAAAAATTCGTTCGTTTTACATAATATTAAAATAGTTTCCAACCTCTCTTTAATGTAATTTTCAGGAAGAAAAAAAATTTTTTTTGAGTGACTAAAAAGGAAATTTTTGAGAGAATAGGGGAATAAACGAGCCTTTTTCGCTAATAAATTCATTTTCCTGCATTAAAAAATTTTTTTCCTAAAATAAATTATTTAGTTGGTTATACCGAAACACAAAATATTGTATTTTCCTACATCAAATTTTTTAAAAATTCTATGTCTGGCACTCTCTTCTTTTTACACGTTATTTCTATCTATTTTTCTATCTGCTATTTTTCTTCGTTTTCGAATTTTCTTTTTTTGATAAAAATTTTTTTAGAAAAAAAATTTTCTAATTTTTTTTTTGAATTTCAAAAATTCCTTCTTTTTTTGAAATTCAAAACTCTCTTCTTTTTATACGCTATTTCTTCTCATTTTTTATTCATTTTGATTTTTAAGTGATTTTTTATGAAAAATTTTTTAAATTTTAAAAAATTATTAAAAAAATTTTTTTTTAATATTTCCTTTTGATTCGGGTTCAGGGCAGTTCACCAAAAACCAATTCACCAAAAGACAGTTCACCAAAGGACAGTTCACCAAAAGACAGTTCACCAAATGGGGTAGTTCACCAAAAGCCAGTTCACCAAAAGACACTTCACCAAATGGGTGTAATGGACAATTCACCAAACGTTACCAATCTTATCTAAAACTTATATCCAAGTGATAAAAATACGTTTTTCACCTATTTTATTGTCGAACTAGTGATCAATCGATACCCCTTATTGATATATCGATCTCCCCTTATTGATCTATCTAGCGATCAACAAGATCAATCAAGTTATCGCTGATCAAGTCATTTGATCGAGAGATCAGGTCATCGATCGAGTGATCAATCAAGCGATTGAGTCATTTGATCACGCGATTTAGTCAGTTGATCAGGTTATCGAGTCATCTGATCAAGTGATCGAGTCATCTGATCAAGTGATCGAGTCATCTGATCAGGTGATCGAGTCATCTGATCAAGTGATCGAGTCATCTGATCAAGTGATCGAGTCATCTGATCAGGTGATCGAACTGATCAGATGATCGTATCATCATACGAGAGAAGTGATAGTTTCATCAGACGATAGAGTGATCAGCAGGAAAGTGACTGGGAGAGTGATCGGGAGTGATCAACCGAATAGTCATTGGTAGAACTTCCGTCATTGGTACAACATCCCCCGTCATTGGTACAACATCCCCCGTCAGTGGTACAACATCCCCCGTCATTGGTAGAACTTCCCCCATCATTGGTACAACTTCCCACTGTCGTTGGTACACTTCCCCCGTCTTTGGTAGAACTTCCCCGTCGGGAAAAATTATTGAAAAATATCGACGATATTTTTCGAGACCGATACCGATATTATCGATCGATAAATTTTTTAATTTTTTCGATATTTTTCGAGACCCGATATTTTTCGAGACCGATACCGATATTATCGATCGATCACTCGAGTCCGGTCTCTAATTATTATACCCATTTGGTGAATTGTCCATTACACCCATTTGGTGAAGTGTCTTTTGGTGAACTGGCTTTTGGTGAACTACCCCATTTGGTGAACTGTCTTTTGGTGAACTGTCCTTTGGTGAACTGTCTTTTGGTGAATTGGTTTTTGGTGAACTGTCCTGACACGTTTTGATTCTCTTTCAACTTCCCCAAAAATTTAAAAAAAAATCTTGTTCCTTTCTTCTATTTATAGATTTATATAAAAGTACCGTATTATCTCTATTAGAATGCCCCCTTCCATTTGAATGCCCCCCTCTAATAGAATGCCCCTCTAGCGGAAGATCGAAAAATACAATGCCCCCCTCCATTTGAATGCCCCCCTCTAATAGAATGCCCCCCCCCTTTTTTTACTGAAATTTTTCTAAATAAAAAAAGATATTACTATTTATATTTAAAACCTTTACTACATATTCACTTTTAATTATTTTTCTTGCCATTTTTTGAACTATTATTTAAACTAGTGTGTGTTAGGCAAATGGATTTTTCCGGTACCGGTACCGGACGAGTACCGAAAATTCCAAAATCTGACCGGTACGGTTCCGGTACTGGTAGTATCGAAAAGTACCGGTACCGGTCAGTACCGGTGAAAAATTTCCGGTACTACCGCGGTACTCCGGTACTAACGAAAAATGTTATAATATCCAAAAATATCTATGTTTAAGCATTGGTTTCACTGAAGTTAACGGATATAATTGTATTTTAAGGATATAGGGGATATCAGTAGAATCGAAGGGATATCGGGTGAGTTGTATGATATAGAGGATATCGAGTGTTCATGAAGGGTTATTGGGCAGGGGTGTGCCGAAACGGATTTTAAAAAGCGACACGCGAAAAGCGAAAGTCCAGCTTAATAAAAATTTTTTAGAATGTTCTAACAATAAATCGGTTTGGTCTATTTTCGTTAATTTATTCAAAAATTAAGGAGGATTCGGAAAGACTAAAAGGATATAAGAGAATTTGGATGGATTATGTGGGATCTGATGGGATTAAATAGTATATCGGGGACATAAAGTGAAAACTATTTAGTATTATTTCATCTTTTTTCAGCGCCGCAGGCGGAAATTTATAAAATTTTAGAATTTTGTGATAAAAATTTTTTCAAACTTTAAAAAATTTACTCATCGAAAAATACAATGCCCCCCTCCATTTGAATGCCCCCCTCTAATAGAATGCCCCTTTGGAAGGTGATTGAAAAATAGAATGCCCGGGCATTCTATTAGAGATAATACGGTAATTATTTTACAACAATTTATATTTCACTTAATTCACGCACACATTAATGTACTTTTTCTTTTTCATGCGTATATTTTATTTTAATGTGCGTCATTAAAATATTCTTTCTAGAGTACATTTTTACTCGGAATGATTTTAAATTTTATTTTTTATTTTTTTGATTTTATTTTTTTTAATTATGTAGTTAAGGGAGAGGGGAAAATAAAAGAATTAATTAATTATAATCTTTGAGGGGGAAGGAGACAAAAAATTTTTTTCTTCTTCAGAGAGTTAATCAATCAATCAATTTTTTTTTAAATTTCTTTTTGTTTATCCCACACACATCTTTTCGGTTAAGAAAAAAATTTTTTGAACACCTTAAAATTGTTTTTATGGCTCACTAAAATTTGCGGACTAATATTTGCGGACAAAATAAATTGTGAGGGGAGAGTCCAAATAATTGGTAGAAAGATCTTTAATAGTCAAAATCTATTAGTCTTCAAGTTTGGAGAATTTTTTGATCATTAAAAACCATTTTTTGATTATTAAAACCTTAGAAAACTGTCCTCATGGAATTTCGGACTAATATTTGCGGACAAAGCAAAATTGTGGGGAATAGCCCAAATTACGGAAGGAAATTTATTTTTTTTTAATATTTAAAAAATTTATTTTTGTCTTCTTTTAGAAGAAATGTCTTTCTTGACCTTTTAAAATCGTTTCCCCTCCTTTGATTTTTTACAAATTTTTCTCGTCCGCATTTTTCAATCCGCAAATTTTGTTCCTTCACATTTTTGTTATTTTTCCTTCAAAAAAATTTTTTTAATAAAATACAAGAATTTCTATATATAAATCAAAAACTAGACATATTTATTTACATGTCCGGATTTTCTGTGTCCTGACAATAAAAAATCCTTTTTTTTCTATACAATTTTTCCTTCATTTCTCTCTTGACCTAAATTGATGTCAGTCTACTACCAACAACTAACCAATATCCACACACACACCTTTTTTTACTTTTTTTTCTATTCGCGCAAATGGTTCCGTGACTTTTGCGCCGAGAACATTTGCGCCGCGACTTATGCGCCGCGACTTTTGCGCCGCGACTTATGCGCCGGGGGACTTTTGCGCCGGGGGACTTATGCGCCGTGACTTTTGCGCCGGGCGACGTTTGCGCCGCGACTTTTGCGCCGGACGACTTTTGCGCCGCCACTATCATTAATAACTATGAAAAACAACAGCCGGACCTCACTATAGAAGATGTAGGATAGTTGGAGATCTTCGGATATCAAGATCCGGATCCTATATCCGACCTAAAATTTTTGGCTATCCGGCCTTTTTCATATCCGAATATCTGGACCCGACAACCCTACACTATAGTGCACCCTCTTCTGGATGCCATAATAGAGGTAGCAGACCAAATATCTCTGTTTCCGAAAAAGTCAAGTTCTTTGAAGATGACCCCTCTAGGGGGTCGGTTTATTTTTCAACCTTCCATCTAGGGGGTCGGTTTATTAAAGGGAGCTATTGTACTTCCCGAAATATTGTACTTCCTGAAATTCCTTCAGCTCCTGGATACCATTTTTTAAGGAGTACACTATAATTAGGTCCGACTGTAGATATTATTTTTTTAAATTATTGCGGCGCAAATGTCGCGGCGCATAAGTCGCCCGGCGCAAGAGTCGCGGCGCACAAGTCGCCCGGCGCATAAGTCGCGGCGCACAAGTCGCGGCGCAAAAGTCGCCCGGCGCATAAGTCGCGGCGCACAAGTCGCGGCGCAAAAGTCGCCCGGCGCATAAGTCGCGGCGCAAAAGTCGCGGCGCAAATGTTCTCGGCGCAAAAGTCGTGATACCGCGCAAATATATTAAATCCTTGCTCTCCTTCCAATATTTAATATTTTCTTTATATTTTTAGAAAGCTTTTAATTCTTCCTAAAAAAGATTTTTTTAATATTTTACAAAAATAGATTTTTTTTTAGAAATTAAAAGATTCGTGTATTTTTAGTAACTTACACTGATTTAGTTTTTTGAATTAGAATAGAAAATGGTAGAAAAATCCAAGAAAAATCATGAAAAAATTCCGACCCTTTTGCGGCATTTTTGCGGACAAAATTTTTTTGCGGACAAATATTTTGCGGATAAAATTTTTTGCGAATTTTTGAGATTTTTCTTTTGGGTCCTACAAAAGTCAATAAGTATATTTTACCTTTCTAGTTCAATCATTCATAGTAGATTTGTGGTTATCCAAGATTAATATTTGTGTATCTCCCTATAAAAATCCTTTAAACCGTTACCCTCACATAGGAAAAAATTTTTTTCAGTTTCCTTCCCAACTAATTTATTGATTTTTCTTTTTATAAAAAAATGATGTTAAAAGCTCTCTCTCCTACTACATAAAAGTTTACGCGCATTTATTTATTTTTCCTTTAAAAAAATTTTTTTTTCTTTTCAATCATTGTTTTCTTGTCTAGAGGAGGAAGAGGTTATTGACCTTGTCCCGTTTCTTGTTGTTCCCGTTCTTTCAAAACAAAAATAAAAAAAGATTAACATTTTATATCTCTCTATTTTTAATCGTTTTTTACTTTTTTTGTTATTTGTCCTCAAATAAATTTTTTTGTTCGCTCAAAGATTTTTTTGATAGGGCTTGGGATGTTTCATTGTTGATTTCTGTGTCGGTGATATTTTGGAATTAATTTTAATTTAGTTCTGATCTAATTTAAAAAAGAAAATACAAATAATTCTGATTTCCATTTGTATTTTTAATACAAGGAAAATACAATTCTGATTTTTATTTGTTTTAAGCCAGCGAAAAATACATTTCTGATTTTAATTCTGATTTTTATTAAGCATTAGAAATACAATTAATTCTGATTTTTATTTGTTTTTTAAACCAACGAAAAATACATTTTTAATTCTGATTCTAATTCTGATTTATATCTAGACAACAGAAAATACAATTAAAATACTTGTGTTTTGATTTTATCTCTGATTAAAAATCAGAATTAAATGAAGGTGTGCTTTTTCAGTGCGATAAGAGGCATTCTATGACAATTTTTACAGAAAAATTTTTTGAATCAGAAACCAATCCGATTGAATTTTTGAACAAATAATTAACCTCGACCAATTTTTAAAAAATAAAGAAATGAAAAATTGGCAATTAAACGTCCTTATCCGTTTAATCTTTTCTCTTCTTTATTGGTCTCGCGCAGTGTTATTTTCCCTCTCTTTTTTTCAAATTCATTTTTATTAATACATACATTTTTACCGACAAATAAATAAATAATATAAAAATATATTTTTATTTTTCCCTCATTTTTAGCGTTTCCTCAACTACAAGCTTTTAGCTGCTGCTCTCTTCCCTTACAGTCAATATATTTATTTGTTCTGTCTTCTCTAACTTGTAAAAAATAAAAAGGTTTTCAGAACAACTCTTGTTTTTACCGCAATTTGAGCAAGAATCGAGACTACTAAATGAGGGAGTGAGAAAAAAGGCTAGAACAATATATAAAGTAGGAGACCAATTATCCGGAATAATTGAAAATCTATAAAAACAAGAAAAGAGAACAACGAGCTTATATTGTTAGAGAAAAAAATTCTGATTTTATTAAACAACAGAAAATACAAATAATTCTGATTTTTATTTGATTTTAAAACCAACGAAAAATACATTTCTGATTTTAATTCTGATTTTTCTTTATTCTTAAGCAACAGAAATACAAGGAAAATACATTTCTGATTTTAATTTTCTGATTTTATTTATTTTTATTTAAGCAACAAAAAATACAATTAATTCTGAATTTTAATTCTGATTTATATTTAATAGAAAACACAAGGAAAATACCTTTGTTCTGATTTTAATTCTGATTTTTATTTAAACAACAGAAAATACAACCTAAAATACATTTTATTGTCTGATTTTTTGTTTATTATTTTTCTCTGTTGCCCTACCAACCAACTTTTCAACTTTGGAAAAAAAGTTTAAAAGAGAACAAATAACAGGGACAAACTTTTAATTGGCAGTTATCTACTTAAATATTTAAAAGAAAGGAATTTGACAAGAAAAATAATTTTTCTAATTTTTTTAAATGGCAAAATCAGAAGTTGAAGGAAATAATAATAGTGGAGGAAGTGGATTAAATAATGAAAAGGCTGAAAAGGTGAAAAAATTTTTTTAATTATGAGAAGGAAAAATAAAGAAAAAAAATTAATTTTTAGATCCCTCTGAAATTAATTTTAGTCAGTGGCCGAACTCATGAATTTAGAAATTTTACCGCAGCCACAACTGCAGGAGATCTTATAAATGTATTTTTTAGTCTTTTAATTTTTAAAAATATTGGATATACTTTAGCCGGTGGCCCACTCAGAAACGGGTCAAATTATATACCATTCGATTCGTCTCGGCGAGCTGAGTCGAATGGTACCATTCTTTTTTTGCGGAAATTCCTACGAGCCGAGATATAGGTCCTTAAAAATCGAAAAACCAAAGGGGGGACCAAGCACTTTTTTGGAGTGAAAAATTCGAATATGCAAATAATAGCTCATTCGAAAGAGCTCGTCGAGGTGAGTCGAATGACACCAAAATCAACGAAATCCGACTTGATTGGACCGAGATATAGGCCCCTGAAAACTGTTAATCCAAAGGAGTGATTTTTGGAATTAAAATTTTTTAAACTATATTATAGCTCATTCGAAAGAGCTCTACGAGCTGAGTCGAAAGACACCAAAATCACCGGGATTGAACAAGTTTAGACAAAGTTACAACACAAAAAACAAGCAACATAAACCTATGGGGCGTAGGCGAGGCGCTTGTGCAAAACCCCGCGCTTCGCGCGGGGTTTTGCGGCACGCGTCTCGCAGGGAGTCTACGGGCGGTGGGTCTGGGCTAGTAACATAAACCTATTCCTATCTCCCTTGCTCTGGACGTATTTGGGCCTCCATATCAGCAAAAATCTCCACAGATGCCATAGGTAAGGAGCTAAAATAAAAGATCATAACTTTGTCAAATCAAGTCGGATTTCGTTGATTTTGGTGTCATTCGACTCAACTCGACGAGCTCTTTCGAATGAGATATTATTTGCATATTCGAATTTTTCACTCCAAAAAAGTGCTTGGTCCCCCCTTTGGTTTTTCGGTTTTTAAGAACCTATATCTCGGCTCGTAGGAATTTCCGCAAAAAAATAGTGGTACCATTCGACTCAGCTCGCCGAGACGAATCGAATGGTATATAATTTGACCCGTTTCTGAGTGGGCCACCGGCTAAAGTACAGCCAAAATATTTTCTTTAAAGTATGTATTTGAAAATTGGCCAGAAGAGTGGGAAGAGGAAAGAGTTACTAGTGCACAGATGCTCAAGGTATAATTTTTAGTTCTGATTTTTGTATTTTCTAAGTTCTGGTTTTGTATTTTATCTAAATTCTGATTTTTGTATTTTTTAAAATTCTGATTTTTGTATTTCCAGAAATTCTGATTTTTGTATTTTATGAAATTCTGGTTTTTGTATTTTTTAAAATTCTGATTTTGTATTTTTTAAAATTCTGATTTTTGTATTTCCAGAAATTCTGATTTTTGTATTTTTTAAAATTCTGATTTTTGTATTTCCAGAAATTCTGATTTTTGTATTTTTTAAAATTCTGATTTTTGTATTTCCAGAAATTCTGATTTTTGTGTTTTTTAAAATTCTGATTTTTGTATTTTATGAAATTCTGGTTTTTGTATTTTTTAAAATTCTGATTTTGTATTTTTTAAAATTATGATTTTTGTATTTCCAGAAATTCTGATTTTTGTATTTTTTAAAATTCTGATTTTTGTATTTCCAGAAATTCTGATTTTTGTATTTTATGAAATTCTGGTTTTTGTATTTTACGATATTCTGATTTTTGTATTTTTTAAAATTCTGATTTTGTATTTTATTTAAATTCTGATTTTTGTATTTTATGAAATTCTGGTTTTTGTATTTTTTCATAATTCTGATTTTTGTATTTTTTAAAATTCTGATTTTTGTATTTCCAGAAATTCTGATTTTTGTATTTTTTAAAATTCTGATTTTTGTATTTCCAGAAATTCTGATTTTTGTATTTTATGAAATTCTGGTTTTTGTATTTTACGATATTCTGATTTTTGTATTTTTTAAAATTCTGATTTTGTATTTTATTTAAATTCTGATTTTTGTATTTTATGAAATTCTGGTTTTTGTATTTTTTCATAATTCTGATTTTTGTATTTTTTAAAATTCTGATTTTTGTATTTCCGGAAATTCTGATTTTTGTATTTTTTAAAATTCTGATTTTTGTATTTCCAGAAATTCTGATTTTTGTATTTTATGAAATTCTGGTTTTTGTATTTTACGATATTCTGATTTTTGTATTTTTTAAAATTCTGATTTTGTATTTTATTTAAATTCTGATTTTTGTATTTTATGAAATTCTGGTTTTTGTATTTTTTCATAATTCTGTTGTGTTATACCAAATTCTGATTATGCATATTTTTGTATTTTTCCTAAAATTCTGATTATTTTTATTTTTGTATTTTTCTAGTTAATATATCATGGCCGGTTTATTCATGGAAGTGTTACGCTAGGAGCGTTACATCTACCTGCCGGCAACTCGACGGTTTTTATTTTAAAAATATTTTTAATTTTAAAATAATTTTTAGGTTATGCATCTGGTAACGAGAGAAACACTGCCTGAGCCAAATTCTAATGGTTCGTGATTTTATTTTTAAAATTAATTTTTTTTGGGGGAATTTACTAATTTTCTAGGGGATGAATTGTCATCTTTTTAAAATTTTTGGGCTTGAAGCCATTCTAATTACCAGGGTGGATAAAAGGGGATTTTGTTTTATTAACCCTGGGGCTGTCTAAAATTTTGATAAGGGATTAGCTTGCTGACAAAAATGAATTTTGCGGACATTTTTATAGAACCGTTTCCCTATTTTATTTTATCTATATTTACTATTATTCCGTCCATTTTACTATTTTAGTATATCTTTTGGAATGAATAAAAAATTTTTCTTTTTAGATAATCTAAAGAAATCTAAACGTGGTCGTTGTTGTCATTGTACAATTTGTTAATTAAAAATAGAAGAAAAAATACAAAAATATCATCATCAAAAAAACAAAAAAAATATTTTTATGACCTCGTTTTCTCCTCTCATTTTGCATCGATTGACTTAAAAAATGAACAGAAAAAAATTTATTTTTATACCCGTCCTCTCTTTCCTTTTTTTTCGCCACTTAAAAAACACACACAAACAACCACACAACTCATTTCCGGGTACACTTTTATATATATTTTCTTTTTTTTTTTAAAAAAAACACATCTGTACATTTACCAAAAATTTTATATAAAAAATGTGTATTTTTTCGGTAGATTAATATTGAGATTGTTGGTGTGCGGGACATATCGGGATTGGGGTGACAAAAATAATTTCTTGCGTGTTTACGTTTGTTCTAAAACATAAAAACTCTATCCCGGGCAATATACTATTCAAGACCCAGTGGCCATAGGTCCCGAAATCAGTAGAGTAACTCTGTTCGTACATTGAAATATCCCGATATGTCCGTCCCGATATGTCCGCGTGCCGGGATTGTTAAGATTGTCTCAGCCCATTTAAGATTGCTTCAGCCCCAAGTGTCTATTTACAATGGAGGTCTGACTTTAATTAATTTAAAAATTAAACAAAAAATGGTACTTATTCGGTTTCCCCCCCAGTCAGTTTTTTCGAAAAATATGTAAAAATGGTCAGTCTGAACAACAATTGAAGAACCCATCGAGCTGTGTCGAATGACACCAAAATCAACAAAATCCGACTTGATTGGACCGAGATACAGACCCCAGAACCACAGGGGCTCAAAATCATATGGACGAGAATTTATACAAATGATAGCTCATTCGAAAGAGCTCGTCGAGCTGAGTCGAATGACACCAAAATCGACGTGATCCGACTTGATTTGACAAAGTTATGACATAAATCGTCGACTCCGGTAGGTCTAAATAATGTCATAACTTTGTCAAATCTTGTCCGATCACGTCGATTTTGGTGTCATTCGACTCAGCTCGACGAGCTCTTTCGAATGAGCTATCATTTGGTTAAATTTTTTTAATTTCGAAAAATCACCCCGGTGGTTGTTCAATTTTCAGGGGTCTGTATTTCGGTCCAATCATGTCGGATTTTGTCGATTTTGGTGTCATTCGACACAGCTCGATGGGTTCTATAATTGTTGTTCGGACTGACCATTTTTACATATTTTTCGAAAAAACTGACTGGGGGGAACCGAATAAGTACCCAAAAAATACTCTTGTCATTATCCCCAAAAATCCTTTGTTAATTCCACAAATTGCAGATTTATGTATCTTTTTCTTTATTTTTGATTTAAATATAATTCTCTTTTTTTTTTAAATTGTATATTTAATAAATAAAAATTTTCACAAATAAAAATTTTTTTAAAGATTAAATTTTTCATCAAAATAATTTTCTTATATTTTTTTAGTTTTGGATAAGCTCTTTTTTGATTAAATTAAGTGAAACTCAAAGACGTATGACTTTTTTGTTGCAGATATCTTAAGTCTGGTTGGATTTATCGAATCGGGCCGTTCGAGTCTTTTTCGGGCCAAAATTCGAGGCCCGATTCGATCTTTTGAATCGAGCCAGGCCCCATCCCTAATCTTAACTTTTAAATATTCGCGAAAATTAGGCTTCTATTTTTAATTTTGGCGTTCTGTTTATTTTATTTAAATTTTTGCTTTGCCCGCTTTTTATTTTAAAAAGTCTGAAAAAATTTTTTCGGGATCGTTTTTTAATTTTGTTTCGGGCAAAACGCGTACTTTGATATGAAAGAATGGGAAGTTTTTTTCTACGGGCTTTTCTGTTGCTTTCCTTTCCTCGTTCTGTACTGACATTCAAGCAATTTATAAAGAACTACTTTCTTGCATAAAATGAACTAATGATTTTAATTGTAAATTGGTTGATTTTGTACCAAGACGGAACAAGGGGAAGTAAAAGAAAAGTCAGCGTAACAAGTACACAAGAAAAGCCCCTCGCATTCTTCATTATTGTAGTTCCTATCAGAGGTCGGTCGCAATTTCAATTTACAAAAGTTTACGATGATTTTCTAGTTCCGACTTTTGAGCACGGTTTCCAATTTCCGGTACCTTCGTCTGGCCAACCTCTGAATATTTCCGACTGACCTCTGATAATCTTTATTTTCTTATTTTAATTTTTTAGATTAATTTTAATAAAAGAGAAAAGAATGATTGGAGAAACTTCACTGGACAATTTGCCAGAAATTGTGGATCCAGAAAATCAAGAAAATTTAGATTTGGAAGAATCTCAACAAGAAGAAGAACCTACTTTAGAAGAACGTTTAACAGAATTAGTCCAAAATGTGTTAAATAAAAGTTGTGCTGTAGCAATTCGTGCAATGAAGGATTTGGAACAAAAATTTTTGAATGATGAAGATACTTTGGAATTAATTGAATGTGCTAATAAATTGGTTTTCTTTTAAAGATTTTTGTTGAAAAAAATTTTTTTCTTTTAAATAGGTGGATACAATTCGTGAAGAAACTAGTCGACAAAATAAATTTGCTTATATTCCTCCAATTCCAAATAATCACTTGGCCAGCTTTTTGTTGTTACGTTTTGAGGAGGAACGCGTAAATATTAAAAAGGCGGCGATTTGTGCTTTTCAGGTTTTTTAAAGAATTTTTGCTCCCTAACCTTCTCTAGTGCAAGAAAGCATTTGGCCAATAACCCTAAAATTAACTTTTCCTTTATGTTCTTGTGCTTATTGTTCATTTATTTGACCCCTTTCTGACTAAATTTGTATATGAATTTTTTTGTAAATAGAATATATTTTGAACAATACCCGCAAAGGTTTGCGGATTAAGAAATTATGTCCGCATGTGTTTGCTGCCTAAAACTTAGTTCGCAAATGTTACGGACAGAAATTTGTCCGCAAGAAAATCCGTAAACCTGGGGAGCCTTTATGTACTACTATTTTAGCTCTGAAGGTTTCAGAGCCAACATAAAATTTCTTTCTATTTAGGCTCTTTTCCCACATCTTGCTGATAGAGACCCAGAGAATGGTAGTGTTACTTGTGATGCCCTAATTACCACTGTTTGTGCTGATCGTCTGGCCAATAAATGCAAAGATTTGGCTTTAGCTGTCCGCAAACAGGCTGCTTTGACTTTAACTCGTTTATTGCAAGAATATGGATTAAATGTTGAACGTTTTCGTTCAACATGGCTTCATGCAGTAATGCACCAAATTGTTGATAGAGAGCCAAGTGTTCAACAACATGCAGCTAAACTTATTTCGGTTTTATTTTTAAACATGCTTAAAGAAGAGAATTTTATATTGTTTTAATAGGAGGTACTTGTGGAGCCATTACTTCGTGATTCTAATGCTAGTGGGGAATTAGTTTGGGTTTTACTTGCTGCTATTGAAGAAGAAGCGGATTTGCGGTATAATTTTGATTTTTGAATGTTGGCAAGTGGGCAAGTCTGGGGATTTCCGGAACTGAACCTAAATTTTTAGAATTTCGATAACAAAGAGTCACAAGTTTAAGAAGTGATCTTCCTTTCTCCGATGAATTCTATTCTGAACCGACTACCCTAGTTCTGAATGTTATTTAGGATTGTGATTTTTATAAAGTCTTTGTCCGAACCTAAACTATTTTAAAATCCAATGACAGGCAAGGTCCTATATCTTTATTAAAAGAAAAGGCGGATTTGTAGGAAGAAACTTGGGGAGGAAAAAATGGGGTCTGTTGGGTTTAATATTACTTCTTATCGTTATCCCCGCAGAATCCAGGCGCTCAAAAAAGTCTTGTCTTGCCTCTGAAATCTGTTAAAAAATCAGACCTTTCCCAAACCACAGCTCGGATTTAAAAAAATATTTTACAAATTTTTTAGACGTTTATTTCTTCGCACACTTGTCCATCTACACACCGAAAAACTACTTTCTCCTCGTATTGTCAAATTATTGTTTAACCGTGCTTCAAAACAGCCACAACAAGCAAATGCCTGTTGGATGATGTTAAGCGAACTTTCTGCATTTTTAGATGTTTTTTTTTTAATTTTTTAATTAAAAGTAATCTTTTTCTGTAAAGGTATCTCCAGCACCGGCAATTGAACATTGGTCTGAACATTTAAATTTGGATGAACAAAATCGTTTAATTGGTTATATGTCAAAAGTAATTGCAAATCGTGCTGATTGTTTAAGTCTGCAACAACGGAATTTTCTCAAGTCAAATATGGGTGATGCTCTAACAAATCACAAGTAAGAGGGGAAGGGGTTTTTTTAATATTTTTAGTTAGGGGTGTATGGGGGGGGGTTAGTATCTATACCTATATCGCGGAGTCCCGGAACTCCTTTCAGTGGGAAATGAGATTAGAAAGAGTGAATTTCCTTGCTCATTTTACATTTAGAAAAAAGTATTGGCATTTTTGGAGAAATTTTTTTATTTTTGCGGAGAAAATAATTCTATTAAGTATTACATATGTTTTCAATTCTAGAGTAAATCCAACATATATTAACGCTGTTTATTTTGCATATGCACGAGTTTTGAAAGGCGTAGCAAAAGGAGGTTTGGAATATTTTTTTGTTGAAAATTTTCTAAAAAATTTCTAGGAGACCAACAACTTCAGCAACCTTCAGGCCATGCAGAATTGGAACGTTTTAATCAGCGTTGGTATAGCAAAACTTTGAGAGCTCTCGATAAAACAGTTTATGAGGAAGGGGCTTCTGGAGATGAAATTGTTTCTTTTGAAGAACAAATTGAAGACCATCTGCGTTCTTTTCAATCACCTCCGCCTAATAATAATAATGAAAATCGGGAAAATGTTGTGACTGATAAACCAACGTAAGAAAATTTTTTTTAATATTTAAATTTTTAAGTAAAGACTTAAAAATGATATATATCTTGTTTTCATTTGAGGAGCATTTTGTATAAAGTCACTGCTTTTAATTTTTTTTCATAATTATTAGAAGGCAGATCTTCTTTTAGGGTTTTGGGCTCTTGTGTGGTTTGATATTTTGGTTGTGAGAAAATTCTGAGTTTGGTAAGAATCTTAAAAATATTTGCAGAAATTTTTTAGACCCCCTGAAAATTTTTATAATTTTTTCTAATTTTCTCATATTTTTCAGTGATGACAGATTAATTCGTCTACTTACAAGTATTGGTGAATGTATTCAATATACTCCTGCACTTATCAACAAACGTTTATTTCGTTTATTACAAGTCATTATTGCTTCGGATATGCTTAAAAAAGTGCATGCTGAACATATTGCTGAACAAGGTTTTTTAGAGAAATTTTGTGAAAATCTTAGAAAATTCTGGAATTTTTTTTCTAATTTAGGCACCACTGTTCTACCATCAACTGTCATGTCACCTTCAAATGCTATGTCAGTAATGTCACCTAACACTTCTTTCCATACTGAACTTCCAGGTTTTATTTGAAATTCTTCAATTAAAAAAATCTTTTGAGGTGCCCCTTCAATTGCGCCTTCTCAATGTTTTGGCAGTCCAACACATACAGTTTTTAGTGGTGCGCCTGGATCTACTGTTCCAAATCCTTATCAAATACGAATTAAAAAACGAGTATTTCATTGTAAGATTTTTTAAAAGATTTTTGAATTTTTCAATTTAAAGGTGAATTGATGACCCGTCGTGTGCGTGCAACAGCTGTTCTTACATTGGGGAAGCTGTGTTTACAGGTTGGGAAAGATTCTTTTCTTTGATGACTGTTCTAAAATTTTCTGAATTTTTAAAAATTTTCTAAAATTTTTAGAATTTTTCAAAATGAATTTTTTTCCTTAGGATGAACAACTTGCCAAAAAATGTATCCCAGTATTTATTAGAGAATTGAAACAAAATAGTGATCATTTTGTACGAAATAATATTGTTGTTGTTGTTTGCGATCTTTGTATTAGGTTCATTTTTATTTTCAAATATTAAAATTTTTTTCAATTTTCAGATACACTTCTTTGGTTGATAGATACAGCACAATATTAGCTTCGAGTCTTCGGGATCCTTCAATTCTAATTAGACGTCAAACATTAATGCTTTTGACAAATTTGATTAAGGAACAATATATGAAATGGGAAGGACCGGTTTGTTTTTTTTTATTTTTGATGGGATGATTCGGCGGTACATTCATATATGTCACGGGCCGAAATTCAATAACGGAAATGCGAGACCCGTGCAATTCTTCGATGTGAGGCCCGATCAAAAAAATTTTCTAAGCCCGACACGAAATCCTACCCGATTTTATTCTGCACGTGCTATCTCTATGTTACTTACGGTTCAATTAAAATAGTTGAACATTTTGGGACATAAGGGATTGGAAATTTTAATAATGTTTTAGTTCAGTTACGCCTTAGGTTAACGACGTGGTGATTGGATATATGTATCAGGGATGGGTCAGGGTTTCCGTGAACCGTGAGCTGAAACCAATTTTAAAACCTTTTCTTAACCTTGCTCATCATCCTTGAGTGTACCATTTAAAAAGGGAAATAATTTTTAAAAGTTAATTTTTTAAAGATTATTTATCGTTATGTAACAACATTATTGGATCATGATCCTTGTATTCAGGAATATGCTAATTTCTGTTTGGTATATTTTTTTAAATTTTTCAAAATCTTTTAATTTTTAGACGGACATTCTTCTACCTCAATTTCGTGAGCGAATGTTCTTCCACCATTTTCTTGAGTGTGTTTTTAGTTTTAACCAAGTTAAACATCCATCACATATTAAACCAATTTATGATGGTATGAAAGTTTTATTTTAAAAATAATTTTCTACTTTAAAGATGGCTTTGAATTACATTCTGAAGTAGATAAACAATGTTCTTTGGAAGGTCGCCAGAAGTTCAATGATCGTTTACGTCTTTATAAATATATGGTTTGATTATCTATAATTGTAGTTGGTCCTCATTTTTAAATATTCTCAAAAATTGGGTACTCCTCGGTTTAGGATGCGTTTTTTAATTTTTGTTTAGTCTTCCATGGGATGAGATGCTTATTGTTAGGCTATACCCCTATTTTATATTTGGGTAAGACCGTTTTACTAACCCTCTAATTCTAATTGATAAGGTTGACCCTCGTTATAAGGTACGAGGAAGCTGTTTTATTTTCTTTGGTTTGGTTTGTATCAAGACACTGGCTTTGACGACCGGCCGCCACAACGATTTCTTTAGTCCCTAAAGATGTATTTCTAACATGGATGGGTCGGGTTACTCGAAAATCCAATTCGAAGAAAATTTTGAAAATCCGATCCGAAACCCAATCCTACCTTTTTATCAACTCGGCTCATCCCTGATCTATAAATTGGGTTCGACTATAATATTTAACGAATTTTTTTTAATTTTTAGTTAAACACATTTGAAGATCATCAAAAAGTCTCTATCCTCGAAAAAATTGGATTAGAAATATTTGTTCCAATTGTTGAAGGAGGAATGCTTTTATCTGAAATAAATGTTCGTTCATTACTTTTTGATGCTTTAAAAATTATGCAAACATCTGAAATTAAATTAAAAATGCAATTGGGTAAATTAGATGTTGATTATGAAGGTGATGATGAAGAACCACCAGAATTGATTAAGGTTTGGAAATTTTTAAGAAATTTTTATTCTTTTGTGTCTTGGCCTGTCTGGGTGCCATACAGTTGTTTGTTGTATTTTCTAGGATGTGTTCAGATTTGGATCCTTTTCATTCTTTAAGTCTTATTGGAAAATCTTTAGATATTTGGAGCTGAATCAAGGAACCGAACCGAAAAATCCTTGTTTCTTCGATTCCCTTTAACAGAACACCCAAAAATTCATCAATACTGTCAAAGTTCATATAAGCTAACGGAATGATCTTTCGGAACGACTTAAAAAATCTTACTTAATCTAAGAAACTTCAAGAAAACCCAACATAAAACTCGGTTGCATAGACTAGAGACTGGACCGAGGCTAAATCTCGAACAAAATTCTTCGAGATATCGATCTCGTTTCTTATACGACTCGGATATAGTGTAGTGTACCGGTGGTAAAAGTTCAGGACGTGACATATGTCATTCGATTCGTCTCGACGAGCTGAGTCGAACGGTACCACTCGCAACTTTAGGAAATAATTCTGGGCCGAGTTATAGGTCCCGAAAAATTGAAAAACCAAAGGGGGGAGTAAGCTCGATTTTGGGGTGAAAAATTCGAATATGCAAATAATAGCTCATTCGAAAGAGCTCGTCGAGCTGAGTCGAATGACACCAAAATCAGCTTGATTGTAAAAGTTTGGACAAAGTTACAATAGAAAAACAAACAACATAAACCTATGGGGCGTCGGCGAGGCGCTTGTGCAAGACTCCGCGCTTCGCGCGGAGTCTTGCGGCACGCGCCTCGCGGGGAGTCTACGGGCGCTGGGTCTGGGCTCGTAACATAAACTTATGCCTATTTTAGCTGCGGTCGGTATGTCTGGCTTCCTCCCCAGCAAAAAAACCTGCACGTAGACCAAAGGTAAGGAGCTAAAACAAATGCTCATAACTTTGTCAAATCAAGTCAGATTTCGTTGATTTTGGTGTCATTCGACTCAGCTCGGCGAGCTCTTTCAAATGAGCTATTATTTGCATATTCGAATTTTCCACCCCAAAATCGAGCTTACTCCCCCCTTTGGTTTTTCGATTTTCAGGGACCTATAACTCGGTCCAGAATCATTTCCTAAAGTAGGGAGTGGTACCATTCGACTCAGCTCGTCGAGACGAATCGAATGACATATGTCACATCCCGAACTTTTACCACCGGTACACTACACTACAGCCTACGACTCTCCCGGTCCTGTCTCTCCCATAAATAAATGGGCTTTTTCTTTTTTTAGTCAGCAGCTCGAAAATTTATTTCAACAACATTCCGTAAAACAATTGCTGAAACAGTTATGCCACACTTATTTGCTCTTAATGCATTTTTACGTGAAAAAAGAAGTCCGTTGACTGAATATTGTTATGGCGTCATTCTGTAATTTTTTTTGAAATTTTTTTAAATTAAAAATTTTTTAAAGAGAAATTTGTCGTGATCATCAAGAACAGTTGGACGATTTTTTGGCTTCTGATCCACAATTAAAAGCAGAAATTCGTTTTGATTTGCGGCAAACTGCTGGTGGAGGTGGACAACAAGGACAACAGCAACAAAAAGAAAAGGAAAATCGAAATAATAAAAGGGGAGGAACGCCGAGAAGTGAACAAAAAAGAAATCGAAAACAACAAAAACAAATGCACCAACGTTCATTTTCACAAACACCTGGACGTGAAAGAAGTGTTGATTAAAAATTAATTGAAGAAAATTGATGAGAGAAGTTATTTATTTTTGAATAATGATTGTCAGGTAACGCTACTTATATTTAATTTTTAATATTTTGAAATATTTTTTGGAATTGTTAGGTCGGTTCTTAAAAAAAGTTCGTTTTTTGTTATTGCATGTTTTTTGGGCGATAACTGTATCCTATTTAGTCTTATCCTGTATACCCCTTTAAAAAATCTGATCTCATTTCTGATGCATTGTACTGCGTCTTCAGTCTTGTGCCTGTCCCGTAAGAAAATTTGTAAAGACATGAAATGAATTATTCTGATAGAGTAAGAAGGGTGGGATATCACTTTCCAATGGGATATAAACTTGCATCACTTTCCAAATTTAAATCAAAAGACAAAAATCGAAAGACAAGAAGAATTAAGGTGCTCCTTTAAGAAAATAATACTTGAAAAAACTGCAAACTAAATTAAAACAAATATTGAAAAAATAATTTTAATTCTAAAGTTAATAAAATTCAAAAATGTGATAAAAAATTACAAACTTTTATTTGAATTTAAATCAGATACATAATTTTATTGATAATTATGTTTGAATAATAATTTCAATTTAACAGAACAAAGTGTTGTCAAAATGTTACCAACATTTATTACAACAAACACGACTACAATTAAAAGCAATTTTATTGCCCTCGATCTTGGAGGAACGGGCTTTCGAATATATATGTTTGGAACAATAGGCGAAATTATCCATAAAATAGTCACAAAAATTCCTGAAAATATGAAGAAGGGAAGCATCGAAAATTTAATGTTTTTCGTTGCCGAATCACTGACAACTTGTTGTTTTTACAAAACTTCAATACAAAGTAAATCGATTGCGGTGAATCTTATAATAACAAGGCTCAAAATTTACTTAATTGGCACAGCCGGGGAAGAAACTTGCTTGGGCAATTCCTGAACAAAGGAAGATAGGAAATGTTCAACATTTGTTTCGAGTAGAATATCCTATCTTCCTTTGTTCAGGAATTGCCCAAGCAAGTTTCTTCCCCGGCTGTGCCAATTAAGTAAATTTTGAGCCTTGTTATTATAAGATTCACCGCAATCGATTTACTTTGTATTGAAGTTTTGTAAAAACAACAAGTTGTCAGTGATTCGGCAACGAAAAACATTAAATTTTCGATGCTTCCCTTCTTCATATTTTCAGGAATTTTTGTGACTATTTTATGGATAATTTCGCCTATTGTTCCAAACATATATATTCGAAAGCCCGTTCCTCCAAGATCGAGGGCAATAAAATTGCTTTTAATTGTAGTCGTGTTTGTTGTAATAAATGTTGGTAACATTTTGACAACACTTTGTTCTGTTAAATTGAAATTATTATTCAAACATAATTATCAATAAAATTATGTATCTGATTTAAATTCAAATAAAAGTTTGTAATTTTTTATCACATTTTTGAATTTTATTAACTTTAGAATTAAAATTATTTTTTCAATATTTGTTTTAATTTAGTTTGCAGTTTTTTCAAGTATTATTTTCTTAAAGGAGCACCTTAATTCTTCTTGTCTTTCGATTTTTGTCTTTTGATTTAAATTTGGAAAGTGATGCAAGTTTATATCCCATTGGAAAGTGATATCCCACCCTTCTTACTCTATCAGAATAATTCATTTCATGTCTTTACAAATTTTCTTACGGGACAGGCACAAGACTGAAGACGCCGTACAATGCATCAGAAATGAGATCAGATTTTTTAAAGGGGTATCCAAAAAAAGGAGTATTTTGTTAGGATGTTTAGGTAGCTTTTTTATCTGTTTGATTTTAATTGAGATATTATATGTACCTATATATATTTTTTGTTATTTTTATTCTTGATAAAAAACGACTTTTATGAACCGGCCTAATAAAAATTTGTGTCTGTATTATTTTCTGATTTGAAAAAATTTTAATTTTTGAAAAAAGTTGTTTTGTCGATTCGCAACCAAAAAACAGGATCTTGGCTAGGTTCTTGATATTCGAAAATTTTCCAAGAATCAACAATTGTCGTCCAAGACTGTTTGTTTTGAGCCATGTTACACGACTTCCTGTCGGGGTTTTTTGGTCATAGGTTAAATTAAAGTCTTTGTCCTGATCAGAGACTGTTTTTTAAAAATTAGTCCTATGTGGGGTAAAATTCGAAAAGATTTTTCCTTTTGAAAACCTTTCAAAATTTTTGAGTTAATTTTTAATAATTCCGACTCTTTTTATTAAAAGAATATATTTTTAAATTAGACGGTATTTCATTTTTTGTACGTATTACGCTCCAATTCTTTTTTTAATATTATTTTTTTATAAAATATTTAAAGAACTGTCTCTTCTCTCTTTTCTCAATACAAAAAAAAAAGAAATTATTTTCTTCAAATTTTTTGACTTTTTCAAATTATAGGAGATCTTTAATGAAAAAAAAGATTTTTTTGTTTTGATGATTTTAGGCAATTAGTAGGTACATTAAAAAAGTCTTTCTTTTCTATTTTCTTCAAAAATTTATTTTTATTAAAAAATATTTTAGAAAACCATCAAATATAAGTTAACATTTCTGGAAGAGAGCCATCCCTTGAGAGTTTATAACCGAGAGACGTTTAAAGTGCTGTCATGGAGTTGCTCTCTTCAAGTGGAGTTAACATTGATGACTTAAAAAATTTCTTTTCTTGGCTTCTCTTCAATTAAATTTTTATTTTAATGTTTTTCTATCCTCCTCTTATAAAAATATTTTTAGTTTCTGTCTTACCTTTTAAATTAAATTCATGTTCCTCCTATACTTAGTGAAGAAATTCCAATCAAAGAAATTCCAGCTTTCTATTAATTCTTGGACGCTCATACCAAAATTCGTACCTCGTATCCATACTTGGTGCGAACTACAAGTACGAGCAAAATAAGAATTTCAAAACGCTGCTTTCTATCCATCCTCTAGAAACCCCTTTTTAATGATTTTTTTCTAAAAATTAAACACAATAAAAGATTAAAATTCTATCTCTCCTCTCCCTCCTCATTTATAAGCATTTTTAAACAATTTTCTCAATTAAAAAATTAATTTTATCCATCACAAAAACTTCTTTTTTTTAAATATTTATTAAAAATTACTTCCTTCTCTTTTATTCTGGAAAATTGCGTTGGCGGTTCATTACAAGTAATCCTCTCTTTCCAAAACGGGGTGGGCCACGAGGGCGATATAATTTCTTCCCTGAAAATAATTTATTTTTGGAACTATCTATTAAGGCTAAACTACAGTTTCCGTACCAGGCTCAGAATTGAACGATTTATATGTCATTCGAAAGAGCTCGTCGAGCTGAGTCGAATGACACCAAAATTTTTCAGCGGAAAAAATTCTGAGCCGAGTTACAGACCACTAAAGTTAAAAAAACCATAGGGGGGACCAAGCTGTTTTCTGGGGGTGAAAAATTCGAATATGCAAATTATACCTCATTCGAAAGAGCTCATCGAGCTGAGTCGAATGACACCAAAATCAATGAAATCAGACTTGATTTGACAAAGTTATGCTAGTTTGTTTTAGCTCCTTACCTTTGTTCTCCGTGGATGTTCTTGCTGCTGCGGAGGAAGCTGGGCATGCCCATCACAGCGATAATTGGAATAGGATTAAGTTATGAGCCCAGACCCAGAGCCCGTAGACTCCCCGCGAGGCGCGTGCCGCAAAACTCCGCGCGAAGCGCGGAGTTTTGCACAAGCGCCTCGCCGACGCCCCATAGGTTTACGTTGTTTGTTTTTTCTGTCATAACTTTGAACAAACTTGACCAATCACGGCGATTTTGGTGTCATTCGACTCGGCTTGAAGAGCTCTTTCAAATGAGCTATTAATTGCATATTCGAATTTTTCACCCCAAAAATCAGCTTGGTCCCCCCTATGGTTTTTCGATTTTCGGGGGCCTGTAACTCGGCTCAGAATTTTTTCCGCTGAATAATTTTGGTGTCGTTCGACTCAGCTCGACGAGCTCTTTCGAATGACATATAAATCGTCCAATGCTGAGCCTGGTACGGAAACTGTAGTTAGGCCTCTATTAATTTTATAAACTTACAAGGAACAACAATTTGATCATCTTCAAGGACATCTGAAAAAGTTGAGGTTAAAAATGGCAGGTGGGGGGGGGGAGAATTGGGGTTGTTGGATCTTGTGGGAAATATTCGAATATCACGAATATCAGTAATCCGGACTTTCCTAGGATCCAAATATAATTTCCTTCAATCTATAATGTAGAAATGGATCTTGGGAGGAGAGATGGTCCTTGGAAGGATAGATGGTCCCTGAAAATAGAGCTGACATTGGAAAAATAGATGGTCCTTCAGTGGCCCTTTAAAGATTCCAAATGGTTCTTGAAAGTCTTCCAATGGTGCTTGGAAAGTGTACGATAACGAAAATTAGTTTGTAAATGCCCCTCTTAATGGACGGTTCTTTTGTTCAATATCTCTGGTCGGTACAGAATATTCTATCTTTTGGCGTTAAAGGTAATTATCCCATTTTATAAACAAATTGCACTAGTAAAATAAACACAATTTGGCTACAAATTAATTAATGCATAAAAAATAATTTGCATTAATTTTTTCCTTTTTCATTTTTTAATTTACCAGTTTCCATTTCTGACGCTCCTTGTAAAGCTGAAGTGCCATCAAAAGTTAGTAGAATTGATATTACTAGGAACCAGACAAATAAAAGGGTAAATATTTGCCGTTGTGAGAAGGGTAAAGTGTTGTTGTTAAATGGTTGCATTTTTCTGTAAAAATTTTTCAGATGATGGTGTTAATAAAAATTTCTGTGTAAATTTGTGGGTAGATAATATTTTTGAAGGAAAAAATTTTTTAAGAGTAATAGGAAGGGACCGAAAATATATACTTAACCGCTCCCAATATAGTTTTCTCTATGTCTGTTTTTCTGGGAGGGTTTTAAATATCCAGGGTCTGAGTAACTCAAAAAATTTTTTTACAAATCTTTTATCATAAAAGTGTACGAGAACGAAAATTAGTTTGTAAAAAATTTTTCAGATGATTGTGTTAATAATGCCCTATCTAAATTAATGCCCTATCTAAATTCTGTTCACTAGCATCGCAAGATCGAAAGTCCAAGAGATACTGAGATATTACTTTTCTCTTAAGTTATTCCATCTATCACTAATATTTCATGTCCCTTCAAGTTTTCAGTCATCCTAACCCCTTTTACACACCTCAAGTTGTTGGAATCTCAAGTTATCTTGGAATTAGCCCGATTAATAGAGAAAAATAGTCTTTACCTTTTTTTAAATTTTTTGTGTCTTAAAGATTAACTTTGTGTGCTTCCGTTTGCGTGTAACAGTTAAGTTTACTTGAAAATGAATTGGTGAAATGATGATGGTTTTGGCTGAGCAACTTAGCCAATTAGCCAAAAGGCAAAGATGGCCAAAAAAAGGAAGAAGAAAAAACGAGTAAAAAAAAGAAAAGCGTTTTTCCATCACCTTAATAGTAAAAAAAAGTTTTTAAAGTTGGGTTTATAGCCCGCCCCTCTTAAAAAATTGAGGGAAAAGTGGGAAAGTGTTTTTATGTTTTTTGTCTTCCAAAATTGGGATTGAAAGGAGGCTTATGACGCCTTTTTAAGTTTTTAAGAGTTTTCTTCTTTAAAAAATAATAATATTGGGAGGAAGGTCGTTTAACTTAAAATATATTTTTAAGTACGTGTATTTAATGAAGTTAAGTAAAAAAAGAGGGAGATATAATAGTACTGATAATTATTTTTTGTTGGCAATTTTTATAATGAAAATGAGTATTTTTCTGGATATTTTTGGATATTTTTAAAATGTTTTGTCTCAAAAATTGGAAGTTGAAAATAACTTTAAAATAAGACGATTATGTAATTTTTTTAATTTACAGGTACATAAAAAAATTTTTTTTTGAAACTAATCAAGACGCAGTTCACAACAATAGGTAAAACTCGCTCATGAAAACATTGAAAAATACATATTGTTTTTGTATGTTATAGACTGCGAAATAACCGAAAAACAACATAAATGTGCTCAAAAGGCGGAATTAAGACGTTTTTTTGAGATAGAAAATTCCAATATTCCGGCGCGGGTTCGATCTCGCGACCCAAAATTTTCCAATTGTCAATTGTATATTATTTGAAAGGACTCCTTGAGCTAAGTAGATTGATACCAAAATCAGCTCGATTCGACGATTTTGAACAAAGTTATGACCAAGTGAATTTTCGCTGGAAAAACAGTTTTTGTGCTCGCAGCAGAGATGCACGAAAATAAAATTTCGCACTCAACGAAACGAAAACGAAAAAAAATAAATTCGCCAATGTACGAAACGAAAACGAAACGAAAAAATAAATTTCATTTTTGCGAAACGAAAGAAACGAAAAAAAATCTCAATTTTTACGAAACGAAACGAAACGAAACGAAAAAAATCAAAATTATAAAAATGGTAAGTTATCGCCTAATTTTTTCCCCTAATTCACTTTCTATGCCAAATTTACTTTCAAAAATGCCTATTTTATTAAGGTGTGATAATTTTTTCCCATCGTTTCACTAAGATGAAGAGATATCCGAAGGATATAGAGATTAGGAAGGATATAGATATCCGTATTAATCCTTACACATCCCCAATACACTCTTAATACATTAAACAGATACGGATGATATCGGGATAACCTTCATAATTGGATTTCGATCGATATAGAGTGAGGCGAATTTGGAGGGATTTACAGAGATATTGTGGAATTTGGGCGTTTAAAAGGGATATTGGTGAATTTGGGAAATATCGAGGGATTTAGAAATATAGAATGATTTCTCCAGAACAATGGTTTTATCAGAGATTAAAAGGGAAATCAAGGGTTTATCGTTCTAGAAAATTTTTCGGTAGGTATAGATAAACTTTTGCACCCCAGTGTATATCCCCTCCAAAGCCTCGATTTACCCTTGATTTTTCATGATCTCATTAAACCAATGGGACTGAACCGAGCTATATACAAGAGGGACAGTCCATTGATAAGATCTATATTAAAAATACAATCACTAAAGCCTTGACTTTTCATCCATTTCTCAGCGCCGCAGGCGAAAATTTTGAAAATTTTTGATGATCAAACAGTAAACTCTCTTCATTTTTCAGCGCCGCAGGCAAAATTTTTTGAATTTCCAGTTCCTAGGAGAAAAAATTTCAATTTTTGACTTAAAAATATGACAAAATTTGTCTAAAAATATCGAATATTTTTTCGTCATTTTCGTATAAAAATTGCAGTTTACGAAACGAAAACGAAACGAAAATTTATTTTTAATGAAATACGAAACGAAAGAAACGAAAAAAATTATTTTTAAACGAAACGCGAAACGAAACGAAAACAGTCAAAAAATCCACGAAAATCTACGAAACACGAAACGAAACGAAAAATTTTCGTGCATCTCTGGCTCGCAGCATGAATATCAGAACAAAGTTCCTGCATTAAAATGGTGAGACTCAGATGTCCTTTTCCGAATTCAAAAAAATTGACATTCTATCACATTACAGGCTGCGTTGGCATTTTAATAAATTCTTGCCCTATCTACCTTTTAAGGAATCGATCTTCTAATCGATTTTGGCTGCATCTACCTTTTAATTATTTCTAGCTGCGTCAATCTTTAAATCGAATTCTGCCGCGTCTACCTTTTAATTAATCTACCTTTTGAGGAGACGTCCTCGCTGCGAGATGGTTAGATTTTCTGTCTAACCCACCTTGTTTTCTTTTTCTTTTCTCACAAAGAATATGTGTTTCCTAAATGTTTAGATGTTTTGTTTAATTCGATCGCTATTTGGTTTTTCGAAAAGTTGGCTTTTGTATTTCTAATCCAAATTGAATTACATTTTGTATTTTTATTACTATAAAAGCTTTTCTCGCTGAATTGCTGTTTTTTAAAAATTTTTAAATTTATTGTCTTTAGAGAGTGATTTATACATATTCTTTACTATATTAATTTATTTCTTCAAACAATTTTTAATAATGTTTTCGACAGCGACAGCTCTTGTTGAATCAGATGAAGATTTATTGGAGAAATTTGATACTGAACATTTGGATTTGGTATTTTTTAAATAATCTTTTCCATCAATTTTGTTTAATTCAAGGTTAAGAATCGTTTAAATGCTTTAGAATTAAATAGTGAGCAGCTTAGTCAGATTATGAAGCTTTTACAGTTTGATTTAACAGAAGGATTGAAATCAGGTTTTTTTGATAAATATTTCTGAATAAAAGTTTCAATTTAACAGAACGAAGTGTTGTTAAGATGCTTCCGACTTTTGTTTCATCAAATAAAACAACTATGAAAAGCCAGACAATAACCCTTGATTTAGGGGGAACAGGGTTTCGTGTATATTTAATCGATTCAAACGGAGAAATTATTCATGAAACGATAGTAAAAATTCCAGAAAATATCAAGAGAGGGACTGAAAATTTAATGTCCTTTATTGCCAATTCGTTAAAAAAATTTTTCATCAAATACAAGTTACCTCTGAACAACAAAATGCCTCTAGGCTTTACTTTTTCTTATCCGTGTGTCCATAATGGGCTTACTTCGGCTTCACTTATGAGATGGACCAAGGGATTTTCTGTAAGTTCTCTTTTCAATAACGAATTTAAAAGTCACTCACTTTTAGGCTGATGGTTTTAAAGACAAAAACATTGTACAAATGTTGCGTGAAGCTTGTAGTTTAGAACAAATCCAGCTTGGCGTTATTACTCTTATTAATGATACAGTGGGCACTTTGCTCGCCTGTTCTTTGGTTAATGGCGATTGTTCAGTTGGCTTGGTGGTGGCTACTGGATTTAACATTGCTTACATGGAGAATGTTAAAAGTGTTCCAAAGTTAAAAAATCATGACAAATTAAAAGGTTTATTTTTTACTCTTCGATGTAAATTTGAAAAAAATTTTATTTTTAAGATTATAAGGAAATATGCATTAACACAGAAATGGGTGCTTTTGGAGAGAACGAAACAATTGAACCTTATCGAACCGACTTTGACCGCCTTCTTGATACAAATTCAATTAATCCAAAGGAACAGATTTTTGAAAAAATGATATCTGCAATGTATTTGGTGGGTTTAAGATTTTTACCTTTCATAAATGTCGGTCGCCTTTAACTTATTTTTGATATTGAAAATATGGGTAAAATTTTAATAGGTGGGATTGTTTAAGTCTGCACGGGAAATTTTTTCAAGTTGCTAACCGACATTTGCGCACTTTATAATTTTTACTTTTCCACTTATTAAGGGCGAATTAATGCGTCTCGTTGTACGTGATTTATTTGAAGCTGGTATGATTTTTAATGGAAAACCAAATGCGATTTCTTTGCTTGAAGGACAAGATTTTTTTAAAACTTCTAACATGACTAAAATTGCTGAGTATGTTTTTATTCTTGCTTTTTTTTGATCATTTTATTTTTAAGATACAACCGGAGATATGAAAAACGTCTTACAAAAATTCAAAGTTTAATAACAGGTTAAGATTTTTTGATTAGATTTTAATTGGGATTGTATAGGGGAAATTTATACATCCCATTTTGTAGGGAAGTTTATAAATAGATGATTTCTATTTATGATAGTTTCTTTTATTTGGTAGAGGGTTTGCGGCACATGATAGGCGTGTTCCAAAACAGATTTTAAAAGGCGGAACGCGAAAGTCAATTTAAAAATTGAACGGCGAAGGGCAAAACTAGTCACCTTTAAGCCGTACTCTCCTTTATATTTGTGTCAGCAACTAATTTTAATATTTTATTTTAAGTTGATATTTCACCCACCTTTACTGACTGCGCTGTATTATCTCATGTTTCGTCATTAATATTTTCTCGTTCGGAAATGTTGACTGCTGTTGCTTCAGTTGGTGAACAAATAAATACACAACAAATTATAATTGGCGTGGATTTTTTTGATTGAAAGATGTAAAATTAAAAGAAATGATACAGGTTTTGACTTTATAATTTATGCAGGTCATATTATTCTGCGTTCAGAAGTACATATTTTTAAAAAAACTTTATCAAAAAACCAATAAATAACTCACCGAATTTACTTCTGAACGCACTTAATTATCGATCCACACAAACCTTAAAGAGTCTCAAAAAAACACAAAACATAACCAGCACTAAAACAACCCAAAAAAGTTCTTTATCCTGTTTATACTATAACTGTCAATCAATTAAAAATAAAATTCACGAATTGGATCTTGAAATTGTCCAACAAAACCCTGATATTTTATTCTTAACTGAAACATGGATAAATTCTAACGAGAATCCTCTTATGTATCTTAAATCAGCTTCTCTCTTCCAAATAATTACTGAGAATATAAACCAATCTTATAAAAGTAGAGGCGGTGGTGTAGCTATGCTTATTAGAAACGGAATATCATTCAGACACATCAAATGTAAAAAAATTGCTGGCATTGATGCATTAATTATTGACGTCTCTACCACTCGTTTTAAATATTATATTAGGTTAGTTTTAGTTTATAGACCACCTTCCATCTCTAATCAGTCTACACAGTCCCTTATCAAAGTTCTTCAAAAAATTTCTGAAGGTAATGTAGTCATTATAGGGGACTTTAACTTCAATAAATCTTATATAAACTGGAGTGATCTTACAGCTAATAATAGTATCGGCAAAGAATTTTTAGAATTTACATTAAATTTTCATTATTCAAATCTTATTCTCGATCCAACCCATTATAAGGGTTCAATCTTAGATCTTTTGTTGACTAACAATTCTAGTTGTATTACATCTCCCTCTTCATCTGCTGGACTCTCTACTTCGGATCATTTTTCCACTAAATTTTCGCTAAACATACAACGGCCCAAACCATCAGTAAAAACCTTTAGAGATTATAAAAATATTAACCTTCTAAACGCTCACATTGCTAAGGAATTCAATCACCTCTATGATATATTTTTTATATCAGATAAATATAGTTTCTTTGTAAATTTTATTCTAGAGTTGAGTAACATCTATATTCCTATACGATCACTTACTATTAAGCCAAACGTAACAATCTATCCTAAATACATCAAACGTCTACTTGCCTCTAAAAATAAAATTTTCAAGGATCTTAAAAATAATAAGATACACCCATCTCAATATTTAAAATTTTGTAAAACAGTTAAACACATTATTAATAGATATAACTCAACTAGAATTAAAAAACTAGTCTCAAGCTCTCAAGGAATACACAAATTTATGAAAAGATTTACAAAAGGTCATTCTCCAATCCCTTATTTAGAGCATAATGGATTATATACTTTTGAGGATAAAGCTAAATGTGATTTATTTGCCAGAGCTTTTGCTCCATCATTTTCAAATGTACCGATTCAAAACCATCCTATTTTACCTCCGTCAAATTATCCATCTCAGCTTGATGATATAGATTTTACGCTTATAGATGTTGTTAATATATTAAAGTCTCTTCCTCCAAAAGAAGGTGTATCATCAGACGGAATTAGCTATAAACTTTTAAAAAATTGCACTGATTCTATTGCACCATTTCTGGCAGACATATTTAGGGATTCATTAGATTCTGGCGTTCTACCAGAACCTTGGAAAATATCTTTTATTACCCCAATTTTTAAAAAGGGTTCCGAATCAGATGTTTCAAATTATCGCCCAATTGCTATCACATCATGCATATGTAGAGTCTTTGAGAGATTAATTTTACAACATATTTTAGCACACCTAGAGACAAATAAATTTATTAGCGACCAACAGTTTGGCTTTTTAAAAAAGCGCTCGACTGTTACCCAGCTTCTGTCATCTTTTGACGCATGGTATAAAGCTATTTTAAATAATAAATGTATTGACTGCATCTTTATAGACTTCAAGAAAGCTTTCGATAGTGTTCCCATAAGATACCTCATTTACAAGCTCTCTAATATAGGCATTAAGGGAAAACTCCTTAACTGGATTTCAAATTTCCTCTCTAACAGAACAGCTTTTGTAAAAATAAATAACAATTATTCTGATCCTATTCCTATTATGTCGGGTATACCGCAAGGAACGATAATAGGCCCAGTATTGTTTTTAATTTATATAAATGATATTATCTACCGAATACCTTCCCCTGCAAAAACCATGCTTTTTGCTGACGACCTAAAAATATTTTGTGAATTTTCAGCAAATAACGATAATGCCTGTCTTCAAGAATCACTCATTAAAATTGAAGAATGGTGCTTTGATTGGGCATTAGATATCTCTTTGAATAAAACATGTACTTTTCATATAGGCAAAAATAACCCTAGAAAGCGCTATATCCTTTTTGGCACTATTTTACAGACTGTATCTTCCGTTACAGATTTAGGAATCACCTTTTCAGATAAACTCTCATTTGAAGCATATCTATCTAAAATCATTAAAAAGGCTTACCATCGTTCTATTCTTGTTCTTAATAACATTAGTTCATCTAATCCTAAGATTCTCTCTTTAGCCTTTAAATCATACGTTAGGCCTATCCTGGAATACGCCTCCATAATATGGAGTCCTAAAACAAAAAAACTTATTCAAAAAATAGAACAAATTCAAAAGTGGTTTACAAGGATTGCTTTAGCTAAATGTAAAATCCCAAAAATGAATTATGAAAATAGACTAAAATTTCTTAATCTAGAATCTCTGGTCCTAAGGCGTACTTTATATGACCTTTCAACAATCTTCAGATTAACAAAAAATTTTACACATCTTGATCCAACTTGTTTTGTTGAGTTTTCCACGCGTCCTATAAGAAATAAACATAATCTACAATTACGAGTTCCTAAAAAGATATCAAAGACTGAGCATTGGATTATAAATAGAACTATAAACTTATGGAATGTTCTCCCTATACAGATTATTAATTCTCCAAATCCCAAATCATTCTGGATAAACCTAAGGACTTATTTAATACAAAATCAAGATCTACTTAAGGACTTTATTGGCCACTTTTAGTGCAATTAATTTTTATGTTTTTTTTGAGACTCTTCCGTCCTTTTTAATTTTGCTTACAAATTAAAGCATTTTTCTTTCCTCTGTTTTATATGTTTTATGTAATTTATTTTTTAATTTTAATTTTACAATTTTTTTTTCATTTTAAGGCATTTCTAATTTTTGACTTTGGGTAATATTATTTTTTGCCATTTCTTACCATGACAAGCAAACGTCAATATTCTATTGGAGGAAATTCTAATTATATGGAGGACTCCTCCACAAATTAACCTCTGACTAAAAAACAACAATTACTTAATTCCATTTCATCTTTTTAGTTTAACTATGATATACATATATGAATTTCCTCCATCATGTTTTTGCACACCCATGTAAATTTTCATAGTAATTATTAATTGACTTTGTTTTTTATGCTTTGACATTCCTTTTTTGTACTAAATTTAAGAGACGTACTTGTTACGCCCATTTTAGTGAATAAATTATTATTATTAAAAAAAAAAGAATCGAAAATTGAGTGTTTTAGCGATAAAAAGGTTTCTAATTTATTATATATTGTTTTAATTTTAATATTATTTTTCAGATAAAAGTTATCGATACACAGCCGCACCCAGTGGAAGAGGTGCGGCTGTGGCGGCCGCACTTCAAGCAAATTCATTGCAATTAGATTCATGCACGATATTTTAGGTTTTGTTACAATTATAAATTTTAACTTATCATTTTTTTCAGGTGTATCCAATTGTCTAATTTTTTAGTCTTTCCAAGCCTTTACTTATTTTAAAGCTTTCAGGAGTGATAAATAAGCACACAGATTTTTTTTGTATTTATTTTTAGGAACCACTTTATGTCTATTGGTTGTATGAGTTTTGCCAGAACCAATTCAATTATTTTTGCCTTTCAATTATTTATTTAAACATTTCCCTTTATCCTTTTTTTGCTATTTTATGTTCATAAGTTTTTTTTGTTTGATGAGTAAAGATAAAAAATAAAATTTTTCTTCGTTTTCTACAGGATTTTTTTATTCCTCTTAATTTATTTTATAATTATACTTGATTTTTAAGCAACAAACAAGTTTTATTGATGAACTTCAAATTTTGACAGAAGAGGATGAACATTTTAAAGGATGAGAAATTTTATCAGGTTAATTTTTAAATGATAAATTTGAACGGACGAAATTTTCGGTTTTTTCTGCTTGACTGAAGAAAGTAAAACTGACAACTCTATTTGGGGATATTGTGGTTATCGCTTTTAAAAATACTTTTTGTGGACTTTCCCATTCTCTGTCAATTTTAAAAAATCAAGTTGTATCTATTTTTTAAAAATTTCTCGAATTGGTTTCTGATTTAAAAGTCTGGGTATTGTGTAACACATAACACATTCCTGCTTTCTTTTCAATTAAAAATAGGACAAAACATCCCTAGAGAAATTTGCAGTAAAGTCCGCAAAAAGTGTCTGCAAAAGTGGGCACCTCTTCAAGTCTTACAATTAAAAATTTTCAACAAATTTTTTCTTTTAATTTTTAAGGTGTAGTAACAAATCAACAACTTTAATGCCAAAAATAAAATTTTTAAGTTTAATTTGTTTGACAGCTTCTTTTTGTTTTTTATTATATTATATTTATTCTACTAATTTTAATGATGAATTACAAATTTTGAGAACTCAATTTGAATTAAAAAATCAACAAATTTTAATTTTGAAAAATGAAATGGCTGTACTTTAGTCTAGCGGACGCGGAAAAAATACATGAAACCGGTAACATTCGATTCGTCTCACCGAGCTAAGTCGAATGGTACCACTCTCCATCTGCGGAAATGCCTACGAGCCGAGATATAGGTCCCCGAAAATCGAAAAACCAAGGGGGGAGTAAGCACATTTTTGGGGCGAAAAATTCGATTTTTCGAATGATAGCTCATTCGAAAGAGCTCCTCGAGCTGAGTCGAATGACATCAAAATCAACGCGATCTAACAAGCTTAGACAAAGTTATGATCGTTTGTTTTAGCTCCTTACCTAAGGCATCCGTGGAGTGTTTGCTGCTGCGGAGGAAGCCAGGCATGCACCTCATCGATGATAGGAATAGGATTATGTTACGAGCCCAGAACCCAGCGACCGTAGACTCCCCGCGAGGCGCGTGCCGCAAAACTCCGCGCGAAGCGCGGAGTTTTGCACAAGCGCCTCGCCTACGCCCCATAGGTTTATGTTGACCATTTTGAGCCTGTTTATCTTGGCTCAGAATCAAGATCTCGAGCTGATTTTGGTGTCATTCGACTCAGCTCGAGGAGCTCTTTCGAATGAGCTATCATTCAAAAAATCGATTTTTTCACCCCAAAATTGAGCTTACTCCCCCCTATGGTTTTTCGATTTTCGGGGACCTATATCTCGGCTCGTAGGCATTTCCGCAGATGGAGAGTGGTACCATTCGACTCAGCTCGGCGTGACGAATCGAATGGTACCGGTTTCAGGTCTTTTTTCCGCGTCCGCTAGACTAAAGTATATCCAATGAAATTAATGGTTTATTTGTTAAAAATATTAGATTTAAGTTAAATTTTTAGATGCTCAATCTCAATTAAATAATTTGAGGAATTCAGAAATTGAATGTAAATCGCATAACGAGGTTCTCTTAGGACTTAAAGGTTTTTTGATATTAAAAAAGATTTTTGTGGGAAGTAAGGTTGGGGGATTTTTGTTGGTAAATACCCGGATGTCCGAGTGCAAGAGACTCGGGTCCGAATATCCGACCTGCATAGATTGGTAAGGAGGCAATTTGGGTATTTTATTTAATATTCTATTTAAAATTTTTTTGTTTAAGTTTTCTGATTTTGTCCGTAAAATATTTGCTGACTAATCTGTATTTTTTTGAAAATCCTCATAATTTTTTTAACGAAAGGATAAATTTTTTTCTCAATTTTCCAAGAAAAATTAACGGTAATTCTTCGGTTCGTACCCCCCTCCTTTTTCCTTCCTCAAAGTGTTAAAAAATGGTCAGTCAGTCTTATGTTACAGAACTCGTCGAGCTGAGTCGAATGACACCAAAATCAACGTGCTTGGACATGGTTTGACAAAGTTATGACATGAAGTAGGCCTAAAGGAGTCGGCGACTTATGTCATAACTTTGTCAAATCTTGTCCAATCACATCGATTTTGGTGACATTCGACTCAAGATGAGCTCTCTAGAATGGGCTATCATTTACATAAATTTGCGTGGCCATGGTTTTTCGCCCCCATGGTTTTTCAATTTCAGGGGTCTGTATCTGGGTCAAATCATGTCGGATTTTTTTGATTTAGGTGTCATTCGACACAGCTCGACGAGTTCTATAACATAAGGCTGACTGACCATTTTTTAACACTTTGGTGAAGGAAAAAAAGGGGGGTACGAACCGAAGAATTACCAATTAACCTCGAAAATATTCCCAATCCACAAAATTCTTTAATTTAAAAATTTTTTAAAGCTGCCGAAACAAAAAATGACCAACAAAACAAGCCTGTAAAGCAAGTTCGTATCCAACCAGCAAAGAATAATAAACATCCAGCAATTAATGCAATTAAGGAATTGGATTTACAACATTCGATTAATTTTAAAAATATTTTTTTTGGTAGGACAAAGAAAAAAATGTTTGGGGATTTTTGCTGGATTTTCTAGCTAATTTTTAACTCCCTCTTTTACTTCCTTTACATTTATTTATAGTCTACCTGTTATTAGTTAATTTTAACGTTTTCTCTTGTTGGGTTTGTGGTTAAATAGTTAAAGTCTGAATTCTTAAGGAATCTTTTTAAAGTTAAGTCTTTTAGCTATGCATTTTGATTTTAAAGGTCTGGGGTTCGTGACCATTTGTTGGAAAATAACTTTTATTTCTAATAAACGTTTGCAAATTTTTAAAAAAATTTTTGTGACTTCAACAAAATCTTTTAATTTTTTTGAAAATTTTTCAAAAAAATTTCTCAATTATTTTGATTCATTTTTAGGATTAACCCCGTCTTACATTAGAAGGAAATTTTGTTCCAACCAATTTATGGATGCATTTTGATTTTAAAGGAGCCCCTCCAAAAGTTTGTTTTCTTTTTTTAAATTTTTTTTTAATTTTTAAAAATTCTTTTTAGCCTTCTTATTTTATTTCTTTATTACCTCTTTTGCAAAATATGGGGTTTAATGGATTACTTATTGAATGGGAAGATATGTTCCCCTATAAAGGAAGACTTGCTAATGCAATTAATGGGGATGCTTACACAATGGATGAGGTTTGTGGTTTTTTTAATTTTTTAAACTGAAAATTGGGTTCCCGTAAATATTTTAAATTTTTTATGTGATGTTTGTTTCCAACCCCTCGCTGTTTACTTCTCAAAGGTTAGAGGAAGGGATCGCCCTATTCGAAACCTGAACTTCTTTCAACTCGAACCCGATAAGAAGAAACTTTCCATAACCCGCTTCGAAAAATTTTCGAAGTCCGCGGCGGCTTTTTCTCAACCCAACACATCTTCATCCCTGATATGTGTCAGTAGATAGATAATTAGAAATATCCATAATTTAGAAAAATTTTAGTTTTTTTCACATTACAAAAAAATTTTTTTATCTCTACCCTCCTAAATTAAAAAAATTTTTTTAATCACTATAATTTTGCTAGACTTTGATCAGTCTCTAAAAATCCTCTGTTCCTCTCGTTCTGTTCCTCTCTATAATTTGTATTCTTTTATTTTATTATCGGTTACATTTATTTTTAATTATATCTTCCTACTTTCATAGAATTTTTCGAATTTCATCTTTTACTTTAAATAAAATAAGTTTATAATTCTGTTCCTCTCGTTTTCACAACTCTATAATTTGTATTCTTTTATTTTATTATCGGTTACATTTATTTTTAATTATATCTTCCTACTTTCATAGAATTTTTCGAATTTCATCTTTTACTTTAAATAAAATAAGTTTATAATTCTGTTCCTCTCGTTTTCACAACTCTATAATTTGTATTCTTTTATTTTATTATCGGTTACATTTATTTTTAATTATATCTTCCTACTTTCATAGAATTTTTCGAATTTCATCTTTTACTTTAAATAAAATAATTTTTCGAATTTCATCTTTCATTTTAAATAAAATAATTCATTTTAAATAAAATAATTTTATAATAGCTTTATTCTTTATCTAATTAAAGGAGAATTAATCCGACTTTAGTAATAAAATTTACGAGAAGAGCTTTTTCAATGTTTTTTATGGTTCCAGCAGCGAATATTGTGCTGAGTCCAAATTTGTGCCTGTCAATTTGTTTATTTTGAACCATAAACCCGAAACCAAGTCAATTCGGGTTAATAATTCGAAATTCAAATTTTCGTCAATTTAACGATTTAAGATACATGATTTTTATTCTCCGACTCAGCTCGACTAGTCGGTTCAGAATATCCCATAAATATAATTTCAGATTTTTACCCCGAATTCGACTATGTCTAATTCGTATCCTGGATTTAGAATAAACAAATTATTTGTTCACATTGTTCTAAGCACACCAGCTACCTAATGTTAAACCTGAGATCGGCGGAAATGCTCTTCTCCGTCATTTATTTCTAAGGACAAGTAACACATTTACCGCGACACTTGTTTTATTTGATTTACTTCGGACTGTTTTGATTTTTAATGAGGAAGCAACTGCAATTTTGTTGCCTGAACTAACAAGGTTGTTTAAAACTTCGGTTATGACTAAAATTGTTGAGTATGTTTTTATTCTTGTTTTCTTAATTATATATTTAATTTTTAAGATTTATATGTAAGTCAGACACCCGTTTGAGAAAATTCAATTTCCAATAACAAATTAAGGTTATCTGTCATTATCCAGATAAAAATAATTTTTTTCCTTCCTATTTATTTGGATTCACAATATTTCGTTCAAATTTTTGTTTAATTTGTTTTTATTCTTCAAGTGCCATCTTTCTAAACGGGTGCCTTAATATGTGCCTTTACTGTATTTGACACCTTCAAAATATTATGAGATTGCTGTCCTAAACTAGAAGAAGAGTTGAGTGGGTGGGAAAAAGAGATGTTTGAAAAGGTTTTTTTAATTTTCCAAGTCTCTAAAATTATTTTTTAATATTGTGAGAGTATTTTATTTCTCTAAAAATATTTTTATTTAAAAAATGGTTTATACTTTTGGAAATATATTCAACGATTTTAATAAATTTTGTGAGGAGAAAACGTCAAAATTTAAACAAAGTTTTTCGAGTTCAAGTTTGTAGTTTTTTAAAAATTTTTTAAAGAAATAGTGAAAAATATTTTTGGCGATTTTTTGACCATTTTCAAATTGACCATTTTGTCCACTTATGTCAGAAAATTTCTATTTAAAAATAGTAGAAGGGATTTGACTGTTTTTTAACGATTTTTTAAATTTTAGATTCGACAGGCATTTTCAAAAGATACTCTCAATCATCGTCTAGTAGTGAAAATAAAGTTTGAATTTTTAATAAAGAGAAATTTAATTAAAAATTTTAGGAATGCCCCGAAGAAGTTAATAATTTAACTCAAAATAAGCTCTCCTTTTCTTCAAATTCTACAGCAACACCTTTACCTTCTTCAACTAGTGGTGTTCCAACATCTAATTTTGTTCCATCTCCACATGGGTCAAATACACAAATGAATAAAATTGAGCTATTGAGAGAGAAAATTGTTAAGTTATTTCGAAAATTTAACCATTTTAAAATTGACCATTTTGGGATTTGACCATTTCGAAAATTTAGCCCATTTTGAAATCTGACCATTTTTAAATTTGACCATTTCGAATTTTTAATGTGACCATTTTGAGACTTTGACCGATTTTAATTAGGAAATTTTCTCATTTGAAAATTTTTTAAGTTTAGAATGAAGCTCTAATTGAAGGACAAAATAACCGTAAAAGAACGGCAGCAGATCAACTATTACAACAAATTGCTGAACATTTTTCGAAAGTCGTTTTGACAGATGGTTCAAGAAAGGGATCGTCAAATGTGGAAGATAATTGTAGTGGTAATCGACAGAGACTTGGGGCTGGTAATTAATTTGACTGTTTTGACCATTTTGAGTTTTTACCAATTTTAAATTTCTAGCAAAATCAACAGCTGGAATGAGTGCTGTGGAATTTCGACGTCGAGGTCGTCAGATGGTTGATTACATAACTGACTATGTGGAGAATATCGAGAATAGAAGGGTAATTTTTCTAAAATTTTTGAAATCTTTGACCATTTTGAGAATTTTTTTTCAATTTTTAATTTTTTCTTAAGGTTGTCCCATCAATTGAGCCTGGTTATTTGAAAGAACTTTTACCTTTACATGCACCACAGACAGCAGAACCATTTGAAAGACTTTTGCAGGACTTTGAGAGTTATATAATGCCGGGGGTATTTTTCAGAAAAATTTTAGGAAATTTTCAAAAAAATTTTTTAGGTCACCCATTGGTCTCATCCCCGTTTTCACGCCTATTTCCCAGCAGGAAATTCTTTTCCTTCAATTTTGGCTGATATGTTGTCTGATGCTTTGGGCGCTATTGGATTCTCTTGGGCTGCATGTCCAGCAATGACTGAACTGGAAATTCATATGCTCCAATGGTTTGGTGAGATGATAGGCCTTCCTGTTGCGTTTTTACCGTTTACAGAAAATGGGACAGGAGGTGGAGTCATTCAGGTTATTATTTTTAATTGTGACATTCTTACAAAATATGAATGGTTTACCATTTTAAATTAAAAATGGGTTTGACCATCTTGCAACAAAATACACAGTTTACCATTTTTAGACAATTATATTTTTGACCATTTTGAAAAAAAAGGATTTTGACCATTTTGTAATAATATACTTGGTTTACCATTTTGAAGCAGATGAGATTTTTGACCATTTTGAACAAGAATTTAGACCCTAAGAAATTTCTTTAATTTTTTTAAAAAACAGAGTAGCGCCTCAGAATGTAATTTTGTCGCTCTACTAGCAGCACGTTTTGAAATTATGAAAGAATTGCGTCAACGTTTTCCCTTTGTTGAGGAAGGATTATTAATGTCAAAATTAATAGCCTATTGTTCAAAAGAAGCCCATTCTTCTGTAGAAAAGGCAGCAATGATTGCAATGATTAAATTGAGAATATTGGAAACAGATTCGAGTTTTAGACTGAGAGGGGAAACTTTGCAGACTGCCATTAGTGTGAGTTTGGAACTTTTATGTGATAACTCGGAGAGGTTAGGGATAAGTAGGAGTGGGATGGGTTGGTGGTAGATGTTAAGGGCGTGTGTTGAAGACGCAAAGAGAGGAACTGGGATAAGTGGGAAAAGAATAGTTAGTGGAGATACAACTCGAAGATGAGTACTTGATCGGGTGGGAAAAATAGAGGAGTAGAAAAAAAAGATAGAAGAGTAGCGGTTTTAAGTGGGAGAGATTTATTATTTTGTAAAAAAAATTTTTTTTAAAGGAGGATCGCAATCTTGGACTAATTCCCTTCTTTGTATCAACAACCCTTGGAACAACTTCTTGTTGCTCGTTCGATGTTTTGTCTGAAGTTGGGCCTGTTTGTACACATAATGGTTTGTGGCTGCATGTTGATGCTGCTTATGGTTTTTTTTGAATAAAAAATTTTTTTTAACTTTTTTGAAGCTGGTTCTGCAATGATTTGTCCAGAATTTCGGTTTGTTTATTGAAAATAATTTTTTTTGAAAAGAAAACTTGCGGACAGATTTTGCGGTCTTTTTATATCAAGTCGTCTTTCGATTTTTCTGTGAATAAAGGAAAGAATCTGCAAAAAAACAAAATCCTGAAGAAAAAGTCCGCAAATTTTGTCCGCAAAAGATTTCCTTAAACTTAAAAAATTTAAAAGATATTTAATGGCCGGTATTGAACATGCAATGTCATTCAATACAAACCCAAATAAATGGATGTTGGTTAGTTTGGAGATTTATTTTTAATTTTAATTTATATCAAATTTTTAAGGTGAATTTTGATTGTTCTACAATGTGGTAAGAGGTTTATTTTTAATTTTATTATAAAAAATAATTTTTAAGGGTGAAAGACCAATTCAAATTAACACAAGCATTAGTGGTTGACCCTCTCTATTTGCAACATAGTTGGACTGGTAAGAGAGAGAAAATTAAATTGTTCTACTTATCAAGGATGTCACGGGTTGACCGATCATTTTCAAGGTTAAAATTGACCATTTGACGAAATGGTCAATTTTTCTTCTTGAAAGTTTTTGAAATTTTGAGGGCGATCCGAAGAAATTTTTTAAAAATTTAAATTGAAGCTAGACCCAGCTTTCTTTTCTCGATCCGTGACATTCTTGCTTCATAATAAGGAGAATCCAATGCTAACAATAAAATGGTAAATTTGATTTAAAAATAGGCCAATTTGAGAAAAATGGCCAAGAAAGGTTGTCTATTATTTCTTAATTCCTGCTTTAAAACTCCCAGTTTTTGACGAAGTGGTCAATTTTTGCTTGTTGGACGTTTTGAGAATTTTTCAATTTTCTGATTTTAAAAATTTTTTCGCAGAAAATTGCCTATTTAAAAATTTAATTTATTTTAAAGATAAAGCAATTGATTACCGTCATTGGGGCATCCCCCTTAGCAGACGCTTCCGTTCTTTAAAACTTTGGTTTGTTATTAGAAGCTATGGTGTTGAAGGTTTGCAGCATTATATTAGAGAACATGTTAGACTTGCAAAACTCTTTGAATGTTTATTGTTGGCTGATGATCAATTATTTGAAGTTGTTGCTGAAGTACTTATGGGACTTGTTTGTTTTAGAATGAAGGTAAAAAATTTATTTTAAAGATCTAGGGAAAATTTGAAGTTGAGCTAGAACGACTTTGAGGTCCCGTGTTTATTTTTAGCAATTTTGGGGTTAATCCAGTAGGGCTGTGTCTATAATGTAGGTTGAAGGGTGACTTTTCATTCCTTGTGGACTTTTGTCCCTCTTTTTGGGATTAATTCCATGATATCGTATCCATTTTTGAAAAACTTTGTAGGTACATGCCGTTGTAGGATTGAGATTTTACTTATCTTTGAAAATACAATAGGAAGGATTTTAGGTTTTTAAATTCCGAAAATCGATTAAAAATTCATGTTTAATTTTTATATTTCTTAAAAAAGGCATCGGATGAATTAAACCAACTACTTTTAATAAAATTAAACAGCAGTGGTAGAATACATATGGTACCAGCTTCGTTAAATGATCGGTATATTTTTAGTTGGGGTTTTCATAAAGGATCTATGTATTTTCTGGGGGATTTCCCAAGTTGAATTTTTCATTGATTCAAGATTCTAGAGGACAAAACCCGACCAAAGCAACATCCATATATTTGAAATATAGATGATGTTTTTTAAAAATACCGTCCATTTCGCTTCGCTCATCATTTCATCATATTTTTACCCCCATCTAATGAATCAAATCCAGTCCAAGCCCAATTTCGATTTAAAATCTAAAAAGTTTTTTTTAAGTTTTGTAATTCGTTTTTGTGTATGTTACGAAAATTCAACTGAAAGAGATATACATATTGCTTATGAAATAATTAAACAAACAGCAATTAGTTTGAGTATGTTTTTGGGGGGTTTTGAGAAGAAATTTAAGAAAATTTTTCTTTAGGAGAACCAATACCCGAACCTATAGCAGAGAATTATGAATTAGAAATGGAAGAAGCTGAACAATATGATCAAATGATGCAGGACAAACAGAAGAATAGAAATTCGCCAAATGTAGAATTGAATAAAAATTCGTCTTTAAGACGTCAATCAATAGGTTTTCTTTTAAATTTTTTTGAAATTTTTACAAAAAAATTTTTTCAAAAGGTTCTACAACTCCTTTACATCCTCAACAACAACCACAAAATTTGGGCAATTCTCCTTTAGCTGTAGGAATTGGAAATGAACAAGCTTTGAGTGGACATTCACCATCTTCTTTAACTTCATCAACGGGATCGGTTTGAAGAAAATTTTATTTTTAAGAGTTTTTCAGAAAATAATTTTTTCCACATCTTTCTTGCACTTTTCCACCTACTTTCCTCTCAAAATGTTACAACTAAAATGCGGCACGTGCGGGATCATGTACAGAACCCATAATCCCGTCCTGAAATCCTAGCTTTTAAGCGACAAACGGGATTAATGGGTTTTGGAGATTAATACCGCAAGATTCCTCCCGTTTGCTTTTTTGGAGCACAATCCAATTACGGGACTGAACTCAATCTCGTTATTTTGCCGACTTTTAAGTACAATCCAAGAATTGTTTTAACTATTACATAAAACCCCAAAATGTCTCAAGAAGCTCGGGTACCAAGGGCGTATCCAGGGGGTCGGTTTCGGGGGGGGCTAACACTGGGTGGGCGCAAAAATTTTTGGCGTTTACCTTGGCGTTCCGGACGCAAATTTTTTTGTACATAAATTTTTATCTTTTCTGCGCCACAGACGAAAATTTTTTGAATTTTAGAAGGCCGTAGGCAAAAAATTCACTTATTCAGCGCCGCAGGCGAAAATTTTTTGAATTTGATGGGCCGTAGGCCAAAAAAGTTCACTTTTTAGCGCCGCAGGCGAAAATTTTGAGTATTTTGGAGCTCAAGAAGCCAGATTTCTTCCATTTTTTGCGCCGCAGGCGAAAATTTTTTTAAATTTGAGGGTTGTAGGCGAAAAAATTTCACTTTTTAGCGCCGCAGGCGAAAATTTTTTGGAATTTGGAGCCCAAGAAGCCAGATTTCTTCCTTTTTTAGCGCCGCAGGCGAAAATTTTTTGAATTTGGTGGGCCGTAGGCGAAAAAATTTCACTTTTTCGACCATCCTTCTCCTAATTTTTTCCCCCTTTCCCCCATTTCGGGGGGGGGGGGCTCTAGCCCCCCCCCCAGCCCCCCCTGGATACGCCCTTGTCGGGTACTTCAAAAATTTTTTAAAATTCTGCCTAAATTTTTTTAAAGTTTTGACAAAAATTTTTTCAATTTTATAGGATCGCCGTAGACTACATACTTTAGCTGAAAAACGCTCTTTCCTTGTCCGTATGGTTAGTGATCCAAAATGTTACAATCCAAAAATTGTTCGTCATTTAAATATGAGAGCACATAATCAAACATCTGCAGAACTTTTTAGAGACAGAACATTGAGGTTTTTTTTAAATTTTTAAGGGAAAATTTTAAAAAAAATAATTTTAAAAGACAAGCAATTCAACAAGGAAGTTTTCAACAAAGAAGTAGTTTGGGTGCTGGCACATCTCATGGTGGAAGAATTGGTGGGGCAGGAAAAGCACCTTTTAGCAGTGGAAAATGTTTGTGAAAAATTTTTTATGAAAAATTTTTTTTTTAAATTTTTCTATTGGGAAGGGGATAGAATCAATAGAGTAGGAAGACAATTTACAGGAAAAAACCTGTTTTCAAATAAGAAAAAATTTGTTGGGGAAATTCCTATTTTAGGTAGTAATGAAGCTAGGCAATAAAATTCTAGAACCCCTTACCCAAAGGAAATAATTTCTTGAGAATTTTCTGGTTTTTCTTTGGTAAAACTAAAGCCATAAAGTACAGGAGCACCCGTTGGAGACCCAGCGAAAAAATTTCCCTGGCTTTATTTTATTAAATTCTATGACCCCTCGTATTCTCTTTCAAAAAATTCTTATTTTTAGATGCATGTATGAGTATAGATCAAGGATCAGATGAAGATGATTATTCGTCTTTATATTTCCAAAATGATCAAAATATTGGAATTTAAATAAAAGGAAGAGAAGAAAAAAGAAAATATAATAATTAAAAAATTAAAACAATACAAATTTAAAAAATAAAAATTAGATAAATTTTAGAAAGAGGGAATTTTTTAATTTGTTTGAGGTTAAATCCTCTCATTTAATATTTTATTTTGAATTTTCAATTTTTGTTCAATTTAAATATTAGAGTCCGAGTTTTGTGGGCACTAGTGTTCTTCCTCTTTATATTTTGAGACTTCAATGGGTATACCCATTTATTCGCTTAGCAAATAGAAATTGAGAAATAGTACATATTTAAAATTAGGAGAGTGGGAGAGAAAAGAAAAAGTAAATTTTCTGAGAAATTAAAATTTTTTTGTTTTTAAGGGGTTGTTTTGGTAGTTAGGGATCGGAAATTTTAAAAGAAAACGTTGATCTTGATTTTTGGTTGAGAACCTTACCAGCTTCTTGAACTTGGGTCAAGGGAAAATTAAGAGATCGGCCTGGATCCAGATCAGAGATAGGCGAAAATGGAATTTTCTTCTCAACTAAACGAAACGAAAAAATTATTTCCAAGCGAAACGAAAATTTTCGCCCATCTCTGATCCAGATCCAGGACGATCCTTATTGATACATAATCTAATTCTTTTAGACCTTTACATATTCACAGCATTTACAATTTTCCAATTTACTACACTTTCTTTAAATTTTCTTAAAAAATGGATGATGAAGATATGACTGATGAACTAACCCAACAACAAACAACAAAAAAGCCGTGCTCTACTTTATCAAATCAAAATAAAAAACGTAACAGAATTGACCAGTTTGCTGCTATTTTGGCGTAAGATTTTTTAAAGGTTTGGAGGATTTTTAAGATTTATTTTTTAGAAGTAGAACAAAAAGTACAGACACAACACAAAAATCGCAATCTCCTAATAAACTGACTGAACAAGCGACGTCTGGAAATTCTTTAAAATGTTCAATTTGCAAACTTTCAATTCAAAATGACAAAATTAAAGAAGCGAGAAAATGTTCGAGTTGTATGAAGTAAGAGGTTTAATTAATTAAACGAGGGAATTAGATGGGGGTCTGGGGGTTTTCGAATTAATATCGAAGATAGTCTATTGGAATGTTAGGTTAGCTGGATAAGACAGCAATTCCCCTGAAAGCCGTAACTATCCAAAAATCTCCACAAACGAAGAAGCCAAAAATTGACTTTAGGTTATCGAATGGTAATAGAAAAAAATGAAATTAATACTTAAAGTTTCCCATTTACTTTTTAAAGGTTTGTTCATTTTTCTTGTGACAACGAAATGGAAACATTTGGCACTTACAGATGCGTTCCCTGTCGTAAAGGACCTCTTGTTGGTGGAGATGAAATGCTTTCGTGTACAATGCTTCCAGGTTCAAGTTTTGGAGATTTTTCTGATGACGAACTTGGCGGGGTTCCTACAAGCTCTAAAAAATTGGAAAATTTTTTGCAACAAACTACTAACAATCCTTCAACTTTTCCTTCTCAACAAAGTACGAGCGAAAAAACTATTGTTGACCAATATTCAAATGTTTCAACACCACAAGACCCGTCACCATCAACTACAAGTAACAGTATTCGGGGTTCAGAGACTCCAACACCGCAACCTGATGAAATTTATAGTGATAATGATGAATATCAGCCGCCAAGGTTTTCATTTGTTTAAGCGATTTTTGCGGACATAACCAAACCAAATTTCTGCGGACATATTTATGCGGATTTGTAAATATAAAAGGAAAGTCATGTCACTCCCAGTATTGCCCCCAAGCAATTATTTCAACTGTCCGATGTGAGCGTGTGCTTGGTTCAGTAAAAGTATATCTTAAACTATTGAAAATTATGAATGCTCTTAGTAGTCCGCATAAACATTTCCGCAAAAGCAGGTTTGGAATAACCCACCATTTTTTTTATTTTTTAGTTCAAATCGTCGTGTTGAATCTACATCTCGTGGAATGCGAGGAAAATCTTCAAGTTATACATCAGAATATTCACGCCATACGCCAATGAAAACTCGTTCAGGAGGGAAGCCGCCAGTTGTTTCTTACATCTCTAAATTCAGTGAAACTTATGTTGAAGCACCTGAAAAGAAAATCTCAGGCAAGAAAGGACGTGGAAAAGGAGCTAAAGGTTTGTGAAAAAATTTAGTGGCTTTAGAATTTTTTTTGCAAATTTTTTAATACTTCTTTTTTTTGGAAAACCCCAAAAAAGTTTTGGTAAAAATTTTTTTGGGGGGGGGGGGGGAGACTATTAAGGATTATTTTATTACTTGTTATTAGTAGTAGGTTAGTCAATACTTTGCTTTTTTAGGATTTACAACAGACAAGGAAGGTCAGCAAAAAAGTTGACCTGATTGCCTCCCCCATTCAGAGCCATGCCACCTTTCTATGCCTATACAGGGACTACCTATATTAAAGAAAACTTAACTGTTTTAAAAATTAAAAAAGAATTTTCTTAAAGGAAATGGACGTGGTCGTCGTAATACAACAGGAGGTGGTGGTAGAGGTGGAAAATTGGTTAGTATGTATACTACAGCTTTAACAAACTCTTCAAATAAACTAAATTCTCAACAACAAAAAAATGTCTCTGAAGATGGAGGAAAGAATGGAGGAGGAAATTCTTCAACAAAAAATTTGGGAGAACTAAAGAGGGATGATTATATTAGAACAGCAATAGTTACAAGTGTTGGAGATAAATTTATGATTGAATATCCAAATTTGTGTTTAATTTGTGGAAGCATTGGAAAAGGATTAGAAGGTTTTTTGAGGGATTTATGGGTTTTGGGGATCTTTTGGCTCTTGTCTGGTTTATGAGTTCAACCAAGCTTCAAATGTCCAACGAGATTTACACTACAGTTAGAACTTTTCAGATGGCTGGGCCGTATCCAGGGTTTTTTCAAGCTGGCCCGATCGGGGTTTCCTTGCTAAAAAACTGAAAACCCTAAAAACGAATTTTATCAAACTACCAGGTTTTTGGGTTACCGGAAACTCGATCCCGGCCAGGGTTCGAACTCTGATTTATACTCTCACAAACATGTCTGGACTAGTAATTCTTCAGCGAACTCATAAGCTATACCAGGGTCGTTTTTTGAAATTTAAAAAAATTTTTAAAATAGGAACAATGATTTCTTGTATGGCCTGTGCTCAATCTTTCCACACTTATTGTGTTTCTATTCACGAAAAGGTTTTCTTGTATTCTTGTTTTGAAATTTAAAAAATTTTTCAAGTTGAGTATGACAATAATTAAAAGAGGATGGCGTTGTTTAGGATGTACTGTTTGTGAGGGATGTGGAAGTGGGGATGACGAGGTTTGTTGGTTTTTTTTATAATTTTTCGGCATTGACCGCAAATAGTTCTTCCCCAATTCCCCAAATTATTTGGTTAATCAAACCGAAAATTTTCGAGTTTTCAGTTTGAAACTGGTAACTCTATGAGACATGAAATAAATTTTTGATTTTTCTAAATTTATCTGAAAATAATGTTTTGTCTTTGTAAATTATTGTTATTAGTAGTCTTACCAGGTGAAATTTAAAATTTGTTGGGTGCTTTCTTGTTCACAATCTGAATTCTAAGTAATTCCCAAAGTTTTTGCACATGCTTCCTTATGCTCTCTGAAATCCGATCTCTAAACGCTCTTGTATATTTACAGAGATTTTATGGACTCTTGTATCAAAAAATTCTTTTTTTCAATAAAAAAATTTCCTTTTTTTCAGTCCAATTTATTACTCTGTGATGAATGTGACATTTCTTATCATACATATTGTTTGGATCCCCCACTAGATTGTATTCCATTGGGTTCTTGGAGATGTAAATGGTGTTCAGCTTGTATTAAATGTAACAATCAAATAAAAACATCAAAAGGAAAATTACCAACAACAGAATATTTACAACGTTGTGAGGGTTATTGTGAAATTTGTTATTCAATGAAAAAATGCCCAAAATGTTTATGTTTTTATGAAATTGGGGATTTGATGATTAAATGCCAGAGATGTTTAAAGTTGGTTTTTTTGAAAATTTATTTTTGAGTTTGAGAATTTCTGGGAAATTTTCTTGTAATTTTTTTACTGTAAATTTTCAAAGAAAAAATTTTTTCTAAAGGTGGTTCCATGGCCGTTGTGAAGGACATGGAAGTGAAGAATCTGCAGAAAATGCTGCTGACAATGCATTTAGATGTTCATTTTGTAGACCTCAATCTTTTTGTAAGTAATTTTATTTTTCTATTCTCAATATCTAATTTTTTGTTTTGTGTTAACTCTAGAAGGGGTTAATAAATTCAATTTTAAGGAAAATATATAAGACGAAAATTGTTTATACCGTATTTCCTATATTAGAGCCCCATGGGGCTCTAATTTTCAACTATCCTCCAAGGTGGGGCTGTATTAAAGGGTGGGGCTCTAATTGAGGGTGGGGCTCTATTTTTCAACCCTCTTTTGAGATAGAATCCCATTTATTATATCCATTGCAACTAGAGATAAGTCGGAGGGTTTGGTCGATAAAGCCGCAAAATATCGAAAGAGAATCTATATTTTTCGATTTTTCAAGAAAAACCAAAACTTTTTAAGCAATGAATTACAAAATAGTCCCAATAGTTCAATGAGAGTAAGATTAATTATTAAATATGGGTAGATTTGGACGGATTAAAGGAAATATTATGGAACTTTTATTTGACATTGATGGATTAGAGGGATAAAAATGGATTTTAAGGGATTATGGGGAATATCAGAGGATTAAGTTTATATTGAGAGATTTAGAGGGATTATGAGGGATATTCTGGACTAGGGGTATTAGGAGGCATATGAAGGGATTTGTTTGATAAAGCTTTGGAACAGGTTCCAGAACTGGAACTGAAGAAATTCAAATAGCAGTTACGTAACTGAAATCGGTTCCAGAGAAATTTTGGTTAGATATCACTGATTAGATATCTAATAGATCTCTAATAATCTCGCGAATTATCATCAAGTGCCTAACACGATTGCAACCCTTTATAAAATGATTAGATTTTGGAGGTAATAGGAGGAATTTAGAGGAATATAGGCGATATTAGAGTATTTTGACGGATAACGGGATTAATCCCTCATTTTCATCCCTAATCCCCATGATCCCTCCTCCTCAATGATCACGAAATCATAGATATCCCCCTTTATTTCCTTAACTCTCTTAATACATACATCTTAAAAGTTATTCTGATATTTTTTCCTCCAATATTTTTTAGGTGGGGCTGTATTTGGGGTGGGGCTCTAATTGAGGGTGGGGCTCTATTTTTCAACTATCCTCCAAAGTGGGGCTGTATTAGAGGGTGGGGCTCTAACAAAGAGTGGGGCTCTAATATAGGAAATACGGTATTTTGGTTAGTAATGTAGGAGATTTTTGGAGGTGAGATTGCTGGTGCTGGGTTCGAGTCCTTTACGTAATAAGAAAAACCCTTTTAAATTTAATTTTTTGGACTTTTTATAATTTAAATATTTTTTTTTTAAATTTTTCTTATTTTTCAAGTTGATGCTTTAAACATTCCTGTTGTTGTTGACAATGTAATGGTTAGTAAATCGATGGCTGAACAGTTAAATGGTGGAATGAATAATTTCCGTAGACTTGGATTTATTGGTGGTGGAATTAATGAAAATATAAGACCATTGATTTGTGAACAAGGTTTTCTTAAATTAAAAAATTTTTTTAAATTTTTTTAAAGATGATGAATTAACCGAAGAAAATCAACAACAACATTTTCGTGAACAATTTTCTCCCTCATCAATTTTGTCAATGCGTGGGGGACGTGGCGGTGGTGTGTGCAGTACAAATAACAGTATTTATATGAGAGGAGGAATAGGCCCAGGACGTCGAGTTTTGAAATTGGGAGTTGGAGGATTTACTGTGAGACACACAAAAAGTGCTGCTGGAGGAGGAATTAATAGCCGTTCACAGTCTTTTGGTGGTTCTTCAGCTGGATTCTCTCCTCAATTAGAAGATGAACAGGGGCAAATTGAGGATGATAAAAGTTTGGCTTTGTTGAATGCTGGAGTTACTTTGGGTGGAAAGCCGAGAATGAGGCGTCCTAGGAAATCTAGAAGACCACAATTGGAAGATGCTTATCCTGCTAATATTCAGGTTTTTTAAATAAATTATTTTGAAAGGGAAATTTATAGATGAATAGAAAATTGCAAATAGGTATCGATTCTAAAATAAGCAAAGCTTTTCATAATATTCACAAGATTTATAGAAAGTTCCGAAATATATACATTAAGTGCCGTGTCTCAAAGTTCATGGAGTAATGCGTACATAAATCACTACTTTTGACCTTCTCTCGCCAGGGAATTTCCGAATACAAAACGCGAATCTGCATGTTTTGCCCAACCCTGCTATGAGTAATTTTCGCGACTTCAATCCTTCTGTCACTTCTAAAAATTAAAATTTAATTTTAGGAATCATTTTTTGGTGTTGCTGCAGTTGAAAGTCGTTTATTAGCAGAACAAAATGTTGAAGAACCTTTACTTGTTGAATATAATAAAATTTCCTCAAATGTTTTTGATGCTGGAAAAATTGGGACAGAACTTTCTGGTTAATTTTTTTTATTTTGAAGAAAAATAATCCTTATTTAAAGAGCATTCGGCTGAACTTTTACGAAACGAACAAGAAATGGATATGTTAGATGATATTCCTTTAGTTGATGATATTGGTTTGGATATGGAAAGTTTAGATTTTACTGATTTGCTTGTTAATGAGGAAGAAGATGTTGCTATATCTTCTGCTATTGCTGCTGAAAATATTGACTCTTTGGATGGTAAATTTTTATAAGGCTTTAGAAAATCTGCAAAATTTGTCTGCAAATATTTGCGGATTTTTTTAGAAATTTTTAGAAAGTCTGCAAATTTTGTCCGCGAAATATTTAAAATTTCTATTTTTAACCAAAAAATTTTTTAAAGGTTTCAATGCCGGAAGTTCTTCAAGTTTATTAACTAATAATGCTGTTGAAATTTGTTCTCCACCATCAGCGTCAACTATTCGAACACAATCTAGAATGCAACAAAATAATAGTATTGAATCTTGTGTTACTCAAAATGCTTCAAATATTTATCAAACGGTTTTTTAAAAATTTAATTTTTATAATTTTTAAATACTTTGGGTTTCACTACAATATAAGGCACCCACAGATTTATGTGCTACCAGATCGAGGGTTTCCTTATCGTTGAAAGATTGGATTTATTCAGCCCCAAATGTTTTAGCAAGAGCGCTTTACTTTGAGGTTCTTAGAGAATTTCCTAGGAGATTCCCCCTCCTGCACCCCCTCTCATTATAGTCCCCTCACCTCCGACCCATGAATTTTTGTAGTGTTGTAGTGTTGCCTTTTTTTGTAGAGTTGCCCGATTGTATTTTTTTTTGAAAAATATTTTTCTTAGGTCAAAGAATCAACTCCAAAATTAATTGAATATCAAAGATTGAGTGCAGGTGCTTTAGCCGTTGAACGTTGGGAAGAGGACGAACCACTTGGTGATAAAGCAACAAAAGCTGCTGTGCTTTATTCAAATGTATTTATTTTTTGTATTTAGAATTAAAAAAAATTTTTTTTAAGATTCAACATCCAAATTTAAAAGAAAAGTTTCCTTTGTGGTCCGATCGTGTTCGACAAATAAATAAAATTTGGAGAGAATTAAATCCTGAAAAACGTCAAGAGTATGTTCTTGAAATTTTTAAAGTTTTTTAAAAATTTTTTTAGATTTGTTGAATTAGCCCGCAAAAATCGTTTAAATTGTCCTACACCTCGAAGACGATCAAGAAGGGTTGTTATAAATCCAGCAACTCAACAACAGCTATCTTTGGAACATAATACTTCTGAAATATCTCAAACTGGAGATACTTCTATTAAAATTAAAGAAGAAGGCTCGTTGGATGTTGCTTTCCGTGAAGAACTTTCAATGACAGACGTTAGTTTTTTTGAATAGTTTAATTTTAACTTTTACTTCTGACGGAGGAAATACTTGAACTGTTAGTATTAACTTGTTGCTGATATCATTCGATACCTTACAAAAATACTAGACTTTAAAACCTCCTATCTTGCCTATTTTGGTCTCGTAGCTAAAAAATTGGCAATATGTTATCGACTGCTTTAACGAATGATTCCAAAAAGTCTTTTGGGTTGAATCGTTTGTCCTTCAAAGGTTTATAGTCAAAGATTCAACCTAAAAGTCTATCTTTTTGTAATGTTTGACCAAAAAATTCTTTAATTAATAATAATATTTTTTAGCAATTATCGAACCAATCGACAGGCGGTTCTTGTTCATATTCCAATACTACATTTATTGGATTGGATAAAACATCCGAAGATAAGCAGCACCCACAAACAATTCAACAACAATCCTCATCAATTGACTCACAACAATTATATTTTGATGAACAAGGATTAAAATTAAAAGAAGAATTGCGAATTGAAGAAGAAAAAATTGAAAAAATGAAAAAAACAAAGAGGGCATTAGCAGCAAAACAGAGACTTTTAATTAAACGGCAACAATCACAACAACAAGAAGGGGGAGGAGGAGCTGGAACTGGAGGAGCATGTTCATCTACAACAACAATTCCATCATCCCCACAACTTTCTTCAGAAGAGTTGACAGCACTTCCTTTGCCACCAAGACGTGGAACTTGTGATTTAGTTGAAGTTGAAGCAAATTTATTAGCTACAAAAAATTGTATACAAGAACAACAAAAATTGGTGGATGCTGGAAGACAAAAATTGAAAATGTATTTAGGTGAGTCTACACACACTACGTATATCGACACCCCGTATATACGAATGACTTCATATATCGTCCGCAAATCCAATTCGCAAAAATTCCACAAAGATCTAGTCCGCAAATCCAATCCGTAAAAAATCTACAAACCATCCAGTCCGCAAAAATCCAGTCCGTAAAAATTCCGCAAATCGCAAACGATGTAAAGATCTGGATATATGGGATCAGTCGATATAAAATCTGTAGATATATGTGATTCAATTTAGGCAAACAACAACAACAAATGAAAAATATTTTAATAAATAAACAATTGGAGCAGCAACATCAAATATTTTTACCTCCTTCAACATCATCACCTCAATATTATTCAAAATATTTAATTCAACAACAATCATCTAGTACATCAATTAATAATTTGTATGATATTGAAGGGCAACAACAATATTTTAATAAAAATTCTGGTTCTTTTGATCAGTCATTAACAGCTTCATTTCAACCAATAAAACCAACACGTGGACGAAAAAGGAAAAAGGTTTTTAAGTTTTATAGTTATAAATTAAAATTGCTAACCTATTAACGCCTAACTTTTATCGTCATGGCTTTATTTTATTATTTTTAGAGAGGGTCTTTGACATGTTAGTGGGGAGAATATAGGCAAAAAAGACTCAAGCAAGTTGTTTCAGGTAGTTCCTCCAGGCATTCTCGTTTTAAATCGGATCGCCCCGGCCTTTATCATAATACCCACTAAAATGATCCGCAAAAAGTTGCGGACAACACACGCCGGGATAAATAATTAGTGTTGGCAGATTCAATTAGGTACTTTATGGATATGTCACCCCCCTCCTATTTTGAGTCTCAGAGTTTTCCTTAAACGTAGAAAATGGTCAGAGATTATTTTCTTCTCCATGTCAATCATTTTTTTCTTCTTCGAGTATTTTGCTTGTTTATTTTGCCTTTTTCACATATTTTGTACTTACATTTCACTCATTTCGTTTCTACATTTACCACATTTCACTTATTTTGCTTGAAGAAGGAAAAATGATTGACATGGAGAAGAAAATAATCTCTGACCATTTTCTAAGTTTAAGGAAAACTCTGAGACTCAAAATAGGAGGGGGGTGACATATCCATAAAGTACCTTCGAGGCTTGGATATTGGATACGTTCTCGGATATCCGAAAGAAGTTTTCCATCTTTTTATCTCTTCTCTTCCTCCCGTAATATGTCAGATTACTCTTTTATTCCTTTATTTTTTTAGCCTCCTCATGAACATATTCGTTCTCAAATTCTCGGCAAAATAGTCTATTCAACTTTACAAACACAAGAAGACAGGGATGTTTATGATGTAATTGATGGACTTGTACATACAGTTTCCAGTAATTTTAATAGTGCAAATAAAGCAGCGGATGCTCTATTTATTAAAAGAATTTTGTTTTCTCATCAGCAACAAGAACAAAATTTGAATTTGGCAACGAGAAGTAGTAGAGGTTTTTTTTGGAATTTTTTTGAAAAATTATAAAAAAAATTTTTTTAAGATGGAGGAGAATCTTGTAGAGGAAAGAAAAGAAGCCTTAATAAGCAAAATAAATGCCAAGAAACTACTACAGAAGTGAAAAATGATTTTATGAGGTGCCAAGACAGAATAAAGGAAGCGGTTAGTTTTTTTAACTTTCTTTTTAAAATGTGGATCTATAATGGTAATATGAAACAGGGGGTGCATCGTACATAGATGTTCGAAATTAAGAATAGTCGAAAACGAAACGCGAATTTTTTTTGCTCCGTGTCCTTTTAATTAGAAAAATGTCAAGATTTTAAAATTCTGAGATACTTCACATCACAGCTGTGTCGAAATTTTGATTTTTTGTACTTTTTTTCGAATTTCTATCTTTTTAATTTTTTTCCTTTTTTTTACAGTTAGATTCATTACCTCCATTAATAACAACATTAGAACAATATAAAGAATATGATCGTCATATATTAAAATATCCTAACCAAATTGGTATGCCTGATAATCCTGGTTATGCTGAATTTTCGAATAAAAATGTTAAAGTTGGAGAATATAAGTGAGGAAATTTTTTTTTGAAATTTAAAAGGGAAAATAAAATTTTTCAATTATTTTTCAGACTTGATTTTATGATTGATTTTTATGATGAATTGGAAACTAATAGAGGCGATTTTATTGAAGAAGAATTTTTTTTTGCTCCAACAATGGATGAAATTTGTCAATTTGTTGATTTGGATATGCTTGAAAGGTTTTCTTTTGTTTGATTTTTTTGGAATTTTGAAAAGAACCCCCCCCCCCCCCCCCCTTTCTTCTAGGGGAATTCTTGAATATGTTTCTTCTAGGGAATGTTAAGGAATTCTTTTCTGTTAGCTGTCCTCTCCATATAACTTTTATTTTAAACACACTTTCCTAAATTGGATTTAATGCCTTCCAGATTCGAGAACCTGTTTAGGGGAACCGTTAAATTTTTGGGTCTAATCATTTCCGGAACTTGTCAAAATTTGGAACCGCTGGGAATCAATGAGCACCCATCCCTGTTGGGAACTAGAACCACAAATCTATTTGTTTTTCGAATAATATTAATTTACATTTTTTAAGTTTTGATGATGATAGCCTCTCTACTATACCTTCTGGTTCTTTTGAAATTAAATTTGGAACTGATTTTGCTGATAAAATTAGAGAAATGAGTTTTATTGACTGGACAAATCTTTCTATTGAGAATATTGCTGATAAAGGAAAACTTATACGTTCTGCTTTGTTACCTGGAGGAAGTGGACCAGAAGTTGACGTTCCTATAGATCCGCATTGGTCTAGATTTGAGAAAGAGGTTTGGGTTTTTTTGTTTCTTTTTTATTTGAGTGTACCTTTTGAATTTAGGAAAATTATTTTTATTTTTGAAGGGAGGGATAGGATCTTTTTATATTTTGTCCTCAAAAAATTTGCGGACTACTTTTGCACATTTTTTATGAAAAATTATGGGGGCAATGAAAAATTGTGGGAACAAGTTTTACTTTTTTTGTGCGCAAAAATGTTGCGGACAATTTTTGCAGATTTTTATAAATTTTTTCTTATTTTTTTGTTAAATTTTTCCAGGAAGTTAACCCCCTAGAACGTGAAGTAGAAGTAATTATTGATTATGATCCAACAATAACTTTGCGTGAAGATATGCTTAAAAAATTACAAAAATTACTGGGAATAGGAGAAATATCAGCAGTTGAATTAGAAACACCCCCACAAACACCAGCATCACCACCACAACAACAACAAACACAATTAATAACAAATTCTAATAATTTATTGAGTGGAAATGTTGAAAATATTAGAAATGTAAATTTGAATGAAAAAAATTCTTTAATTATTTGTAAAAAATGTGAAAATGTGTTAGCACCAGAAAAGAGACCAATTGAAGAATTTGCTGTAAATTTGGGATTGTCTAATGAAAAGGTTTGTGTTTTTTTAGAAATTTTAATTTTTTCGTAATTTTTAATTAGTCCTTTCCCTTAGCATTTTTGGCCGTATTTATTCCACAATATGCCGTAAAAGTTCTAAAAGCCCACTATCTAATAAACGCCCATGCCTAATATAAACCCAATTAGCGAGACAAAAAAATTAAATTTAACTACTAGAACAATTATGATAGCTTATTTTGGGCAATTTGCTTAAGGGCAGTTGTGGTGCAGTGGGAGAAGGCTCTCCTATCCTTCGTTTTACGTCGAGGGTTCGAATCCATTCGTTGTTTAATATGTTTCTTTTTTCATTATTTTATTTTAAAAATATTTTGTAAGTGTTTATATGCTTATAAAAAATTTTTTCTAATTTGTAACATATTTTTTACCTTTTTAGTCTGCAATAATTACTTTTTGTTCAATGCCATGTTATTTTACTTTTCTTGCTGATAAACGTATTCCTTTAACTGTTGAATTATTAGGGATGGCTGAACGTTGTGTAAATGAGGTTTATTTATTAAAATAATTTTTTTATGATTTTTTAAAATTTTTTAAAGGAAACCTTAGAAATTTTACGTCAAGCAAGTGTTGATAATTTTGCAAAGAAAATAAATAATGGAGGAGGAGATCAACAAGGAGGCGGAGGAGGGGGAACTGAAGAAAATTGTGGAGAATTGCTAGATTTAAATTTACCGAGAGAATTACGTTTAAAATGTTCAGAATTGGCAACTTTAATTCAAGCAGAAAAAGATAAAAAAGAAAAGAATTTGATGAATAAAAAAATTTTTAAATGGAGAGGACATGGATGGACTAGATGTGATGTTGAATTAATTAATTCTTTTAATAAACAACAAGAGGAAATTAAAAAAGTTTTTTTTTAATTTTTTATGCTATTAATGGTTTGGAGATCTAGAATTTGTGCCTGGCGCATGGGCGGACTCTGTCAAATTTTTTAGAAGTTCGGGTCCCAAATCCGGGTTTTTTCAAAATCCCCGTGTTATTTTCGGGAGGATTAATTGACCGAAAAATTCGATTGATCCTGTCCGACGTAAACGCGGAATCCGCTATAGTAATTTTTTATAAGTCGATTTTATCGAATTGTCTTTTTAAAAAATTGACCATATTGTCTAAACAAGAAAAATTCTAACCTCACAACATTTATAGTGGTTACACTTATTTTACTACCAAATTAGTTGTGGTATAGAGGATTAAAATATTTTTAATTAAAAAATTTCTTTAAATTTTTTTTTTAGAAAATTGACTCAATCTACCTTAGAACAGCAAATAAAAAATATGAAATTCTTCGAAATGAAGATACTAGATTTTGTGCTTTTTGTGGAGAATTAGGTGATGGTGATCAAGAATTGACTGGACGTTTATTAAATTTGGATGCCAATGAATGGGTACATGTAAATTGTGCTTTGTGGTCAGCTGAAGTACATGTTACTGAAGAGGTTTTTCTTTTTAAATATTTATTATTTAAAAATTGTTTCTAAACCTACCCAAAGTCATTTTAAGTTAAAGAAATAAAGGAAAATAATAGTTGACACCTAAACGGGTTCGAACCCACGACCCTCATTTATAACTAAAATCATCATATTTGTGTATTCAAAAATTTTTTTCATGTTTTCTCCTGACATAATTATAAATTTTTTTCTGGGTTTACTATTTCCAGTAGGGGGACCAATTTATTATTTTTTTAAATAAAGAAAAATAATAGTTGACCACCAAACGGGTTTGAACCCGTGACCCTCAAGCTAGTTCTTTTTAAATTACTTTTCTTTCATATATTCGTACTTTTTTAATTTATTTTTTTCATATAATGAGTAAATTACCTATAAAAATATTAAAAAAATATTTGTATTTTTTAAAATTTTACAAAAAAAATTTTTTAAAGGGTGCATTAATCAATGTGGATGTCGCTTTACGTAAAGCACAAAAAGTTGATTGCAAAATTTGTAATAAAAAAGGAGCATCAATACGTTGTTATAAATTGGATTGTATAAATAAAGATTTTGCTTTTCATTTGCGTTGTGCTAAAAAATGTAATGGACATTTTTTAAAAGACAAGGTTTATTTTTTGAAATTTTTTTTAAAAATTAATTTTTGCGGACAAAAATTGCGGATTTTTTGAAGATCATTTTTTAACCATATTTCTAATAAAATCTGACCTCATCCTTTCTGCATGGGGTCAGTTTGTAAAAAAATGGCTGGGGTTAGTCACTATTGAAAAATTTTATTACTAGGTCGGTTCATAAAAAAGTTCGTTCTACAAAAATGGTTATATAATTTTTTGTATATGTTCAAAAGTTTTGAAATTTTGCATATTTATTCATTCGAGTGTTTTCTAATAGACCCCAAAATTTGAGAATTTTTGGTTCGGTATTCAGGGAGTTCTAATCTCCTAAAAGTTGTTGTCGAAAACTATGTTACACATCCCCCCAAAAAATGATTTTTCTAACTTTGCGTAAAATCATCCGATCTTGATGATCTAAACGGTTTTGTACATAACATATATGATTTATGACTAAATACGAAGAATAAAGTCTGTAACTTGGGCCTAACCCGGAATTCGACATTTCGACATTTCTGAAAATCGACTTTCCCGTTTATGAAAAATTCGGCACTTAGGCCCCCCTGATAGAGATTTTTAAGGGCTTTCGAATGGTATATTACACTAGATATTACAATTACATATGCTCGAGAGGGCTCGAACCCCGATGGTTTTCAGATTACCGGTGTTTTCGACCATAACTCCCTGAATACCGAACCAAAAATTCTCAAATTTTGGGGTCTATTAGGAAACACCTGAATGAATAAATATGCAAAATTTCAAAGCTTTTGGACTTCTAGAAAAAATTCTATAACCATTTATGTAAAACGAACTTTTTTATGAACCGACCTAGTAGAAAAATAAATTCCAGAAATTTGCAATTTTTGTCCGCAAATAAAAAAATTTTTTTTTATATTTTAATAAATTAATTTATATTTTTTAAAAGACTTTCTTCTGTCCGAATCATGAAATTCGACAAGATTTTTTAATTGCTCATTTTGATGCTTTAAAAAGAATTTTTATTCAACGAGAAGAAAATTCATTACTTTCAAAAATATTTAATCATTCATATTCTACAGAAATGTTGATGCGTGTTGGGTAAATAATTAATTTTTTGGAATTTAATTTTTAAAAATTAGGCCCCATTATAAGATACATTTAATAGAGCGTCAGCCCATAGGGCTGATTTTTTACTAGCACCGTGTATGTTATAATGAAATCCGATTTTTTTAAGAAACTGTATTTTACAAAATACTACAAACATTCTAATAATTAAATTTTAAAGTTCACTTATTTTCCACAAAATTGGTCAATTATTACCAGAACAACTCAAAGCTTTTACTACTTCAGATTATATATTCCCGGTTAATTTTTATTTTTAAATTTGGGGAAAGATTAGTTCAAATATTGTTTTCTCATTCGTTTTTCTTGTAGATTTTTTAAATAAGATTTATTTGGATTAAGAAAACCCATGGGAAATTTATGAAGAAAAATTTATTTTTGAAATGTCCGCAATTTTAATCCGCAAAAAATATTGCGGATTATATTTATTTTAAAGATAATTTAAAAAATTTTTTTTAAGATTGGCTATAAAGTAACACGTATATTTTGGTCAATTTCTGAAATTTATGAAAATGAAAAAATGTTTTATGAATGTTTAATAACTGAAAATGAAGGAAAACCTAATTTTATTGTAACAATATTATCAAACAAAAAGGAGGAAGAGAAAAAATTTTTTGGAGAAGAGCCAACAAAAAGTTGGGAGGAAATACAAGAATTAATTTGCAAATTACGTGAAAATACTAAAGGAAAATATTTACGTTTTTTTCCAAAACAATTAAGTGGAGAAGTTTTATTTGGATTTACAGAACCGGCAATTAGTAAAATGCTTGAATCGGTAAGGGAGATGAAATTTTTAAAATTAAATTCTAAAAAAGCTGATTTCGATTTTTACATACATTCTTAAGGACTTAATAACGGTATTTACCGGGGATCTGGCCAACGTAAAAATTTAATTCACGATTTTCGGGAATCGGCTAGATCCCTGGTATGTAAAATTGAAATATCCACCCAGTAGCCAACAAGAGAAAAAAAGATTTTTTCTTAACTAAGGTTAATATAAACTAATGGATGTTTATAAAATTGAGATCTTAAATTAAGTCAATTGCTAAAAAAAACTTTTTTTTAAGTTGCCTGGTATTGACCAAATTTATACTTATACTTTCAAACATGGAGGAACTCCATTAATGGATTTGTATGTTTTTTTAATTAAAATAAATATGGGGTCTTTACTGCCCCAGAAGAATTATCAATTTTTGTATGATATTTAAAAATGAAAAAAAATTGTGAGCCCTTGAAGTTGAAATTTAGCGAATTTTGGTTTGGGGTTTTTGGTGTCATTGATCTTGTAAATTGTGTATTTCCGGCTGTTATCATTAAAGCATTTAATAAAATCTATTGGAAGAAATCAGTGTGTGTTTAATTTAAGCAGCTTACTTTTCTTTTACCCCATCCTTACGCCCTACTTTTAAAAAATTATATGTATTAAATAATTTTTAATATTTTTTAAAGGCCTCTAGCAGAAAATCCTTCTGGTTGTGCTCGTTGTGAACCATGTTTTAGAACTTTGGTTAAACGGAAACACAAACCTATTATTAGCAATTCACCAAATAAATTGGATGAAAAGTCAACGTTTTCATCTGATTCTGTAGTTTCTAGAGAAGGGAGAGGTAAGGGAATTTTTTGAGGGGCAGATTTTGTGGATTAAGCTCTTCCAAACATCCCCCGCTATCCTTCTCTTGCTGTTTTCTTTTTTCTAAATTGGACCCTGAATAGTTTAAGATAAGAGGCTACAATATAAAATATAATATAAGTAGGACTTTTGGTTCGGAACCGAGCAGAATCGAACTGAAAAACCAATGATCTTTGCGGTTCTGTTCCTCGTTTCGGTTATCTGAAACGAATGACTTGTGAAAATCCATATATAACGAAATTTGAGAGTGGAACCATTCCAAATGTTTTTCACCAAAAAAATGTCAATCGGGTCTGTTTCAGATATTTGAAAATTTCCAGGAACCGACAGCTTTATTTATAAGACTTACAAGAATTTATAAAATTTTTACGAATATCTTTTCTTTTTTTTTTTGCAGCAAGAAGTTCAACATCTCAGCGTTACTTTAATTTATCAAAAATAGATGAAGAAACAAGAAAAGCTTACAAAACGTCAGGAATAAATGAGAGAATGTTACAATCTTTATATTTTCGAAATTGTAATGAACAACATACTTTATTAATTACTCAATATAGAGAAATGAAAAAAGAATGGAAAGAAAATATTTATTTGGCGAGATCAAAAATACAAGGATTGGGGTTATATGCAAAAAGAGATTTGGATATGAATCAAATGATTATTGAATATTTGGGGGAAATGATTAGAAATGAGGTAAATAATGGAGAGGGAGGAAAAAATGGGAGGGGGGGGGCAATGTACCGCTGAGCTATAACTTTGTTAAAAAACATCGGATACGGGATGCCCTGGTATTGTTCGATGCAGCTTGTCGAGTTGTATCGAACCATACCAAGCTAGCGGTACGTTGGGATGTAATCGAGGGAAATTTAATTAGAATGCAAGAAAAGAAATGAAAAGTACAAATTTATAGTTTATTATAAAATAAATCTGTTAGCGATGTCGTTGGTGTATTGGTTAAGGCTTCTGATTTCAGGCAAAAGTTGCTGGGGTTCGATCCCTCTTGCTTCCTTCTCCTTTGGTTTTGTTTTTTAGACTTTCCTTTTAAGAAAAATGAGAAAAAAATTTTTTTCTAATTTTATTTTTTTATTTTTTAAAGGTTTGTGAGATGCGTCAAAAACGTTATATAGAACAAAATAGAGGGGAATATATGTTTAGAATTGATGTTGATTGGGTTGTTGATGCTACTATGGCTGGTAAGAAATCTTTAATTATAAAACAATATTTTTTAATTTAAAAGGTGGATTAGCTCGTTATATAAATCATTCTTGTGATCCAAATTGTGGGACTAAAATATTAACAATTAATGATGAAAGTAAAATTGTTATATTTGCAAATAGACCAATTAAAGCGGGGGAAGAGGTTATTAATTAATTTTAAATTATAAACTATAAATAATTCTTTTGTAGTTGACATATGACTATCAATGTGGGTTTTTATTTTTATTATTTATTAGCTATTTTTTAATATTTTGGCTTAAATTTTGACTAATTTATAAGCTTGTTATGGCTTATTTTTGAATGGGTTTAATTAGCAACTTCGGTGGTGTATTGGTTAGCGCTTCCGACTACAGGCATATACCCGTAGGGTTTCGATCCCACTTGTCTCCCTTCTATTTTTTTTTCTTTTTTTTGACTTCCCAACTTAAAAAAGCCCTTTCATCTTTTAATTTTATAATTTTACAAATTTTTTAGATCAATTTTACTCGCAATTTTATTTATTTTTCAGTTGAAATTGAGGAAACAAACAAGAAAATCCCTTGCTTATGTAGTGCCCCAAATTGTGCGCGTTGGATGAATTGACGAAGATAAAAAAATTATTTAAAAAAGAAACAAAATAGCCTTAAATTGACTATATATTATTTATATATATTAATGTGATCTCAGTTAATAACCGCCGTGACTTGTATATTGACAAAATTTCAAGTTCATTACTTTAGTAATCTCGAAGTCTATTATTTTTTAATATGCCAAGTAAATAAAATTTTTTGAAAAATAATAGGTATTTTTATAAATTTAGAAAACCGATATATCGATTGATATCGATTTATTGATTTTTTATCGATTTTTGAAAAGTAATTTTTATAATTGCAGAAATCGACATATCGATTAGTATCGATTTTTTCGAAATCAAAAATTTTTAAAAAATAATTTATCGATTAGTATTGATTTTATCGATTAGTATCGATTTTTTCGAAATTAAAAATTTTTAAAAATTAATTATCGATTAGTATTGATTTTATCGATTAGTATCGATTTTTTCGAAATTAAAAATTTTTAAAAATTAATTATCGATTTTATTGATTTTTTTTGGAAATTAAAAATTAAAAAAAATAATTTATCGATTAGTATTGATTTTATCGATTAGTATCGATTTTTTCGAAATTAAAAATTTTTAAAAATTAATTATCGATTTTATTGATTTTATCGATTAGTATCGATTTTTTGAAAATTAAAAATTTTTTAAAAATTAATTATAGATTAGTATCGATTTTCTGTCTTTCTAATTTTATCTTGAAATCGACAAAATGCCTAACAATTCTAAACACGACAAAATGCCACACTGTTGTAGATACGACAAAATGGTCGATGTTAAAATGCAACAAAATGCCTATTTTCGAAATGCGACAAAACGCCACACTAAACTTGTTCAATTCTAAAAAGTCAATATTTTATCCTGAATATAAATTGTACAATGAAAGCGTAAAAGACCCGAGTATGAATGTCTTGACTTGATCGAAAGGATTAAAAATGGCTGAGAAAGAGGAGAGTATTAAGAATAGGAAATCAAAAGACCCTCTATATTATGGACCTCTAGAAAGTGAACCTATTTGTAATAGACATTTTAAAGGCGATTTTTAGAAAGAGAAATCTCCCTGCATATTTCAGGATTGTAGTAAACACATTTTGCCAAAAAGGCCAAAAACACTCATTTTGCCAACAAACTTATTGGTAAAACATGGGGTTTTAGCCTTATTGGCAAAATATAGTATTGACAAAACATGAGGGAGCTACCTATAATAAAGAGGTATGTCCACAATATAGAGGTATAAAAATAAATAATAAAAATTCTCATATTGTTGTCCATTAAATATCTCTCAATTTTTTTTCAATATTTTTCTTCTTTTTTGCTGCTGCTGCCGGATATTTAACAAATGGCCTTTTTGGAAATATTTTTTGTTTCAAAATTTTTTGAGCCGCATCTTCTCTTCTTCTAAATAATTCCAAATCTTTACTCATATAAGTCAATATAAATTCATCTACAGCTTCCGGATAGAAATATAAATTTAATTCATGCCTCAATTCATTTTCAATTCTTTCAAGTGGTTGTAAATAATAATTTATATATGTTAACACTTTCTAGAAATGAAGAAAAATGAGCAAAAAATTATTTTTGATTAATAGCAAGGAGTAGAGCTTAACATTCTTAAATTGCCAAGCCTGGTCTTGAGCTTATTCTTTCAAACCGACACGAGCCGGGGTTTCCGGACAAAAACCTCAAAAACTCGAAGTTTACCAAAATGCCCAGTCTCCACGATGAAACAACCCAGGACCAGGTGTCGAGCTGAGAGTAATTGTTAAAAATGGTAGCCATGAGGGTGAACAGTTCCGACCAGACGTGTAACAACAGAATGCTCGGAAAAGATATCCAGGAAATATCCGTCCTAAAATTCTGGCACCCTAAAAGGTGTTTATTGATTCAGTCTCAAGCCATAAGTATTTAGGAGGCCGACGTATTTTTTCAAAAAAAAATCCCCAAAAACCACACCTTAATATACATTGGAGAAGAAGAATTCCAATTTTCTGTCAGAATAGATACCCAACCATTAAATTCAAAATCTGTATCAATATATTTTCTTAATTGTTGACTAAAAGTTGAATATTCATTAATTAATTCGTAGACCTTTAAAAAACAGATAAATTATAAAAATACTTTAAGGGAGGACAAGAAAATGAGGTTTTATGAGGGTTAAAATTTTTTCTACTGATTTTTGACCAAAAAATAGAAAACTAATTTAATCAGGCCGTAACCAGGATTTTTTGGGAGGGGGGGGGGGCAATGGGGAAAATTTTTTTGAGGGATTTTGGGGATTTTTTGGGGATTCCCCACCCCTACCCCCTAATTACGGCCTGAATTTCATAATTTTCTATTCCTCGATAACAAAAAAATTTTTTCAGAAAAAATCAAAGAGATTAAAGTAATGAAAAATTTACTCTAATTACCCCCCCCCCCTCAATTACCCAAAAAATTAAATTTATTCAAAAATTTTCTCTTTTTTACCCTCTTTCCAGGAAATTCACAACCATAAGCAAATCCAGGTTTATATGGAGCATCACAATGCAATAATTTTGAAGTTTTTTCATAACGTCCATCTAGGGGACGTCCAGCGAGTATTGTTTCTGCAGACATTGAAAGTGTGGGTATTCCAACTGGGAGCATTTCACAAAGGACGGCTAAATGATCATAACGAGACCAACCAGTAATTATTAGACCCTTCAAAGAAAATTTTTGGAAATTTGAAAAATTTCTGAAATTTTAGCCTAGGGGGGGTTGTCCCAGTCCGAAACCCACGAAACAGTAAAAATATAGGTAAGGGATAATTTGGAGATGTGTGGCAGTTAGGAGACGGTAAAATCCTAAGCCCAATGGACAAGTCAGGAATAGACAGAAAATTGCGGAAACGAACATAAAAATAGACTCCTCGAAAAAATAGATTTTCAAAAAAAAACCTGAAATCTATCAAATTCTTTATAAATTTTAGTCATTTGTTCAATCCAAGCTTCATGATTGCGAATATAATGAATTGGATTTGAATAGAAACGCATTGGGCCATCTGCACCTTTAAAAGCTGAAGCACCCCAAACTTTCCTATGAAAAAAATTAAAATTTAATTAAAGCTTTAAAAAATATTAATAACTCTCTAAAAAAATTAAAACAAGGAAGATAATATCCCCAAGAAAAATTTTTTTTGAAAGGTTTAAAGACAAAAATTGATAGACACTAAAATACCCGAAAGAGGGATTCGAACTTTCCCAGTCACACACGAAAGTCACAACAACTAACCACTACACCAAAACAACTTATAAATCAAAATCAAATTTAATCGCTTAAATAAGTAAAAGAAAACTCCTATTTTACTCCTAATAAAATCAAAAAACCTCTCTTCCTTACTCAAATTTTTTCAAAGCAAGCCAATCAGAATAAGGCAAATACATATCCAGATCTTCGGCATATGACCTAAAAATTGAAAAAAAATTTTTTAATTAGAAATTTTTTTGTGAATTTTTAAAATAAAAAGAAAATTCTAAAAAAAATCTAACACAATTAGTCACCAAAGTATTGGTTCAAGTATTTTACTCAAATTAAAAGCTTCAGAGTCTCTATCTGACATATGAACAAGCATATCATGCCAAGCCAAAATTGTTGTCTTTAAATAGAAAAAATTTTTTTCGAAAGGAAAGGGGTAGCTAAAGTTAATTAATATTTGCGGACAAAAAGTTGCGGACTTTCCCGAACCTCTAGAAAACCAGAATTTTTTAAAAAGATTTTTCTCATTGTCAGACAAAAATATTGGTTATCGAGAATAGAGATTCTTCGAGATATTTCATACGACCCTCCTAGCCCTATCTCTAAATGAAAGGCCGAAAATTTTTTTTTTGGAAAAACAAAAAAATCGTGACTAGTCCAGGAAACAAGAAAATAATGCTTGGATAATGCTTAAAAGAAACCAACATAAAAACAAATTTTTAAGGAAAAAAAACATTAACAGGAGCAAAATATTTTTAACGAAAATGGATAGGTGAATCAACAACCCAATCCCATAGGTAAATAAATTATCCATTAAAAAAATTAAAAAATAAACAAACCGAAGAAGCAAATTGTTTTTTAACAAAATTAGCAGTCCTAAAAACATGCCAAGAAAATGCTTTATCTCTACTTCCCAATTTTTGAATTAAATTAATTGTTTCATTACAAGTTCCAAAATTAAAAACTTCATCTGCACCAATATGGAAATAATTCATTCCAAAACTTGAAAAAATTAAATTTAAAATTCTACTTATAAAGACGATTATTTTTAATAGAAATAATTGACTTTGAAATTCGTCATGTAATCTTAAATTTTACTGTACCCTTACAAAGAGTCCAGACAAGGGCTGGACACAATTGCGGATTGCGTGTTTTTTTAACTTGCGGATTGCGTCTGCTGATTTTAAAATCAAAATGAGGAAAATTTTTTTCCAATTGCGTCCAGCCCTAGTCCAGACATTTTCCCCTATTTCCTAGACGCGAGGACTTGTTTCCTTGGATTGTTAAATTAAAAAAATGTAAGTCAAGATCAACGATAAGAGGGACGATAAAATTCAAAATTAAATTTAAAAAGTTTTAAAAAACCGTTTATGTACACTAGCAACTTGATTAATCATATCCATTATAATTTGCCATGATTCTTCTGAACCGATACAAATAACCTTTTTAAAAAATTAAATTTTTTTTCAATAAAAAAAATAACAAAAAAAACCTGTGGATACAAAGGATCATCTCTCAAATGTTTAAATTCATTTAATTTAAGTATCCATTCCAAATGTCCAAAAGTTTGTACTAAAGGGACTATTTCAAATTTATATTCTTTTGCTGCAGCAAGCATTTTCTCTACCTTAAATAAAAAAAATTTTTTTAAGAGAAAAATTTTTAAATAAGGGAAACCCTTAAAGAATTGGTAAAAAATGATTTTTAAAGAAAAATGTCAGGGAAAGTGGACCTATCCAAAACATAAAAAGAAACTGTTCAATTAAATAATTTTTTTCTTAAAAATTTTCAAAACCCGGGCCGTTTAATTTATGAAAAAAAAATTTTTTACCGAAAGAAATAAAAAATTTTTCCTTCCGTTAAGAAATTATGAGAATTCTCAAAAAATACAGTTTAGTCCGCAAATATTTTACGGACAAAGTGCTGAAGGAAATTCTTAATAGAAATATTTTCATGAGAAGAAATAAAGGAAAATACTTTTAAATCATTAAAAAAATTTTTTAATTTAAAATGCTTCGTACAAAAATTAAGAATGGAGAAAGGTTGGGTTGAGAAAAAGTTGGCCTGGGTTTCGAAAATTTTTTTGAGTTGGGGCCTGGAAAGTTTCAACATCTATCTTCAGTCTAAAAATTTAAAAAAAAAACCACAAACTTCATTCATTGTGTAAGCATCCCCATTAATTGCATTGGCAAGTCTTCCTTTATAGGGAAACATATCTTCCCATTCAATAAGTAATCCATTAAACCCCATATTTTGCAAAAGAGGTAATAAAGAAATAAAATATGAAGGCTAAAAAGAATTTTAAAAATTAAAAAAAAGTTTAAAGAAAAAAACTTTAGGAGGAGCTCCTTTAAAATCAAAATGCATCCACAAATTGGTTGGAACAAAATTTCCTTCTAATGTAAGTCTGGGATAATCCTTAAGAAAATGAAAGAATTAAATAAGAAAGAAATGGTTAAAAAAAAATTTTTTTTTGAAGTCACAAAAATTTGTAAAAAAATTTGCAACCGTTAATTAGAATAAAATAAAAATTATTTTCCACCAAACGGACACGAACCTGAGACCTAACGTCAAGATAGTTCAGGTCAAAATAACTTAACCACAAGAACACCCACATACACCTTGCTAATTTAACTAATAACAGTAGAATATTAACAAATATAGAGGGAAGTGGAAGAGAATTTTTTAGGAGTTAAAAATTAGCAAGAAAACCAAAAAAACACCTCCAACAATTTTTTTCTTTGCCCTACCCAAAAAACGAAAACTAAAAATATTTTTAAAAATTAACCGAATGTTGTAAATCCAATTCTTTAATTGCATTAATTGCTGGATGTTTATTATTCTTTAGTGGTTGGATACGAACTTCTTTTACAGGCTTGTTTTGTTGGTCATTTTTTGTTTCGGCAGCTTAAAAAATTTTAAAATTGAAGAATTTTGTGGATTGAAAATATTTTTCAATGCTAAATTTTCTTGGGAAATTGAAAAAAAATTTTCCCTTCGTTAAAAAAATTTTTGAGAATTTTCAAAAAATGCAGATTAGTCCGCAAATATTTTACGGACAAGGTGTTGACGGTAATATGAAGTCATTAATTATAAATTATTAATTCAACTCAGAAAACTTTAATAAATTTTTAAATAGAATATAAAAATACCCAAATTGCCCCTTTTACCATTGTCTGCAGATCCGGATATTCGGATCCGAGAAAGTCTACATATCAGAAAACTTTTTTCGATTCAAATATTGGGCACGGATATTCAGGAATTTACCAACTAAAGATCACCCAAACCTACTTCCCCCAAAAATTTTCTTAATTAAAAAACCTTTAAGTTGTCCCAAAAGAACCTCGTTTTGTGATTTACATTCAATTTCCGAATTCCTCAAATTATTTAATTGAGATTGAGCATCTAAAAATTTAACTTAAATCTAATATTTTTAACAAATAAACCATTAATTTCATTTTTCAAAATTAAAATTTGTTGATTTTTTAATTCAAATTGAGTTCTCAAAATTTGTAATTCATCATTAAAATTAGTAGAATAAATATAATATAATAAAAAACAAAAAGAAGCTGTCAAACAAATTAAACTTAAAAATTTTATTTTTGGCATTAAAGTTGTTGATTTGTTACTACACCTTAAAAAATAAAGGAAAATTTTTGTGAAAATTTTTAAGACTTGAAAAGAGGTGCTCACATTTGCGGACACTTTTTGCGGACTTTCTGCAAATTTCTCTAGGGATGTTTTGTCCTGTTTTATAATTGAGAAGCAAACAAACAGGGATGGATGCAGAGCTGCACGCAATCGAAAAAAAGATTCCGCAACTCGCAATTTTTTTAGAAATCCGCACCCGCACTTGCGTACAGCCCTGAAGGGATGTGTTACCCGGAATTCAATACCTAAACTTTTTTCGATCCGAAGCCCAATTCGAAGAAAATTTTAAAAATACAAGCCGTAACACGACTTGATTTTCCCCTTAATTTGTCCCATTCATAAACATAAAGCAACCCAAAAAGGAGGAAGTCAGCAAAAAATGTATACAATAGTGATCACCCCATCATTCTCAAATAAAAAATTTAAAAGATAAAAAACTAGGGGAAATTTCTGAAAAATCTATTAATTTCAAAAGGTGTGAAGTAGTCCAGTAATAGCCCAAAATAATTTAAATGCAAATCCAAAAATAAATAAATTCAAATGAAAACCAAATTCATCCCACAAAATTCATTCCCTACTTTTAAATTTAATTCCCCCCTTCCCCCAAAATTCCCCTGCCTACTTTCCAAAAAAAAAGAATTAACACCCCAAATAAAAAAAATTTTCAAATCACTAACCGCATTATACGCCGCCAACAATGAAAATTCATGGAATGTGTTGACACACCTTTTTTGCTTTTTTCTCGCTTATTTTTGATGTTTTAATTGATTCTCTTCTTTTTTCTAACTATTGTTGCCAGTCAAAACATTTTCTCCTTTTTTATTACATAAATAGCACTTTTAAAAAAATAACTTTTAGTAAAGCGAAGGACATTAAATGAAAGGACATTAAAATAAAAAAGAAACTTGGCGGAGAAAATTATACGGCCACGCCCAAATAGGCGCGCGGCTATAACGGCGCAAAACCATAACTTGCTGGAAAATTACTATCCCTTATCAATTTTGGTACCAATCTCTTTAGCTCGATGAGGGGAATCGTTTAATACTAAATTTGGTAAGCTTTGGAAATCTTGAAGCAAGTTATGGCTTTGCGCCTTTGTGGCCTCGCGCCCAATTGGGCTGTACCCAAATTATACGTAGAATATTAGAGTCTTGGCAGGTGGACAGTAAAGAATATATAACATTTGGCTAAAGCCTCGGCTGCAAATTATGGCTTATTTTGCTTTAAAAACCTACGACTTTTGAGGATACTTGACTGTATTTCCTCTAATAGAATGGCCTGCCATTCTCTTTTCAATCATCTTCCAAGGAGCCATTCTATTAGAGGGGGCCATTCAAATAGAGGAAATACGGTAAGCATAAAGTCAGTGATAAAACTGATAAACAAAAGGATTTGGTAATTTTTTATAGATCTTAAAAAGTCGGGTAACCTTTAAAAGAATGTGAAAAGGGGAGGAAATGAGGGGTATAAAAATATAAATGTGTTAAACAGATAGTATATATATAAGAATTTCAATTAATTTTGTTTTATTTTTATTCATTCTAAATTTAATTTATAACAAAAAATATTCAAAAAATTGTGTAAAATTTTACAAAAAAATTATCTTCCAATTTTAATATCGTTTTTAACAACTTTGAAGACCACACACACACACACACACACACAATGTCAGACATTCATTTAACTAAAAAAACTCCAAATTTTAAATTTATTCAAAAACAAACTTGAAGTGTCTTTGCGTGTTGAAAATAGAAAATATCAAGTCAAAAAAAGTTCTCTCAAGTTGAACCTAAAAATTGAAAAAAAAATAAAGCTTTGGTAAAGTATAAAACGAAAATAAATTTGAAAATATTAAAATTAAATAGGGAGGGGGGGGCCTGGACTATGTGGATCAGAGGCTAATGAAAATCGTTCAACCTCGAGGAATAGACTGATTAAACACAGAAAGATGAAGAAAGTGACAAATCCCCTACTCATTTAACGATTAAATCGCTTTTTCCCTATTTTCTTTTGGATTTTATAGTAAGCCTTATGGGGGGGGGGTGGGGGGAGTTTTTTAGTTTTCAATAAAATTTAGTTTGGAATCTGAAAATAAAAGGGAAAATTATGGTTAAATAGGGGTCTTATTAAAGTGCAGGGAATAGATGTACATACCCCAAGTCATCACACTAATCAACTAATAATTGAAAAAATAAAAAGAAAAAACCTTTTTTTAGTCGACACTGGAAAAAATTGAAAAAACCACAAATTAGAGCACAGCAATTAAAGCTAGAGCCGATTGAGTTCCCACATAGGCAATATAAATTGACCAAACATTAAATTCATCCCAAGTAGCGAGACAAAAACTTGAAAAAAAACAAAAATAAAAATTCCCAAAATTCAAAAAAATTAAAAAACCTTAATGGAGTTAAAATGAAGAAGAAAATAGTTAAAAATTGAATTGAAAAAATAATCCAACGCCTTCTAAAAATTTTTAAATTCTTCAATAGAGTAAATAAAAAGGTAAGAAATACAATCATTAGAACACATAAAGCCATAATTCGAAGATAAAATCTGAAAAGGATTAAAAAAAATTTTTTTTTGAAACAAAGAATGTCAAAATAAAATTAAAAAAAATTTTTTCTAAGAATGTGCCCCCAAAGGGAAAAATAATTATCAACCACAGGATTCGAACCACCTCAATATTTAACCGAAAACCAAACACTTAACCAACACCTTTACTAACATAAAATAAAAATTAACCTATTTATTTTCCGACTAAAAATAAAAGTTGCAGGTAGATCAAAATAATAGATTGTGAATATAAAGCAAATCCACCAGAGAATGTCCTCCACCTAAAAAAATTTTTTTTGAGTTTTAATTACATAATATAAAAAACGATAAAAAGCGAGGGGAAAAAACACATATTTTTTGCGACAGAAATATTCTGGTCTTGTCAGACTCTAACACAGGAGCAATGTTTGAAAGCTCGTACCAAAGTCGATATCAAAGTTACATAAATAAAGAAAAAATTTCCGAACAACTCCCAGAAAGCACCCAAGCCTAATTTAATAGCCCTCCCCCTCCAAAAATTAATAAAAAAAAACACTCTAATTCCTCTGCTTTTTCCTTGACTCAAAAATAGCAAATTTTCGCATTCTTCCTCTTTCCTTTTATTCAAAACTTTGCAAGAATTGCCAAAATCCTTCAATTGTCCATTTGATCTATTCTGTTGACTGTAATTTTTTCTTGAATTAATAGCACAATTATTCTGGTTTTTAATAGCCATATTATTATTGCCTCGATTCTGATTTGTAATTATTGCAATTCCTCATTAATTTTAAAGCTTTAAAAAATATTTTATGACTTAAAAACCAAGAAAAACAAGGGAAAAAATTTTTTCTTTTGGATTAAAAATTAGCCAAATTTAAAATAAATTCTTAAAAAAATACAAACAAAAAAGCATTTTATTTAAAAAATAATAATAAATGATATATTTAATAATATAAAAAACAATTCTTGGGAAAAGAATTTTGACTGATTTATTTTTTAGAATGGTTCCACCACTCTTGAAAGATATAAATAAATACACATTTTTAAATGTAAAAAAAATGAGAGGTTTTGCAAAATTGGACGAGAAAATTGAGGGGGGTTTTGTATGAGAAATATAAATTTATATTCTACTATTTTTATTTTAAATTTAAAATTTACTGAGGGAAATTCTGAGAGGAAAATAGTAGATAGTCAATGAGTATTTTATTTATTTGTTTGTGTTCTCGCAAAACCAAAAATTAAAAACAACTTGTAAAGTAAACTATAAAAATAATACAAAAATCAATGTAATAGTAGAAAATTGTGAGTAAAACGAAGAACAAAAAAAGCAAAAAAAATACAAGTGTATAGTGTTGCAAAAATAAGCATTCAAAATGTTGAGAAAAAAAAGATATATAATAGTGGAGAGGAAAGAGGGGACAAGTCGGGGAACTTAAAAAGGAAAGTATGAATCACCAAAGAAAAGACCAAAAGATCAAATCAAGTGGAATCTCCCTATAAAGTAGTAAAAAGACAAGGAGAATGTCGTTATATTAAAACTGAACTGGGCTAGCTATTTCTCTCCCTCAGCTAACACAAAAGGAAGACTTGGTAATGGATACGGATACAGATAATTTCAAAATGCTTACGGATATTCGCGTGTATCTGCTATAAATATTCGGATATAGATACGAAAATCCATTACCAAGTCTGGCAAAAGATGTAAAAAGAACAGAGCATCTCGGACTGATATGTTATCTATTTACCGAACTGATGTGCTGCTTCTTACATAGCCTTAGGCTTTAAATAGTTACGCCTATATGCTTTACATTATAAGAGAGAGATTTTTTAAAATATTTTACTTTTTGTCAAATAAAGCTTTTTTTTTTATTGGGAAGGTGAACTTTTGGTTGTTTTTATCAAAACAAACAAAAATTTCTGGCAGTGGACAAATAAATAAATGGTGAATGCTAGGCGAATGTTTTGGGGAAAAAGAGAGAAGAAACATATAAACCAAAAATCGATCGTATTTTAAAATAAATATTAAAAAAAAACATTTAGCCTAATAATCTTTTGAGATCATTGCTGTAAAAGTTATATATTTGGATTAAAACAAGATATGGAAAGATAAAGGCGAAAAAATAGCAGATAAATCTCTTATATATTCTTTTTTGCAGATAAGGTTTACAGGACAAGGAGAGGATTATGGGAGAGGATCTTCCGGAAGTTAACTGTTTCTGTGTCGGATTCGGTATCAGGGGCTAATTAATAGAACCCGGAATTTATGCAAATGCATATTTTTTTGCAAACTTGGCATGATGCATAATGCACAAAAAACATGTTTTGAAAACTTTAGAGGGGGTTTCTATTTGTATAAAATGCATATTTTTGGTGCATAAATGGACATTTTAATGCATATTTTGAGGTTTTTGGGGAAAATATCACGAAATTTCTTTGTGCTTGTTGGGTTCACCAGAAAATGGCCCACATCCATAATGTCTCAACACCAAAATGTCGCACCCCAAAATGCCCCACCACCAATCCAGATTTCGGTGTCATTAAAAATATTTCACTCCCCTTATCTGCTTTTTTTTTATAAATTTTTTATTTTTTTAGCTACTTTGTCTTCCCGAAGAAGACAAAGTACTAACATTAACACCCATCATAGGTTGTCGACTGGGACGATTTGGAGCAGGCGAAAAATCATAATAAGTTTCCTTATCTAGAGATAATTTATTTGAATTATTATTCCCACCACCACATCCACCACTCCTTGTTGTTGAAGAAATATAAGCATCACTTTGTTCACTCATTTCACCATCAGCATCTTCCAATTCATCCTCCCTTTCTTCCTCTTCTTCTTCATTATAATTAGTAGCTACACCATTTTCTATTAATGGATGATTTTGTTCTGAACGTTCCTCATCTTCAATTAGGCTAACTCTATTACGAGCACTTGAACAGCTTGTTCGATCACGCTCTAAAAATAAAAAAGTGAAAAAATATTTGAAAAAGAAAGTTTTCTGCAAGACTAGTTAAGAACCCTTTTTGTCATTTTCTGTTTTTTTTACAAAAAGCTAAACTCTAATCTAAAGGGACAGAGGTGTAAACTAGAGGTCGGCGCAGGACAGGATCCTGCACAAGATTTTTCATGATCCTGTCCGAAATCCTGCCTTTTTTTGGTCTTCAGGAGTTTCAGGATTAATCCTGAGAGATCCTGTCCTGTCGATTTTTAAAACCCAATCCTGATACAGGATCCTTCAAATGTGATTTACCTATCTCTAGTGTAAACTCCTACAATCGAGATTTTGGGATTGAAAAATCTGACCCTTAATGACCAACCAAATCTTTAAAAATTGAAACCTAAACTGAGTTATACGTGAATATTTGACTGTAGGTCTGGTCAGTCCCTGAAATCGGAAATTTATTTTTTAGATAGGCTCCTTCCTTGTACGAAAAATTGAGGTTTGACTGTAACTTTAATTTTGCCATTAAAATATTTTTTTGAAATTGATACAAGGACAAATTCAAGTATATAATACCTTCACGTTTTCTCCTACGAGAACTTGCTTCAACAACCAATTGATGAATTGATTCAGTCATTACTGGATCATATTGAGGTGCTTCATCTAAATTATTATTGTTTGACCCTTCACAAGAATGTACATAAGATATTTCTGTTTGGGGACTTTCTTGTTGTTGTTGCTTTTTCCGTTGATTATTAAAGCATTCTTCTTTTGGATTTGTAGAAGATTGACGATTTGAAGTAGCAACACTTTTACTTCTTCCACCTACTTTATTAAAAAAATATTTTAAAAATTGCCTCAGTTTTTGTCATTTTTATACAGTCGAAACTTATAATATACATACACCCTTAGCTTTAGATAAGAGGTCCCCATAAGCAAGTTACCCAGATCCAAATCTTAACTGAGCGTACCTCAAATAAATGACAGGGGTGTGAAAAAGACAAAGTTTTGCCAACATTTCGCCTTTGTGGCATTTCGTTTTTTTATCTTGTGCTTTTCACATCTCAACGTACTCCATGGTAAAAATGGGATCCTGGGATGGGATGATCATGCGGGTTTCTGAAATAAAGAATTGTTTCAATGTCAGCAAGATCTTTGTTTAATTTATAACGAGAGATCAGTTTATATTTCAATTTAAACAATTCCTCAGACAACCTCCATTATTTCTCCTCTGTGTAGAATGTCCAGAATTATTCCTTTTCCCACCAGTTCCTCCTCCTCTACTTGTTGTCCCAAAATGTTGATGTTGAACTAAAAATGCTTTTCTAAGTCGTCGTTGTTGTAAAGTTGCGGCGGCGGCGATGCGTTTATTTTGATTTTGATGTTTATTGCTGTTATGCCAACTATTTTCAAGTTCCAACAATTCATTGAAACTTTTATTGTTGTGGTGGTATGGCGCTGCTGGCCGCATCACCGCCGCTGAGGATAAAAAATGACGTGGAGGTTCTGTTGGTGCTGGATTTAATGGAAGTGATGGTCCTTGACTTCTATTACAACACAAATTGTTGTTAGCATTTTCAGGGTTAATAAGTGTTGTTGTTGCGTAAGGAGATGGATCTGGGTTTTAAGAGAAGAAATTAGTTTGAAAATAAGTTTCGTAAGGGAAGAAATTCGTGGAATAATGAAAAGCTGAAAAAGTCACCGAGCCTTTTGGGGGCTGGTAGCCTAAGCCCAAGAGCAAGTTGCTTCCTTGATAGTAACCTCAAAGCAGGGTTCGACCCCTAATTCTGAAGAAGGGAAGTCCTCGAGGGAAAGCGAGCAAGGGTCCAAGTTCCCGAGCCCGAATTCCCCGCATCTCCGGCAAAATCAGCCTTTCCCCTTAAGATCCACCATAATTAACTCAAAAAGTTTGGGAAGCGCCAAGAAAGGACAGAAAAATCGTTCGATTTTAAGAAACCAAAGAAAAGATTGGGGCAAAGAGGGGCACAGCAAAAATAATTTCACTCAGAAAATCCCTCTCCTCACATATTCATAATTAAAATAAATACCATCATAATATTTTGGAGGTGTTTTTTGTTGTCTAGCAGCAGCAAAAGTACTTAAAGGACCACCATTTCTATCTAGAGAATTCAAATTATCCGGTAATTGTGTATAGTGATAATGATGACTGGGAGAAATTGGGGGTGGGTCAATTTGAGAACCATCAGGATTAGTAAATCGTTGTTGTGGCAAATGAAGATTACCGGTATAATGATGCAAAGCATGACCCAACTGAGAAAAAAAAATTTTTGTTAACTTTTTATTTTTGGATCAGAATCACGAGTCCCCTAAATCGGAAATACATCTTTTATGTTGGCAGGATCCCTGAGTTGTATCTATTTATGATTCACGGACCATTCTCAATATCAGGAAAAATCAGAACATTGTCAACTTATTAACAAAAAATAATTTCTAATAAAAAACACCTGGACAAGTTCATTCCCTCCCGTATGCCCTCCATTTCTTAGCAATTCAGAAGAATTATGCCCTATCAAATGATGACAATTTCCTCCCCCTCCTCTAACTAATGTTCCAGTAAATGTTTCAACAGTTCCAGCATTATAATGTTGTTGCTGTTGTTGTTCATGTGATGATGACCAAAAAGCATTTAAAGCATCACCCAAAACTGTTGTATTTGGAGCACAAACACTTCCATCACGAATTTTAATAAATTCTCTTTGTTCTTTTTCGTTTTCTCCATTGCCTCTATGACAACATTTATACCAAAAAAATATCATTACTAAAAGTAGCAAACACCAAAGTAAAATTCCACAGCCTAAAACAGCACAAGGTTGTCTATACCAAATACTATCGAGACGTTCAAACATTCGAATATGTTGATGTAAAGTTTCTTCATCTTGAAGGAAAAATTTTTTTATTTTCAAAAAAATTGGGATGAAATGTCCAACAATTTGAAAAAATTAAGAAACACATAATGAGAGAAAGGTTCCTATCCCTGAGCAGGAATCAACCTGCAACCTCCTCGCTGCGTTCTTAAACTAAAAATAGGCTACCGAGGCGTTGCTTCACCTTCTCTCTTAATAGATCGATCATAAGCCCCATAAAAAGTAAACGTTCTAAATGCTAGTCAGCTGGATCTCTTTTCTTCCTTACAAGATTAAAAGACAATTTTTTGAAAATAATTTTGATCATTTTACGAAATTTACGGATTTAATATAAAATTTTATATTTCTGGCAGTTTTAAGAATTTTAGAAAACCGATATGAGACGTTTTATCCCAGCTTTTCTTTTCTCTCTCAAAATTTTAATAACCTGCCAATTATCAGAAGAAATAAGGACCCTTAATCTCACAATTTTCTTAACTTTTTTCCCGATTAAAAAAATTTCAGACATTTAATCCAAATATATTCTTTAAATGACATTTTATCCCAATATTTTTTGATGACATTTTATCCCAAAAAATAAATTTTTTTTTGATATCTCATCTCCCTCCATAAAAATCTATCAAAAAAAAAGACAAACTTACTCATAACAACAGGCTCTTCGTCAAAAAATATTCCAACTCCAGCATTTGTTCTTGCCGCAACACGAATTGCATAACTAGCATTTGGAATTAAACGATACAAAGTAACGCTTGTTGCTCTTTCATTTGTTGTTATATTACGATCTTCAACAGAGGAATGGTTACTTTTTATATTTATTAAAAATCCTTTTAAAATTCCGTTGATATGATCTGTTGGTGGTGGACGCCAGGATATTCGTAAAGAACTTATATTTAACATACGAAGACGAACATCAGAAGGGGGCATTGTTGGGGCTAGAAAAATAAATTTTGTATTGGAATTTTGGTTAGAAAAATTGCTAGTTAAGAGTTAGAAAAATTAACTAACAATGAATTGTTTTAAAAAATATTTGCGGACTCGCATTTGCGGACAAGACTAAATGAGAAAAAACTTGAAAAAGAATCTTTGTGACTATAACAAACACGAGCCATAAAATTAAATAAACCCATGAGTAAAGTTGGCTGTTCGGATATGAAAAAATTTCCGGACATCAGGAAATTTTCGGTTTGGATATCGGCTCCGGATCAGGATACTCGAAATTTCCCCAATCCGCAAACCTACAAATGACCCGTGTTTGAAAACTCCACGAGTAAGATCAAAAGTTCCAGACATACTAAAAGCTTCCTTCAAATGAAAAATAAATTTAAAACTAACTAGCTTCCATTGTTGTCCCATCAAGTGAATTTGAAGGCATTCCTTGTATTTGATAACGATAAGGTATCACAAAAAATTCATAATTGTTAAAAGGCCTCAATCCATTAATGATTATGTGTTCAATTTCAGGATCGGTTACATTCACCCAACTGTGGTCGTGAGGTAAAGGAGGTCCACGCCATTTAATATAATAACCTTGGACTAGAGGTTCCTATAAACAAAAAAAATTTTTTAAATAAAAAATTAGGTAATTTTTGGTTATAAAAGAGCCCCCCCCCCCCTATTTGTCTCATTGTCAGATTAATTTTCCTCTTATTCTTTTCTGCTTCGGAATGGCCATACTTCATTTTTTATATAGTAAATCAGAGGTGAGCTCTGCCGTATTTTAAAATTGAAAGGAGGAAGAAACGGGCGAGAATAAAAACGGAAGACCCAAAAATGACGGAAGTAGGCAGAAAACAGAGGCAGAAGAAGAATCCTATCCTTGCTTGTAAATTTTGATTTTTACCGCTGACGTCTATTTTTTCCCCACAAGCAGTAATTTTTTGTTCGTTTAAATTTTGACTAAATAAGTGATTGACAATGCAAGGAAAATTAATCGAAGACTCAAATAGTGAGGGGGTATAACCAAAAAATCTAAAAGAAAAAAAACCTTTTTCTGCCTTTTCCAGCTTAAAAGCATCGCTGAAGAATTTAAAGGTCTAACTTCTACTAATTTAACCAATTGTTCAGAAGAAAGTTTTTGTCTAGCAGTTTCCATATCCAACATTCTTCCAAATTGAGAAGAGGTTTCACTACCTTCCTCAGGTTCTCTATATCCAATAGGTGTAGAAATTGTTACAAGAGAACTTGGCTGTGATGGTAATCCTATTCCTTTTGAATTTTCTGCTCTAATCAAGAAAATGTAGGAACGCCCAGGTCGAAGGTTTTTGATACGAAAACGAGTGGTGGTTACAACATCCATTATATTTTGCCAAGACTAAAATGAGAGAGAAAAATTATAAATATAAAAATAAAGTTAAAATCCCCTTGGAAAATTGACAACATTCAAAAATCAATTCACAGGTAAAGATTCCCTAACAAATTCTCAGTCCCATTTACAAAAAGTTCAATTATCCCTTGTAGGGTTGCCGTTTTCGGTTCGAGCCGACGTTCGGTGCATTTTTTTCGAGCATGGTTTTTTCGATTCGGTTCGTTTTGGCGCTGAGTGTTAGTCCGAGTGTTAGTCAAAGGAAGCTGCCACTACTGTGAATACCGAAAAGTAGCCGAAGAAAAGAAATTCACCTTATATGAGACAAGAAATTTTGGCAAATTCGAAAATCGCTAACATCTCCCCATCTATCTCCGAATATCAAAAAATTCCCTTCCCCAAAAATACAAAAAAATCCCCCCAAAAATACCCAAAAATACTTTCCTAATAAAAAAGAACACAAACCTCTCCCATCTCAGGACTCCAATATTGAATTATATATCCAACAATAGGCGAAGCCCCTTGTCGTTCAGGAGCTGTCCATTCCAATTCAACAATTCCATCATCAGAAATATTTAACAAATTTGGCTTTCCTGGAGAAGAAGGAAGAACTGTAGCATCAGGCATTCTTTGAAAATTTGTATTTCGATTTGTATGTTCTTCAACTACAAGAGATGATGTCCAAGTAGTTTCTCCATCTTCATTTGATGCTTTACATGTAAAGATTCCACTGTCTTCCTTCCTACAAAATTTTCGTAAAAATATTTTAGTAAAATTCCGCCTTGTCCAGGAAACCGATTTGGGCAAACAATATGTCCTTCGAAAGAGCTCAACGAGCAGTTGAAAGACGACAAAATTAAGTTACGTCTTAACTTGGGCCGAGATATACTCCTTGAAAATCTAAAAATCCATGCGGGAGAGGCTCATACCCCATTTACATCTTTTGACCATTATGAGACCATAACTCGGCTTAAAATCGTGACCGGGCTTAATTTTTGGTGTCATCGATTTAGCTCGCCGAACCCTTTCAAATGAGTCGGTTTCCGAGAAATATGACAGAATTTTTCCAAAAAAATTTTTTTCTACTTCAAGTCAGATATTTGTAATGTCCCCATCGATTGTTGTCGATAACGATTTTTGTAATCACTCGAATTTAGATTTAAAGGCATATCATCTTTCATCCAATTAATTACAACAGGTAAACGTCCAGTTGCCTGACAGGGAAGTATTGCCATATCGTTAAGCATTAAAGTTTGATTTTGATGACCATATTGAATGATTGGTGGAGGATGTGAAGTAGCTTAAAAATTAAAAAATTTTTAATTAGGTAAACGAGAAGATTGTTTTGATTTTTTCCTAATAAGAAAAAGTCTAATAGGAAAAGGCTTCTAAAAATCAAACCAACTATCAACGAACTTCTTATAACCCAACGGAGGAAGGGGAGGCTCAGGGAAAATCATTCGGAAAAACAACACCACCAAGAGGGTTTAGAAAATTTTGTACGTAGAAATATAATGAATACATAAATCCTTCTTAATCGCTGCAAGCTATTAGGACCGGAGTAAAACGAGGGTCGGCGGATACGGATATCCAAATCCAAAAAAGTCAACCCAGAAATTTTCGATTCGAATATCTTGGGATTTCCTATGGTCCGCCAGGATCCAGGGAAATACACATCCTGGATCAAATAATGACTACAAAGAAAAATCATTTTTCAAAGATTTTTTAACCATTAAATTTAGTTTTTAATTTACATTCATCTTCACACTGATCAGGAGTTTGAAGACATGATAGAGACAAAATAGTTGTTATATTTAATACAGATCCAAAAATCATTTAACAGAAATAAATAATTATATGAAGTAAAATACATGAAAAAATCTATCAATTTTGATTTAAAGTTGAGAGAAAATAAATTTTTAAAGAAAAAAATTTCCGAATTTTTTTTATTTTATGTTTCAACTTTACAAGGAATATACATATGTAAATAAAAACAAATAAAAATCGCATTTGATGGGGGGTTTTGCGCTTATTTTCCCACCATCAAAAACCATCCTTTCTTTACCAAAAATCATTCAAAAAAGCCTTGGGTTTCTTCAAAACAACCAAACATTTATGTAGATTGCGTGCACCTTTAATTCTCCCCTACCTCCTCCTAATCGCTTGCAAGACTCACTCAAAAATTATATATATATCCATCAAAAGGATTTTATACTTTTTGCCATTGCCGCTCTCCCTCTCTCTCCCTCCGCTTTATACCCAAAAATCATGAAAAGGGAAGGACACAAAACACAAAAATGCTCTGACCTATCTCAAAGGATTAGCCTGAAAAAAATATCTTTTAATCCTCTTCTACCTTTCTCTTTTTAGATTTTTATTGTTTTTAGCGTAGAAAAAAAGTTGAAATCCCTTTTTTGATGTGCGTAAAATGTTAAATAAGCGTGATAAAAAAATTAGAAAAAGAGGGATGCCGCGCATATTTTTTTGCAAGTAATTAAACGTTTTATGTGAACATGTTGCAAAAAATTCATTTATCCATGGTTTGATTGGTAAAATTGAACAGGTAACTTTTTAGCGGGTTGAGAGAGGGGATGTTTAAAAGATTTCGCTCTATGGCGTGGACTTGTATAAAAATTAAAATATACCCAAGAGAAATGTATAGACCACAAAACCCTCTAAATATAAATTTTTTGACCAAATAAAATACGAAATCGGTGTTTTTAAGCTAATCTAAAGGTATATACTTATGCTTACCTACAAATTAATAAATTTTTAGTATTTTCGGTGAAGTAATGTATAAAAATTGGCAATAACTCTCACAAAAAGTTTTTTACCAAAATTTTGCAAATACATAATTAAGGATTTTTTGAAAATTTTTAAATGTGAATTTAAAGGTAGACGCAATAAACATAAATTACAATTGTTTGGAGAAAAACCCACCAAAGCTTGGGAGAACTGTACAAAATTTATATGGATATTGCAAATATGACAACATTTCTATAAAATCTCCCTCCTCGCATTTTAATGGGATTTTTGGCTTTAAACATAAAAAAAGAACATAAAAATTTTTGTAAAAAAATTAAAGAAGCCTCCCCAGATCTCTTCTAAAGAACAAAAAATATTAATGAATAAAAAAATTGATGAGAAAGGCATACATTAAAATATATTCCTCCCTCAAATAAAAAAATAGGTAAAACTGACAGACACAACTGTTTTGGTATAAAATATTTAATTGTTTGCTGTAGTATTTAAAAGTGGGAAAACAGTGAAAGTGTCACAATAAAAAAAGATTTTTAGGTATTTATTTAGTTTAAACTAAAAATTCTCGCTAGGGATTATATATAAAGCAACACAAAACATATTTTTAAGCATCGAAAAAAATAGGTAGGTTTGGGTTGTCAATTCGAAAATGAACCGCACCAGAGAACCGAGGATTGTTTAATTAGACTATTTGGTTAGATTAAGGATATTCGAAGATATTTTCCAGAAACTAATAACCTAGTGTACTGAAGATAGAGCTAATACAACTTTAAGGCCGAGAAAATTTTATCTTATAAGGAGATGCATTTTAAATAGCACCCTACGCGTAAACAGTTCCAAACAAAGGTTGGACATGACCGGTAAACTTTTGCCTAGGCGGCTCAAATAGATAAGAAAAGCATTTGAGCCGCTACAGGCAAAAATTAACTGGTCGTGTCTACACTACTCAACCAAATTAAAAAAATCGTATCTTAAGGTTTATCTAGTATTGGGGTTATCTTAAAATCCAAAATGAGGTTCGACCATATTGAGGTAAAAAAATATTCATTCTACATACTATTTAAAAATGCAAATTTTTAAATAATAATTTATGAGAGCAACAATAACATGTGTTCAATGGCCATATGAATGAACAAAAAAGGACAAAATATTTTCAAAAAAATATAATAAAAGGTAAGAGGGCTCGGATTTCACCTCTCAACGATTAACAATAAAAAAAGGTTATTATTGTTTAAGAAAACAATAAAAAAGAGCGATTAACCTTGCAAAAGAGGAGCGAGATTTTCATGCCCAAATTTTACAAAAGAATAAGAAATTGTCAAGAGAATGGAAGTGGGGGGGGGGGGGAGGGAGGGGGATATTTTGTAGATTTTAAAAATTATTTAAAATATTCAAAAATTATTCCGAGAAAAATAAAAATTGAATTAGACAAGTCGGATTAAGAAGAAAGAAATCAGACAATAGAGTTTCACCGGAAGTTCCGGTAAGTTCCGGCGTTTGGTTCCGATTCCGGGATCCAGAACTCAAATTGGATCCGGTTCCGGTCAAAATTTCTGTTCCGATGAAACACTAACATACAAGATAGAGGCTGGATGGATCAATAAAGTCAATCCAGAAAAAAGGAGAAATTTAAACAAGATTCAGACTTATAACAAAAATTGGAATTGAACATAGAAAGAGATGAATGAAGTTGAAGCTGAGCTAAGTCGGAATCAAAGTATTTGAATTTTTTAATTAAATTTTCAGGATAGATACATATTAAATCTATATTTAGAAAGATTAGTTAGATAAATTAAAGGAAATTTTTAAAGATTTTCAAAATTTATAGTAAAAAAGTAGAGGCGAAAGGACACATCTCTTGAAATATCTTTTAAAAATTTTTGCTTGAAATTTAGCAGTCAATTTAGTAAAATGCGAAATAAAAATTAAAAACTAAAAAAAGAGAAAGGAAATTGACCCTAATGTATAAAGGAAATTGTTTTGGAATCATGCAATAAAAAGGCAGGAAGAATAAATAAAAGGGAATGGAGACAAATACACATAAGATGAGTATAAGATTAAAAAAAAAGATAACAATCTTGCGGCAATATTTTCTTTCAATAAATGAGGAACAGAAAAGAAGAAAGGAAGCACAAAATATTATTATAATAAAAGAATCTTTTTTTTTCATGGATATCCAAAGTCCATTTTATATTTTAATTTAAAAAATTTCCTTTTTATTTTAATAATTTTGAGGAAATTGCCGGATATCCAGATCCGGCAATACTACTCATTAGGATGCAAAAATGTCTGGATATCCAACATTCTTACAAATAGTCCAAGGAAACCCCAAAGAGAGACATCAAAATAAGATTTATATTGCTTCAAAATTTTTTGATAACCCAAGGAAAAAATCTCAAAAAAGACTTAAGAATTTGACATTTAATACAAAACGAAAATATTTTCAAGTTCCCTAAGAAAATTAGAAAAAGAAAACTAACCATCACTTATTATAGACAACGAAGCTTTTGCCAATGTAGAACCAGCAGAATTAGCAGCAGCACAAACATAAATTCCTTGATCTATTTGACGAATATTGTCAATTATTAAACGCCCTTCATTTGTAACTTGAATACGTCCATCTGATGAAACTAGGCCAGAGAAGAAAGTAAAAAGCTTTAAAATGAGAATTTAACAAAATGAAAATGGAGTGCATCAAAATATCGAACACTGAAATACCATATACTCAAAAGCTGTCAAAATACCAAACTGGAAAATAAAAGAAAAACTTGACCATGATTCTTGGTTTTGGTTGATTCTTGATTTTGGTTTTTGACCTCGAGTCAAGGAAAAATGAAGGAACACATAAAAATGCCTTGTTCTTGGCTCTAGATCTAGGAAAATTAAGGCTTGAATCCAAATCCAAGCCGATCTCTAGTTTATACAATAAAAGTAAAGGTTGCTAATTGCTAGTTGCTAATCTGGATGAGGACCAGAACAGGTTCTTGACCTTGAGACAAGGAAAAATCAGGTCTGTCCAGATTCAGGCCAATCTCTAGCTGTTTAAGGTTTCTACTAGAGTTGGACACGACTGGTTAATTTTACTCTGTGGTGTGTCAAATAGAGAACAAGAGCTTTTGTGACGCAAAAGGGAAAAATTAACCGGCCGTGTCCAACTCTAGTTGTTGGAGTTGGAGGTTTGTATTACGACATTTGGTTTTACGGCATCATACCAAATGAAAAATTAAAAAAAAGAAAAACCTGATCTCCTTCTTTACTCCAAAAAATTCTTGGAATTGGCTGCCCAAAAGCTTCACATTCAAAAATTGCTGTTTTGCCAGGTATTAAACGTAAATTTTGTGGAAGTTTAGTAAATAATGGAGGTGAATTAATGTGTAAATGAGCAGAAGATTCAACATTTCCTACTGGATTTTTAGCAAAACAAATATACTCGCCCGAATCTTGGGGTTGTACTCTTAAAGAAAAAATGGATTATATTAATACCTTAAGCACGCAAGACGCCGGGGGAAATAAACACATTTGCGTTACCCTCTATTCCAAAAAATTGGGAATAAATATAAGAATGCTTTAAAATTATAGGAAAACTACATAACTATGGTTGCTATTTCAGAACCAACCCAAACTGAACGAAAGATTTCGATTTGGTCTAAGAAAACTGGACGTTCTTCCAAGGGCGTAGCCAAGGGGGGGGCTTCTGGGGCTAAAGCCCCCCCCCGAAATGGGGAAAAGGGAAAAATTTGGGGAAGGCGTTGGGCAAAAAAGTGAATTTTTTTGGCCTACGGCCTTCGAATTTTAAAAAATTTTCGCCTGCGGCGCAAAAAATGGAAGAAATCTGGCTTCTTGAGCTCCAAAATCCTCAAAATTTTCGCCTGCGGCGCAGAAAAGATGAAAATTTATGATCAAAAAATTTGCGTCCGGAACGCCAAGGTAAACGCCAAAAATTTGGCGCCCACCCAGTGTTAGCCCCCCCCCCCCCCCCCCCCCCGAAACCGACCCCCTGGCTACGCCCTTGCGTTCTTCTGGCCAAAATTAATGCCCAAAAGAGTTAAACTAATAAAAACAAAAAAAACTTTAAAGACAGACCTATCAATTCTAAGGCCTCCTCTATCCCTTGCTACATAAGCTCGTCCAATTGGCATTTGTCCATCGCGCTTTTTCCAAGAGATGGTAGGTAAAGGCTGAATTTAGAAAAATTAATTTCTCCCTAATTTTTCAGAAAAAACCTCTCCAGCAACTTTACATTCAAAAAGGACAGAAGAATTTACTTCAGTTACCACATTTCTGGGTTCAACCTTTAAAAATTTTTGAAAAAATTAAAAGGAAAATCAAAACCAAAAATTTAGGTTTTTCATAGACTGAAAGTCTAGCTGGTTTTGATATTCTTTCTCCAACTGAATTGGAAGCAACACATTGGTAAAAGCCTGCATCTGATTTTTGTGCCTAAAAATAAATTAGAATAAAAATATTTTAGATAAAAATGGCAGATTGACACTTGCGGACATGCTTAAGGTTTGTAATTTATATTTGTGATGAGTAGGGTCGTCGGTTTCAGCACGAATCGAACCGAAAACCCCGAAGAATTCAGTTAGATTTTGGTTAATCGAAGAATTGACCACAGACTCCGCATTCTGTGCAAAGAACACTGGTTCTGTGTTTGGTTGCACAGAATCTATGGTCAATTTAAATAGGGCCCTGTACAAGAACCAGCTGCATTTTGTTTAAATTTCAATGAGATCTAGATTTGTTCGCATATGAAAGGCAATAAAAAACAAACATTTTCAACGACCAAATTCCCACTATCCATTAATTGATATTTTTCGTTGTTTTGAGTATTTAATTCTCTTTCATCCTTTCTCCAACTAACTACAGGTTCTGGAAAGCCTTTGGGAGGTAGACAATCCAAAGTGACTCGATTGCCTATGAGGGCCTTAAAAATAAAAATTCTTAGAGTAAAATGAGTAAAAATGTTTAAAAAACCTGTACAGAATGAGGATTAATTCGAAACTCTTCTCGAAGCATGGCAACCCGTAAATTTGCTTCTTGCGATCTGACTTCGCCAAATTTATTTTTTGCTACACAATAATAAACACCAGCATCGGAATCAGGTCCGCCTTGAAAAGTTAAAATGCTTTATTAGTGAAAAGGAAAAAGGGAGGAAAAGCAACTAAATAATTTAACAGAAAATATACCACTTTTTATAAGTACAGAAATTTTTTGAGCTTTTGGATCTCATTCAGTCAATGGTTCTGAACAATAAATATCTTACCGGTTTACAAAGTTCTGGAAACTTGTGACCAATAAGATTGCTCAGGTTAATTTTTGCGTGTGACAGCATACATGGAAACCGCTATGGGCAAAAATTAACCGGGTATGGACAAACCTACGGAGGCAGTTCTATTTACATTAGCATTATAGAAAGTCAGTTAACCACCCCCAAAGAATTTAAGGGAGGGCGTAGACACCATCAAAGAAGTTCGAAAAACCCAAACTAGAACTTTTAACATTTAAAAATCACATACCACTTTTAACTTTTAAAAGAAGCAAAGAACCATCAGGTAACAAAAGACGATGACCGTTCCCAACTTTAACAGGTTCCGAGTCTTTATACCAAGTTATTTCAACTCCTTCTCCTTCTGCCTCACACCTAAACGACTTTCAGACATTAAATCCAAAAATACAAAAACCTCAAAGTAGCCGGATCATCTTTCGCTACCAAAATATCCAAAGGATGTTCAGAAATTGTTGGGGGTTCTCCTAAAATTTTTTTAAATTAAAACAATTTTAAAAACAAAAAAACCTGTAGCTGCTATTCTTGCAAGACAAAGAAGGAAAAATAAATTAATTAAAACTAGCACTGAAAGCATTCGGTTTTCACATTGCGTGGTGAATAGAAATAAGAGAATTATTTAAATAAATTAGGCATCTAAAATGGAAAATTAAAAAAATTATTTTTCTCTTAAAACCAAAAAACAAAAAAAACTAGGCTTCTTTTGTGGTTTTATAATGACTCATTTCATTGTCCATTCCAATCAATAAACGTAATTAAATATTAATTAGAAAGCTATTCTTTTTGCAGAAGAGAAGCAAAATAAAATTAAAAGGAAAGAAAACAAAAAGAGAAAGCCCTAGAAAAAGGAAAAGCTCTCTTTTTGACCAGCTAGGTCCGTAATGGAACCAAAGAAAGTCCTGCTACTTAAATTACTTTATCAAGGGTTTGAGGTTTTTGGATGGAGGTAACAATGGAATTTTTAGGAAGGCTCTTAAACCTAGGAAATTTCGAAGACATTTTATCCCAGTTTTAATCACAAGACATTTTATCCCAAAAATTTCAGGTCCAAGACAATTTATCCCCATAATGAGCAATTTTCTAGAAAGGCTCTGAAATTTCTTTCGAGTTTTTCAGCCCTAAAAAATGAAGCTCCAAAACATTTTGTCACAAAATTTCAGTTTCGGACATTTTGTCCCAAAAAACTTGTTAGGTCCATTATTAAAAATAATTTTTTCCTTCATTACTATATGAAGCACCTCTGCAAAAAAAGTAATCAACCAACATTAATTTCCGAGAAAATAGCAAAAAAAGGCAAGGATTGAGACAGCCCAACAGCACGCAATTTTCTCTCTCCCTTAATAACACCACCACAACAACCCTCAACACTCCTCACCCAATTTTCCTTCCTTTCTTCTTCTTCCATTTTCCGCTGCTCGATTATTGATGTTTGTATGTGTATACATACAGTCGTGGAAAAAAGTATGGAAGCGCTAGAAAATTTTTTCTTAATTCTTAATTTTTCATTCAAAAAATACGTTCTATATACCAATCGAAAGCTCTATTCGTATCTCAGTTGACATGTTTTTGCATTTTTCATGAAAATGAAAATTGGCCGAGATAATCCGGATCTACCGGATATACCAAATCCCACTTTTTCGGAAAAATTTTTCGGAACAAATTTAACAAACCCAAATGATAAAGCATATTTTTGTGAGCATTTACCACAAAACCGCTTAGAAATATCTTTTTCCAGAGCAGAGATATGATTTTTTGAAAATCGCATTTTTCGCTTAAAAATTGAATTTTTTGCAAAAATAGACGAAAAATGCGATTTTCAAAAAATCATATCTCTGCTCTGGAAAAAGATATTTCTTAGCGGTTTTGTGGAAAATACTCAGAAAAATATGCTTTATCATTTGGGTTTGTTAAATTTGTTCCGAAAAATTTTTCCGAAAAAGTGGGATTTGGTATATCCGGTAGATCCGGATTATCTCGGCCAATTTTCATTTTCATGAAAAATGCAGAAACATGTCAACTGAGATACGAATAGAGCTTTCGATTGGTATATAGAACGTATTTTTTGAATGAAAAATTAAGAATTAAGAAAAAATTTTCTAGCGCTTCCATACTTTTTTCCACGACTGTATGTGTGCATTTTGTGTCCCCATATGTGAGTGACCAAAATAAAAAAAATATAAATAAATTATGCTTCTGTGAACATAAGTGACAAAAAAATCCATTAGCTTTCTCAATACAAAAATTTTTATTCAAAAAAATAAATTTAAAAAATATAGGTAAATAATTTGAACAAATTTTTGGTAAATGTGGAGATTACTGGTCCCGAAAAAAAATGATAAAGAAATGCTTTTTTGATATTTTTGAGGGTTGCCAGTAGGTAATCGAGTGTGCTGAGTCCGAATCTGAGCTTAGAATTTGTTAATTTCGAACCCAGGACCTGATTTCGACCAAGTCGAATTCGGGGTAAAAAATTCGAAATTAAAAATTTAGGACTAATCTGACACGCCTATTCGAGATATGTCGATTGGCATCAAAATTATCAAGTTTCGACCATTTTAAACGAAGTTATGATCAATTAAATAACGTTGGGTTAGACTTCCGTATACAAATTAGACACCATAACTTCGTTTAAAATGGTCGAAACTTGATAATTTTGATGCCAATCGACTCATCTCGAATAGGCGTGTCAGATTAGCCCTAAATTTTTAATTTCGAATTTTTTACCCCGAATTCGACTTGGTCGAAATCGGGTCCTGGGTTCGAAATTAACAAATTCTAAGCTCAGATTCGGACTCAGCACACTCGATTACCTACTGGCAACCCTCAAAAATATCAAAAAAGCATTTCTTTATCATTTTTTTCGGGACCAGTAATCTCCACATTTACCAAATTTTTTCTCATTTATAAAAAATCTTTAAAATCCCAAATTGGTCAAAAAGTGTTCATTTTTTTATTTTTGTACTATCGCATTATACCCCAACTAAGGTTGGCGGGTCCTGGGAAATCTTCGGATATCCGGATACAATATCCGAACCTTTTTTCGGACCATCGTGCCCGTAAAAGTTCGTCCTCAACGTTTTAATGTGCCATAGGGAATAAGTGCCTGTCCGTTACTTATCTTCTTATTAGGGTAGCACCCCTAGCCTTCGGGATCGGGGTTTTCCGGGGGTTCGGGTTGTGATTTTTGCCAAAAAACGTCGGGGTTCGAGTTGCTACCCTGGATTTAAATAATTTTTTAAATTTATTTTGTCGTCAGATTAATAAAAACAATTTTTTCATCCTTTTTAATTCTTCTCTTTCATTTTCTTGATTTGAATTAAAAAAGCCGATCCATCTCCCATTTTCACTCCAAATTCCTTATGGTAAAATGAGAATATCTCTTTTGGATTATAAATATTTGCAATATGATATTTTGTAATTTTTGTATCATCTTTTTGTATATTTTCAATTTTTTCTGCTCTTTCGTTCAATTTAAAATTGGGTAATAAAATACAATGTAAATCAATAGTAGACACCATTTCTGATAAATCCTTGGATGTTATTATATGCTGAAATTTAAAATATTTCTGGCATATTTTTTGTGTATTAAATCCTTTAATAAAATAGAGGGGTGTGCCGTTTCGACTTTCGCCTTTTATAATCTGTTTCGGCATATCCATGATTCAGCGACCTTTTTTCGGCGAAGGCGAAACGGCACAATCCAATTTCTCTCAACTCTGAACAGGAAGGGTCAAGTCCCACCACAATTTTCAACATTACTTCTTAAATAACTCTTACTTTAATAATAAGATCATAAAGCATTGAAGATCTTGAAGATTTATAAATACCCAAATAAACTCGAGGAACTTTATTGCCTTCATTTATTATAATATTGAATAAAATATTAGTATGTTGCTCTGAAAGGTCACCAAAAAAGGTAGTGTTGACAGACTCATAAATATCAAAGTGAATTAAACCAAATTTCAAAATATTTTCGATTGTATTATTGGCATTGATAGACATTAGACGGAGGGATTGAACGTGAAATTGTGTAAGAATTGTTTTGTCATTATCAAATAATAAATTAATCATTTTTGGATTAAATATAATATATTCAAATCTTGTTTGAAAAAAGGCACAGTTAAAAAGTTGTTGTAACCAAAATCGAACAATAAACATTTCTTCTATTGTTTTTGGCACGTTTGGAAATTTTAAAATATAATGGGGTTTGTTGTCATCTAAATAGAAAAATAACTTGCTAGTTTTCCAAAAAATCAGGATCTCACTGCATCAATCAAGTTATCAACGTTAATGAACGGGCACAGACGCTTCTAGTGTAGTCATGAACCCAAATAATGCTACAGAATTTAAATGTAGCAACATTAACTCAAGAACATTAAAAACCCCCAGGGTATCCAGGAATAGCTCCGTCTTCCTTATAAATGCCCATTATTTTACATTTTTAAACCTGTTTTCCCTACACAAACAACAAAGCTTTTATTATCTCCAAAATCATGTAAAAACAACGTAAACGATTCAGCTATCGCTGTTTTCCACTGAAAAGATACAAGGAAACTAATCAAAATAAAAAATTTTATTAAGAACCTTCTTCATAAGCTGATCATCCAAAACAAAATCAGAAATTACAGGCTCAAGTTTAATGATTATATCTTGACTATGGATTTTTCTGGTATCAACCTAAAATCAATTTTTACACTAATAAAATTAGCTGATATTTACCAAAGAGAATTTATCAAATTCCATTCGGGCCAATCCTCCCTCATATTTATTAATTAAATTGCAAAAATAAGAATTTGATTGTCGGAGAGAGAATAATTGCTCAAAATTAAGACATTTTAAAACGTCAAGTTGAACTTCCGGCGGAATAGAAAACATTTTAAACAGTAAAATTCTAAACAAAATTTAACTTATAGAAGCTCCTGGGAATAAAAAACTGAAAAATATCTAAAAAAGAAATTCGTAAAGTTAAAAAATATTTAAAATAAATTATAGCAAGTTTTAAACTGCTAAAAATGATTCAACCAAAGCAAAAAAAATTTTAATTTAAAATAAATGAAAAATAAAGATGTTGGGCTTCATGTTGTGTATTGGCTTAGTATGAAGCACAGTTTGTTAGTTACTGTATTATCTCGTATTCTTTGTTAGTACTTAGACAGAAGTCTAGTACATAACAGTGATGCAAAAGTTCCAGTTCCGGAACTGGAATCATGGAACTGGCAAAGGTCTGAAACTGGTTTGGAACTGATTCCGGAACCGGTTCCAGAGAAATTTTGGAACTTCTGCATTACTGGTACATAACACTTCAATATCTTTATCCAATTAACAAAAAAAATTGTGATATATCCTGAAATTCTACATTACTTTTTGAGAAGAATATACCAAAGCTTCGAACATGAAATTCTTTAAGAGTTGTTTCATCATTATCAAATAATATATTAATAATTTCTGGATTAAATGCAATATGAGAAAACAAGGCATAATCAAAAACACAGTTAAAAAGTTGTTTTAACCAAAATCTAATAATAATCATTTCCTCTATAGTTTTTGGAAAATTTGGCAATTTCAGAATATAACGGGATTTTTTGTCACCTAAATAGAAAAATGGTTTAACTAATAAAGAGAAATCTGCAATGGAAAGCTAGATTTGTAGCTCAGGAAATCAGGATTCAGTGGATACCAGGGAACGAGCCGACAAAAAAAACAAAATTCCCAATGAAAATTTAATTTCCGATTTCGTGAAATCGGAAATTCCGACACAAAAAAACGTCGGGAATTCCCGATTTTCGGGAATCGGGACGGCTCATTCCGTGGTATATACCTTATAAGCGTCAATACCCTTTTTCTCAAGCTGAACAGCAAAGCTTTCAATACCATCTTCAAACATATGTAGATACAATGGAATAGATTCAGCCATCGCTGCTTGCCACTGAAAAAACAAAAATCTATAAAAAATAATCTATAATCTTCAACCTTCTTCATAAGTTGATCATCCAAAACAAAATCAGAAATTACAGGCTCAAGTTTAATGAATTTATAGTAATCCATCTCTTGACTATGGATTTTTCTGGTATCAATCTAAAATAATTTTTAAATAAAAAAATTAGTTCATATTTACCAAAGAGAGTTTACCAAATTCCATTCGTGCCAATCCTCCCTCGTATTTATTTATTAAATTATAAAAGCAAGAATTTGATTGTTTAAGAGAGAATAATTGCTCGAAATTAAGACATTTTAAAACGTCAAGTTGAACTTCAGGTGAAAGAAAAAACATTTTAATCAATGGAAATCTATAAAAAAATTAAAAAAGAAATAAAATTAAAGGTTTGAAAACATTTAAAAATAAATTAGCAAGCTTTAACTACTTAAAAATGATGAAAATAAATATAAAACATTTTTAATTAAAGGTCAAAAAATATTTTTTTGAATACTCCATCGAACAATAAATTAATAAAATATAATTCTCTTTCAAATTCTACTCTTCCATCTTTTCGATATAAACATAAAATATTGTTTCAAATTTCTGATTTGAAAATAAAAATTTCACTTTTGGATTATAAATATTAACAATTTGGTATCTTGTATATTTATATCGCTCACTAGTTTTAACATTTTTTGCTCTCTCAGGTAATTCAGGTAATTTAAAATTTTCACGTGGATCAAAAAATATCTGAATAGAAGGCACCATTTTAGAGAAATCTTTAGACGTTGTTATATACTAAAATTAAAAAATTTCAACTTTAATTTCTAAAGAACTCTTACTTTAACAATAAGATCATAAATTCTTGAAGACTTGAAACAACCAAGACCAACTTTAGGTAATTTATCGCCTTCATTTATTATAATATTGAATAAGATATCAGTTTGTCGTTCTGCAATGTTGTTCTTGCTGAAATCACTTTCAACAAAAACAAACTTGACAAATAACCAAGAAATTGCAAATCGGTTTAAAACAAATTTAAAAATATTTTCCTTTATATGATTGCTATGATATAGATTGAAATTTTGAACGTAAAATTGTTTAAGATTTGTTTTGTCGTTATCAAATAATAAATTAATCATTTCTGGATTAAATATAACATGTATAAACTTAACATCTTCAAAAGCACATTTAAAGAGTTGTTTTAACCAAAATCGAATAATAACCATTTCTTCTATAGTTTTTGGAATGTTGGGCAATTTAATATAACTGGAGTTTCTGTCTTCTAAATTGAAAATGTGGTAATTAATAAATATAGAGATTTGCGATGAAACTAGAGTTAATTCAAGAAATCAAGGTATAGTGGGTACTAGTGTTTCGCCAAGTTCAGGTTCCGGTAGGCCGGAAGTTCCGGAATTTTTTGGTTCCGGCCCTTCAGTTCCAGTTAAATTGTAACTTTTTAACACCCATAAGGATGTGATCTCTCATTTTTTATATAGAGAAAATTAACCGCATGGCTTCCAAAATTCTCAAAATTTTCGCCTACAGAGCTGAAATCTAGTCTTGGGCTTGAGTCTTGAAAAAGTTTCGGTCTAGCACGTCTCTAGAAAAAACGAGACTTAAAGAAGATAATGTGTAAGGAAGAGAAAGAGAGAGAAAGATCCAGCTGGGTAGCATTTAAAACGCTCACTAGGCGGGGGTTTAAGATCTAATAAAAGAAAAGGTGAAAGCAGCGTCGCGGTAGCTCAGTTGGCAGAGCACCTGTACGTGGTGAGCAAAAGCGCCTAGCAATAACTGCCAGAGGTCGCAGGATCGAAGACTGCCCGGGATTAAACGTTTACCTCGCTCTTACTAATGCAAAGAAACATTTTCTTTTATTAGATCTTTTTTATGCTGAATTATTTACAGTAAAAAATTTTTAAACAAAGTTCCGGTTCCGGCTCGGAACCAAAAAATTAGATCTGGTTCCGGTCAAAATTTCAGTTCCGGTTCTGGCCAAATATTTCAGTTCCGGTTCCGGCCACCTGCTCCCGGGTGTAATATACAATGATTGACATTCAAACAGCCTATAGGAAAGCCGGCCCTCGTAATAAGTGACACTACCTGTTTTCTTTATCCGAACAGCAAATTCTTCAATATTATCTTCAAATCCATGTAAAAACAAAGGAGTCGATTCAGCTATCGCTGCTTGCCACTGCAAAAAAGCCAATTTAATCAAAATTAAAAACTAATTTAACCTTTCCGTCCAAAACAGATTCAGAAATTGCAGGCTCAAATTTAATGATTACATCTTGCCTAAAGATAAAGTTGGTGCGAATCTAAAATTAATTTCTAATCAAAAAATTATTTAATATTTACCAGTCTAAGTTTATAGAATTTAATTCGGGCCAATCCTCCCTCGTATTTATTAATAAAGTTCAAAAAATAAAAGTTGGTTTGTTTGAGAGAGAATAATTGCTCGAAATTAAGACATTTTAAAACGTCAAGTTGAACTTCCGGCGGAATAGAAAACATTCCAGACATTGAAATTCTAAACATATTTTTAAATAAAAATTCAAATCAAAGTTTAAAGATAAATAGGGTAGGTTCTAATTAGAGCTACCTGTTTTCTAATTAGAGCTACCTGATTAGTTTTTCTAATTAGAGCCGGGCTCCTTTCTAATTAGAGCCCGGACTGGGAGTGTCATAAGAGAATCGAGATCTCGAAAATCGAGATTTTCGATCGAGCTCTCGTCCTGATCCGGTCTCTAATGAATACCTCTTTAACAAAAAAAAAATTTTTTCTGACTAGTCTGGAAAGACTTGTTAAAATTTAATTTTTTTTGATGAATCATCAAGAATTTAAAATTATGGCATTAATTTCAAAAAAATTAATTAAATGCAAAATAAAAACTGAAGCTGATATTCTAAATTCAAACTTTTCTGAATCCAATATTTTTTTGAGATCAAGTTTTCTGTAAAAAATCAGCTTCAGTAAAATTTAAATAAAACGGCTTACAACATTTGCGGATTAAAATTTGCGGACAAGTTTAATAGTCCATTGAGTTCCCCCACCCACTACCGATATAAAGATTTTGAACAGTCCCACTACCGAAACAAGATACCAAATAATAGTGTTGGTAGTATGGTATGCTCTCTAGTTATACTAGATGTCTCTCATCCACACAATTCCAAAAATCCACCCTTTGGATAAAGGTTGGCGATTTAGATATCCTAATCCGATAAAAGTCAAGGTATTCGAAATTTTCGGAACGGATATCTAGATTCTTTAGACTACACAAGATTCTATTAGCTACATCCTTGAAATGCATAGGGAGATAATCGAAAAGTAAAAAACATAAAAAGGATAAGACCCGTCAATCTATCCGCAAATTTCACAATTTTCCTCGAATGTTTTTATCACCATATATATTAAAAACTCTAAAAAACTTTTAAAAAATTCAGTCAAAAGTCTCCCAATTATTTTTTCTTTTAAATTGTTCTGACTGTAAAGAACGTGTATAAGCTAAAGTATTTCCATTTGGAATAATTAAAGACTGGGAATTTGATGAAAATGAAGAGGAATTATTTGGAGAATTACTATTTGGTGTAGTTGTTGTTGCTTGAATATATAAATTTGGACTTGAATGAATACTTGAATGAAGATGTGAGTGAAGATGATTATTTGAAGACAATAATGCTGTTTTTCCTTCTTTCTTTATTCCTTCCTTCTTCTCTTCCCCTTCTTCCTTGTCATCATTTAAATCAATCAAATCATCTACTGAATGTACACTTACAACATCCAAAGATTTCTCTTTCTCCTCTTCTCTTCCTCCTCCATTTAATTTTGAAGACATTTCTTTATTTAAATCAAATTCTAAAGCATCTATTGATAAAGGATTTATAATTTCTTTCCTTCCAATTAATTTCGGTTTTCTTTTTAATGAAATTGCTCGACGATGATTATTTGCTGTTGTTGTTTTAGGTTGTTTTGTCGATTTTGTTGTAGAAGATGATATTGTTGTTGATTTATCTTTCATCTTTAAAAGAAAAAAATTTTTTTTATTAATGGGGGTTTTCTATTGGGGAAGGGAGGGGAGAGTTTTGGCGTAAGGATAGGCCGGGTTATCCGAAATTTGACCCAAGTTTTTTTCAACCTAACCCATCTCTGCTGGGCGTACTTGAAACAAGGCTAACCGCAATCGGAGTTTACTTTACAAGCAGTCCCCCGGCCACAGTTGTGGACATCCCTTAAAGGCTTAAAACACCTCTTATCTAAAAGGATTTGAGTTGAGATCGATAATTTCTGACTATGGCAATATGTTATTAAACCCGATTCTCAACCCACGGCTTTGCCAAGTGAATACACCAGATAATTGTCCATTTTATCGCAATTAAAAAAAGTTTTTAACGAGGCGTCAAAAACACTCCAAAATTCTCAACCCTTAATTCAAACCCAAATAATTTAAAAAATTTTCCCTACATGCCTTCATCGAATGAAATTGGTCCTTTAATGCAAAAATAACATCGCTAGCATTCTCCTTAATCTTTAAAAAATAAAAAAATTTTAATCAAAAAAATAATAGATATACCGAGGAGACTGTTTGTTGTAATAATTCTGGTGGTCTCGACTAGAAAAATTTTGTTTGAAAAAAATTTTCAAAATTCAAAAAATTTCAAAAAAATTTCCAAAAAATTTTGAAAATTTTTCCAAAAAAATTTTCAAAACTAAAAAAAAATTTTTCAAACCCAAATTCCTTTCGACAATCCACGAACATCCAATGATTGTACTTCTTTTTCAAATTTATCATTTATAGCAATTCCATTTTTTAACGCTTCTAAACGTTCTTGAACAAATCTTTCAAAATATTGAACACCATCTTTTCCAATTAAGGTTTCCAAATATGGGCGAATACTTGGCCTTTCTCTTTCCAAAAATATTTCTCTATCCCATGTGTATATTCCATCAGAACCTGCGAGTAAAAATTAAAAATTGTTAGGTTCTAAAATTTCCAAAATTTTCGCTTGTGGAAAAATCTTACTTCAAATTACTACTAGTACCGGTATCGAAAAAAGATATGACGACGAAAATTACTTTGGACAATAAAAGATAAAGAAGGCAGATTCCCAGTTTATGTTTGGAAATTAACAAAATCTATTCCCTGAAGTTTGAGGCGGAATTCAAAGTTTTTTAATTGACCCGGTCCGAAACCCATCCTAATAATAAAATCGAGAAACGGTCAAAAACCTAATAAAAACCCCGATCCAAACCAGGACTGTCCACAATTGCGGATTGCGTAGTTTTTTGGGCTTGCGAATTGCTGCTGCGGATTTTAAAATTAATATTGCGGACTGCGGAAAATTTTTTTTCACTTGCAGACAGTCCTGGATCCAAAACCTAACCAGACGTTTTTCTCAATCCGTCATATCACTACAATTAGACTGGAATGAAAAAATCCCAAAAAAAAGACGGACTAAATCATCCTTAACAACCCAAATGTCTACTAAATAATAATAAAAAATAAAATAAAAATCAAAACCTTGAGTAAAACCACAATTATAATTTCCAAATAAAATAGCATTTGTCCTCAAAAATGTTTTTGCAAAAGAATCGGACAAAAACAAATCATTTGAAAGTTTTAACCGGCTCCACAAATAATTATAGGCCTCTTGTGGCAATTTATCTTGATAGGGAGAAGACAGCATTTTTTCATCCAAATCAGTTAATACAATATCTCCAAGCTCGTTTTTATTTATTTTTAAAAATATTTGTTTTGGAACTCCAATTAAATAAGGCATTGGGGCCCTAAAATTAATTTTTTTTAATTAAAAAAGACAATTTTTAATTTTGTGGGCCAATTATTTTTTTGTTAGTCCTTGGTAACATTTATTTCAACTAGTGTCCCAGTTTATTCTTCACTTTCCCAGTCACCAAGGGCGTAGCTCAAATTTTTCCCTTTTCCCACTTCGGAGGGGGGGGGGGAGGGAGTTTAGCCCCAGAAGCCTCCTGGCTATGCCCTTCCAAGTCACCGGGAAATCATTAGCCACAAAATTAAAATTAATTTAAAATTAAAAAATAATACATTAACATATCAGTCAAATCTTGGGGTAAAATTGGAATAAATAAATTTTGCCTAAAAATGAAAAATAATTTAAAAAAATTTCTTGCAAACCACTCAAAAGGATTTAACAATTTAGCAAGTCCAAAAACACAAGAAGACAATTGACTCAATTTTGAAGATATAAAAACTATCCTTCTTTCTTTTAAAAGGCTAAAAAAATTAAAAAAAATTTTTTAATTAATCAAAAAAAAGGCGGGGAAGAAAGGACAAAAAATCCCAACGGTGAAAAAAAAAGAAAATTTCAAAAAATTTTTAAGTCTAACAGAAATACGATTATTTTTCATTATGCTCCCAAAAATTCCGGAATTTTATCCATCAGGATTAAATAAACTTGAGGAAATCTGGCAACAGGCCCGTAACCAGAGGGTAGGAGAGGGGAATCCCCTCCCGAAAAAATATTGTTTACGGGCCTGTTTGGGAATAAATATAAATAAAATCCTAAATAAATCAAATAATTCTAAATAAAAAGAAAACATAAAAAATCCATGTGAAAAGCAATTATCAAAAAATAATAGCCAAATGGATAGGGTCCGACATTTCCCGAAAACTCCCATTAAAAATTAAATAAGCTTACGATGAATATAATTGCACCATTTGTCTTTCATTCACCGCATTAAAAAATTCCAATAAAGATTTGTCTTCTTGTAAAGTTGGCAAATTAGAAGGGTTCGGAATAACATCAGAAAACCTCTAATAAAATAAAAAGAAAAAATTAAATAAAAAATTAAAAAATACTCCAATATTTGAACATGCAGTCAAAGAAAAAGTTGAACCAGGAGAAGGAATATCCATATGATAAGCATTTATTAAAAGGGATTCAACATCTACAGGCTAAAAATTTTTAAAAATAATGAAGGAAATTATGAAACCAAAATTAAAAAAAAATTTAGAAGACGAGAGGTTAAGGAATATTTTTAAGGTCTTGGCGTCAGATTAGTCTAACCCCGTGGCAGCTCAAATTCTCTAATTCTTTTTTAGTTAAGCCGCCTCATGCAAAAATTAACCGGTCGTCAATAGCAGTAGAAACAAAGACCCGAGAATTTTTGGTTTTGTTTTTCGTTTAGGTTCCGCCTAATCGAAGAATTTTTAAAAATAAATCCAAAGTATGAGGACAGAAGATAAAACATAAATGTGCCCAAAATGCAAAATAACCTTAATTATTTGGTCTGGTTGTGGACCTTGACCAGATTCTTGACCTTGAGTCAAAAAAATCAAAGTCTTAATCCAGAGCCGGGCCGATCTCTAGAAATCCTACGCCTCTTTCCCATTTAAATATCCAACAATCCCAGACTTAAATTATAATAAAACATACGGCTCCTTTCGTTGTAACAGTAGAAATATGATTCAAAAATTTATAGAAAAAACTTGTCCATAAAAATCCACTAAAAAATTTGGACTTTTAAAAAAATTATTAAAAAAAACCTCAAAATGCACAAAACAGAATTACTTCGAGGGGTAAAACGGCAATAACCAAAAGTATGAAGGGAGGAAGCATCCGTGAAAGCAAAAGTGAATAATTGAACAGGTTCGTTCTCAACACTGAAAGAAATAGAAAAAAATTTTAGTTCAACTCAGGAGACAAAAACATTTATTTAAAATAACTTATAGAGCATTTGATATTCAAATTGGAAGGCTCTAGGCACTATTTTAATGGATCTAGAACCAGGGTAATGGGGGTCTATATATGAATCCAGGCCTTAATTTTTCCTGGATTCTGAGTCAAGATTAGGTTAGGGGAAAAATTTAAACAGCTTCTCAGGTCAATAAAAATCGACTAATTACAAAGAATACTTTGAAAATTTCTGAAAAATATTTTCAGAGTTCATATTTGACCGAGGCTACCCAGAACAAAAAGACATCCCCAAATCAATCAAGGCCAAGACTTATCGGGCTTAATCAATAGACTAACAATAAATTTAAAAAAACCTCGCATTTAAAGCATTGTGAGGGATACAAAATTGTTTTATCGATTTCAATATGCCTTCATCGTTGAATTCTTGGGGGTATAAAACCTTAAACGTGGTCACAAAATTAAAAAAATTAATTTTAAAAAACGTTTATTTGCACAGAATTGGAAGCATCCGACGAGACAACGCAACAAACATCAAAAATCGTAGCTATATCCTTACTAAAAATTAATTAAAATGTACTTGTGTAGTTTACCTCCCCTATCCAATTTTTTGATGTACAAAATGGTCAGTCATTTTTCCTTTGAATAATTTCACAAAATTTATCTGCAGTATCCTAAATCAGTCAGTCTACCTTCATTAAGACATGTTTTTTGTGAGACATGCCTTTGGTTTCAAGTTCCATAATGACTGGATGATGCCACAGGGAAATTTTGTGAAATTATGCAAGGAAATGACTGATCATTTATAGATTTTTTAAAAAATGGATGGGGAGGGGGAGGGGAACGACATAAGTACTAGAGGTCGAGATTTTTGGAAAGCCTGGACCTGTTGCTGGACTTTGGGTTTGATTTATTGACCTGGACTGGATCCTGGGCCTGTAGTCCAGGAAAGACACAGGAAGGTCAAAAAATGCCTGGGCCTGGACTCTGGGTACAGGAAAATCCCAGGCCTTGATCCAGGCCCAACTCGATCTCTACTAAGTACCACTTAAAAAATTCAAGAATTAAAAATAAAGATAAGAAAATTTACCGAAAGCGTGAACCCATTTTACGAGTAAAAATAAAAATTTAATTGAAATAAAACATAAATAACATTAAGAAAAACGTCTAGAAATTTAATTGGAGTTAAATGTGGTTGTTAATAGAAAATAAAAGGCGGAAAAAAGGATTAAAAATGCTGAGAAAAAGCTTAAAACTCAGTTTCTGGGAATATAAGTCAGCAAACTCAAGTTTGGCGGCACTCTAGTGACCCCAACCGGCCTTTTCTTGGCCAACTTTCAAGATAATTTTGTTAAAAGTGTTCTCCAACGCGGGACAGGGTAGGGGACGATTCAGTATCGCCGATTCAGTCTACGCCGATTCAGTCTACGCCGATTCAGTATTCGCCGATTCAGTATCGCCGATTCAGTATACGGGGAAAAGGGGACGATTCAGTATACGTAGAATAAATTACCCTAAAAATTGAAATTTCGGAAAGTAACTGATTTATTTTTTTTGTTTTAAGATTTTCTTTGTTCCTTAGGTGGTCTACCACAACAATTAGCAATAACCAACACAATTATTAATGAAAAAAATTTTTATGGAAAATTTAAAAATTTTTTTTTAATTTTTAAATTTCTTCAATTTTCTTGAAATCTTAAGACGGCGAGAATTCTACATTGAATGGCGAGGTTTCTTCTACGGACACATGGTTTATTTTTTAGTTTTTTGATTTTTTGAAAATTTTTTTACCTTTTCATTTCTAAATTTGTTAGTTTATATTGCTGATCTCCAATTAACTCCAATTAAAGGCGAGGTTTATTTATTTTTAATTTTAAAATTTTTCAAAAGAATTTTCTTGGAATTTTTTTATTTTTTAAGACCATTTTAAGGGGGTTGTCGACGACGTGTTCGCACTGCTGTTGCACTGACTGACCACCTACCAAAACAATTTCAGAAAATTTGGCAACAACAACCTTAACCCAAACGGCCCTCTTTAGGGCCACAAATCTAATAAGTGAAATGAGACAATGACTTTTTTATTTTTTGATAAATTTTTGTTTATTTGACTCATTTTATAAAAATTTTTTGTTCCTTGAAGAAAAAAAGTCGAGACCAAAACTTGACCCTAAGCCAGAAAAAGCCTAGAGTTAAGACTCGGCTGGCTTTTAAAATGTTCCTTAGATTGTAGGAAGTAAGAAAAACGAAAAAAAATCTACAAGAAAAAGATTTTCTAACCCAAGAATATATGTATACTGAATCGTCCCCTTTTCCCCGTATACTGAATCGGCGGATACTGAATCGGCGTAGACTGAATCGGCGATACTGAATTGGCGATACTGAATCGTCCTTAACCGGCGGGACACGCCCGAGTAGGCGCGGGCCAAGTAGGCGCGACTGAGTAGGCGCGACCGAGTAGGCGCAGGCCAAGTAGGCGCAAGGCCAAGTAGGCGCACGGCCAAGTAGGCGCAAGTTATTTTGTTCTTTTTCAATTAGTCGCAAATTTGTTTATTCTTTGATTACTACATATTTATTTTTGATTTAAATAAAATTTATGTATTTCACTTTCGTTGTTACATATGTTTTTATTTAAAGTTTAAATTTATTTTCGGTAGCGTTTTTCATATATTTATTTTGTATAACTGGTGCGGAAACGTGTTGGCGCGGAATCGTGGGCGCGGAATCATACCCCACCGTGTGTCACCAAATAAGTGACTAATTTAACTCTTTTAATCAAAATTTTATGGAAAAAATCTTCAAATTTTTCAGAGAGAATGAGAAAATGCTTTGGTAGCAGATTAATTAAAGGATTTATTTCGATTATTCGATGGGTTCCAGTTGTTTTTGTTCTTTTAATTATTTGTTGGGCTTGGTATACTTATATTATTGAGTTTTGCTTTAGTAAGTCTTTAATTTAAATTAAAAAAATTTTTTTTCAAAGAAATTCTGGATGATGTTATTATTAAAATTATTTATCTTTTAATTGTCCATTTGCTTTTATTTATGTTTTTATGGTCATATATTAAAACTGTGATTTCAACTATTGGAAAGCCTTCAGAATTGGTATTTAATTTTTTATAAAAATAATTTCTATTTTAATAAACATTTGGGGTTTAATTAATTTTTCGATCACTTTCTGACCTTCCTGGAGATGAACCAATGTCATTGGAAACCTGGGATTCTAGAAAAACCTAGGAATTCAAAAAATATCTGGTCGGGTTTATAAACATTGATGTAGTAGGATTGGGGTTGCGCCAATACTTCACTAGGTTACTGAGTCCTTCCGAAGTTTTCGAGTAAAAACGACGAACTCATGCTTCCTTTGACCCCTGAAAACACGCACACTGTTATGCCCGAGAGTTGCCGAGATTTAACTAAAGTCAACGTGCAATGAATAACAATTTATCTGAAAAGAAATAACAATGTGTAGGTGAAGAGATTGAGCTGGAACAGACGAAGGAGATCAGGGACTAGCCGGGCTAGTATGATCCAATTAGACTGACGCTTACAGTGGCTTTTATAGTAGTGCCACCACTACACAACACACATAACCCTAATTGTTTATAAGAAAATCAGAGAAGTAGGGTCTCTAAGAACATTGACATAGTAGAAGAAAAGCTTTCTCGGATTCCTCTAGTCCTTCTAAGGTTATCGAGAAGGAATTCATGAACCAGAGGGAGCCCTGAGCCTGTAGAAGACCACCACTCACAGCACTCTAATCGTTTTTACGAAGAAACTCGAAAAGAATTAGAGATGAGTCCCTTACATTTTTATTTCCGTTAAACGGACCTCTCACCAAAAATTTTTTTAATTTTTTTCCTTTTACCCCTCAGTTTCATATACCTATAGAAGTTCGTGAATATATTGCAGCTGCCACAAATGATCACGAATTTCGTTCAATATTGGAAGAATTTGTTAAAGAAAGGAATATTCCTTTGTTAACTAGAGGTTATGATGGAGGGATACGTTTTTGTTTAAAATGTTCCTGTATTAAACCTGATCGTGCTCATCATTGCTCTGTTTGTGGCCATTGTGTTTTGTTAGTATTTTTTTAAATTTCTTTTTGAGTTCGAATTTAATTTTTATTTACAGAAAATTTGATCATCACTGCCCATGGTTTGATTTTTTTTATTTTCCAAAGAGAAAACTCCTTTATTAAGAAAAAATTTTTGTAAAAATTTTTTCTTAATAAGCAACCTCGTTATAAGCTTAATCTCTTAGCACAATCCCAATGGCTTCCGCTTCCTTTTCCTCCATAAGAACCATTTTCCTAAATTATTTTTTAACTTTCCCTGTATTTGCGCATTTTCGTTTTCTAGGAAATATATTTGCGGATTAAATTTGCGGACTTTTTGTTTCCTTAAAGAATATTTTTAGGAACCTTAAAATGACTGGCTTTACATCTTCCCAAATCTTATCTTTCCTAAATCATATTTCTTTTAAAAAATTTTTTTCGGACAAAACTTGCGGATTTCTTTCATATTTTTAAAAAACCTTAGATTTTGCAGAACCTTTAAAATACTAATATTTTCAAGGGTAAATACCTGTATCAACTATCGCAACTACAAATTTTTTATTCAATTTCTTGGATATGGATTTTTAATGTGCGCATTTGTTTTCTTCACAATTCTTCCACATTTTATAAATTTTTGGTCAAAAGATGATCCAATGAAAGTTTCATTTCTACGAATAACCGTCTTTTTTCTCTTCTTTGTAACTGGAATGTTTGCAATTTCGTTGGGTTGCCTATTTGGTTATCATTTATTTTTGACTGGAAAAAATCGTTCAACCGTTGGTTTGTTTTTCTTGAAACTTTTTGGCTCAACTTTAGGGTATGCGTCAGGGATGGGCGATTTCGCATTTCGCATCTTTCGCATTTTTTGGCGCGAAAAGTTTCGCATTCCGCATTTCGCATTTTATTTTTTTAAAAAAAGTTTCGCATTTCGCTTTTTATTTTTTGATTTCGCCCATCCCTGGTATGCGTCCTATAAGTTCCCAGGAATCTCTTTACCGCTGAAAAAAAATATTTGCGGACAAAACTTGCGGACTTTTTCTCAATATTTTTTGAACTCATCAGTTTGAACCAATTTCTCTATATGCTTTCAAACACCTCGATATCTATTTTAAGCCTAAACTTCAGATCAGGGCATCCGCAATTTCGATTTCGAATTCTTTTTTTTTGACTTGCGGATTTTATTTTAAAATATCGGCTGCGGAAAATTTTTTCAATCGCGGACAGCCATGCTCCAGATTCTCTTAATCCGCCAGACTTTAACGTAAGAAAACTCTAAATCTCCTACTTAATCACCCAAAAACATTCAATCCTCACAAAATTATTTTTGGGACTCATATACTCTGAAGCGACGCATAATAGTTCATAAGACGCATATCCTAAAGTAAAAATTCTCTAAATATTTTTCTTTTCTAGAATCTTTTCGTCCACCAGTCTTTGCTTATGGACCAGATAGAAATGGTTTTAATTTGGGTGTAAAATCGAATTTTGCTGATATTTTTGGAAGTGAAAAGTACAAATGGTTTTTGCCTATTTTTACAAGGTTTTTTTAAATTTTTTCTTTGGAATTTCTGGGCCAAGGCTTTGAGTGATTTTTTTTAAATTCCCGTCTCAAATTTATTAGGTGACCTAGAAAGAAAAAGCACAAGATTCACAAGTCATATTCTTCCAAATCATTTCCTTGAAAAAATATTTGCGGGCAAAACTTGCGGACTTTGCTTCTCCATAACAAATCTTTAAGGCTCCGACCTCAAAAAACACTTATTCGGACCCCTTAACTTTTTTGGTCTAACTCAAGCTTGGTTTAGCTCCTTGGAAGGCTCAACAAAAATTCCTTAACGATTTAAAATTAATTTTAAAAAAATTTTTCAGTACGAGTAACGGCCAACATTTTCCACAAAAAGCTGCAAGAGGAAACCAATCTCATCAATATCAAGGGAATAATTATCAAACAGGTAGACCACTTCAAGGTTTCAAATTAAATTTTTTAAATTTTATTTAAAAAAAATTTTTAGCAGTTGAAGTTGTCTAATCAGGTCCATTTTTAATGCATTTTTAACTAAAAGTCTCTCCGGAACAAGAAAAATATAAATAATTTTTAATTTCTATTTGTCCTCATTTATATATATAATTTTATTTTTATGCCAAATTTAATGTAGAAAAACTTTAATTTTAATATTATATCTTTTTAATTAATAAAATTTTAAAAAATTTTTGTTTCGGACAAGTTCGAAACATTCCAGTAAACCTTCGCTAGTCGGGGACATACTTAGAAATTTTCAATGATTTTACAAAAAAAAATTTTTACAAAAAATTTTTTTTCAACCTTGAACTTCCAGAAAAACTTTTCAGAATCATTAAAAGATAAAAACCAAAGACTAAAGAGAGTTGACCCTCAAATTAACTCAGAGATGTCGTGGATTTTCTCAACCCCTAACTCACTAACCCAAACTTCGTTAAATTAAAATAAATTTCTTTAAAAATCCACAACCCCAATAATCTCAAAAATTTTCCAAAAAAACCTCTTCTTAAAAAACAATATCATTTTTAATATTTTCTCAACAAATAATAACAAATCAAAAAGAATATACTTTTATAATACTTCATCCAATTCTTCACAACTTTTCATTTAATTATAGTCCACATTCAAGCAGTTTGTTTAACTTAAACTCCTCTAAAATTGAAAAAAAGTTTTTTAAATTGTAATTTTTCTTTATTTTTAAGGACAGACTAAACTTATAAGCCCGAGTGATCTTTGCAAAAATTCTAAAGAAGCCGTTTGTTTCTAAATAGTATCAATGAGGCGGACTCCTCGTAAAAAAAGAATCTACCTCTTATAGACAGCCACAGAGAATTCTTTTCGAAAAAACCTGCCCCGACAAAAACTATCCTTTGGGAATTCCAAAAATTGATCTGTTTTCTATTGAAATATTTGAAAAATAAACACTACTTCCCCTCCCGTTCCCCCAGAAATGGAGTCCACAAAAAATTCCTAGGGAACTTTACAAATTATACCACCTCCTATATTCTTCCCAACCCTTATATTCTTAATAAAAAATTTAAAAAATTCAAACTTTGCTTTCTTCTCCTCTCCCTTTTTCGAAGCCAGAATTGCCGCACGACGAAGAACTGACGCATACGGATTTAATTTGACCATTAAACCATGTTTTCGCAAAGGATTACGATGAATTTTTGCAACCTTCGTTTGCTTGCGGACAGGACGCACAACTTTTGTAATTTCATCAGAACGAATAATTCTTGCAAAATCAGAATTTGTCATCTTTGCATGTGGAAGAGAAAATCCTTTTTTAACCCAAGATTTTTGTGTCCAAGTTCCATAAATTGAATCCAATTTACGAAAAGCACTTTCTGTCCAAATTGTAAAACGTCCCAAATGTCCTCCTGGAGCAATTTTTAACAAATTTATATGTTTGACAGATAAAAGAGTAATTCCAGGAATATTGCGAAAAGCACGAACAATTCCACCGTCGTTGTTGTAAATTATTAGAGGACCAAGTTTCTGTTTGTAGCGACGATTACGACGTTTGCCTTTGCCAGCACGATAACGTTTGGATTTGTAAACCTTAAAAAAGAGAATCGTAGGAGGCAAAATTAATGGAAATTAACAAAATATAATAAGTCTTTAAGATCCTGAAGATCCTGCTAGACCATTATATATAAAAGGTAAATGATGATGTGGATTCATCTCCTCTCTGAGAAGATGAATGCCTAAACAAGAAACCCAATCTTAAAAAGTTGGGATCATTGATAATTGAATTTTCAATTTCCTACGGCTTATTGTTAGACTCATGCCAGGCAATCGAAAAATGATCTTGAGCTGACTCCTACGCTTATGAGCCCAGATACATGATATACAAAGTCAACCAATTCCACTAGAAACAATAAGACGAGGATACCCTAGATGATTCCAAACCTTCTCTTGTTTAGGAATCATACATTCTTATCCACCGAAAGCTATCTAAACATCCCAAATTTCATTAATGCCTAAAAGTGGGCCGAGTTTCCTGAGCCAAAACATAAGTAATAAAAATAAAAACCTTTTCAATATCAGCCCAAACATTAGCTCGTTGCAAAAATCCAACAGCTTCCTTTGTTTTTGTGAACGATTCAATTTTGTCCGCAATCACCAATGGAACTTCACTAACTTGATCAATAACATGTCCACGTGCTTGAACTAATGCTGGCACTCCAGTTGCAGCAATTGCAGAGACAACAGCATAACGACGTTGAGCAATATTGATACGACGATGCCAACGACGATAAACTTTTGTTGGAGCAAACATACGACCACCACGGCACATATTCCCAAAAGCTCCTTGACCAGAACGATGAGTACCGCCACCACGAACACGAGGAATACGAGCAACAGCACGTCCAGTTCCCCATGACTCGGCAGATGTTTGGTGACCTAAATAAGGATTGGAAGTAAAATTCTATCCTATTAAGTCTCTCCAAGTATCCTTAACTTCTAATTGTATGAGAAAACTCCTATAGGTTTTAGAAGAGACCAGTGACAAAATGAGGGAGCATCCCGAGTCTGAAGGAAATTCCCAGACTTGAACGAATCAATGATGTCACACACTGGAAGGACAAACCGGAAGGACCCTAACCAAAAGCTACTAACCTAAATACCCCCAACATACTCTTAGAAAAGAATTCAAAGATTATAAACCTGCAGCAGTTGAAACAGCATAAGCTTGTCTCTTATTCTTTCTCATTTGGTCGTGGATGAAGCTAACAATGTCTGGACGAATTGGAGCATGGAAGACTGCAGGAAGCTTGATTTGCGCTCCAGTCGTTTCATTCTTTTCATTGTAAACAGAAACTAAAGGTCGAGAAGTCATTTTTTAATATTTAACTGAAAAACTTTGAAAAATTAACCGAAAATCCACAAAAAACTCTAAAAAATTCAAGAAAAAATCACGACAAAGCAAAAAACTTCATACAAAACTCTTATAAAAATTTTATATTTTGTCTTTTTCTCTAATCTACACTCTTTTCTGGTACGGCCCACTTAGTCGCGCGGCCACTTAGTCGCAGAGCCATAACTTCCTTCAAGTTTTCCGAATCTTACCAAATTTAGTATTAAACGGTTCCTCTCATCGAGCTAATGAGATTGGTACCAAAATTGATAAGGGCCAGAAATTTTTTAGCAAGTTATGGCTCTGCGACTAAGTGGCCGCGCGACTAAGTGGGCGTGTCCCCTCTTTTCTTTATTGTCGAAAAATTAATAAAAATGCGCGGAAAAAATCTATTCAAAATTCCACACTATTTCCACAGCTCTCTAACACTCTTTCAATAAAACAAAGGCCATTAAAGTCTTAAATAATCAACACGTAAATAAATCAAAGGTAATAGACTCAAAAAAAACTTGTATCGTATAAAAAATAAAGTACACTATTTTTTTAATTTTATGTACATCAAAAATTGAAAAATTTTTCAAAAAACTTTTTTTTAAAAAGGAAAAGGAAGAAAGCTCAATTGAGATAAAATTACGCAAATAATGAATATTAAATAAACAATTAATAATGTGAGACCATGTAATCTTCCAATATTAAATTTTTGTGAAAATAAAAATGTTAAGGTTGTAAATAAAGAAATTCCAAGAAAAAGAAACATTACATTGCTAACTGGATCTGATCTAATCTGAAAAATAAATATTTTTTAATTAAATGACATTTGATCCCAAAAATAAAAAGGAGACATTTGATCCCAAAAATAAAAAAGAGACATTTGATCCCAATTTTTTATTTTAAAAAGATTTTCTATCATGTTCGAAGGGATTTGGGAGATGTGGGAGCTATGAGGGGATATCTAAAATTTTGTGGGATATGTGGAAGATTGATGTGAATATCTGGGAACGCTTGACAAAAAATTACAGGTTGTTCCGGAAAGTGTATAAGTCAAAAATTATTTAAAAGAAAGAATTACGAGTCCCGAATATATATTTAGATGGAAAACCCAAATTTAAAAAGGTAAAATTAAAAAGTAAATACCGTGACTTCTTTCCCTTGTAATTTAGCTATAGTAAACGCTGAACCAAATCCAACCATTAAATCTTTAAAAAAATAAATTTTTTATTTTATGCATTATTTTATCATTCATAACGACTACCCGACTTTTGGGAATACGACTTTTTAGGGACCCGACACTTGGGGATGAAATAGCTATTCTGGACATCCCTTTCCCCCTCCCCCCTTTAACTACTCTACAGGACACAGGTGTAGTTGACACAGAAGACTTGTACGGCTTTGTCTAAAAATCGGAAGAGATTCAAACGCAAGTCTGACACGAAAATCCTTTTAGAGTGCATAAAGAATCCCGTCCCTAGTATACAATAAAAAATTCAACAAACTAAAAAGAGGCCCTCCTATAGCTGCAGACAAAGCCATTCTGGGCATCCCTTGCCTAGCTACTGATACATCTGCTATTAAATCACCAATACTATTACACCTTTAAAAAAAATTTTTTAAATAAATTTAAAAAATTAAAAAAAAACCATGCAACAGCAGTTAATCCAAGTATTTGATATGGAATATTAAACAAATTTCCAAGCATTAAAACTACATTTAACTGAAAAATAAAATAATTAAAAAAATATTCTAGATAAATAAAACACATATGTTTTCAATGAAAGAGTTAAGACAAAAGACCCTTCACCCTCATCTTCCAACCTATTTGAGGAAAAGAACGACAAACTAAAAAGTGAGGGTTGGAGTTGGATCTCCCAAACAAGATATCAAAATCCTTGTATCTCAGGCTTTAGTGATAAATGGGATTCCCTGGACTTATCGGCTTGTTCTGAAGTTCAATATCGTCAACAGATCCCGAAAAATTAATTTTGTCACCATCTCGTGGATGGACAAAAATTCTTTCGAAAAAATAATGAAGAAAAAAAAAACAACTAACTAACACAATTCTCTACATAGGAAAGAGACAGGGAGAGAGAGGAAGCTTTACTTAAAATTTCAATTTTTCCGACAAATTTCTTTTTAAACTTGACCAAAAAATAAAGAAAAAAAATATTATACCACTTCTGCTGCTGTTGCATAAATCCAAGCTATTGAAAGTACAAACCCAACATGTGAAGAGATCCACTTTAAAATTTAAATTAAACATTAAAAAAAATTAAAAATAAACCTTATAATAATAAGGCTCTTTATCTACTTCAGTTGTTGTTCCAATAATTAGAACCAAAAATATAGAAATAATTAAAGCAATATAGTTTGCTGTAATTAAAGAATTGAATATGTGAAGAGAAAATACTGGAAAAATTTTGAAAAAAATTTTTTAGAAATTTAAAAGAAAAATTTACATTTAAAGGCATAACATAATATTAAAGGAAAAAGAAATGCGTGTACTATAGCCAAAGGTTTAGACCATTTTCCAGCTCTAGGAATTGTTAAACCAAGCAAAAGTAATGAAGGAATCTTTAAAAAAAGAACAAAGTTATTTGATAAGGGACTTGATAAGGGATTTTAAGGAATCCTGGCATTGTCCGACTCGGCCTGTGAAATTGATCAGGCATTAAATTTGGCCGGAAAGCGAATCAGACGACAAAAAGAACGTACTTAAAATCAGAAATGGGAAACTTTGGGAGGCTATAATTATTCTAATTGGGGGTCAGGGAAAAGAGCCAAAAATTGACAAGAGGTTATCCCATGCTCTACACGATATAATTTTTATTTAAAAATTTTTGGTTACAGTTCGGAAGGTTGGCCGGAAGTCAGGTCGTGTTTAGAATCGCAGCTTAAAGATTTCTTCGAATAGCTTCGGATTTTGGATCGAAAAAAGTCCAGGTTTCGGATACCGAGTCAGTAAAAAACTTAAGACTTCTTTAAGAAAAAATTTTTGGAGGTCAACTAGGCCCACAAAAAAAATTTTTGTTAACCCTCTACTTCAAAAAAATAATAAAAAAAAAACCTTAAATATTCTATAAATTTTCCCTGCCCACCCAGCATTTTGAAATTTTTTCCAATTTAAAGGGCATATTCTTTCCCAAAATTTTTTCAATTCTTTATTGTAAAATTCTTCCTCTTCTTTTTTAATTCCAAGTATTTCCACTTCACTTCTACAAGGGGAAAGAGTTGATGCACTTTCTCCAGAAGGCGATAAAGGAGTATTTCTGCCACAATCTATTATTATTCCACTGTCAGCAGTTTTTATTGTTTGGGTTGTTGATGAGGGGGATGAAATACTTCCATAATAGCGACACGAATCTAAGTTAAAGGAAAGAAATTTAAAGAAAGACTTAAATAAAGATGAATAGCCCTTAAGGACAGGCTCAGGAAATTTTTTCTTTGGCTCCCCCATAAAATGTCGAATCCATATAATGGGAATCCATAAAATGGCGAAAGGGCCAAAAACCCACAAAATGTCAAAAAAGGCTATAAACCCACAAAATGTCAAAAAATTTAAAAAAATTAAAAAAATTGATAACAAACGCAAAAAACCTAAAAAGAGAAACGCTGTTCTAAAAATTGTATTGAGCAAAATTAAGCTGGAAAAATAAAACAATTTTATTCATAAAAACACCGAATTGATAAAACAGGATAAGTACATAAATAAAAAGTCGTCAAAAACAGAACAAAAATAATAAAACAAAACAAAAAACCTGAAAAATTATAACTATTTTATAACTTCTTGTATTGAATTACTTGGACCCCTCTTTGAAAAGCTTCTGATCCCAATTGCAATTCAATTTGAGTAAGACCCACATACGTTGACGCAAAATGTGCGAGAAATGTTAACAGAACGCCTGGTGAAGAATTGTCCACCAAACCAAATCCTCGTCTCACATATCTCTGAGATAGTACAATAAGGCTCGGATTGTTGCTGTTCTTGATTAATTCAGGCGATCCATCGATTGGAAATCGCCGTTTTTTGACTTCTGTAACTCGGCGAGTTTAAGCCTGATATTCATCTAAAAGATTAAATTAACCATCTTGAAAAAATTCTTATAACAAATACAAGATGGGAAACAATTAATAACCTTTAATTGTCAAAAAACAATCAAAGCAAACAAACAAAACAAATAAAAATAACAAATAAAAATTCTATCGCCATTATGTGGGTTTTTGGCCTTTTTGACATTTTATGGGTTCGACATTTTATGGATTTGACATTTTGCGGGTTTATAGTATTATTTGACATTTTGTGGGTTTATAGCCTTTTTTGACATTTTGTGGGTTTTTAAACTTTTCGACATTTTATGGATTCGACATTTTATGGGGACACGTTTTTCTTTACCCTTCAGTAGCGAAATTGTTAGAGTTGTGGTTTTGTTGTCTCTCTCTCTTAAAGGCAAGCCGCCCCAAAAATTCTTTTCTTAAACCCCGTAAAAATAGGTTCTATCACTTCAAGGGCGAAATGTCAAGGCCGGGGTTTACAAAAGAATTGTTTTAAGGATTGCTATCCCAAAATGGGCAATCCAGGAGAATTGGGGTTTCTTCGGAAAAAAAGTTTAAAAATAAGAAAAAGGATTTTTCTAGGGTAAAAAAATATGCTGATTACGAATCTGAACTCGGATTTTGAAAAAGTCGAATCCCGGACCCGAATTCGGAATTTGACCCCGGACATTGTCGGACATTGTACAAAATGGTCAGTCTTTCATATGCAGGTAGAACTCATCGAGCTGCATCGAATGACACCAAAATCGATGAAATCCGACGTGATTGGACAGAGATACAGACCCCTGAATATTGAAAAACCATAGGGGTGATTTTTTGGAGTAAAAAAAGGTTTAGGCAAATGATACCTCATTCGAAAGAGCTCGTCGAGCTGAGTCGAATGACACCAAAATCACAGTAATTCATCAAGTTTAGACAAAATTATGACATAAGTCGCCGACTCCTACAGTACTCCCATAGGTCTACTTAATATCATAACTTTGTCTAATCTTGTTCAATCACGTTGATTTTGGTTTCATTCGATGCAGATTGACGAGCTCTTTCGAATGAGCTATCATTTGTAAATCGAAATCCGGGTTCAGGGTTCGAAATTCGGTTCGGGTCCGGGATTCGACTTTTTCAAAATCCGAGTCCAGATTCGTAATCAGCATATTTTTTTACCCTAGAAAAATCCTTTTTCTTATTTTTAAACTTTTTTTCCGAAGAAACCCCAATTCTCCTGGATTGCCCCAAAATGAAATAAAGGATTTTCCAATGTTTTTCCTCAAGAGCCCCAAAGCCCCTAAAGAAATTCAGCCACCTCCCAAATTAAAAAATTCACCTTTCATGGACTAAAAGACGGAAAAACTTTAAAATTAAAAAACCTCCAGAAATATCCAACGGCAAAGGAGAAGTTGATCTACTTAAAGCTCTTTCCCCTTCCGCGTCTAATTCTTCCTTTCCAAAAAATTTGCCTTCTTCTAAATAATCTAAAGCATGAAATTCTTCTTCTTTTTCTCCTTCTTCTTCTACTGGAGTATCATCATTTACACAAACATTTGTTGTTATTTTTGGAATAGTTAAAGTATTTATAGGAAGTTGAAGTACTGAACGTTGTCTTTGTTGTTGATCTTGAGCCTTTAAAAAGAAAAAAAATAAATTTTGTAGAAAGTCGATGTGCGCCAATATATTTTTCTGAAACGTTCAAAACGCAATTATGGCGTTTTACGTTAAAATCTTATTTTGGCGCACATTTGATAATAATTCCGGAAAGTGCAAAGAAAAAGGAAACCGGAAATTAGTGAAACGAAGAGATATATTTCTGTCTCTCCTTCCTTCCTATACTATTAAAATTCCGGAAAGTACATTAGACAAGATTCCGGAAACTAAGACATATAAATTAGAGGCATTTTGTCTGTCTGTCTCTGCTTTCTTTCCACTATTTCCGTCAACTTTACTTTTCCGGAAAGTATAAACAATAAATATTCCGGAAATTAGAGACAACGTAAAACTAAGAGACCAAACATACATTTTGTCTGTCCGTCTCTTCTTTTTCCTTACTCTTTTCATTTTCTATTGTTTTCTTTTTATTTTCTTCATTTTTTGGAGATTTTCCTTCTTCTATAGCACAAATCTCTAAAGGCGTAATCTTTTTTGGCATAATTTTTGCAATTGCTCTTTGAACTTTCCCTAAATCTTCTTCACTTTTCTTCTTCTTTTTTCTCTCTCTCAACATTTTTTGTCTAAATAAATTTCCGGAAACTACTGTTGTTGCATAAATTGAGTAGAGGACAAGGAAGGCTAGTGGCTGCCATAAAGGCATTTTTCCTTCCCAATTTGCAACAATTAAAAGTAAAATTAGTGCTGCTGAATGAAAACAAATATCTCTCAAAATTGGCCGCCTCATTAATAAAAATGGCCTGCTTAAGGCTATTGCAGCTACAACACAAGTTGTTACAAATATACTTCCACCTAGTAATTCGCTTATTGCTAAATCTGCTCTAGGTTTTGGGACGGAAATAACTGAGACGATTGAGCCAAAAATATCTGGGGCACCATTGCCGAAGGCCTAAAAATTTTTTTTAATTTTTAAAAACCAACAAAACCCTTCAAATTGGTAAATTACAAAACGGTCAGAATCGAAAGAGTCAAAAATCAAAAGGGTAAAATTCAAATGGGTCAAGTTCAAAATGGTCAAAAACCAAAATGTCATTATTCAAAATGGTCAGAACCAGGGGTGAGCGCAAGAGACAATTTTCAAAAACGCAACGCCAGAATTAAACGCAAATAACGCAATGCGCTCACCCCTGGTCAGAACCCACAGTACCCAAAAAGAATTGAATACAGTAACGACTACTACAGTATACCCAACTCCCCCAAAAAACACTACTCACTCACCATGAAAGTAATCCCCGCAATATTTTGTGAAATATTATGTACATCAACAATAGCAGCAATATTCTCACAGAAAAAAGAATCTGCTGTAACACTCAAATGTAAAAATAAAAACAAAAAGAAAATAATTGCAACAATAACAATCAAAAATTGTAAATTTGATGAGGAAGAAGCACAAGCTTTAAATTCTGTCCAAGGTAAATAACCGCCACCCTCACAATGTTGGGAATGATTTTGAACGTAGGCACATAGGGCTGGAGAAAAATTAAGAAAATTAAAAAATTTTTAAGGCCTCGTCAAAAGGGTAAAAGCCAAAAGGGTCAATATTAGATGTGACAAAATAAAAAAGGGTAAATCTCAAGCTAGATTAACAGTCGAAAATCTCATTTAAGATACCCCCAATATTAAGCACATTATAAGATGGGTTTTTTAAGTTTGGAAGGCCAAAGTGAAGGAGCCTAAACCCCAACACATTCCAAATTTATCAGAAAATACGTTATCAACCCCAAGGGTTTTAAAAATTCGATAGGGTAGTAAGTTAAAAATTAATTTCGATTATGTAGTTCCCCATTCAAAATTACCTAATTAAGCCCCAATATCTCCCAACTTAGAATAACCTCGTTAGAGGATATTATTTTTATCGACCCCCAAAGAGTATCTAAATGAAGTGTTTGCCTTTCAAATATTAAAAAAAATTTTTTACATTGAAAGCCAAGCCTTTTAAAATCAGAAGGTTTACAAATTTCTTGTTGTTGGTCAAGCATTTTTAAAGGGAAAAAGGTGAGAATATTTTTAAATTTTTAAAGTAATCCCATTAAATTGCCCAGTCAATTTTTCTTAACAATCAATAGACTTGTTGTTTCTTTTTTAAATAAAAATTGAATTAATTTTTAAAAGAAGATAAGAAAAAAGGAGAACACAAAATTTAAAGAGCAATTTTTGAAGATTTTTTAGTAAAAGCGGAGGGGAAAAATGAGGGAAAAGGGAAATTCTTTAAAAAAATTTTTTTGGACAAACATTGTTTGAGAGCTTTAAAAAAAGTTGTTTAAAGTGGCAAGTATACAATTTAAAGTCAATTAATTTAAAATTTTTTTCTGTTTTATTTAAGTTTAAATACAAACAAATGTCACTTTAACTTAAATAATGTGCGCAATAAAAATATAAAACAAGAAAAAAATTTTTTTTGGTAGGCCACTAAAAATTTTAAGAGCTAAAGAGGGGAGAAAAATAAATGAAGCGAGGGTGGAGTATTTCAAAAAAAAATTTTCATAAATTAGGTAAAAAAATTAAGCGATTAAAGTGAATGTTCTTGGTGTTAGCGTTACCCGTTTATTAAAAAAATTTCCAAAAAAATTTTTTTTTAATTTATTTTTTTTAACTTTAATGTAATTTCTTCATTTTTTATTTATCTCTCAAATAATGACAAAAATTTTAAATTTTTATATATCTTCATAAAAATTTTTTTTATTTTAAAAGTGGTCAGGTGAAGAGAGATTAAAAATATGAGTATTTTTGGGTAATCAAATTCTAAAATTTTTATTTTATTTTATTAACTGATAATAAATTCAAAGACACACGACAATTTTTGTATTGCGTGGGTGGAGGGAGGAGGGGAATATTAAAATAAAAATAGGGGAGAGGGTGGCATCAAAAAAATTTTTTTCCCGTATTTTGATGTGTACTGTGCGCCAAAACTTTCGGATGGCGCGCCAAACGCCAATTTTTCAAATTCTTAAAAAACGCAAAACGCCATGGCGCACGGCCCTGGTATGTATGTGTTGTATATTTACATAAATTTTAGTTGTTATTAAACAAAAAAAAAATAAAAAAAATTTTAGAAAATATTTAAATCTTTTCTCCCTTTTCTCCTTTAAAATCTCTCCGCCCTCCACCCTCACATAAACACAATTAAACCACTTTCCCCTTCCCCAAATTATTTGATAAATTTATTAAATAAGACTATTTATGGCCTTTCCACCTTCACTTTTCCACCTTCATTTCTTAAATTTTTTTTTCCACCTTCATTTCTTAAATTTTTTTTGAATTCGTCAAAGAGAGAAAGAGACAAAAGGAAATTGATATTAGTAAAATTGGTGACAAATTATTTTTATCAGAAAAAATGGAAATCTTTATTTTTAAACTGTTATTAGTTTCAAAAAGAGAAGTGAGGGTGGAGGAAAAATTAAAAAAGAAAAAAAAATAAATAAAAACGAGACCAAAAACCTTAAGGTTTTTGTTTTCAGATAAGGTTTGGTTTCCCCAACATTTTCAGTTTTTCCCCAACAACGAAAAAATTTTTAACAAGGCCAAAAAAATTTATAAAAAATTTAAAAATCCAAAAAAAAGTTTATTTGATTAGGATTGTCTTGTCGTTTTTTAGAAAATATTTATGGATATTCGAAACTGAACCGATAAAACCAAGACGAAAAATCTTTTTTTTCGGAGTTTTCGAACCCGAAAAAATTTTTTGAGAAACGTGCCCCCCCCCTCTAAAAAATTCAAACCCCTCTGACATTTCGAAAAAAAGACTTCACCCCCTGAAATTGGACTGAAAGTATTTTAATCTTATAGAAATGAGGGTGGAAGGTTAACTTTTTGCCATCCTACCATCTAAGAATACATCAGTATAATGACGTTCTGCAAGTGTATCGCCACGTCACCAGAAAAAAATTTACCCTATTTTCCAACTCAAAAATTCAAAAAATTAAAATAAACAAAATTTTGTTTATATATACAAAATTTATTTGAGAGGGTGGAGAGGGGGGGGGGGGAGATTTGTAAAAATTAATAAAACAAAATAAAAAATGACGATTAAATTTTTTTATTGTTTTATTTTTTAAAAAGGGGGATTAAAATGATATATTAAAAAAAATTTGAAAATTTATTAACTTTGAAATAAAGAAAAAAAATTTTTGAGTACGAATAAACTCAAAAAAAATTTTTTAAATAAACAAAATCATTAAAAAAATTAATTTTTTGTCCATTTAATTATGATTTGGAAGAGATAATCTTATTTATTATTATTAACCTTAATATCCACTATTCCTCCAAAAAAATTTAGAATTTTTGACATTTTTAAAAAAAATACTTCCTGAGAGATTGGAGATTAGAAATGTTTTTGATAATTTTTTTGAATTTAATGTAAAATAAAAAAAAATTTTTGTCTTAAATGTGTAAACTAGAGATAGGCAAAATCGTGTTTGCGAGATCCCGCATGCGGGATCGTTTTTCAACTTTTGCGGGACAGGACTTGCGGGATAAATCCCGCATCCCACAAATCATAAAAAGTGCGGGATTGCGCCGGTTTTAAGTGTTGTAAACTAGGGTGTTGGTTCGACTTTCGTCTTTCGCTTTTTAAAATTTGGTTATATGTGCTTTATAAATGAGGTTCTATTTAAAAAATTTTTTTTGAAGAGTTAAAAAAAATTATCGGGAAAAATCTTTCAGCCTATAGAAAAATATATTTTATAACAAAATACAAAAAATACAATATTTTTTTTGTATCCTGATTATAGACCAAAATTCAATCATTTTTTTATAAAATAAGATTAGACTAAAATATATTTTAAAAAAGGTTTTAGAATAAAAGATTAAAAAAAAAAGTTACAAAAATAAATTTTTATAACTTTTATTCTTTTTTTTTATCTAATATAAACTTTAAAAAATCACATCACACATTTTTTTGCGCCTCTCGAATTTTGATGCAAAAATATAATAATATGTGATTTTAAATGATTTTTAGTTTATATTCTCTAAAAAAATTTTTTTGATTTTTGCAATGTTTGTTTTTAAGCCAAAAATAATAAAAAAAAGGCTTTTCACAAAATTTATGAAAGGTTTTTTAAAAAATTATTTTTAAAGTTAGGTAAATATAAATTTAACTTTTCAATAAAATTCTTTCTTTACTTACAAGTATTTAGAAAAAGTAATTAAAAAATAGACATAAAAATGAGTAACAAAAAGCATTTTATATTGCTCATTTTTAAAGAGAGAAATTTTGATTTTTGGGCTTTTTAAAAAATCCCGAAAATTTTTTGAAAAAATTTTTTTAATTCTCGGAAAATTTTTTGAAAATCATAAAAGAATTTCAAACAAGTTTTTCACAGGAAATTCTTTGAAAATTTTTTCGAAGAATTTTTTGAAAAATTTTTGACAAAAAAATTTTCTTAACCCAGCACCGGAAAACAAAATTTAAAATTAAAAATATATATACCCAATATTTACAATGTAAATATAAATGTTTCAAGATAATCCTTTCATTTCATTTCGAACACAACGGCGAAAATGATCCCAACTAAACAATGAATTTTGTGGATGTGTCTTAAAAAAAATTAAAAATTTTAGATTAAAAAATATAAATCTTAATATAATTTATATTTTGAAAAATTAAATTTTCTTTCAAAAATGAATCCGAAAAAAAATCAAAACAAAATTTAATTAGGAAAAAATCAAAAGTTCATCCATTTATTTCTACACCCCCCTCCCCCTTACTTCTCCAAAGAAAATTTCTAAAAAATTAAGAATATGATTTTTTTCTCCCCTGTTAAAAAATTATTATTAAGAAAATAAAAAAAAAATAAAAAAATAGAATCTAGAAAATAATTCAGAAAAATGTACTCCACTCCTCCCCCTCCAAAATATTTTTAAAAAAAATCAAAAATACTCTCCCCTTTTTTAAAAATAATTCTCATTAAAAATTAATAAAAAAATTAATAAAATTTAAAGGAAAAAAACCTTAAATCCTCTACTTAATCGATCACTCATAACAGCAATAAATTCAGAATAAGACAATTTATCATCCCCATTTGCATCAAATATTTTAAACAAAACATTTACAAGTTGAGGATCCAAATTGAAACCAGTAGAACATTTAACAGCTCGAATAAATTCATTTTGAGAGACTGGAATGTCTGCAATTGCATATAAACGAACTGCTTTACTTTAAAAAAATAAAAAAATTTGAAATAAAATAAATTTAAAAAACCTAAAATCCTCCAAATTGTTAAGAAACATACTAAAAGTTTCAAATTGTTGTAAGGATATTCCCTAAAAAATATTTTTTTAATTTGAAATTTTTCTTAATAATTTTAATAGGAATTGTTTTCTGAGAAGGAAGAAAAACGTGAAATCGATATTTTCGAGTTTTTAAAATTCTATAGGGGTGGGGGAGCTGTACAAATAGGAAAATGATTGAAAGTAAAAAAATTTTTTTGACTTTTTTAAAATTTTTCTAAAATTTGTTTTATCAATTCTAAAGATTTAAAATAATCCTTTAAAAATAATACGAACCAAAAGAATTCGGACCTTCAAAGTCCTAACCAAAACCAAAAACGCTATCCACTAAACCATCCTACAAATACACTACAACTCAGTTTAAATCGACTTTTATTTTCCTCGATAATAATAAAAATTACCCCTAATGTAGAATTTAGAACTAAAACCCCTAAAATTAATTTCAAAAAAAATTTCAAAAATAAAAAAAAATTTTTCTCTAAATTCAAAGAACCTCTTCATCATATTCACTTCTTTCATAAACTCTTCTAATATAAGGGGATCTTTCATCTTTATGAAGTATTGAATAACGCAAAACTAATCTTGCAAAATCTACAGCAGAAATTCTATCTTTTCCACGAGAAAATTCTTTAAATTCAATTTCTATCAATTCTTTTTGTAAATGTTGGTAGAAACTTTTAAAAATAATACATAACATTTAAATAAAATTAATTTTTAAAATTTTGGGCGGTGTCCGCAAATGTTTGTCCGCAAATATTTGCGGACCCTAATCAAGTGTTTAGAAAAGAAAGGGAGGGAGTTAACGGACAAAAAGTTGAACGTAACCATTGCAATTAATTTTTAAAATTTTGGGCGGTGTCCGCAAATATTTGCAGACCGGAACCATAAATTCTTTAAATTCAAGGAAAGGAAGGAGGGAATTAGCCGGAGATTTTTAGGTTGCATATTTATCGAAAGATCAATTTTTTCTGAGTTTAGTTTCATAGAAATTTTTTTATTCAAAAAAACGAGACAAAAAGAAATACCTATATTCGTAACCTACTACCCAAAACTTGCCCCAAAATAATCTTAAAAAATTTTCCAAATTTTTTTGAAGAACCAATAAAAAGATTTTAGAACAAATTTAAAAAAATTAGACAAACTTTTGGAATTGTTTAAATGTAAGAGAATCTCGCCCACTTCTTCCAAATAAATGAACAGTTAATGTTGTTTCGAGTGACTGTTTTGCTTCCAAAAGTTTTTGTTCCTTTAAAAATTTTTTTTCTTAATTTTTCAAAAAACTATTCAGAAAAAAACCTCCTCATCTTTATCCAAATTTTTATGTCGAGAACTGCTCGAATGGATCAATCGTTCAAACTGAAATATAGAAAATACTAATTAAAGAGAATTTGCAAATTAAAATAGGATAAAGTAGTAATGTTAGAAGGAAAACAAAAAAAAATTAAAAAAATATTTTAAAGTTCAAAAGGGAAAAATATACTAGAATGAATAATGAGGTAAAATTAAAAATATTTCAAAAATTATCTTGCGGACAATACTTCCGGCAGTCCGCAAATTTAAAAAAAAATTAGGACAAAATGTCATAATGATCCTATATGTTAAAAATTTTCAACTTAAAGAAAAAAAACAACAAAAATTTTTGCAGACAATACTTGCGGACATCCGCAAAATAAAAACAAAACATTTTATAAAAACCTTTTCTCTAGTAGCAGGAACAATTCTTGAAAGAAAATCCACATCAAAATCTGCATTCACAAAACATTGCTTAAAGCATAAAAAGAAAAAAACCAAATCACAGAAAAAAACAAATTTAAAAATTTACTTCCAATTCCAGTTGTGATTCCATTAAATTAATATCTGAAGATTCCAAGGTTTGTGGAGTGGCAAGGATGAGAATATATTGAATCTGGAACAGTGCAAAATGAATCGATTAAAAAATATTTTTAAGATCAAAAAATTTTTCTGACCATTTCGGGGTCTGACCATTTTTTAATTTTGACCGTTTGACCATTTTGGGGAAATTTTTTAAAATTCAAACCCATTAAAAAACAGATTTTAAACGAAAAAAGTGCAGAAACAACAAAAATACAGTCATAAAGCAAAAAACTCAAAAAAGTGCAGGGTAAGAACTTGAAAAATTTTCACCGCAAAACAAAAAAAATTTAAAAATAAGAAAATAAACCTTAAGAAATTCCTGTTTATCAATTTGCATATTGTCATCCTCATCAAAAATCATAAAAGCTATTGTGAAGGCATAATGAGATTCTAAATTTTTGAAGAGAAAATTAAAGAGGTGGAAAAAAGGGTAACAGAGTACTCACTACGTCGCAGGACTACATATAAAAACTAGAGAGACAGGGATGGTCGTTCGAAGAATCGAGCTCAATAGTTCGAAAAATTTCAGTTCTCGATAGCCAAGATTTTTGTTCGAGATCTCGTCTAGGTCTGGTTTGTAATAAAAACTTCGCTTAACATTGTCTAATCCAGACTCCCCTAGTATGATTCATTCAGCTCGTTAAAAAATGCTGCCTCGAACCATACGTGAATGTAAAGGATTGGAAATTTTTTTAACAAAGTTATATCCCTTCGACAGAATGGACCTATGGCATTATGGGAGGTAAATAGGATTTCAGAAAAAGATAAAAAAAAATTTTAGAAAACGTCTTTTTAGAAAATTTTCGAAAAATTAGACTTTAATAAAAAATAAAATAAAAAATACTTGTCAACAGTGTAACCAAAAAAAGATATTCAGCATAAGAAATAATTCCTTTATCACCCAATTCACTAAACATTTTTGAATTTCCTCTTCTTAAAGGAGTATTTTGAATAAATTTTTTGACTTGATTTTTGTTTATTACATTACGGAATGTTCTTTCTAGAAAAAAATAAAAGGAAAATTTTATTAAAAAAAGAAAACCTCTTGGTTCATCAAGTGTAAGGGAATCTAGAAAATCTTGTGGAGTCATAAAAATTTCCTGAAAAAAGATTAAATTATGAAAAAAAGAAGAGAATTAAAATAAAAATTTGCGGACAATATTTGCGGACACGAGAACGAATTGAATATTTAGTTAAGGCAAATTTTTTCCTACAATCACAATCAGAACACAACAATTTCCCGAACTTCCAGGATTCCTCCATTTTGCTGGACTTTCAGAAATTAAGGCAGGCTTAATGGGTGTACGGAATTTTGGTCACTGGAATTTTGGTCACCAATGATTTTCGGAACTTTGGTCACCAACTTTTTTGGAATTTTGGTCACCAGCGGAATTTTGGTCACCAAGTCAAAAAACGGAATATTGGACACTGAAATTTTAGGCGCGGGGAATTTGGGCGTCGGAGTGAATTTTTTGATTAATTCAAAAATAACACAAAATCAAACTACGTAACTATAGGTTACAAATAGAGTTGGACGAAATATGTCATTCGAAACAGCTCGTCGAACTAGGTCAAACGACTCCAAAATCATCCCGATTCAATCATTCTCAACAAAATTATGATTAATTGAATCTCGCTTGAATAAATAATTTTGGATCTGATACATAGCGGGTAGGTCGGCATTTCAAAGTTGAAAATCAGTAAAAAAGGGATAGGTTTATGTTACTGTTGTAGAACCCAGCGACCGTTGACTCCCGCAAGGCGCGTGCCGCAAAATCCCGCGCGAAGCGCGGGATTTTGCACAAGCGCCTCGCCGGTGCCCATAGGTTTACGTTGTTTGATTTTGTGTTATTTTTGAATAAATCAAAAAATTCACTCCGACGCCCAAATTCCCCGCGCCTAAAATTTCAGTGTCCAATATTCCATTTTTTGACTTGGTGACCAAAATTCAGCTGGTGACCAAAATTCCGAAAATCCTTGGTGACCAAAATTCCGGTGACCAAAATTCCGGCACTCGGCTTAATGTTAGACCCCCCCCCTATTTAAGGTCCCCATCTCCATAGCGGACAGTTTTCCAAAAAAAGGGGGTTTACTTTCAAAATGGAAAAACTCAATAAATCATCTTCAGAACTGCCTAAAAATTACTTAAATTTAAAAAATACCCCTGCATATTCAATTGAAGCAAATTTTCTAAACCTTAAAAACAAACCTTAAAAATTATAAAAAACAAAAAAAACCTTTTTAATCTTTTAGACATTCTAATTTGTTCTTCATCTGGATCATCATTTATTCTCATTATTGGTTGAATTACTGCAAATCTTGTAAACAAAATAAAAGAAAATAATTTAAATTTTATTGGAAGTAGACGAGAAAAAGAAGACGCAAAATAAAATCGAAAAGGAATATTTTGTTGAATTTTTTTATTAAAAATATTAAAACGTTTTTGTTGTTGATTTAATTGATAAATAAATTTTTGCCATTTATTAAGTGAAGCCATTTTCTTAAAACTTTTTGAAGTCTAAAAATAAGGAACGGGTTGACCGAAACTGAGACTATTTTCAGACGATCCAAAGAAAATTTCAAACTAACCCGACCCAAACTTTTTTTTCATTAACCCGCCCCATCCCTTGTCTAAAAATAAATTAAAAAAAATTAAAGTCAAAAATATTTTTAAATAATTTGAATGAAATTTCAAAACAAATATTAAAAAAAAATTTTTTTACAGAAAAATATTTATCGAAAATTAATATTTACATACATAAAACTAATTTTTTGTGGACAAATGAATTAGACATTAATACATACACACAAACAATAAAGGTTTTGGCAAGAAAAATATATTTATGTGTTAATTTTTAATTTTATATTATATTTACAACGGTATCACGACTTTTGCGCCGAGAACATTTGCGCCGCGACTTTTGCGCCGCGACTTATGCGCCGGGCGACTTTTGCGCTGCGACTTGTGCGCCGCGACTTATGCGCCGGGCGACTTATGCGCCGCGACATTTGCGCCGCCATAATTTTAAAAAAATAATATCTAGTCGACCTAATTATAATGTACTCTTAAAAAATGGTATCTAGGAGCTGAAGGAATTTCAGGAAGTACAATATTTCGAGAAGTACAATAGCTCCCTCTAATAAACCGACCCCCTAGAGGGGTCATCTTCAAAGAACTTGACTTTTTCAAATCAGGATATTTGGTCTGCTACCCCTATTCAGGCATGATTTTCTGCCAAAAGAGGGTGCACTATAGTGTAGGGTTGTCGGGTCCAGATATCTGGATCTGAAAAAGGCCGGATAGCCGAATATTTAGGTCGGATATCGGATCCGGATCTTGATATCCGAAGATCTCCAACTATCCTACATCTTCTACAGTGAGATCCGGCTGTGTTTTTCATAATTATAATGATAGTGGCGGCGCAAAAGTCGCGGCGCAAACGTCGCCCGGCGCAAAAGTCGCGGCGCAAAAGTCACGGAACCTTTACAACTACACTTCTTTCTTTATATGTCTTCACTGGCCTTTGAGAATTCTAAAAAATTAAAATAAATTTTGATTTTAGGATTAGTTCTAATAGTTTAAATTTTAAAAAACTAACTCGAGGAATTCGTCTCGTTGGAGCTCATTCTTCTCCATCAACTTTACAGCCACTTAAAATGTATTAAAAACTTAAAATTTAAGTGATCTAATACCAAATTTATGAGTTGTTCGTTCTCACTGACTTGACGTTGCGCCTCCTTAAGGTTTTTCGTTAGAATCTCTAAACATGCCTCATCATGTTTTAGTTTAGATGCTGCCGATTGTGAATATTTTGAATGAGAAATAAAACCTTTCATGATGAAGTTTTCTACCTAAAAATTATTAGGAATTAAAAATTCAAAATATTAATTAGTACCATTGAATGTGCAAGAAACCAGGCCTTGTCTATATCATCAGCTACTTGACTTGTGTCATTTCCATTATTTAATCTCATTTCACCGGCAACGCTGGCTAGAAGGCTTAGAAGGCTAGACAATCAGTAGGTGGTCCAAGAATACTAACCAGTTCTGCATGTTCAATAAATTTTACCTCCAAAAGTCGATTGGCCAACTTTTCCAAAAATTCCTTTTTTTAATCTGATTTGCTGCTTGCACGGAACTGTTTTGAGGTTTATCAGAGACCAAGAAAATAATAAACAGTTCCGTGCAAGCAGCAAATCAGATTAAAAAAAGGAATTTTTGGAAAAGTTGGCCAATCGACTTTTGGAGGTAAAATTTATTGAACATGCAGAACTGGTTAGTATTCTTGGACCACCTACTGATTGTCTAGCCTTCTAAGCCTTCTAGCCAGCGTTGCCGGTGAAATGAGATTAAATAATGGAAATGACACAAGTCAAGTAGCTGATGATATAGACAAGGCCTGGTTTCTTGCACATTCAATGGTACTAATTAATATTTTGAATTTTTAATTCCTAATAATTTTTAGGTAGAAAACTTCATCATGAAAGGTTTTATTTCTCATTCAAAATATTCACAATCGGCAGCATCTAAACTAAAACATGATGAGGCATGTTTAGAGATTCTAACGAAAAACCTTAAGGAGGCGCAACGTCAAGTCAGTGAGAACGAACAACTCATAAATTTGGTATTAGATCACTTAAATTTTTTTTTAATACATTTTAAGTGGCTGTAAAGTTGATGGAGAAGAATGAGCTCCAATTCCTCGAGTTAGTTTTTTTAATTTAAATGATTAGAACTAATCCTAAAATCAAAATTTATTTTAATTTTTAGCATTTTCAAAAGCCAGTGAAGTCATATAAAGAAATAAAAATCTGTGGGTGAATAAATTAAAGAATCTAATCCCCGTAGAAAGTTATTACTAGGCACTTCGCGAACAATGTTTGAAAGATCCTGCTTAGTAAACGATTCAGAATTCTTCAGTTCCATCTAAATCGAAACCTTTTGATACCACTAAAGACCCTTCGAAAATGTTGATTGACGTTTTAGGGAAGGATTCTGTGCTTATTTCTTTCCAATTTTTGCGCCGCAGGCGAAAATTTGATAATTTTAGGTTACAAATTAGCTATAAGCATTTTTTTGGGATGCTTAATGTAGAAAGTATATTTAGCTTCTTGCCGTAAAGGTTTTTTGGTATTTCGGCGTTTTTGAGTGGTTGGTATTTCAGCGTTAGTTATTATGGCCGTTAATAAATTATCAAGGGTGTAGCCAGGGGGTCGATTTCAGGGGGGCTAAGATGGGGTGTTTGGAAAATTTTGGCGTTTACTTTGGCGCTCCTAATGCAACTTTTTTGAACCATATTTTTCAGTGCCGCAGGCAAAATTTTTTTTGAAATTTGAAGCTCAAGCGACCAGATTTCTTCCATTTTCAGCGCCGCGGGCAAAAATTTTGAGAATGTAGACGGTCACGGGCGAAAAAATTTCGTTTTTTGCTCAACCCCCTCATCAAATCTTTTCCTTTCCCTATTTCGGGGGGAGGGGGGGGGCTTTAGTCGCCGAATCCACCACCAGCTACGCCCTTGTAAGTAAATTATCAAAAAAATTTAAAATAAACTAAACTTTTCTTCTTTTCCTTCTTCTTCTCCTTTTGTTTTCATCATCAACTTCCATTATAACAGGCAAAGAAGATGGTCTAGAAAGCCATGTTAAACTAGCCAAATTTTCATTATCAACAGAAGATTCATCATTTTCATTTAAAGACCAATTGTTATAAAAATATTTTTTAAATCGCAAATTTCTTCTTTTTTCACAATCAAACTTTAAATAAAAAAATTAAGAAAAAATTTAAAAAATTAAAAAAAACCTTTGGACATTTTTCTTCTGAACAAACACTACAATCACATTCAAAACGAACACTATTAGTTTCTGTCCATCGAAAAGCTGAGAAATTGGCCTGAAAAAAAACATTTTTGGCATTTGTAACTGGAGGGAGTTTTTTCGGACACTCTTTGCGGACATCATTTTTTACGGACATTATTTTTTGCGGACATTTTTTGCAATTTTATTTTTTAAAATATTATTTCAGGGTCAAAAAAAATGCTTATTTTTCAATCCAGTATCATATTCCTAGCCAAAAAAGCCGGAAATTTTCTAGAGCAAATCGGTGATGCTCTATCGATTGGTACCAAAAAAATACAAAGTTTTGACTGACAGTTCGTGAGGTTCCCTTGTAAAACCCAAAAATATTCAAAGAAATAACAACCTCCCTCCCCAAATTTTGTTCTTTTAATAAATGCCAAAATATTAAAAGAAACCTCTGATTTATAATTATTTTTCCTTTTCCATTCAGGAAATAATCCTTTTTCAAAAGCACAACCTCCATTATCTGTTAAACAATATCTTCCTCCATTGTCCAAATTTATTGCATAACATCTTTTTGGGAATATTGTTATATTTCTAATTTTTTGTTGCCATAAACGAGAAACGAGGCTCAATGTTAACGTTAAAGTCTGAAATAAAAAAATTTTTATGACTAAAGATCTGTCCACAAGATTTGAAAGAAAATTATTATAACATAGAAAATGGAGGCCTTCCAAAATTCTCAAAATTTTCGCTAGCGGCGCTAAAAATCGAAAATTTCTCCCTTGGTCACCCCCGAAAAATCCTAGTTACGGGCCTGGAGAGAGCTACCCCAGGAACTAGCTTCTAGCTTCTCAATTATTGAACAAATTAAATTCCCTTAACAAATTCAATTTTTGAAAATATAGCCCCAGAAAATTCAAAATAACTTAAGAATTGAAATAGAATGTAAACAGAGCTGTTAGAAATTAGAAGAAAAATTTTCTAAAAAATTTTTTTTCAAAAATTATAACAAAAAATGTTTTGTTCTCCTAATAAATCCTATTATTTAATCCTAAAAAAGAAAGAAAAAAATTTCAAACCTCGCCAGCTTTTATTTTTAAAACATGTACACCATTTTTATCAGTCACATCCAACAAACTAAAAAAAAATAAAAAATAATTTTTAAATTAAAGAAAAATTCAAACCAAATAGGTTCCTCTACCAAATTACTTTTTGTTGCTGTTCCAACTGATTCTCTTGTTGTTTTTGTTTTTAAAGTTGTCTTTGTCGTTTTCCTCATCATTTTCTTATCAAAAACATCTTCAAACACCTTCTGGCTCGTCATTTTTGGTGTCTTTGTTATTCCCATTTTTGTTGTTATTTTTGGGGTTTTTGTAAAATTTTCTGAAAAATTAGTCAAATTTTCTTCTTCCACAAAATGGCATTGAATTTGAATAAAATAAATTGGAGGAATATACAAATAATTAAAAGATTTTAATTCAATTATTGGTTTGATTAAAAGACGTGTACTTAATGTATTTATTTTTATTCCTTTTTCAATTAATTTACATTCATTTGCAGGAATTAAAAAATTGGAGGAATTGTTGGTGTTGTTGTTGTTACTGGAAAACTTTAATTGGAATTTTAAATTTTTAAATTGAAAAAAAGGCTTAAAAAATAGGGTTGGGGTTTTCGGGTCGGGCCGACGTTCGAGTCATTTTTTCGGGCTTCATTTTATTAAGCCGACCCGACCGAGTCTTTTTCGGGCCAAAATTCAATGCCCGACTCGATCTTTCGGACCGGACCCCCAACCCTATTTAAAAAGTCCGCAAGTTTTGTCCGCAAGTTTCATACCTTTAAAAATAAATTTCTTACATGTTCTGCTCCTATTTAATTCACCCTTATTGAAAATCTTTTTAGAAAATTGGATTAGAAATTCTAGGAAAATCTTCGAACATCCGGAACCGAAAACAATTTAAAATTTTTTTTCTATTTCAAAATTTCAAAAGCCATCACCCTTCGTTTTCGACGAACCGAGTAAAAACCCCGACGTCCAAACCCAAAGAACCGGACTGAAGAATTCCTCGAGTTACATATCTGTCCCAAAATTATTTAAAAAAGAAATGTTAAAATTGCGGGCAAAACTTGCGGATTTTTGCGAGTATAAAGGAAGAACCCTTATATGAAGGAAACCCCCCCCCCTTCTCCAATTAATAAAAAAAAATAAACTAACGTCTTTAAAACATTTTGGATTCTCGGCCTGACTACCATTAACAATTACACGGCCTTTAAATTGTATCCAAACATTAGAAGTAAAATAAACTTGAATTGCTGAATTTTCCAAATTTTCACCTCGAAAGCATTTAACTTTAAAAATTTTCTAAATTTTTTTTAATTTCAAAAAAAAAAGAAAACCTTTAATATATTCTTTAATAGATTTTGGTGATAATGCCGCACATTCATGACCATCTTTTAAAATTTTAGGACATTCACAACGATAAGCTCCCTCTAAATTTCGACAAAATGCTTCTTCTCCACAAACAGCAACACCTAGAAAATTTTTTTTCTTGATTTTTAATTTTACAAAAAAAGGTAATTTTGAACTGCCTCGTTTTTTCGATTTACTCACGATTCCCTTTTTTGGCAATAGGCAGCAGGAATAGGTCAAGTTACTGATCGATACACGAAACATGGATGCTCTTTCGACCAGAAACCCGATTCGAAGAAAATTTTTAAAACCCGATCTAACTCATCAATGATAGGAAGAAAAAAGAGGGGTGCAACTAGGGATGGACACGACCGGCTTTTAACCGGTACCTCCAGTTTTTCGGTTCCTGTTTATTGTCAGTTAACCGTTTAAGCCCAATCCTAGTCAATGAGTCAAAATTACCAAAAAAAATAATTTAAAAAATAAACCCATTTTGCATTCATCCACATCTTCACAAGAGCCATTACTATTCAAAAAGTAACCATTTTCACATCTATTACCACACTTGCTGTCTGAATTATTAAAACATTCCAAATTTCTCAAAGAATTGGAAGAAGCATTTAATGAAATTTCTGCTGAAAATAACGTCAAATTTAAAAAATTTTTAAAAAATAAAAAACCATTGCACGGAAATAGTGGAGGAAAACCAGAAAAACCAGGCAAACACTGACAGACTGATTTATCGCTTAAATTGACCAAAATTTTCAATTTCAAAAATTTTTTTCCAAAAATTTTCTTACCTACAAAAAGCTTGTTGACCGCAATAATGTTGCAAGCTTCTTAACATAAAAAAAATTTAAAAAAATAAATTTAAAAAAACTTGGAACAATTAAAGCCAAAATTAGTAGAAACTAGAGAAGAAGAAACTTTTAAGGGAGAAATAGTGTTGGTTTGAGGAGAGACAACTCTAATATTTTTTGAAGGGAAAGGAATAATAGAGTCTTGAACAGAAACAGTAGTCTTGTTGGGAGAAGCAACAATGTTTTTGTTTAGTGCTTTAGTAGATGCTTCAGGTTTAACTGTTATTGAAGCAGTTTCAATATTTTGTTTAGTTGGAGAAATAGTGTTGGTTTGAGGAGAGAAAACACTAATTTTTGAAGAGAGAAGATTAGTAGAGTCTTCAACAGAGACAGTAATCTTGTTGAGAGAAACATTTGGGGAAGATGCTTCAACAATAGGTTTAATTGTTATTGAAGCTGTTCCAGTATTTTGTGTTGTTCTTGTCCAATTTTGAAGACAATTCTGCAATTTTGTAAACCTTCTTGGAGTTTTTAGGGTTGTTTTTGGGTGTGTTTTAGTTGTTGCTTCAGAACTAATTTTAAATCTTGAAGCAGAAACATTTGAAGCTGTGGAGGATTCTGTTGCTTTGGACACGAACCCTGATGAAGTAGAATTTGCTTCAGAACTTTCTGCAGCAGAAGTTGTACCATTAGAATTTGCTAAAAAGTTTGGCGTAGAAAATGCTACAGAATTTGCTTCAATATTTTTTTGGGTATTTTTGTCAAAAATTAATGTAGCAGGTGTTGGTTTTAATGAAACTTCATTAACTGCCGAAGTCGATAAAACATTCGTTCTTGAGTTGATTAAAGAAGTTGATTCAGTATTTGCTTCAATATTAGAAGCTGATGTTGAGTTAACTTTTGCTAATGACGCTACTTCATTACTACCTACAAGAGTTGCTTTAATACTTGCTTCAGGAGTTGAAATTGCTTCAATCCTTGCTACAGAAGCTGCTCCATTATTTGCCACAGTTGAAGTTGCTTCATTACTTGCCATAGAAGTTGCTTCAATAATTGCTACAGGTATTGAAGTTGCAACAATATTTGCTACAGTATTTGCTTCAATACTTGCTAAAGGAGTTGAAATCGCTTCAATTCTTGCTACAGAAACTGCTCCATTACTTGCTACAGGTTTTGAAGTTGCAACAATATTTGCTACAGTAGTTGCTTCAATACCTACTAAAGGAGTTGTTTGTTCAAATTCTCTATTAGTTACAGAATCTGCTTCAGAAGCAGTAGCAGCAAAATTCGCACCCAAATTCTTAGCATTAGCTAAAGATAGTGGTGCTTCAGTAATTGTTTCAGCATTTTTAGAATAAATTTCTGAAGTTGCTTCAGATTTTATTGGATAAGTTGATTTAGTATTTGCTTCAGATTTTGCTTCAAAATTTGAAACTAAAGATTTTGCTTCAAGAGTTGGTCCAGTATTTGTTTCAATATTTTGATTAGTTGTTTCTGCTTCAGTTTTAATAATGTTTGTTGAAGCTGCTTCATTATTTATTGAATTTGTTTCATACTTATTAGTAGGCTTAAAAATATTAATATTTCCTTCTGTAATTGCTTCAAAAGGGGTAGTATTCAACAAATTTATTTTATAATTTTCTGAACTTAATTTTGGCTTTTTTGTTGAAAATTTTCTTTCACCAATTTTATTTAAAAAATTTTCAAAAGAAATTTCTTTGCTTCTAGTACCTGGTCTTCTTGTTGCTTTAGATGAGTTTACTTCAATATTTTTAAAAATGTTAGTTGATGCCAAAGGTTTGGTAGAAGACTTTGCTGATGCTTCAGCTTCGAAGGGAAACTTTGTTATTGCTTCAAACTTGAAAGAAGTTGAAGCTTGAGGTTCGGATGTTGATGTTTCAGATTCAGAAGGAGAGTTCATTTTTGCTTCAGATTCGGTTGTTTTCACTTTTGCTTCAGCTTTGGAAGGAGACTTTGTTAATGCTTCAACTTCGGAAGGAGACTTGGTTGATGCTTCAAATCTGGAAGCAGGCTTCATTTTTGTTTCAGGTTCTGAAGGAAAGTGTGTTGGTGCTACAGATTCGGTAGTTGATGCAGATTCGGTTGAAGATTTAAAAAACTTCTTTTTTGTTTCGGATGTGAAAGGAACCTTCTTCTTTGCTTCCGGTTCGAAAGGAGACTTCATTTTTGCTTCAGATTCGGAAGGAAACTTTGTTGGCGCTACAGATTCGATTGTTGATACAGATACAGTTGATGATTTAGAGGATTTCATTCTAGTTTCAAATTTAGGGGTAACCTTCTTCCTTGCTTCAGATTCGGAAGTGAATTTTGTTGTTGCTTCAGATTTGGAGAAAAACTTTGTTCTTGCTCCAGATTTAAACCTCAATTTTATTTCAGTTTCGAATGGAAGCATTGTTGAAGCTTCAGAAACATTTAATAATTTGAACGATGTTCTATTTGAAGTGTCGGTAATATTTTTTATAGAATTTTCTTCAGTTGTACTTAAAGTTGGTTTTATAGATGTTGCTTCATTAAAAGATGAAGCAGAACTTGCTAGATTAGTTATAGTTGAGCCTGCTTCAGTTTTCGGTATTGAAGTTGCTTCATTAAAAGATGAAGCAGAGTCTACTAAAATGATTGAAGAATCTGCTTCAGTTTTTGTTTTAGAAGTTGATTCATTATTAATATAAGCATTTGCTTCAGAAACATTTATTAGAGGTTCTGTTGCTTCAGTAGGGGGAAATAAAGTTGTAGCAGAAATTGTTTCAGAATTGTTTATTTGACTAGCCTCAGTATAAGAAAAAGTGTTATTTGAAGCAAAATTTGTTTCAAAATTTCTTCTAGTGTTTAATGATGAAATGTGAGGCGTAAAACTTGTTGATATTATTGTTAAAGCTTCAGGTTTTGTGTTATTTGCTACAAAAGTTGCTTCAGTAGAAAAATTCACTAAAGAGCCTGTTTTAGAAGGTGATTCGGCTTCTGATGTTGAAGATGTGAAGAGAGACTTTGTTGATACCTTAGATTTGGAAGACTTCATTTCTGCTTCAGCTTCGGAGGGAAACTTCCTTCTTGCTTCAGCCTCGAAGGGAAACCTAGTTGTTGCTTCAGCTTCGAAGGGAAACTTTGTTGTTGCTTCAAATTCGGAAGACTTAATTTTTGCTTCAGATTCGGAAGTTGTTTCGGTATTCAATTTATTAGAATTCAAACGGGAATTAGTAGCAGAAGGCACAGTTGTTTCAAAATTTGAAGAACTTGATTTGACGGTTGAAATAGAGTTTGATTCAAATTTTGAAGTCAACGAAGTTGATCGTATTTTGTCTGTAGCTGATAGAGAAGCTTCAATATTTGATAAAGGTGTAGCCGTATTAGATGATAAAGAATTTCCTTTCAGACTTGTTTTAGTATCTTTGACTTCAGACTTTATCGAAGTTGCTTCAATACTTCCTTTAGAGGATGCTTCACTACTTGCTACAGTTTTTGCTTCAATATTCGCTTCAGAAGATGCTTCAATGCTTCCTTTAGAGGATGCTTCAATACCTGATCCAGAAGATGCTTGAATACCTGCTACAGGTTTTGCTTCAATATTAGCTTTAGAGGATTCTTCAATACTTGATACAGTCTTTGCTTCAACACCTGCTTCAGGGGACGTTTCAATATTTGATACAGATTTTGCTTCATTGTTTGACGTTGCTTCAATATTTGCTAAAGATGTTGTTTCAACGGGTGAAAAATTTGCTTTAGAAGCTGTCTCAGGCTTTAAACCTGGAGTTGATTCAACGTCTATCACAGAATTAGGCGAAACATTAGCCATAGTAGTTCTTGAATAAATTTCTTCTTCATTATCTGTTTCTTTAGTTGTTGCTACAGATTTTATAGTTGTTCTATCTTCATAATTTGCTTCAGTGTTATCAGTCATCATTTTTAATCCACTTATATTTGCTGAAGTAGATTTTGCTTCAAAATCAGCTAACAAAGCAGGGTGACCATTTTACCTTATTTATAGGGCATTTGCCCTATTTTTGAACTTTTCGCCCTATTTTTTCCCTATTTTTTCATTTGCCATATTTTTGCCCTATTTTTAACATTTCGTAATATTTCTATATTTTTTTGGGATTTTGTAAAAAAATGGTAAAAATGAAGGATTTCTGACTTCCTGACCTCCAAAATTCTTAAAATTTTCGCCTGCGGCGCTGAATGGGGGAGGTTACTAGCTTATTATTATAGATTGGCACGCACAGCATGAAGTACGGGATTTTATTCAGTCATTTGGACGTTTGTGTAAGGAAATAGTTCGAAATTAATCAGCATTGTAGGGTTATTTTTGATCTGAAAGCAAATTTTCTGATGAGTCAACTCTTTCAGCATTTTTGTTGTTAAGAATGTGAAACTAGCCAGAGAAGCAGAACGAAGGCGAAATTACTTAATTCCCTTGTATTCATTAAACTCAATTCTGATTTTATTGTACTCGGGCACTCTTTATTTCTGATACCGATTTGCTCAATTTAGATAAAACTAGCGAACAAAGGTTTAAAATAAAGCTTTTTATTTGAAATTTTAATTAATTTTAAGCTTTTAAAATATTGCCCTATTTTTTGCCCTATTTTTGCTCAATTTTGCCCTATTTTTGCCACATTTTTAAGTGGCTGCGCCCTATTTTAGTGGTTTTGAGATGGTCACCCTGTAACAAAGTTATTTCAGAATTTATTTTAAAAGTTGAAGGTAAAGATGAAGCATAATTGGGAGTTTCAGTAATTGGTGCTTCAGAAGTCAGAAAATGTTGCTTCATTTGTTTTGATAAATTTGCTTCATTTGTTGAAAATTTTTTTGTTGAAGCATATTCAGTTCTGGGTGAAGTCTCTTCAATGCCCGTTGGAATAGTCGATAAAGAAGCTGCTTCCGTTTCTGCTAACAAATTTTCCCCATTATTTGGTGTAGAAGCTGAAGTTGCTTCAGCTTCTATTTTTGGTTTAAAATTTGCTTCATTATCTACTAAAATCGCTTCATTATTTGGCTTATTAGATTTTGATTCTTTAACTGTTGAAGCTTTTGTAGAATGTTCTCCTGGATTTATCTGGGTATTTAAATAAATAGTTGCTTCAGTATTTGCTTCAGATTTTGGTTCAAAGTTTGAAAAAGTTGTTTCAGCAGTTTCTAAGGAGGTCGCTTTGATTTTTGATGAGGAGGCTGTTTCTCTACCTGCTTTTGTGATTGCTTCAAGATTCAAAATTAAACTTGTTTCAGAATTTTTTATTGAAGTTGCTTCAGTATTTGATGCAGAAGTTAATAATGAAGTTACTTCGGTATATGATTCAGTATATAATATAGAATTTGAAGCAGAAGTTGTTTCAGGATTCAAAATTGAACTTGCTTCAGTATTATATACTTTTGGACTTGTTTCAGAATTTGAAGCAGAAATTGCTTCAAAAATCGCTAATTTGCTTGCTTCTGTATTTGATGCAGAAGATGCTTCTAAACTTGCTTCAGTATATGTTCTTGTATTTGCTTGAGAATTTTTTACTGAAGTTGCTCCAAAATTTGCTTCAAGAGTAGATAAGGGACTTGCTTCAGTATTATATCCTCTTGTACTTGTTTCAAAACTTGAAGCAGAAGTTGCTTCAAGATTTAAAATTGAACTTGCTTCAGTATTATATCTTCTTGTATTTGCTTCGGAACTTGAAGCAGATGTTGCTTCAAAATTTGGTAATTCAGTTGTTTCAGTAGCTTTACTTTTACTTGTTGCTTTAGTAGAAGTTTCATGTCCTCCTCCTTCAACCATTTCCATTCTTCCCTTCCCTATTAACAAACCAAATTCCTTTTGTTTCTTATTAGCTTCTTTTGCTTCATTAATTATTTCCTTCATTTTTAACCAATTTTTTCTTTCATTTGGATATTTATTATTTAATACTACTTTTCCAAATTCTAAGCCAAATTCATCAAATGCTTCTTTTTCTTCATTTTTATTGCCTTTATTGAAGGAAAAAATGTGTCGTTTTTAAAAAGTTTCAAAAATTCGGAAAAAATTTTCAAAAAAATTTCAAAAAAAAAATTCCAAAAAATTTCTCTTACCAAAATATTCACAATTCAATCCATAATATCCTTCATTACAAAAACATCTAGTTGTAAAACCATCAAATATACAAGCCCCTTTACCACTACAATCAACTTCTTTTCTTGTACCTCCTCTACATTGTAAATGACGACAGTGAGGGAAAGACTCGTCATCTTGGCCGAATAAACTTTAAAAGAAAAATTTTTTGAAAATTTTTTCAGAAAAACCTTTGAAGACACTCTTGATGTTTATTACAGAGTATCTACAAAAATAAAAATTTATAAAATTAATTTTGCTTGAATAGAAAATTATTTTATGATAATTCGTGTTACTTCCAGAAGTTCATTTTTCCCAAAAAATTTTGAGAAAAAACAATCTTCTACCTAGATTTTAGAATACCGCCACAAGAAACATACCTAAATCGCTCGGAAAGGGTACGGCCCACCTTGTCGCGCGGCCACCTTGTCGCAGAGCCATAACTTCCTTCAAGTTTTCCGAATCTTACCAACTTTAGTATTAAACGATTCCTCTCATCGAGCTAAAGAGATTGGTACCAAAATTGATAAGGGCCAGAAATTTTTTAGCAAGTTATGGCTCTGCGACAAGGTGGCCGCGCGACAAGGTGGGCGTGTCCCGCTCGGAAAGGCACGTTATTTACCCAGTACTTTCGTTTTGAGAGATTTTCCAATTTTTTTTTCTTAACTCCTACCCCTCCTCTCCCATATTTGAAATTAAAATTTAAAAAAAACCCAACAGAAATATCGTGTAAATGTAAATCTTTTGGATTATTTGAATGTTGACACAAAACTGAAGCTAATTCAAAATCTATTAAAAATGTTGGAAATTTTCTTTCATTTTGATTAAATAAAAAATTTTTTGAAAAACAAAATGACCATTTTATTTGAATTAAAATTAATAGAAAAATTAAAATTGAATTTAAAATATACATTTTTATTACCTAAAAATTCAGAAAAAAAATTTTTCTGAAAAAAATTAAAATTTTACCAGACAAAAAGTATCTTATTTATAAAACTGTAAAGCTGTTCATTAAAGTGTTTTGAAGCAACAACAAGGGAAAAATGTGTGGGCTTTTCTGTGGGCTTTTTTATGTGGGCTTTTTTATCGTTTCCCAAAAGAAATTTAAAAGAGGATTTCAAATGGAAAAAGGAAGACAATAAAAGTTCAAGCAAAGTATATATCATCTCCACTTTAATCAGATCAATCCCCTTCTCTATTCTCCTCCACACCCTTCCTTCCCCTTCCCCTATTCATTCCTCCTTCCTTATCCGGTTAAAAAACGCTTCTTATCCGTTATTTAATTGTGGGATATTATTCCCCTTTTTATTTCGTGGGTGGTTCCATTTTTTAAAAAATGTCAAGGTCATCTTTTCTTTAAAAAGATATTTTTTGGACACATACATACTATATTATTTTCGGGTTAAAAAAGAACTTTTTATCTGTACTTTAATTTCCAAAAAAATAAAATTAATAAAATACTTAAAAAAATTTTTTTAATGCCAAAAATAGAGCCAAAAAATGGTAAAAATTTTTTAAAGGTATTTTTTTAATTTCGAAAATTTCAAAACTTCCTATTTGGTAATTCCTTATGTCAGACAATCACCTATTTTTTTATATTTTTTTCAAAAGTCATTTAAAAAATATTTACTTAAATTTCATCTTTAAAAGGAAATACAACAAAAATGGGCTAAAATTTTTTTGGAGAAAAAAACAAAAAATTAATTTCACACACAAAATATATATTTTAAGAGAAAACAAAAAAATAATTAGATATAGAAATCCCAGAGAGGAAGAAAAAAATATATAAAATTTTGATTTTTTTTGGATATTATAACTGAAAACTAAGTTTTAAAAAAATAATTTAGAAAGGTCCATAGGTTCAAGTGAGAGAGCAACAAAAAAATTTTTTTGAGGAAAATTTTTTTTAAATCCCATAAAATTAGAAAAAAATTTAAACAACCCTTCTAACTTCAAAAAATCGTTTTAAATAATAAATTTGTCCAATAGTCATAGAAACAAGCAAAATTGCCTCAAAAATTGCCCAAATTACAACGCGGCTGTTTGTATTCTCATTTACTGAAAAAATATTAATTTTTAAATAAAATTTTAAACCAGAAAATAAGCAATATTGAGAAAAATAAGCCAATCAAAATTGAAAAAAGAAAATTCGATTTTATAGAAAAAATTCTGAAAAATTAAATCTAATACTTAAATATAAGAGGGAGAATCAGAAAGGAAAACAAAAACATTTCCAAGAGATTAGGAAACTCAAAAGAAAAAATTCCAAGAAACATCCCCCTGCCAAGCAATGGTCCCCCCTCCCCTCCCCCTCTGGTTACGGGCCCAGTTTTTACAATCTCTTTTTTTAACAAATCCTTAAATTCATTCCTAGTAAGCATTTAAAATGCTACCCAGGATCTCCTTATTCCTTAAACTAGGCTTTCTCAAAAAATTAAAAAAATTTTTTTTAAATAAAAAAAACAAACTTGAACGATGCACTCTATCACGAACTTGCATATATTCTTGTTCATGTTTTACTGCTGTAAGCATTGCAGAAAGTTCTCTAATCATTTCTTCAAGTTTTTGACCATCAGCTAAACAAAAATAAAAAAATTAAACGTTAAATTAATTTCTAAAAAAACCATCAATTTTTCCATCAGCTTCTTGAGTGTGGGCATTAGGTTGAGAAATATCCATTGAGAACATAACAACCTAAAAAACAATTTTTTTAATCGAAAAATTTTTGAGAAAAAGACCTTTGGAGTCATAGTAGACATTTTATTACTAAAACAATAAGTATGCGGACCATCCATATGAGCAGCTTAAAAAAATAAAAATTTTAAATAATTTTAAAGATAAAAGTAAGGTGGGTGAAGGAATGGAAAAAAGTTGAAATTTCCAGAAAGTCAAATCCCCCAACAAATCTCCTAAATTTGGGTAGCAGAGTTTCGCATGATTTGACTTATTATTCGGGAGATTTGAAGGAGTATTCGACTTTCTGAAGAATTCCCCTTCAATTTATTCACCCCTAAAGATCCTTTAATTTATTAAAATCCCACAAAAATCTTCCTCCTTCTTGCCATTCTAATTAAGAGGGAGGAAGCCCTCTTACTATAAAAATTTACCAAATGTATATTTTCCTGAGCTTTCACGTTCACCTAAAAAAAGGTTGTAAATTAGTCTAAAGTATAAGAATAAATAAACCTTTATAAATCTCTGAATTATCCGGGCCAACAATCTAAAAATAAAAAATTAAGAATTTAACAAAACTTGCAATCAAACCTTAACGTCAATATCAAGAAATCCACCCTCCGCAACTTCAAACATTAAACCCTTAAAAACAATTAATATAATTATTAAGAGAGTTCAAGCTTTTCAAATTGTCGGGCCCGGACAAATTGTTTTAAACAGACCGGGCCATATTTTCCATTAGAGATCGAGACTTTTGAAAAGCCTGGTCTTGTTCATGGGCCTGCAATACAGGAAAAACCCAGGCCATGGTCCAGACCCCGCTCTCTCTATTTTCCATGGTAAAAACCGCGAAACCCAGGAACCGTAAATACTCCAATCTTTTCAGAATATCCATTTCCGGGCTCGGAAAACCTGGTCTCGGGACGGATTTCTATATTAAGACACCTAAACCACGAAAGTTGTAATAAACGGATTTTACCAAAATACCCGACAGAAAGCCCGAGACACGGACCAGACCTCTAATAATTATAAAAAAATATAAAAGAAAATACCATTTTAGTTCCAGAAACTACTCTATCAAAAAAGCACAATTCTTCATTTGCATCAATATGAATAAAATAACCAAAAGAATTTTTTATTCCAAATAAGCAGAAAAATAGAAGAAAATATAGCCAATTCATTTTTAATAAAGTCTCTATAAAATTAATTAAATTAAAAAAAATTAATTTTTAAAGAATAAACAATGTCGACGTGTTCAAAAATAAATTTTGCAATGTGGAAATGAAAAATTGGCCGGTCAAAGTGGAAAGATTTTCCCTTTTAGACAAAATGAAAAAATAATGGGTATTTGGCCAAATGAAAATTATGAAGAATTGGTCTTTCAATATATTCTTGGAATTCGAAAATAATTGTAGTAAATGTTAAAAAGTAAAAACGACAAAATGGCTAAAAGGAGATTAAACGAAACGACAAAATGACAGTTACAAAAATACCAACAAGGGTAAAAATTGACAGAATGTCGAAGAGAGTATAACATTTCCACATTTTTACGGTAAACTTTAAAAAATATTTTTTGCTGTGTAAATTGTGTTTTTAACTGATATTTGCGGAAACCCACTATAAAAAAATTTAACAGATATATTTAAATAAAAAACAATATAAACAACATTTTCCTCTTATTTGTTAATTTATTAACAGAAATAACCCTTAACATCTTCACTTGCTTGTGAGCTAGTTCTTGATAATGAATTAGGAGGTTGATCAATAAAACGGATGAGGCGAATATCAGCAGGAATAAATGGAATTATATGTCGACGACTTGGGTCAATATATAAATTCTTTTTAAAAAATTAAATTTAAAAATTGGTATGAGACAACTTTTGCGGACTGATATTTGCGGACATCCATTTACTATCTTTTTATAACGACTTTGATATGAATTATACGTTAACAAGCTAGTAAAATATACTTAAGACATGGTACTGGAAATAAACCAATGGCGGTTTCCGTCTAACAATAACCTTCGGTTTTGTCCGCAAATTTAGTCCGCAAAAATTTTTTTTATCTTTTTGCTGATTTTTTCTGAATCTTATCCAATTCAAACTACCGAAAAAATATTTGCAAAAAATATTCCCAATAATTTTTTAAATTTAAATAACCCTTAAAATTTCTTTAAAAAAATAAAAACCTCAATAATAAAAGCAGTCTCTCCGGTGCAAGAAACATTTCCTCCTCCCTTTTGATTCCTTTTTTGAAGTAGGCTTGAATAAAGCTCAGAAACGAGAACAACCTTTTTAAAGAGATTTTTAAATTTAATTTAACAAAAGATAAAAAAACCTTTCCACCAACAACAGCTAAAGCTGACCGTGCATCTTGAATTTTTCTACCAAAGTAGTGAATCTAAAAAAGAATTTTTTAAGCAATTTTGATTAGAGGTGCGCCCCGACCCGTTCCCCAACGATTTTTTCACAATTATCCCGAGACCGAAAACAATTGAAAACCCCGTACCCCGACACACCTCCCTCGAGAGTTCGGGGTGCAACCCTAATTTTAATTAAATAGAACCTTTCGAATATATTGAACACCAACTAAATCTATACACATTGTTGTTATAGCTAGACCTTAAAGAATAAAATAATATTTTTTTAACTCTTAAAAATTTACCAAGAACAATATATAAAAGAATAATTGCTGTATAATGATCCCTACGAGGCATCAAGTCACCAAAACCTACTAAAATTTGAAAACAAGTCAGCAATAAATTTTTTAATTAAAAAATTATTAAACAAGAATACAGACAACCAAAAAAATATTCTTCTTGATTGGGTCAAGAAAGGAAAAAATTTTCCACTTCAGAGAATAGTCGCGAAAAATTAATTTTGTGAATTTCGCAACGGAAAATTAATTTCAAATTAATTTTGCTACCTCCAATCTGCTTACAAAAATTTTTCATTCCCCCTAATTTGAATGAGGCATGGTTGTCCTCCACCTTGACCCGCCTATAATTTTAGCCTAATCCCTCAAAATAATTTTTTAAAAAGAAACCTGTTGTCATCGTAATAAAAGACCAATAAAAAGAAGTAAAAAAATCCCAAGGCTCAAGCTAAATAAAAATAATTTTTAAAAACACTAAAATTAATTTAAAAAATAAACCTGAGACATTAATAAACCTCCAAGTGCTGTGTATAACACCAAAATTGCAAAAACAAGTAATGCTGGAATTCTAAAAATTTTCTTTTCAATTAAAAAAATTACAAAAATTTAACCTATTTTCCCGAACCAATTCTTGATTTAAATATTGATGACTAGATACGTCAAATCTTCCTTCTTTCACATTAATAAATCCTCTCCTACATATTTTTAGTGAAAGAAAACGCTGAAAAATTAAAAGAAAAAATTGAAATTTCAAAAAAAAATTTCAAAAATTTTTCAAATTTTTTAAATTAAAAAAAAATTTTTTCAGAAAATTAAAGAAAAAACCTTCAATTTTAACCATTTTCCATATAACCAAACAAGATGTTCGCTTAAAAATTTGCCCAAATCAGCAATAGTTACTAGTGTTAGAGGTATTCCAAAAAGTGAAAATGATATACAGGCGATTCTTCCAATCTACAAAAAAATTATTTTTAAAAAATAAAAAGATAATTAATACTCTTGTAACAGGCACAGGATTGCCATAGCCAATTGTTGAGACAACCTTAAAAAGTCGTTTGAGAAATTAAAATAAAATTTTACAGTAACAGAAAAGAAAACAGCCGTAGAGAATGTCCAAACAGAAATTGTTTCATTCAGTTTTACTTCTTTTGAAGTTAAAAAATGTTTTTCGAATCCAAGAAATAATAAATCGTTCATTTTTCCTCTAAAAAATATTAATTCATTTAAATTTAAATTAATGGTGATCTTTTGGGTATTTAATAAACCTTCCGGAAACATAAATTTAAAGGAACTATAAATTAGTAATAGAAATATAAAACCTTATGGAATAATAAATATAACTTTCCAGGAAATATATGTTTTCGGAAAATAAAACTTTCCGGAAATTATATAACTATCCGGAAAATATAAAACTCCGGAAAATATAAAACCTTCCGAAAAAAACTTTCCGGAAGTTATATCTCTACGAAAGATATAAAACTTTCCGGAGATTATATAACTCTCGGAAGAAGTATTAAATTAATAATATATAATTTACCAGAATAATAAATAAAACTTTCCGAACGATAAAACTTTTCCGGAAAAGATAAATTAAAACTTAGTGTGCGCAACAAAAAAAAATTTTCTACAAACGCTAAAACTTGTTAAGCCTTAATTTAATTTGCGCACAGTTTATTTTCTTTGCAGATAATTTTTAATGTTCTCCGGAAATTTTGAAATAAAGTCTAATAAAAATACCCACAAATGTTCTCTCGCTATTCTTTCCCAATTTTTTCTTTCTCCACTTAAATTGCTAGCAGCTAGCCATACCAATTCAGAAACAAATAATTCTTGGCGTTTATTAATCTTTTTTAATTTTTTAAAAATTAATTAAAAATAAAATACATTGTCAAGACATATCCTCTTTGCTCTCAATTCATTAGGCCTCTCAACTGAATAAAACAAAGAAGCACCCAATAAAGTGTAACAACAAGTTAATAAAACAAGTCCAACATGTGGGAGAATTAATTTGGCGTACTGTTGAAAAAGGAAAAAATTTTTTTTTTAATAATAATAAGAAAAATTTTTTTCTAAGAAGCAGAAATTGTCACCTAAAATTTTCTCTAACGAAAAGTCGAAATAGACCTATTCCGAGGTGTCTTTTACTAAAATTTTCTAATTCAGAAAAAATTTTTTTTTAATTTTTATTTTCTAGCCAATTTAATTTTCTATTAAACAACATCTCAAAAATTAAAAAATATTAACTCCTACCTTAGTAATTAAATAAAATTTAGATAAACTCAAAAGAATCAACCCAAAAAATTTTTTTAAAAACCTTTCTGGCTCCTTTTTTTCTAAATTCATCAACTTCCTGTTTTTGACTTTTTCTACTGTTAGTAATGCTTGTTTCTATTAATGAATGTCCTCCACCCCCACCAAATTCACTATTTGAATCTGTTGTTGTTGCGGTAGCAGTAGATGATTGAGGGCGCCAAAAGCGAGAAGAAGCGTCGTTTGAACCAATAAGCAGGGGGGTTCTCTTGAAAAAAATTTTTGAAAAATTTTGAAAAAAAAATTTTTTTAATTGAGGCTGAAAAAAATTCGTACCTTATAATTAGGGTTATTTTAAATTAAATACGAGAATATCCGTTAGGCACGGATCTCCCACCCAATTTAAAACAACCAAAATTTTAAAAAGACGTCGCTTAAAATGGCGTGTCTTAATTACGAGGGTAAATAAAAAGAAGGTTCTCCTGCCTAGGGTTGGCAGATCCGGAGCCGAAAGAATTCGATTGAAAAAAATTTTTTCCGAAAAAAGTCATGATCTCCGGAAATTTTCGGATCGGATATCGGAACAAGATATCCGTGGATTTCCCAGGATCTGCCAACGGATTTCCCAAAATTTTATTTTTTTTACCCTTCTATTTCTTCCTCCAAATAACAAAACATTTTTGGGGGTAACCATCTCACATAAATGATCTTCCAATTCCTGTAATTCTTCTGGTGCCAATTCATCCTCATCCTCCTCCTCTTCAATTTCAATTTTTTCAACAAAATCTACTTCTTCCTCTTTTTGCATTCCTTTATTTAATTCTCCTAAATTCCATTGTTGATAGAAATTTTTTGACGAAGAAAAGGATTTTTGCATATAAAATTATTTTTTGTTATTGATATGATGAGTGTTGTGAGGGGAAGGTAACCTAAAAAATCAAAAAAAAATACATATTTAAAAAACAATTCTAAAAAAGACGTGAAATAAGTGAGAGGTTAATATATCAGAAATTGTGATATATAGACGGGAAGGATAAGCTAAAGTTTATGGGATATATGGAGGGAGGGGCAGATCAAAGCTTGTGATTTTGTTAGGGAGGGATCGTCAGGAGCTTATGAGATAAAGAAAGGAAAAGTCAAAGTTTGTAGGATATATAAGAAGGGATGAGTAAGAGCTTCTGATAATGAGTGAGGGATAGATCACGGAATGTGATATATGTATAGGAAGGCTAAAAGAAAAAATAAGATAAAAAAAGGATAAGTCGGAGTTTATGATACTTAAGAGGAGGGATAAGCTATAGAATCAAAAATTAATTGTTAAAAAACTGCACTGTTTTGGGACAATGAAAAATAAAGATAAGAGTAAATTAAAATTTTCCCTTCATTAGTACACCAAAAAATTAACAAAAAAATTTCCCTATAAGAAAAATAATAAAGTTATGGCAACTTAAAAAGAAGAAAAATAAATAAAAGAAATACCCCATTTTTTTATTACAAGTTCCAATAAAGTCCATATCTTCTTCCTTCCTTTTGTTTTTCCCATGAGAGTCGTTCCCCCCAAATGGAGCTCTAAAAAAAGAAATATTATGTTAAGCAAAAAAATTTTTTTGGAAAATTTTTTTGAAGAAAATTTGGTTAAAGAAATAATAAGAAGAAAAAATAACGGTTATAGGGAAGGAAGAAGAAAAATCAGTCAGGCAAAAAATAATAATTTTATTTTATTTTATTTTTCAAGTAAAAAACCAGACGATGGAAAAAATTTTTTGTTAATTTTTTGAGGCTACTGTATACTTTTTTTAAAAATAAATCTCAGTTTATCCAAATCCTCCACAAACCCTCTCCCAATGATCTAGAGAAAAGACTTGGAACAGTGACCAAAAGAAAAATTTTTTGTCCGCAAAAATTTTGCGGATTTTAATAAAAATTCATAGGATTTGTGGAGGATTTCTCCTCTTTTTTCTCTCTTATCAAAGTTCAGTCTTTCTGTCTTCTTCCCTCCTCGTTTTTCTGTGAAGATCAACCCTAAACTGACCAATGGAAAAGAATTTTTTTGCCCGCAAGTAATTTTTGCGAACTTTTGTTTTAAAAAATTCTTTACCTCTCCCCATTTTTTAACTTTCTTTTCAACTTCTGTGAAGACCAACTCAAAAATATTTTTAAAAAATCTCTATTACTTATACTTATTTTCAATTAAAATGATATTTTTATCAGAAATCATGTCCGCAAATTTTTTGCGGATCTTAATTTCTATATTTTTATCAGAAAAAAATATTTTAACGGGTATGACATTCAAAACTGGTTCCAAAATAAAAATATTAAATACAAAAAATATATCAACAATCCATTTACACACATAAACACATTACATAACTAATCATTTCCCCCATCATTTTCCCCCATAGAACATTTTCCACTTTTTTTCGGTTGATTTTTAATTAATAAACAAGGCAAATTAACTCATATGATGAGGATTAAAACAACTCTTCCAAGCATCGTTTTTCTTCAAAATCTTTCCAAAAATTCAAAAATTAATGTCCAAAACTCAACAAATCATTTATGGAATCGAAAAAAATTTTAAACTCTAAAAGTCTGTCCGCAAAAAATTTTTTTGTCCGCAATTTTTTTGCGGATTTTTTATTAATTAATACTATCAGATTAATGTCCACGTCAAATCATTTGTGGAATCAAAGAAAAAATCTTGGCTCTATTACACAATATACGTCCAATCAACTATTATGCGTCCAATCAACTTTTATACGTCCAATTAAAGTTTATACGTCCAATGAAAAGATTATGCGTCCAATAAAAATTTATGCGTCCAATGAAAAGTTTATGCGTCCAATCAAATTTTATATGTCCAAACACAATCTTATTAGTGACCGGGCCGGATCCGGTCGGATTTTTCCAGAGTCCGGATACCAAATCAGGGTTTTTTTTCGCTATCTCCGGATTTTTCCCGACCGGATTAATACAGAAAAAATCCGGCTGAATCCGGTCCGGCTTCATTGCCAAATCCGGATCCTAATCCTTTTTAAACCGGATTTGAGATTTGAGCCGGTGACGGGGACGGTTGTTTAAGTGACGGGAACAGTTGTTTCCATTGGCCCCTTTTGAGCAAGGCGTTATAATAAATAAAAATTATTTTGATTTTTCTGAATTTATTTTTTCACTGGACATATAAAATTTATTTGGACGCATAAACTTTGATTGGACGTATAAAAATTTGATTGGACGCATAAATTTTCATTGGACGTATAAACTTTGATTGGACGTATAAAAGTTGATTGGACGCATAATAGTTGATTGGACGTATATTGTGTAATAGAGCCAAAATCTTTAACTCTAGACGACTTTGTCCGCCAAAAAATTTTTATGTCCGCAAATTTTTTGCGGACTTTTAATTTCAAACAAAAATTCTACCCACTTAATCTCCTACACTGCGGTGCAAAAGTTTATGCACACTTGATAATATTTTTTTCGATACAGTATAACTTGGGAAGTCTTTAGGTTAGAAGTCTAATTTCTTTTTTGGGTGATAGACTAGAGTATGCTCTTTCTAATCAATACAAACTTTTATCGGAAGCTTTAAAAATTTGACAATTTTTTTCAAATTTAAAAAAATGGTCATTTTTTTATGGTGCAAAAGTTTATGCACACTTTACAAAAATTGAAATTTTTTAAGAATAAATGACAAAAAAGAATTTTAAAAAATCCTATGGGCGTTTTCATTGATATTGAGTAGAAAATAAAAAAGAACGAAGTCTGTAACTTGTTTTTTCATCGAGATCTCAAATCTCGAAAATCAACGGGAAATGGAGGTACAGTACTTTAAAAAATATTTTAGCCACCTAGAGCTTGTATTAAAAAATTTATTTTAGGCCTATCTGAAAGCCCATAAGATTTGCTACAAAATATCTCAGGCTTAAATTTTTAAAAAAGAAACTCGTGGAGCTGGAGGTCTGGTAATTTAACAAGTTATCATTTTTGCTCAAAACCTCTCGAAATACCCCATAAAATGCTCATTTTTTGTTCATTTTAGATTTTAAAGTAATTTGCTCACCCTTAAAACCTACGAAAAATTTTTCATACAAATAAGACCAAGTGTATTTTGTAGCAAATCTTATGGGCTTTCAGATAGGCCTAAAATAAATTTTTTAATACAAGCTCTAGGGGGTTAAAATGTATTTTTAAGTACTGTACCCCAATTTCCCGTTGATTTTTGAGATTTTGGATCTCGGTGAAAAAAACTTTAAAGAATTAGTTTTTGTTATTTTTTAACTCAATATCAATAAACATGTCCGCACAAATTTTTTTGTCTTTTTTCTCGGCATTTTTTATCTCAAAATCTAAGTTTTCTAAAGTGTGCATAAACTTTTGCACCATAAAAAATGAACACTTTTTTTTAATTTGAAAAAAATTGTCAATTTATCAATGCTATTGGTAAAAATTTGTATTGATTAGAAAGAGCATACTCTAGTCTATCATACAAAAAAGAAATTTGACTTCTAACTTAAAGACTTCCCAAGTTATACTGTATCGAAAAAAATATAAGCAAGTGTGCATAAACTTTTGCACCGCAGTGTATATTCACTTCAATAAATTCCCTCAAATTTACATTAAAATTACCTAAAATTCTCCCCAACAACCACTTTTTTTTTACTTTCTTGTAACTAATTCGTCAACAACTTCCCCTCTCCTTTTCCTTTCCACCTTCCTTTCTATTTTTTACTTTCTTCGCATAAAGTGAATAAATATTGATTCTCTTCGGTAGCAGATTTTAGAGAAAAGAGAGGAGATAAATTTATATGTTTAGAGACACTTTGTAGAAAAAAAATTTTTAGAAAGAAAAATGGCCATGAGAAGATTATAGAGAAGAAAAAAAGGTACAAAACACCCCATCTTCCCCCCCCCTATCCATCTTCACATTTTTTTTATATTTTTTTTTCATCAGCCCCTTCTATATTTGCCCCCTAAATTCTTCGCCTTTTTTTGCTCATTTTAATTCCCAAATTTAATTTATATATTTTATGAAGAGTTTCCTAATTTTGCTTTTTTAAAAGAAATCGAAAATCCGACGACTTTTTGACCACTCTCATAAATCCCCCCATCTTTCTCCACAAAACCCCCCAAATTTTCCTTGATGGGACAAAATGTCTTAAACTTCCCACCCAATAATGGATTTTCTTGAAAATCGAGTTTTGAACCCTATTAAACCCCCAAAAAATATCAAAAAAACTTCTTTGGTTTTCCTTGGTTTAGTGGGTAAGTGTTTGCTTATAGGGTCGTGGGTTCGAACCCTCTGCCGGAAAACCAATTTTATTTTTAAAAAATTTTTTAAGCCCAAAAATGCAGAATATTCTACTTATTTTAATAATACCTATTGTTTCTGCTTCTTCCAATGCTGCATTATTGAATTACAATGAAAATTGGAATAATAACGAATTCATTAGCAGCATAAAAAATCCACATTTGAGGGTAAAAAGAGGCGAACACGATTTGCTTGATTTTGGTACTGGAAGCACATTTCCACCTGATGCTGAATTAGAAGATGATAATAAAGAGCCAGAAACTGTGAATTACTAAAATTAAAAAAAATTTTTTCAAAATTTTCATTTTAAAGACAGAACATACTTATTATACAATGACTACACATACTGACAATGAAGAAATTTTTGCTCAAAATTATATTGATATTCAAAAATGGATTAGTGAAGGTGGAGCTGTTGGACAAGTATTTTTGCTTTTCTTTTTTTCTTTTCCTAAAAATAAAAAATTTTTCCGTGGTTTAGTTAAAAAATAAAAATAAATTTTCTGTGGTTAAGTGGGTACGTGTTTGAATATAGGATCGTGGGTTCGAACCCTCTGCGGGAAAAAAATTTTATTTTGAGTAAAGGACTTTCCTAGGATTAAAAATTTCCCTAGCATTAAAAATTTGACTCTCCATGGTTAAGTTGGTAAATGTTTGGTTATAGTCGAGGGTTCGAACCCTCTGCTGGGAAACAATTTTTTTAATAATTTTTATTTTAAAGACAGAAAATTCTCATTTGGATAATGCTTATAGAAAAGCTGCTGGAGTTAAATTAAAATTTGATTTTCCATTTTATGGACATAGATTACAAAATTTAACGATTGCTACAGGCGGATTTCTTTACGTTGGTGATCAAACACATTCTTGGCTAGCTGCTACACAGTTAGTTTCTTCTTTTATATTATAAAATTCTGGTCTTAAATAAATTGTTCTAAAAAATTCATTTGGTTGATTCAAAAAAAGTCCAAAAAATTTATCTTTGGTTTAGTGGGTAAGTGTTTGGTTCTGGGGTCGTGGGTTCGAACCCCCTGCCGGGAAACAATTTATTTTTACTAAAAAAGAATTATCTTAGTTTATAATCAGCTAAAACTGTATTTTTTGATAGGCCTGAATTTTTACACGCCCTTTTTTAAATTTAATTTAAAGATATATTGCCCCTCTTATGGCAAATTTTGATACAATGGAGAATGGATCAAGCATTTCTTATGCAGATGACGCGAAAAGAGTTGTTGTAGAATGGCATGAAGTTACTCTTCGGGATAATAGACAAGGTTTTTTTTGAAGAAATTTCAGAAAATTTTTTTTTCAAATTTTCTTTAGCTGGCCCATTTACCTTCCAAGTCCATCTTTGGCGTAATGGAAATATTACTTTTGTTTATAAAGAGGTTTTTTCTTGAAAAATTTTTATAAAAATAAACCCCTTCTTAAAGGTTCCAATTCCAATAACAAATATAAGCGATTCCTTTCATCCTCGCAAAATGGGAATTTCTGATGCCTATTTATTTAATCATAAAGTTAGCAATGTTCCACCAGCTCTACAATCTAGTAAAAGAGTCATACACGAGGTTATCTTTTTTTATTTTATTTTTTAATTTCTGAAGGGAGCTTAGATACATTTGGGATTTTGGGTTGAGAAAAGTTAGCTAGTACTTGTAAATAAGACATGGGCTTTTTTCGGACCTTTTTCCCCATTTCTATCGGTAGTAGGGATTAGATGGATCACCCGATACCCAAAATCCGACCCGAGAAAGTTTTCAAATTCATCCATGATCTGTAGTAGTACCCATATCTTTAATTAAAAAATGTTCAAAAAATCTTTTTTTTAGTATCATCGAATAACTGTTTCTCCTGACAAAATAACTTCAAACTCTGTGGTATTTATGGAAGCATTAAAAAGTATTTTCTTTAAAAAATTTCCTAAAATTATTTCCCAATCATTTTCCCTTAGCCTGTTTGGATGCTACCACATGTGATGAATGTCATAAAATGGCGTTAAAAACATTTAAATGTAATTGGTGTATACCTAAAGATGGAGGGGACAAAAATCATGGTGGTGAAGATACTGATGGAAATAATAATAAACCTTTTTGTTCTGATCAAATGGGAATGCATAGACGTAGACAAGAATGGATTGAAGGTTTTTTTGGAAGAAAATTTTTAAAAGAAATTTTTTCAAAAGTTTTTTTTTGAAATTTCTAAAAAAATTTTAATTTCAAAAATTTTAAGGGAATTGTCAAGTCAACGAGGAAAACCAGGTTTCTTTCATTAAAAAATTTTTTAATCCAAACCTTTATCTTTTTTAAAGTATTGCAAAGCAGAAGACGTTACTTCACCAGATAATACCACAAAGGAAGCTAATACAGCCTCACTTGATGAATCACAAACGACTTTGGTTAATGCTCCAACTGCTGCTACCACTATTGAAACCAATACACAAGGTTTTTTTAGATAATATTGAGAAATTGAATAGAGGTGACATTTGGTCCCAGAAACTAAAAAACTGAAATTTTTTTGGTTTTTTAAATTTATAAAGTAAACGTACCTTGCTTCTACACAATTGAAAATTTAGTAGAGAACTTCCCTAAATTTTTATAGATGTTTCACCTTCCCAAAGCCACCATCATACCCAACAACATTCAGACAATGAAAGTTCAGGTGGAATAGCATTTATCACATTTTTTGCTTTAATTGGAATCTCTACATCAATTTGGGTGGCTTATGCTTATTTAAATCCACATACACGTTCTGGACAACTGCTCATAAAGTAAGTGAGATGGATTTTACAAAAGGGGGGGCTGCTCCTTTAGAGGGGGTTAAGAAGACTTCGTCCCCTTAAAGGGGCCTCAGACTTTTTTTCAAATAATTTTTTATAGAGCCACATCCCTTCAAAAATACAACCTCCTCCCTCCCCTTAGAAAACCATATCTTCAAAAAAAATTTTTTCCCTCTAGGTATCGCCCTTCCAAATGGCAAATTCCATCAAGTCATGTCCGCTACAGCGCTTCTGTACATATGTAAAAAATACAAAGCTTATACTTATTTGGGAAAACATTGTTACTTGCCCTTTAGATTATATATTTTTTCCTATACTTAAAATTAACCAAATCTCCCTCATTTATTCTAATAAACGCTCAGGGTAAGAATTTTTAAAAAATTTCAGATAGGCGTCTATTAGAAAGGGTGGGCGACTATTAGAATAAATCGTACATTCTTTAGCATTTAATAGTTCGTTTATTCCGTGATATTCGAACCTGGAGAGTATATATTCTCATCTCATTTTTATTCATGGCCATCTTTTTTTATTTTTTTAATTCAGCTCTATTAACTTAAATTTGCCTACTAATATACAAAAAAAAATTTTTTTCATAATTATTTTTAAAAAATCTCAAAAATGTTGTGTGTGTGTGTGTGTTTGTGTCTATAAACTAAAAAAATTTTTTCAAAAAAAGTAGCTCTTCCTCAATTATTTTTAAAAAATATTTTTTCCCTCCCGGGTTCGAACAAAGAAATATTTGATCCTTTTTTATTTTTTTAAATTAAAATGTTAATTATTTTTCTTAGAAATTACTTAAAAATAAAATATTTTTTTCTCTTTATTTGAGGAAAATTCAAAAATTACTCGATTTTTCCAGTAATGTACTAAAAAATTTTTCCCTTGTTAAAAACCCTCCCAAAAAATTTTGTTTGGGAAAATTCCTTGATTTATTCCCAAAATACCAAAAAAAATTTCCCCACCGAAAACTCTTCCCAAAATTTTTTTTAATTTTTAAAATTAAATATTAATTTTATTCACATATTTAATTATTCTAAAAAATATTTACAAATGAAATTTTGCCAAATATAAAAAATATATAAAATGCAAAATTTCAGCTAAATAAAAAAAGTTAAAAAGGGGAAAGAATGTCAAGAATTTGAAAAGGAAAGATTAGATATAAGAAAGTATACAAGACCAGTAAATTTATAAAATTGGGGTTTTTAGTAAAAAAAGGGATTGCTCGAATTTTTAAGCAGGGGGGTTCAAAAAATTTCAAGAAAAAATTTTTTATGTCAAGGAGCAACACCAAAATATAATATCCTCCCTTCTTTTGGAAATAATTATATTAAAATTAACCCATTAAACTACGAAAATTTGCTTTAAGTACTGGGTACTGGGCATTCTGTGCTTCCGACTATTAAGTTTTTCAAATCTGGCTACGGCTCCAACCTGTTCCGAATCAGCAATATCCAACACTGATTTCTTTTCCCAAAATCCAGGACCAAACAATTTTTACCCCCACTCAAACAATTCGAGCACCCTTTAATCTAATGGAAAGCAAAAAAAATTCTGAAGAACCCTTAATATTAAAGGGGAAAATTATTAAAATGGGAGGAATTTGCACACAACTTTTGTGTCTAGTGTTGGTTAGTAAAAAATACACAAGAAAAGCCAAAATAAATGGCTTGAAAATTTAACTAGTTTTTAAAATCAAACCTCTCGTTTCCTGAAACCTTTGTTTTTAACCAGACTCCTCATCATTATTATTTCCTTTCCCACAAATTTGTTGATTATTGTGAGAATTGTGACCAGAAACTGACGGACCTCCTCCTTGATCATTTGTATTATCATCTACACCGCTCAAATTACGTCCACCAATACGCCAAGTATTTTTTGCTGGGAGTAAAACAATTTGTCCCTTAAAAATAAAAATTTTTCTTTTGTAAAGAGTCGGATCCCATTATAAGCTACCCCTTTGAAACAGAAAATAATCGCATCTTGAATTTGAGGGGAGGGATATCGCTTATATTAGGTCAAACCTTTGCTATTTACTTCTTCCAGCCCCAAGACCCCTTGTGTTGCCCAGTATCCAAAGAAAGTTCAAAAAACGTCCCCTAAATTGAGATGTATCTAATTTTTGGGGGTGTGCCTTATAATGAGATTGGACTATAATACTAGAATAGTAAGATAGAAACCAAGCCACGACGAGCAGATTCAGTTGATGACGGTTTTTGTTGAATAGAAGGATCATCATTCTTACAATGTGTACAACCCCCAAAAGTTAAAAGAGCATTTAATGTTTCTTCGTATATACGTGCTTCTGGAAATTCAACTTTTGTTTGTTTCTTTTCTGGAGTATAAACAATTGAAGTACAAGAAATCTGAAAAAAATTTTGTGGCTTTTTGTGGTTTTACAAGTTTGGTGGACAGACATTTTTTTATAGAAAACTTGTTCTAAATAGAAATTTGACTCGATTTAAGACACCGGAACCAGGTGTGGTATGGCACGTCCACAAAAAAGCCGCTTTGCGTCTTGCGTCAAAAAATAACATCCAAAAGGAGACAAAATCGCGCGTGACTTTTATTTATAGAAACCGTTTTCCTGTGCTTCCTGAGTCTTAATTTGGAAAATTCAGCCTGGATCTTATCCAAAAGTCAAGGCCTGGTCCGGATGAAAGCCCAGATATGGTATTAAAAATCCTTAAAAAATTTTCATTTCTGACAATGAGATTTTAAATTAAAAAATTAAGCAAACAAGAACCCCTTACAAAATAAACTTTAAAAAGTATAACCTCAACTTTACGGCTAGCATTTCCATAAAAAGTCCATTGACAAATTTCTGGACTGCCAATACCCAAATCTGCAAATTCCAGAAAATTTTTTAAATTTTAAATTAAAAAAAACTTTTAATGAAGAGAACATTATTATTTTTAGAAGAATTAAAGCGCAACAATAATTTATCAAAAAGCTCTTGATTACTTTGAAAAGAAAAAAATTTTTTTGAATTAAAAAAAATTTAAAGAACCGAAGAAAGTTTTCATCAGAACTTGTATTATAACTATATTTGTTGTTATTTCTGAAAAATGTAAAAAATTTTATTAGATATTTTTTTAAATTTAATCTTCTCACCGGTTTAGAAGCAATTCAATTACTGGCTAAAAATTAAAAAAAAATTTTTGAGAAAATTTTTTGTTTACTTACACGACCCGTAGAGCTTTGCCAAATTCGTTCAACCTGTTTCTTTGACATAACCACAGGTACTTGACAAACACCAATTGGCTCAACTTGAGCTTTTTCCATGTTTATAAACCAAGATTCACACAAGCTTACCAATTCCTTTTTAAAAAATAAAATTCAAACAATAATTCAAGAAAATAAAATTCAATCAATAAGACCGCTTATTGTTAGAGAAGAGTGTAAATTCTCAAAGACTGGATCAGGGATGTCACGGGTACCCGAGATCCCGCCTTTTTTGACCCAAAACCGGACCCGAATTTTTTCTCAGCCCGTGACAATCCTAACATAAACAGGATCCACTGAACATGCTTGGACCAGTAGCACATACCACAGAACTTTGCGGACAAAATCCCAGCTCTAGAGTTGAGTTAACAAGAAAGGAAAGAAGTACAAAACTAACCAGCCAGTCTATTAAACTTATTGTTTAACAAAAAAATCTGGCCCTCTTCCTGAATCTCGAGCTCCATTTCTACAAAGTAGAAATGACAACCAATATATCCCACAGGGAAGAAAACACAAAAAATCTTTTAAAGAAAAACCTGAATCAAATAAAATTTAGCCTCAATAATAATCTCCTGAACTTCAGTACGACAATCTGGTAACGGAACTGTTCCATCTCTCATAAAATTTAGGATCAATCCAAAATGTTTTCCACAACGATCAATAGGCACATAACCATCAGAATCACGAAAAACCTTTTTTTAAAAAATAATTCTAAATAAAAATAATTCAAAAAAACCTCATTCCGTCCAGAAAACATTGCTTTAAACATTGAATCATATTTAAGTAAAGTACCCAATGTTGTATGAAAAAGTGCTCCACCTACATTTAATTTTACATATTGGTTAGCAGTATCCATTTTTTAATGTTAAATTCTGAAAAAAAATGAAAAAAAATTAGAGAGGACTTTTGCGGACTAATATTTGCGGACAAAAAAAACTGAAACCTATTGGTATTTGGCAAAAGTATATAAGACCGTGCCCCTTTTTCGACCAGAAACACGTTCCTAAAAAATTGAGACCCCGACTAGACTTTTTTTCTCTCAACCAGGCCCATACCTGATGTTGAAAAATATAAAACTTAAAATGGATGTCCGCAAATGTCAGTCCGCAAATTTCACTTTCTAGCAGATTAGTGTTCAAGACGGTTTTCTTTTAAATTTCGGTACGGTCAACTATAATTGAGATATCCTGTCCCAACTCAAAAAAATTCTCCCCTTTATGGGCTATGCAAACAATAAAAAAATAAAGCAAAAGTAACTCACTAACAATAAACTAGAATAATTAATTCCTACCAAAAAAAAATAAAAAAAGCAAATCGATTTTGCTTTTTGTCCTATACAAGAGAAAATAAATGTGAATTAATAATTTTTTTACAACACCCAAAAAAATTATCTATGTGTGTAATAGAAACAAATATATAATAAAGAAAATAAAATTTTTTGTTTTTATAACAATTGAAAAAATAAACGAATTTTTTTATTCTCAAATTTTTATTCTTTATTACTTTTATAAAATTCCAAGGCCAATCAATGTACACAATAATTAATATATTAAATAAATGAATAATATATCTTTTTTATTAAGGTAGGTCAAGGGCGTATCCAGGGGGTCGGTTTCGGGGGGGGGGGGGGGGGGGGGCTAACACTGGGTGGGCGCCAAAATTTTGGCGTTCCGAACGCAAATTTTTTTTGTACATAAAGTTTCACATTTTCAGCGCCTCAGGCGAAAATTTTGAGGATTTTGGAGCTCAAGAAGCCAAATTTTTTCCATTTTTTGCGCCGCAGGCGAAAATTTTTTAAAATTTGAGGGTTGTAGGCCAAAAAAGTTCACTTTTTCGACCATCCTTCTCCTAATTTTTTCCCCCTTTCCCCCATTTCGGGGGGGGGGGGGGGCTCTAGCCCCCCCCCCCCTGGATACGCCCTTGAGGTAGGTAGATGTTCCTGTTGTCGGTCTACCTATGTCCGCAAAGAAAAAAAATAATTCTGTTGAACAGAAAAGGAAAAAAATTAGCGAGTCCAAAAATGTATAATCCAAAAATATCCAAAAAATGCAAAGAGGGAAGAAAAAAGTGTGCATATTTTTTGCGGACAGGTAGACCACCAACCAGGACATTTACCATTAAGGTAATTGCAGTATTCCTTTAAATAACCATTTTTTGATGACCAGAATTGAATTCAAAAAATAAAAGAAAAATTAAGAAAAAATATACCCACAAAAAATAGTCAAAAAATGGTCAAAGGACTACTAGTTAGGTCTCACATTGCAAAAAGGGTCTCACATTTTAAGTAAAACAGAATCTTCTCTTTAAGTAAAATCCACAAAAAGAACCTTTTTACTTTTCCTCAATATTCTTCAAATTTTTTTTCTATTTTTCCAAAAATGATTGGAATCCATTACTTCCACCATAAGCCAAATTTGTCGGTAAAGAATCCTGTCCACCATTTAAAACGGCCATTTTTGTAAAATCATTTGATCCTGTTGAATTTTCCACTGCTTGAGAACAATTTAAATGGCATTGACCAAAAGATTTGTGTAAAGCTAAAATTTGTTTTCGCATAACTTTGCAACGATTTTCTTCTAATAAAACAAGTTTTGCCTTAAATTTTTTTTTGAAAATTTTAAATAAAATTCTCTCTAAAAAATACCCTAACATCTTCCTTCAATTGTTCATATTTTGCCCTTTGTTGGTTACATTGTTCTTCTAAAACAGCAATTGTTTGAGCAGTACTGTTAGGGTTTTCACGCGCTGCTTGCAATTCTTTACGGCCAACATCGAATTCGAGTCGAGCCTAAATTGAGAAAATTTTTTTAATTTTTTAGTTTGGTGTAGTGGGATAATTTTAAAATTTTTAATTAGAAGGGGTCAAAGGTTCGAGTCCCACTGCCGACGACTATTTTTATTTTTAAGAAAATTAGTGATAAATCCTAAAAATTCGAGTCGAGCCTTAAAAACAAAAACATGCTGACTTTGGTGTAGTGGGATAATTTTACATTTTTAGTTGTAAGGGGTCAAAGGTTCGAACCCGACAAGCGGGAAACAATTTTTATTTTTGAGAAAACCCCTAATATAATTTAAAAATTGTTAATTCACATTTAAATATTCTCAAAAAATAATTTATAAAATAATATTAATAAACCTGGTTATGACTTTCAATAGTCAAAAAAGTATCTTCAATAGTATTATCACAAAGTGTTTGAAGTGAAGAAAGAAAAAGTGACAAACTTCTTTGTAAAGGTTCACTATGTTGTCCCATAACAGAGAAGAGCTCGCTTTGCATATTTAATTCTTTCTGAAAAAATTTAAGCTTTTAAAAAAAGAGGAAGAAAATTCATGATTAAAGGTGTTTAAGGGGCAAAATTCAGTCAAAATTTCTCCCATACCCCGATCGGACAAACAAAATGTAAATTAAAAGAAGTTGACGAGCTGGTATAAGTCGAACGACACCAAAATTAAACTCCTGTTTAAATGGTAAGGCGGGAAATGGTCCCATAATAGTCTCATAATGGTCAAAAGATGTAAAGAGGATCAAGTTGACTTACTGAAGTGATATCACTTAAAAGGAACTATAAAATAAACCCATCAAACCTCCAAAACAATTATTAAGAAAATTATCTTACAGAAATAGCGGTCTCTTTAGTAGCCAATTCACACAAAGCACTTGCCATACCCTTCTGCATATTATTAGCAAGAACCATATAATTGGTAAAATTACGAGCATTCGAAAGCAATTCTCTATAACATTTTCGTAATTCCTGCAGCTCTGCTATTCGAGCATTTAAATCCAGATCTGATGTTTTGTCAATCTAAAAATAAATTTTTTTAACTAGGCTTATTGATCTTGACTTCAACCCTGAACCAAGTACGTAGCTAGGGGGGCTGAAGGGAAAAAATTGGAAAAAAGGTAGAAAAAGCGACCTCCAAATTTCAAAAAAATTTAGCTCGCTGCGTTTAAAAAAATATGGTTAAAAAATTTGCGTTCAGAGCGCCAAAGTAAACGCAGAAACTTTGACGCGTACACCAATTTAGCGCACCCTGTAATCGACCCCTTGGTTACGCCCTTGGCTGGAACCCGAACAATTTTGTCCAACCCGAAATTCACCACCCCAGCGAAACCAAACCACGAGCTTTTCGACCCGAAGAGTCGGTGTCCAACCATATTAACATTTTATATTATAATTAAAAATGAAAACCTTTCCCATATGTTCCAAATACAAATGTTTTGTATTTTTGTAAGTAGTCAAAGTCCATTTTTTAAGAGAATCAATTTTTGCTGCTGTAGCTGTTGTAAGCTGTTGAAGTTCCTGACTGGAAAAATATTTAAAAATAAATGGTGCAAGATTCTAAACAAATAAAAAAAACCTATTAGTAGCCAAATCCAAAATTCCTTGAACCGGATTACTCGTCCTTCGAGGCCCATTCAATGGAGGGCTTTGTCTGGTTACTGAAGGATTTTGTCCAGGCAAGTCTCTGATTCTCTCTTCTTCTAAAAATAATTTGGTAATCTTCTAGTTTACTGGTCCCGAGAAAAGAATTAGGAAGCAGTGCTGTTTCGATATTTTTAAGGGTTACCAGTAGGTAATCGAGTGTGCTGAGTCCAAATCTGAGCTTAGAATTTGCTTATTTCGAACCCCGGACCCGGATTCGACCAAGTCGAATTAGGGGTAAAAATTCGAAATTAAAAATTTAGGACTATTCTAACACGACAATTCGAGTAGAATAGAATGTTATCAAAATTATGATGTTTCGACAACTTTGGACGAAGTTATGATACCGGTTTTCTACTCAAAAGTCTATAATAACGTGTATTTAATTGATCATAACTTCGTTTAAAATGTTCGAAACTTAATAATTTTGCTACCATTCGACTCAAAATAAAGAGACGAGTCAGATCAACCATAATATCGGAATTTCGAATTTTTACCCCTAATTCGACTTGGTCGAATCCGGGTCCGGGGTTCGAAATAAGCAAATTCTAAGCTCAGATTTGGACTCAGCACACTCGATTACCTACTGGTAACCCTTAAAAATATCGAAACAGCACTGCTTCCTAATTCTTTTCTCGGGACCAGTAAACTAGAAGATTACCAATAATTTAAATAAATTAAAAAGAAATCTAATAAACTTGGTGTTGTAGAAACTTCTGTGGCCTGTTCAACTGTGTCAAAAGTGTCTGATTTTTCGGCCAACATTTTTAAAATATAAGAGTATAAGTAGTCTAAAAAATAAAAGTAAAAAATAAAATAATTTAGCATAAAAAAATTGTGGAAAAAAAGAAGATAAGACGTGGGAAGACGTGTCAATTACGTTAAAAGTAAAAATATTCATTAAGAAAGAATAGAAGAGACTCAAATAAACCTCAGTTTGAGTCAACAAATGTTTGCTCCTCTGCCCCATGCTATTTTCTTAACGGCCGCTAGAAAAAAGTGTTTTGAGGTTGTTTTTCGTGTCTACTACTGTAAGCGCTTTCCTTAGTTGCCCATTCCTTATTTTGGAGGGAGGAAAAGTGAGGGGATTAGTAGATTAGTTAACTCTGGAAACTGATTCCTCCAATTTCCGGAACGTTTTAAACCCCCTATAACGTCTTAACCTCTCTAAAATGTCTTAAACCCTCTAAATCTCCTTATTTTCATTCTTTTTTCCATTCCTTATTTTCAAATATTCTTGCTTCATGTCAACCTTTGTGGGTTGTTTATAACCACAAATTGAAGTAAAGCAACAACATACCTTTCCCCCACAAAAACAAGTTTTTATTTCAAAGAAGATTAGGACACACGAAGAGGAAGAAAGCAAAAAAAACTTTTCAGCAATTAAAATAAAGAACGCAGTTTTTCCTCTTCTCCCAAAAAACATTCAATTAGCTATAGCACTCTCGCTAACCTGCTACTAATTTTTCTGTTTGTTCCTCAATTTCCATCCCAAATAAAACTCTTCGGTGGAACGACCACATTTCTAACCATTTTTATTTTTTCTTCCAATTACCTTCTTTTTGCTACATTTTTCGTTAAAACAATTGGGGGAGGGGGGGGGGTTTGTTATGTTTTTCTGTTCTGCCAGCGATTGTTCCACTCCATTCTCTTGTCTTTTCTTCTCATTTGTGTAGTTTACCCCACCTGGCTTTTTTTGTGTAGTTTACCCCCTCCCCCTTCTTCCACTTTCTCCTTCTATTTTCACCTATTCCTCCAACCTTTTCCTCTTCATGCTTCAATCAAAAATTTTTGGCCGTTCCTTTTATGGCAATTCCTTCAAGTTTCCTTCCTCCTTTTCTTCCTCATCTTGTTTTGTTCCTCCCAAATTAAAAAATAATTTTTACTCACCCAAAATGTATTTTTTTATTTTCATTTTCGTCTAATTTTTCCTTTTCTTTGTCCGCTTATTTGAACCTTTAAAGTTAAATTACTATAAAAGAGTAATTCTCCATCTTCTGAGACCCGTTTCTTCATAAATTTTGTTTTCTCATTGAGTTGCTTTTGGGCCTTAGCCCTTTCATTTTCTTCCTATTTTTTTCTCATTTTTTTTGCGCAATTTCTCATACTTTTTTCTAGTATTTATTCCATTTTTTCTTAGTTTTTTTAAAAATGACTGCCGTTGGATTTTCAAAAATTTTAACCCCCGTTGGAATTATTTTTCACCTTCTACTATTTTTCACCTCCTTACAAATCTCTGTCAATGCCGAAAGTGTTGCTCAGGTTCCAAAGGAATTGGCAGGCGAAGGAATGGGCAATGTGGGTCAGCAACAGTAATTGGAATATTTAAACCCTTTTATTTTTTTAAGAAGGCAGGAGTTAGGGCTCGGCTCTCTCAACTAGGTGTTAACTACATTGCAACATTTTTGAAGGATATTTTGATTCAGCAAGTTTTGAGTGTTACTCCGGAGAATGAAGAATTGACTGTTCAAGTATAAATTTTTGACTAAATTTAAAAATGGTGGGTGTTGACCAGGGATGTCACGGGTTACCCGAAACCCGATACCCGAAACCCGGCCTTTTTTCGACCCGAAACCCGAAACCCGACCCGAGAAATTTTCGAAAACCCGACCCGAAACCCGACATTTTCCTTGGAATTTTATTACAAAAAGGGAAGATTTTTGCCTCTTTGGCCTTCCAAAATTCTCAAAATTTTCGCCTGCGGCGCTGGAAAATGATGAAATCTAGTGGGTTGGTCTTCCAAAATTCTCAAAATTTTCGCCTGCGGCGCTAAGAAATGTTGCCGAAGTTGGGCACGATTTTTAAGAATCATGATGGTTTGTGGAGGTATCTATGGGAGGTACCTTCGGTGGAAGGAGGTATCTTCGGGGGAAGATAAAAAAATCGAAAATTAAAAAATGTGGGCGTGATATCGCGTGGGACGTTTTCCGTTGGGATTTTTACCATAAAAAGAAGAATTCTGGCCTCATGGCCTTCCGAAATTTGCAAAATTTTCGCCTGCGGCACCAAAAAATGAAGAAAACTGTAACGAAATACAGAGTAATTTTGCCGTGATGTCGAAGGAGCAAGTGTGGATGAAGGGTGATATCGAGGGATTTACTTGGATTAAGGTGGATTCGGGGAGATATTGGAGGTTCTAGAGGTGTATCTGGGATTTCAAGGTATTTGCAGAGGGTCTGGGAGGTTTAAGGTATAAATCATGGATTAGACATCTTCACCAGATACTTTTAAATGCCTTGATATCCCTTTTAATCCCCAAATCCCCTGATATTAATCTTAATCCATCCAAATCCATTTAATCCCTGTCTCTTATTATATCACACTTATATATTATCTTGTTAATCCCGGAAATCACTAATATCCCCAGCCTCCGAAAAATTTGGCTTCATGTTCAAATTTTTAACTGACCCGACCCGAAACCCGACCCGAGACCCGAAACCCGGACTTTTTTTCGACCCGAAACCCGAAACCCGATCCGAAGAAAATTTTGAAAACCCGACCCGAAACCCGACCCGACTTTTTCCTCAACCCGTGACATCCCTGGTGTTGACATTAAGGATGCCGCGAATACCCGAAACTTGACTTTTTTTATTACCGACCCTGGAAATTTTTGAAACCTGACCCGACGTCGATCTGATTTTTTCTCTTAATCCCACTAACTAACCCGAAACCTGAAACGCGGACATTTCCTCAACTCGTGACATCCTTAGTAGAGGTCGGCCTAGGTCTGGACCAAGGCCTGGGTTTTCCTGTACCCAGAGTTCAGGCCCAGGCATTTTTTGACCATACTGGGGTTTTCCTGGACTACCAGGATCCGGGGGGGGGGGCTCTTTCGAATAAAGGATTTTTCACATCCATAATTATCAAAACACCAATATTTTAAGCCAAATTTTTTCCCTTTTCCCTATCAGTTTAACGACACTAAGGCAAGACTAACGGATCTTGTTTTATCTGTGCAACATGGACCTGGCCCGTTGAAGACAAAAACAGAAGCACCTTCTCAAGTCAATATTGAACTGCCCGAAATTGCGTTTGAGTTAGTTTTAAATCTTTGACAATTTTTTTGATTGATTAAATGAATTTTTATAAAAGGTGCAAGGCAACACTTGCCGATGGCGGTAACAACAAAAAAGTCATCTTTCATGTTGACACTTCTACCTTGTTTTTAAATGTTTCTTCACTTCATCACCCTCAAGTTTGTTTCTCTTTTCCTAATTTTTTATTTTATTTAAAACAGGATAAGCACCCTTGCCCTTTGGGTTTGTTAGTCGAAGATCGGGGGTTTCCGGGGAGAGCATGTCGTGATTTGGGGTTGGGGGTGACTTTTGGTTCGTGGGACGGAGTGTTGTACTAATTTTAATCATTTGAGTGTTTAAAATTTGTATAAATTTTCTTTAAAAAATATTTTTTAAGGGAGCGCCCAAATTTCTCATCTCAAAGTAAAATGCTTGTTTAAAAATTATTTTTTAATCTAAAATTTTTAAAAATTTCTTTAAAATTAAAGTTTAGGCAATTTAAGGTGTCAACTACATTTGGACAATAAAGCTTTGAGTATATCTTTGGAAGGAGAGGGAGGAGCAAATAATAATGAAAGAAAGGCAATATTGACAGAATTGGGACCTGAATTGCTTCAACAGGTTTTTTTGGAATTTTTATTTTTAAAATTTTTTATATTTTTTAGTTGACTTGTTCTCGTATTGTTTATGTTATTGAAGAGGTTTTTTAAAAATCATTTAAAAATTTATTTTTTAATTTCAGCGTGTAAATCAACGCTTTGCTTTGCTTCCATCAAAACTTAATTTAGCCCAATTAAATAATAATTTTATTGTTGAAGATTTGCTTAAAAAAGTTGAAGCTGTGAGGCAAAGGCAGAGGTTTAGTTTAAATAATTTTTATGAAGGATGCTCCGGGGCAGGCCCGTAGCCAGGATTTTTTTCGGGGGGGGGGGGGGGGGGGGGGGGGCAAGGCGGGAAAATTTTTTTGCGCCAAATTTTTGGCGCCGAAGGCGCCAAAATTTTTTATTTTAAGCGCCGCAGGCGAAAATTTTGAGAATTTTAGAAGGCCGTAGGCCAAAAAAATTCACTTTTTTTGCCCCACCCCTTCCCCAAATTTTTCCCTTTTCCCCATTTCGGGGGGGGGGGGGGGGGAATTCCCCCCCTCACCCCCCCCCCTGGCTACGGGCCTGCTCCGGGGGGTCTATAAGTTTTGTGAGACGCCTATCGTTGAGGTAGTGTAATTAACTCACAAGGGAACATCGTTTAATGTGGGCACTGATTTGTTATATTTTTTGTTCCATTCGGTAAGGACCTTCGTCTTCCTTTGCGAAAGCTAGCCGTTTAATTTTGACTGGCTATTAACTCGGCCCAAAATCATTTTGCAAGTAAACGAATACCACTTCGCAGGGGTCTTATATCGGATAGTACCAAGGATATATCAAATCAGCACTCACAGTAAACGATGTTCCCTTATGAGCTTTTTTTTAACCAAATAACTTTTTTTATTATTAAAATAATTTTTCTTTTTGTTTTTGAAGGAGAGCAGAACCACCAATTCAAACTTCTAATGAAAACGCTCCCGTTGATCCTGATCTTTTTGCAAGGTTAATTTTTTTTTAAATTTTTTTATTTTTAAAATTTTTTCTAGTTTCAATGTATCTCGTGCTGACAAGCTACTTCTCGATTACACAATAATTGATGTTCGTGCTGACCATCGTGGTGTAGAAGTTGACAGTAGTGGAGAGGTTTCATTACGTGGAAGAGGAGGAACGCCTTTTGGTTTTTTTTTAATTTTTTTGGATTTTTTTAAAAATTTTTTTAAAATAGGTCCAATGACTTTAACTTTGCCATTACTTGCTAACGAGGAAAATATGTTACAAATGCTGGTCTCTGATTTTATGCCAAATTCTCTTTTATATCATGGACATTCTATTGGACTTTTTAATGCTAGAGTTGATACAAAAACTCCACATTTTGGTTCTTTAATGCGTACTACTTGCCCGGTTTTTTTATAATTCTTTTTTTCCTTGTTTTGCGGGGATTTCAAATTGGGATATACTTTTGGCGGTTTTATTTTCTAAAACCGTATTGAGAGATCTTGCTGGTGTAGACCAGGGATGGTTTGTTTTACGATTTCACTTCCGCAGAATTTATGTTTTTTTCAACACTCCCGCTTCCGTTTTCTGTCTTCCACTTTTTGAAATGCGCTCCATGTAATAGGAATCCGGGTCTAGACAGATTTTTTAGTTTTCTTATTTTTTAAATCTATCTTTTTCCCTATTTACTTTTTAATTTCTGTTGGCCGCTTTAGTTTTTTCAATAAAATAATTTTTTACTTTTAGGCTTCAACCGGTCTTCTCTTTTGTTTAGGGGATTTCTTCCCAACTTTGAGACGTTTACATCCTGATCACAGTCTTGCATTACTCTTTTCTACCGTAAATATTTTTTTATTGAGATTTTTTCAAAATTTCGATTTGTCGTTAGAATTTTCGAAAAATCGAAATTTCGAAAATTTTCGAAAATTTTTCTTAAATCAAACGAGTTTTTTTATTTTTTAAAGCTTCAATCCCCAGTAATTAAATTTCGTCCACAATCAGCTGGGGGAATATCATTTTCTCTAGTTGGAAGAATTATTATGAGTTTACTTGAAGGAAATTCTACAAAAACTAATAAAATGAAGGAAACAGAAGTTGCTCAAATGCAAATAAATGTCAATGCACATATGAAAATTAAATTGAGTAGCACAACAGTTAGACCAAAAATTACTTTGGATAAAATTTCTTTGGTTTTTTTTTAAATTTTTTTGTCAATTAAAAAGAATTTTTTTTTTCATAGAAAACCTTAACACCTGGAATTTTGGCACAAGAAGAATTGGATAGATCTGTGCTACTTTCTAAAGAAGTTCTTCAACGAATGGTATTAAAAATTAGATTTTGTTTTAAAATTAATTTAAATTTTTGGAGGTATCTTATTGGGAAAATTTTTGATTCAAAAAAATTCAAAAAATTCAAAAAAAATTTTGATTTTTTCTTCAAACTGTTGCTGGAAAGACCTTTTTGTTTTTTCTCGTTCATTCTGTTTAAAGAATTTTTTAGCTTGGCTCTGATACATCTCTTTTGATTGAAAATTTTCCAATTCAAACGTCTTGATTAATAAAATTTTTTTGTCCATATAATCGAGCTAGAACTTTTAATTATTATATATAGTTCCAAGCTCTATTGTATGGACCATTTTTTAAACAAGATGTCAAACTTTGTAAATTTTCAATCAAAAGGGAGCTTGAAATTTTTTTTAATTTTTTCGTTTTTAAAGGTAAACGACATTCTTCGTGGAGGTATTCCAATACCTGTTCATCCTTTACTTCGTTTACATCGACCAAAAGTTAAAATTCAAGATCGGGCATTACTTTTATTAACAAATGTTGAATTTAATGAGCCGTTAATACGTCAAATTGTTGGGGCTAGTTTAGACATTAAAAGAGGGGTTTAAAGAGAAAAGTTTTTTTATAGGAAGACACGCAAGTAAAATTCTTTAAATTATAATTAATTGCCTGTACAAATGTATATAAGTATAATATATTTAAATTAAATAACGGGTTAATATATATTTTGCAGAAAAAATTTTTTGAGATAGGAGTTGGTGGGATTTCTAACAGGAGCGAACCGTAATATCAGATGCCGAACCCCCAAAATCTGCCAAAATACCTAAATGTGGAAAAATAACAAATATATAAGTAGAAATATGTTCCAAACCACGTGGAAGTTTGTTTTGACAAAGGTGAAGGTTGCCCCATCAACGTGAAAGATTGTGAACAATCCACATTTTGGTATTTCAACGTGTCATTAGGGGGTTTGATATTTCTGTGTTTGGAATTACGTCATCATACCATTCTTAACAACAATTTTTTATTTTTAGGGATTTTTTTTCTAAGAGTTTGAAATTAAGAGGTTTAAATTTAGGTTTTAAAAACACAAAGGAAAATAACTAATAAATTAAAATAAAAGTTGCACTGGAACATCAATCTCTAGAGGAAATTATTTTTCTCTATTTAATTTCCTCCCTTCCATATTCTCCTCTTTTTTTCCTCATTTATTCAATCATAAGGAACGGTCACTTTTAATGCTTCTTCAAAATTAACAGGTTCTCGTAAATTCCCTCCTTTTGAAAAAATCAAGAAATTTTTTTTATTCAGAGAAAAACCTCTATGCAATTTTGCCCTTTGATTAGCTAATTGTTGAGCACTTAAACGTTTTAAAAATTTATTTGATAAGCTAGGCGGTTTTCCTTTTTCAATTGACAGTTCTGGAACTATGCCGGTTTCAGGCTGTTTTTGAATTAGAAAAATAATTTTTTTAATGGACGAGAACCTCTTTTTTAAATGTCCTCAGAAAAATTTCTTCTATTAGGTGGGAGATGTTACAGGGGTATACCCTCTATTTAATATACAGTCGAATCTCGATATATCGACCTCGATTTAATGAACCAATCGAATTAAGTGACCCTTTCCTTTACCCCTTTTGAGTTATATCGAGTTTAGACACACACCAGGGGGGTGTCATGGATTAACCGATCCTCGGGCTTTCTCTGAACCGAAACCCGATCCGAGAAATTTTCCAAAACCCGACATGATTTTTCCGTTCTTATTATTATCCTTAACATACCCGACCCGAAACCCAAATTTTTTTTCAATCTTAAGGAGGATTTCTAAAAATGAGGTCCATTTTAAAATATGTAAGGTTCGCCTTTTAAATAACAAAAGAAAATTTTTTTAAACTTACTAACCGGTGCAGTATCCTCTTCAAGTGAAATAGGAGAAGGATCATTGAGAACCTTTTTTAAAAATTATTGGAATTTCTTACTTAAATTTTCGTTACATTTTCGTTTTGCTGTCGCCATCGTTGAATTTTATAAAAATTTGGTTCGTGTTCGTTTGTTTCTTTTATTCCTTCATGACCTTTAAATATGAAGGAATTTAAAAAAATTAATGTAATTGTCTTTGTTCTTCGTCTTTTATTCTTTGTTCTCCGAAAAAGTTCTCCGAAAAACAACTACATACGAGTTACCGTTCTAAGTCGACCCGACGTTCAAGCTATTTTTCGTGACTGATTTTCTGTTTGTTTGTCTTTTGACCCAACTAAAAAACACAACGACAGACTAACCAGAATTTAAGGACGACGTTTGAATTAAAGGTGTTAAAAGCAATATTATTAAAAATAAAATTGGAAAAGTTAAGGATAATAATTTTTGTGAATAAAATAATGACATAAGGATTAAACAAAAACACTTCTCTCATTAGAAGAAAAATTGTTTGTTTATTTTCAAGAGAAAAATCCGGACATGGAAAAATAAATATTTTTTGTAATAATTTATACGGGTCAAAGAAGAATTAATTAATTAGACGAGTGAGAGAAAGAAGAGAATTACGAGACCGGTTTTTCAGAAATGATATGTTTATGTTTAACCTTTTTTTATTTGATATTGAGAGGTTTTATTAATCATTTTAACTTCCGTATTTAATATAAAAATTAAAAAAATTTAAATTTTTAGAAGGAGGCTACAAATTCCCAGACATACTCACTTAAAAACGTGTTGTATTTCTTATCACTCTAATAGATTTACAGTTGATTTCTACTTCTACAATATCCCTTCATTCTCAAATTAACTTTATTAATATAATCCACGCCCCAATATATCCCCTGTCCGAAATTGCGGATTGCGTGAAATTGTGTGTGCTTTTTGACTTGCGGATTGCGTTTGCAGATTGCGGACAGCCCTGTTCCCATCCCCTCAATTGTTTCTATTTCTTAAATACCCTCATCTCATCTCGATTTCTGAGTTATCCTGACCTTTCAATTGTCTCAATCTTTGAAGTATCCTCTCCTTAATTTTTCCAATTTCTCAATCTCAATCCTTTCTTAGTTATCTCAATTGCTCATCTCTAGACGATTTTCCTTTTAGCCTTTTTTGTGTTTGCATACTTTTAATGGCCAAAAGCTAAATTCCTCCTCTCAACGTTTTAAGTGTCCAAAAAGCATTGGGGAAAATTTTTTATTTTTTATTTTATTTGCCAAATGTTATTTTAGATAAACAAACAGAAGGCTAAACAAAAATTTATTTTTTTATTTTTATTTACGAAAAATGACGAAACGACCTTTTTTCTTTTTTCTTTCTCCCCCACATATTCTACTTTTTTAAAGTTGTCATTTCCCCTTAATTTTAAATAAATAAATTCTCCAAACAATCTAAATACATTTTAACTTTAAAAACCTTTTATTTTATTGTTTTTTTATTTGATTTTAAAAAGGGGCGTTGTGCAATAACGGCGCAAAGCCATAACTTGCTGGAAAATTTCTGGCCCTTAACAATTTTGGTACAAAACTCTTTAGCTCGACGAGAGGAATCGTTTAATACCAAATTTGGTAAGATTAGAAAATGTTGAAGCAAGTTATGACTTTGCGCCGTTATGGCCGCGCGCCTACTTGGGCTGTACCCGAGTAAAGAAGGGAAAAAGTTTTAAATTTTTTGTTTAAAAAATTTTATTTTTTTTTCATTTTAAATTTAAATTTTATTTCCTTCAATGCCCTTTTATTGCCCTTTTAAATTTAAAATTTAAATGTTTTAAAATTAATTTAAAAGGGAAAATAGGTTTTTAATTTGTTTGACTGATAAACAAAAATAAAATATGTATGATAACATTTTTGAATTATATATGAAATAAAGTTTCATTTTTTTAATTTTTTATTTTCACATTTTTAAATTTATTTTTAATGTAAACATAACAACAACAAAATTATTTATATTTTTCTATTTTCTCTTAAAAATTTTTTAAATCTTTATGTTTCCTGTTTTCAATTTTCCTCTATTCCTTTTAAAATATTCCACCTTGAGAGATAAATTTTCCCTCCTAAACTACTAGAGTTGATTTTCGATCTTGTGGGATTTAACGATTTTGTTTGAGAAATGCTTCTCTTTATTTAGAGTAAGCTGATTGTTTGTTTTTGTAGGAGAAAAAAATTTTCCCCAGAACTTTTCTCCCAGAAAAATTTTTCACCAGAACTCTTCCTACTCTTCTTTTCACACTTGAAAATTCTAATGAGAAAATTTGCCTTTTTAGAATTGGAGTTGATTTTTTTCAGCTTTTTCGAGGGAATTTCCGTTTCCAATTCTGGTCGTTCCCTTTCCTTGTTTTTTCGATATTGTGAAATTTAATGATTTTTGGAAGGGGGAGAAGGAAGGGGGATTTACATAAAATATAAATAAAATGGTTCTTTTTTTGTTCTTGAATGTTTTATTGAATAAAGGAGGGAAAAAGAATTAAAATTTTAGAGGGATGAGTAATACTTGCCCCTTTTCTTTGATTTTCTTTGATTTATTACCGCCTACTTAACATCAATTTTTAAGCTCTTTAAGAGGGGAGAGGGATATTTAATCTTCAAATATATTTACGTAATAAACTTTTTTGACTCATCCCTTTTTGTGAGTGAATTGACGTAAATATAATCTCTGTACGCTTTTTGAAATCATATAAAATCATTAAATCTTCAAATGTATAGGTGTGCGCCAAAAAATTTTTGAGAAAACGCCAAAATTTAAAATTGGGCATTTTCGAGTACAACCTCACTTTTAGGATATATCTTTAGGACCGAGAAATCATAGCTTATGAGTAGGTTGCTCTAAATAGAGGGGGTATTTTGTTTGGGATTGTTGGTCCGCAAATCTCAGATCCGCAAAATTTAAATCCGCAAAGTCATGTCCGCAAAGTTCGGCGTCCGCAAGTTCGGCGCGCTGAATTCATGTCCGCAAAGTTCGGCGCGCTGAATTTTCTTTGTTTTGAGACAGCTCTACTCCTTCCCCTTTAGAGGCCAACCAATTAAAAAAGAATTATTTTAATTTGAGGATTACTTCATTTCGGAGGAGGGGGAGGTTCAATAGTTCTTACAAAAAAATTAAATTTTGCGCACATCTGGATTAAGACAAGAATAAAAGTTGTAAATACAAGTAAATAAAGTATTTTTTATGCTTCTAAAATTAGTAAGATTCTTTTTATTTCTAATATAAAGAGTACTTTATATAAAAGCTATTTTACAAACATTTTCAATAAATATATTTGATCATCTTTCTCTTAAAAATAAAAAAAAGCTTTTATGTTTAAGAAGAAGAAAAATGCTTTTTTTCAAGTCGAAAAAAGAAGAAGCATATCCCACAAACAGCCAACCAGCCAGTCTTTTCATACCAAAACATAAATTATATATTACATCTCTTCTTCAACTCTTCCACCGCTATATGTATATTTATGTTCCTCTCGTTCCTCTAATAATTTGTTTAAAAAATCAACTCATAAGTGATCAACTTTGTTAGTTAAAATGTTAGGACTCTAAATGTCTCTTTGAGGGTAAAAACTAAGACTCTAGTAACCTTCCGACTGAATTAATTTTTTTAGAATGTTTCTTTTTCAACTGATTTCCTAGACTTTAACTACCTTTCCCAAAAGGTCCATAACTGCGAAAGCCGTAATTAGTTGGAAAATTTTCTAGTCCATTTCCATTTTGATACCAATCTCTTTAGCTTATGAAGGAATTGTTTAATACCAAATTTATTAAGATTCGAGAATCCTGAAGCAAGTTATGGCTTTGCGCCGTTATGGCCGCGCGCCCTCTTGGGCTTTATTCGTTTAATCCGTTCATCAACATAAATACTCAACTTAGAGTTTGTTGATTTTCCCCCACTTATTTGATCTGTATAGGTGTTGATTAGTCGCTCTTTTACATGTGTGAGTGACCCGTTTTTTAATTACAATTCATCGCAATCTCTCCCCATTTACATAACTTCTTTACAATAGAAAAATGACTGGTTTTGTTTTGTTTTCGCGCACTTTGTAGTATTCTTTCTCTTTCTTCTTTTTTGACACTTGTTTATATTTTCCTTTTGTCAATTTTCTTTAATTAAAGATTTTTAGTTTTGTTTCTCTTTAAATGGGGATAATTTTTATTTTCTTTAAAAATCTTTTAAAAATCAATTTTAATTTAGGCTGCCAGAGATCTTAGGGGTACGGCCCACTTAGTCGCGCGGCCACTTAGTCGCAGAGCCATAACTTGCTTTAAGATTTCCGAATCTTTCCAAATTTGGTATTAAACGATTCCTCTCATCGAGCTAAAGAGATTGGGGCCTAACTACAGTTTCCGTACCAGGCTCAGAATCGGACGATTTATATGTCATTCGAAAGAGCTCGTCGAGCTGAGTCGAATGACACCAAAATTTTTCAGCGGAAAAAATTCTGAGCCGAGTTACAGTCCCCCGAAAATCGAAAAACCATAGGGGGGACCAAGCTGATTTTTGGGGTCAAAAATTCGATTATACAAATGATACCTCATTCGAAAGAGCTAGACGAGCTGAGTTGAATGACACCAAAATCAGCTCGATTGGATGATTTTGAAGAAAGTTATGACCAACAGAATCTTCGCTGGAAAAACTGTTTTTGTGCTGCTACGGAGGGTAGGCCGGGCATGGTCTTCGCTACACGATGGCCGTGCTTCGCTGCGGTCGTGCTCGCTGCGCTCGCGGCGACCGTAGCGAAGCGGCGGCCGTCGTTCCGCTCGACATGCCCGGCTTCCTCCGCAGCGGCAAAAACTTTTTTCCGCGAAACCCTTGTGTAAGGGACTAAAACAAACGGTCATAACTTTGTCAAATGACGTCTGATTGCATTGATTTTGGTGTCATTCGACTCAGCTCGATGAGCTCTTTCGAATGAGGTATAATTTGCATATTCGAATTTTTCACCCCCAGAAAACAGCTTGGTCCCCCCTATGGTTTTTTGAACTTTAGGGGTCTGTAACTCGGCTCAGAATTTTTTCCGCTGAAAAATTTTGGTGTCATTCGACTCAGCTCGACGAGCTCTTTCGAATGACATATAAATCGTCCAATTCTGAGCCTGGTACGGAAACTGTAGTTTAGCCGAGATTGGTACCAAAATTGATAAGGGCCAGAAATTTTTTAGCAAGTTATGGCTCTGCGACTAAGTGGCCGCGCGACTAAGTGGGCGTGTCCCAGATCTTAGTTATAATTGGCGTTTTGACTTTTGGCGTTTTTTGCGCTCTTTGGCGTTTTGATTTTTTTTGGGATTTTGAGTTTTTGGCGTTTTGAATTGTGACATTTTGAATTTTTTTGGCATTTTGTTTTTTGGATTTAATTTTTGGCGTTTTGTCTTTTTGGCGTTTTTTCCTTGGCGTTCTGTTTTTTTGACGTTTAATTTTTTGGCGTTATGATTTTTGGGCATTTCGTCTTTTAGCGTTTTATTTTTGGCGTTTTATATTTTTTTTTAATTTTGCGCACATCCTTAAATTAAAAATTTTTTTTTGATTACTTTAAAAATCAAAATTCTCTTTTAATTTTTTCAGAACTTTTTTCTTTTCACTTAAAAATTCTTTTCTTCTTTTTAAATGGATTCCCAAGAACAATTTCAATTAGAACCTATAAAACTAGCTGTAATAATTAATTTTTTGATATTTGCTGGATTTTCTAATTGGGTAGCTCTTGCATATATACATGATTTTATTGGAAGGTGTTTTTTTAATTTTTTGATTAAATGGAGGAAGCTCACTATAAGATACCCTCAGAATTGGATACCCTTAGACTTAGAGGAGGTAGCTTATAACGAGGTTTTTTCAGATTTAGAGGGTATTGGGTAGAGGGGCCCTCTGAAGTGATACCCTCTATTTAAGCGATGCCCTCTGTTTAAGTGACACCCCTATATAGGCGATACCCTCAATTTAAATAACCCCTTTTGGAAGCCAACCCTTTAGATTGACCTCCTTTGGAAACCAACCCTCTATCTAAGTGATACCCTCTATATAATGTACACCACATTATAAGGCGATTTTTTCCCCAGTGGGTATCTTATAATGAGGTTCGCCTTATAAAAATTCTAATCTCTTTAATTTTCAAGGAACCCTCTTCCGGATATTATTTTCCATTTTGTTGAGGAACAACCTTGGGCTATTCCCCTCGGTGATTTTATGGTTATGTTGTGCTCAATTTCTTTAATTTTGTTATTTATTTTTCACAAACACCGAATTGTGGTTATCAGAAGAATACTTTTTATTATTGCTTGCTTGTATTCTTTTAGGACGGTTATGTAGGTTTTCTTTTAATTTTAAATTCAAGTACCCTCTCTAATAAACGGACGGTTTCGCTAGGTATGCGTAAATAGAGAAGGCGTTTATTAGAGAGAGGTTTTAATTGGAGAGGGTTGGATCCCGTTATTTTCCTTTACAAAAGGTTGTCTCTTATTGGAGAGGAGCTTGATTTTGAATATAAGTACCCCTCTCCAATAGACGGACGGGCTTTTCAGGGACGCGTTTATTGGAATAAGGTTTTAAGTAGGGGTGGATCTCTGATGTTTTCCTTTGCAAAAGGTTATCTTCTATTGGAGAGGGGAGCTTTTATTAAAATAATTTACAAGATCACGGGGACCTTTATAGAGAGAGAGTCACTAAACGTCCGGCAAATGAACCGGCTAGTCTAAAGAATTTTTTAATTAAAAAAAATTTTTTTAAGGATGTTAGTAACCCAACTCCCAGCAGGTTATAAAAACAACGAAGTGCGTTGTAGACCTTTAATAAATAAAATAAATAGAACATTGTCAATTTACTTGATAAGAACGTTAGAACAAACAATACATGTTGGATTACAAGATAATTCAAAACAAATGCTTTGTGGCGATTTTTTATTTTCTGGGCATACTTTAATTATGGTTAGTTGGTTCTTAGTTGATTTTTGGTTGAAAAAATTTTAAAATTGAAAAAATTTTTATCAATTTTTTAAAAATTCAATGGGGGGCGAAGGGACGTTTGGGCGCAAAACTGCAAAGGCGCGCATTTTAATAAAATAATTTAAAAATTATATGAGGCTATGAAAATTTTGCAAAAATATCCCCAATAGTGTTATCTAACTTGTCTAAAAATACCAAAAATTTTGGGTTTAGTATAAGAGAGTTATTGGAGAAATAGTTAAATTTCTTCATTAAAGTTTGGTTTATTGACTATAACTTGAATAATTTTTGTTCAAAAATTCTGAAATTTTTAGAGAGCTTAGATAACACTATTGAGGAGTATTGTGCAAATTATTGAGGTTCTGGATACTTTTATAGGGCAGTTTTTCTCGTTGGCGCCAGAACGTATCCGCGCCGAAATGTTTAAAATATTTAAATATTAGTTTTTCTTTATTCTTTTCTTTTCAGGTAATTTCAGCCCTTTCAATATCCAAATATATCGATAGAAGATTTAAATATATAAAATGGTTTCCTTTTTGTTTTGCCTTGATAGGCATTCCTTGCATGGTTATTAGCAGGTTTTTTTTTTCAATTTTTCCAAAATTTTTTGCAAAATTCCGAAAATTTTCGAAATTTTTTTGAAAATTAAAGAAAAAAATTTCCAAAGAAAAATTTTTAAGGACACATTATACCTGTGATGTTATTATTGCATTATTGGCATCAAAAGCTTTGTTTATGTAAATTTTTTAAAATTTAAAAAAAATTTGAAATTTTTATTTAAAGATTTTATCACGCTTTTTGTGAAATAGATTCCCTTCAACAAAGAAAACGTTCTGTTCTACATTCTCTTTGTTTTACAAAAATAATATTTTGGTTGGAAGAAAATGTTGATAATCAAAAGTATTTTTTAGAAATTAAATTTAAAAAAATCCGTAAATAATGTCCGCAAAAGTTAGATTATTCTGATTTTATTTACAAATAAGAATTATTTATAATTTAAAAAATCAAAATTTTGAGTTTGTTCTTATTCTAAAATTCTGATTTCTGTTTTTTAATCTGTTATAGTTTTTCCTAAAAATTTTGATTTTAAAAGAGAATCAAAATTTGATTCAATTTTTTAAAATTTTAAACCAGAATTCTGGTATTAAAAATTTAGCAAAAATTTTTGGGGTATTCAGGTTAAAAAAAATCAGAGATTTTATTTTACAAATTAGAATTCTGATTTGTAATTTCTACTATATTTAAACCCTTCTCTCCTACTAAATATTTTCTTTTTAAAGACTAAAAAACGAATTAGAAATTCCAATAATTGGTAATTATTTGCTTCATCTTCACAAAGAAAATCGCAGAAATAATGTTCAAGATTTAAATAAATCTATGGTATGGTAAGAAAAAAAATTGAAATTTTTTCTAAAAAATTAGAGCAGCAATTCTTCAATAACAACAGCAGCAGTTGAAAGTGTTAAAAAAAGGAAAAGTTAAATAATTTTTAAAAAAATAAATTCGAAAATCTCAACAAAGATAAAAAATATATAATTTCTTCTTTTGGTTGCTAATTAATTAGAAAAAAACAGAAAAATAGTCAAGAAAAGATAATTATAATTTTTAAAAATTACGAGCGTTTGTGTGCCTTTTATTTTAAATTTTTATTTTTAAAAAATACAGTTGAATCTCGCCCCCCCCCCCCCCCACTAAGGTCTACAACTTTGTGTGTACTATATTTTTAATATAGTTGGCCTTTAGTTAAGGGAGATACCTAAGCGATGCCTCCAGTTTAAATGGATTATTTTTAACTTAAATTGGTTTGGCGGTAAAAAGAAGGCGTTTTCCTTTTGTCTTCCACTTTTCACTAAATTTCACCTTTTTGTGTGCTTCTCTTCGGGGGGCTACAATAAACTTGGGTTTATGTCAAAAAATCAGATTCTACTTTGCTCAAAAGAGCACTTTTAAAAATATCTGCATTTCATTACACAAGTGCTAAAAAGCACATCTAAAAGTTCTTAAGGCAGAAACAAACAAAACAGGGCAAGCTTGAGACTTTTAATTTCTCAAAAAGACTCGCGTTAAAAGACGAGAAGAATCTCTTAAAACAAATCCCTAAAAATTTTTACCTCAAAAAATCACAATCTATTTACATATTTCAAAAGAAAACAGACAATTAGACAAATAGGAATGGGGAGAAAAAACAGGCAATACAATTTGGGTATTTACATAAATTTATTATCGAATAATCCTATTTATATCATCACGTCCCTTCTATTCCGAGCACATCCAGTCACAGAGCTCAAGTAGACGGGCCTGCAGCATCATCGTCAGAACTAAAGTTTTTTTTGATTAAAAAAACTAACTTTTTAAACTCACGTATTCTCTAGGCTCGGCACCTTCTCATAGAGCGCAGTTGACGTAGACTCGGTAGAACCAGAGATGGCAGACTCCTTTCCGTCAACATCTTTGCAATGCTTACAGGTAGTACGTCCATTGCCTTTAGTCTTCCCTCCATTGTCGCCAACCAATTTGCCAAGGCTCGGTCCATGTCCGCCTCCTTTCTTTTCGTTCTTGTCCAAGCAGCCGACTCCTTTCTTTTCGTTCTTGCCCAAGTCCTGGTGTTGGCCGCCTACTCCTTTCTTTGAGATCTTGCCCTGTTCTTGACCGCCAAGATCCGCCTCCCCCATTTTCGCCTTTTCCAAGTTCGCAGCAAGATCCGCCAGCAGCTCATTGTCCTAAAAAAAAAGAAGAATGTTTTTTTAAAAAAAATTAATTTTTCTTACATGTTCATTAGCGCTGATTACCGCATTGATGAGAACACAAGCATCATTCAACAGATCCAACACATGACCGTATTTTGCCTCAAGCGAATGGCGTCGAGCTCTCTCCTGATCCAGCTGCGACTTGTGCGACCCTGTGTTTGAGCGTTTGGACATCCTGATGGTTGAGAGGTTGTTTATCTGAAGAAGAAAATTTAATTTTAGTCAGAATTGGATCAGCTTTTATATGAAGAATTTAGTATAAAAGCAAGAATCTTCCAAATTATCTACCTCATTCCTTCAGAAAACCGAAGCATGTCACAAATTGGTCAACCGATGAAGACTACAGATCTCTACGATCAGCCACCACCACCAGCAGCATCAGTAGCATCAGCAGCGCCACCGCCGCCGGCAAATGACCAACTCTATGAACAACCGCACTGGTTGACGATGGGAAGCAATCGACGGCAAGGACGAAAAGCGAAGAAGTTCAGCGACCTACAAAGCCAACCCAGAAAACCGAGTACGAAAACATCGATGAAATGTAGGCATCTTTTTGGGATCTATCAAAGTGAAGTTTTAAAAAAAAATGTTCAAGAATTCAAAAATAATTTCTTTCATTTTCCAGGAAAGAACAAAAACACGGGAAAACGAAAGGGAAAGAAGCATGGCAAGTCTGATACACCAAAGCGCCAGACTGGTAGTGAAATAACAATTAAATTTTTTTAATTTTTATCATTTTTCAGCTCCAAAGAAATCCTCTAAGAAGAATGTCGATGTGGAACAAACGGTCGTCAAAGTCCAACCAAAACCTCAGCCAAAACCAAAAAAGAAGGTGGTGGTAAAGAACAAGTGAGGTATCTTTTCTTCGGTCTTGCTGACGCTTCTGGCTCTTGGTCTTGCTATAGGCACTTCAATGGCGGCTTTTTGTCAATTAGAGGAGATAATTCCAAAAGAATATCCATAGTTTTAAACAAGTAAATATATTCACTCATTCATTGTTATTGTATTTCTCTTCTCTTTGTCTCGTGATTGTTAGAGTTAATTAGAGTATGTTATTGTTAGACCTCAGCCAAAACCAAAAAAGAAGGTGGTGGAAATTTAAACTATTTAATTACATAAAAATGAATTTGCGTGAATGTCAATAATTGTTACACTATTATATTTAGCTAATATAGTCAAGTTTTTGTAAAAATCAAAATTCAAATCAAAAAAGTTTTAAATATTGTTTTTATTAGTCAGTAATTTCTTTTAAATGAACTATTACATTCTGAACTTGTTGGACAATTAAGAAATGCTTTACCTTCAGCAAACATTTTTAATAGATTAAAGGATTGTTTGGATTGTCTCGGAACTAGTACTTTTCAAACTAGTACTTTTAGTACTAGTACTTTTCTGACCATTCGGTACGTGTGAAGGAAAAACAGTTTGCTGTCTTGATGGAAGTATGTAAATAAATACCATAACTTCTAGAGATTTATTGCGAATGTTGCCTAAACTTTACTTTCTTTGATTTAATTTATGTATAATCCATCCGAGATTTAACAAAAAATCTTGAATCTCTCTGAAATTATAAATGAAGCCGAGCCCGCAAAAATATTGCAGGCAATCCAAAAATTATAGGGCGGATGTTGGCGCGCACAAGAACGGGCAATTTAGAATAAAATAAGGGAAAACTAAATATTTAAAAATTGAAAAAATTTGACGGTTTGCAAACGGCATAGAAAACCCAGTACAAATAAATATAACTGTCTTTTTCTTTTCTTTGTTTTTTGCATTGTATTTCTTTTTCTTTTTCAGTATATGCTATATCTCTTTTTATATTTGTTTATCTATATTATATTGACACAACTTATGGTCCTTTTGTTGTTTATCTTGTTCGACATGTGCTCTTAAGCATCTTGCTTTTAAGCAAATTATCGAAGTCAAAAATATTTTTCAAGATCGTTGAAATCGGAAATAACCTCAAAAGTCTAAAATCGAAAAAAATTAAAAATTGAAAAGTTTCAAAATGCTTGTGAATGACACAAAGTGTATGACACAAATGTAAATCTATGGGTGTCAGCGAGGCGCGTTGCGGCACGCGCCTCGCGGGGAGTCTACGCTCGCTGGGTTCTGCACTAGTAAGATTATCCCAGCAATCGTGAGGAATTGCGGTCCCGTTGAAAAATTAATTTAAAAATCCTGCGAAGACAGTTTCTAGGGTAACTTTCAGCGCTGATCACGAATCTGAACTCAGATTTTGTCTAACACTTGATTTTGTCTATGATTTTTTATCAAGTACTTGATTATCAAGTACAAGCGAGGCGCGTGTCATTCGAAAGAGTTTGGAAAGCTAAGAAGAACTAGGTGTGACCGAAGTCGGTTCGGTATCTAAGGGCCGAGATCGAATGACACCAAAAGTAACGCAATCTGAGGACCATATCTCTAAGGGCCGAGATATGGTCCTAAAATGAGCCTAATCACATATATGGCTTTTCAAATTTTCAGCTTGTAACTCAGCCTTAGCGAGTCAGATTGCGTTAATTTCGGTGTCATTCGACTCAGCTCGAAAAGCTCTCTCTAATGAGCTATATTTTTCCAGAAATTAGCCCTTTAATCGTTTTACCAAATATTTCCTTATCTAAAAAAATAATGTAAGGGAAAAATTGATAAGAAAAGAATGTTTAAAAAATATAAAGAATATTAATTACCTAAATAAATAAACAATTTCTTTACCTAAATACAAATTTTGTTTTTGATTATTATTTAAATAAACATCAAAAAATAATTAATTAATTAGCCAACCAAAAAAAATTTTTTTTCAACCTTTCTTTTCAAAGTCATCTTTCTCATCTTTCTCAATTCCAAAAATATTAATTATTCTCAATGTCCAGTTGCTTCCCTTCTAAAAAGTTCTTCCACAGGATTGTTAATTGGCGATTTTGAATAATCCGGCATGCAAGTCTTTTCCCAACTTGCATCATAAGGATTAAAACCAAGTTCTAAATTAAAATAAAAAATAATCAGAATTTAAAAAAAATATAAAAAATTTTTGATATTCTTAGAATAAGTCAAGTCTGATTTGAATTTTAAAAATCAATTAAATACACAAAAAATTCTGATTTTGAACAAAAAACAAAAATTCTAATTTAAATTTTAAATAAAAATCAGAATTTTGTATTACCATTTGTTAACCTAAAAAGCAAAAAAATTCTGATATTTTTTAACTTATGAAATAACAAAAGTTCGATTTTTTAAAAATTTAAATCACTATTGTGTGAAAAATCAGAATTAAAATTAACATAAATATTTTGACCTAAATCTCAAAAGAAAAAAAGTCAGAATTATTTGTGATTTCATTTTTAAACCTAAAAAATACAAAGGATATACTTTAGCCGGTGGCCCACTCAGAAACGGGTCAAATTATATACCATTCGATTCGTCTCGGCGAGCTGAGTCGAATGGTACCACTCTTTTTTTGCGGAAATTGCTACGAGCCGAGATATAGGTCCTTAAAAACCGAAAAACCATAGGGGGGACCAAGCACTTTTTTGGGGTGGAAAATTCGAATATGCAAATAATATCTCATTCGAAAGAGCTCGTCGAGCTGAGTCGAATGACACCAAAATCACCGTGATTGCATAAGATTTGACAAAGTTATAACACAAAAAACAAAGAACCTAAACCTATGGGTCGGCGGCGAGGCGCTTGGGCAAGACCCCGCGCTTCGCGCGGGGTCTTGCGGCACGCGCCTCGCGGGGAGTCTACGGGCGCTGGGTCTGGGCTCGTAACATAAGCCTATTCCTATCTCCTTTGCTCTGGACGTATTTGGGGCCTCCGTAGCAGCAAAAATCTCCACAAATGCCATAGGTAAGGAGCTAAAATAAAAGATCATAACTTTGTTCACTCATGTCTGATTTCGTTGATTTTGATGTCATTCGACTCAGCTCGAGGAGCTCTTTCGAATGAGCTATCATTTGCAAATTCGAATTTTTCACCCCAAAAAAGTGCTTGGTCCCCCCTATGGTTTTTCGGTTTTTAAGGACCTATATCTCGGCTCGTAGCAATTTCCGCAAAAAAAGAGAGGTACCATTCGACTCAGCTCGCCGGGACGAATCGAATGGTATATAATTTGACCCGTTTCTGAGTGGGCCACCGGCTAAAGTACAGCCAATACAAAAATTAAACTTACTCTAAATAACTGAACGCTTTTGTTTTTTACGATTTCTTTTATCTTTCTCCTCAAAAGTCATTGGCTCAAGCAACTCCAAAAATACACCACAAGCAACTTTAAATAATTAAATTAATTTTCTTTAAATTAAAAAAAATAAAACTTGTAGAATTTTCAGAATTTCGAAGAGTAAAGCGTTGCTGTGGTAACATAAATTGATCAACACTGGAGAAAAAAATTTTTTTTATAGAAATTTTAAATTTTTAAAAATTTCAAAAAAATCTTTGTGACTCACTTATATTCCAAAATAATTTCAGCAAACATAAGGCAAAAATGAAAAGGGACACCCAAAATTTAAAATTTCCCAAAATAATTTTAAAAAATTAAAAACAAAATCCCCATAATGCAAAAATAAAATTTATTTCAAAAAACCTATCAGTAAGCAAATGTTTATGTCCTTGAGGTAAAAGAACACATCCTCTTTTAAGATCTTTTGGTTCAACACCACGAAGCAGAATACCTTGCAAAAAAATTTTTTTCAATTCTCTAAAACTTTCTCCAGTGGCGGCTCAGTGTCCCTACATTTTATTTGAGCCGCCACAAGCGAAAATTAAACGGTCTCCAAAAACCCAATTTAAAAAAAATAAAAAATACCTAATACCCAATTGATCTCCAGGTTCACCTTTATCAACAGTTTTACAAAATGTTTCCAAACCTATAAAATACAAATTTAATTTAAAAATTCTTTCAAATCAAAAAAAAACCATTAACAATAGTAGTCTTATTTTTTCCTTGCCCAGCAATTACCAGTTTGTCACCTTTCTTTACTGATCCTTGTTCTAATTTACCAGTGACAACTCCACCTTTTCTTGCAAAAAAATTTTTTTTAATTTATTATTATATCACTTTTGTACTCTTGTGTTATCTCCCCCCCCCCCCCCATGTTATTTTCTTTCTCCTTTACTTTTCCTTTCTCCATAAAAAGCACACATGAATGATTAACTTAACATACTGTTAGAGTTATGGCGATAGGTACCCAACTCTGGTTTTAAGGACGATTGTATATTATTGTGCTTTTGTATGGTAACTCTGGATGAATAGGTCCCTCTATTTCCTTAAAATATTCTGGTAATAGAATGAACGTATTGTAAATAGAATACTGGTACACACCAACGTTGGGATTGGATCTTCAATATCAAAACATGGTAACTCACGACATAGATTCAATTTGACCCATGTGTATTTTTTAGAGAAATAAAAATGAAAGGGGAAGAAAAATAAAATGGGGGGAGATAACACAAGAGTACCTATCACTTTATCAAAAAAACCTTCAATATTATAAACTTTTTCTACAGCAAAAATTGTTTCATGAGTAACCTCACGTTTAGGAATTTTAAAATAATTATCCAAAGTTTCAAGAAGTTTAAAAACAGATTTTTCACCAATTTCAGGATTTTTTCCTTCCAAAGCAGATAATGCAGAGCCAATAATTATCTTTAAAAATTTATAAGATACACTTAAGGGTAAAAAAGGTAAAAAATCGTATCTTATAATCAGTACATTATTTAAGTAGCTCCCTTTCGCCCCATGACCACCTAAACTAAGAAATGTGCTTTGAATTGAGGCGTATTTAGTGCTAAAATAGGACAGAAATTTGATGGTACTTAAAACGCCGATCTTTTTTTCGACCAGAAATGAGAAATCTGAACAAGAAACTTTCGAAACCCTGATTCTAATTGCTTTCACAACCCGTCCCACCCATGGTATGAGGGGTATAATTATGGTGAGAATTGACTGCATGGGGGTTATCTCCATATAATCTCTTACTAATGCCATACCGGTACTTAATCTCCAGGATATCCATTTCAACAAGCTCACGTTTTTTTCATCATTTACTTCATCACATTTATTTAAATAGAACAAATATTATGTTGGGGAAAAAATTTAGGAAGGAATAGGAATGAACCCCCACACTCCTCTCCCAAAAAATTGGAAAAAAATTAGAAAGAAATCCCAAACCATATTCAATATGAGCAGTATTAATGGTAATGCCACGAGAACGTTCTTCTGGTGCATTATCAATATCCTCATACCTACAAGGATTTCTTGCAAAAATTAAAGGTACTTTTCCGTTATGACGTAACCCCCTAAATTAATGTTCAAAATGTCATATACTGGATAGAAAAAGGTGCTGAGTCGATAGGTACCACTAATTTTTCCCGAAGATGCCTGTGGACCGAGATATTGGGCTCGAAATGGTCAAAAACCAAAGGAGGAAGTGAGCTCAATCTTGGGGTGAAAAATTCGATTTTGCAAAAGATAACTCATTCGAAAGAGCTCTTCGAGCTGAGTCGAATAACACCAAAAGCAGCTCGAAATCTTGATTATGTGACGAGATGAACAAGATCAAAATGATCAACGTAAACCTATGGGGCGTAGGCGAGGAGCTCTCCCTCCTATGGTTTTTGACCATTTCGAGCCCTATATCTCGGTCCTCAGGCATCTTTGGGAAAAAAGAGTGGTACCGTTCAACTCAGCACCTTTTTCTACCCTATATATGACATTCTGAACATTAATTTAGGGAGTTACGTCATAACGGAAAAGTACCAAATTAAATTAAAACAAACTAAATTTCGCCTTCTTTGAAATACCAAGTACTAAAAATTAGAAAAAACTTTCGGAAACGATTTAAAGTTAACCTTTCGTAATCGCAGATGTAAGGTCGTCTTTCCTGTAAAAAATTTTTATTTTTACAAATTTAAAAATCATTATTACCGTGGTCAACATGCCCAATTGTACCAACATTAAGATGAGGCTTTGTACGCTTGAAAACTGGCCTTGAGCCTGGAATGTAGGTCGCATATAAGCGCTCTAAATTAACAAAAAGATTTTAAAAAAATAAAATAAAAGCAAACTTGAAGCTAGAAAAAAAGAAGTCCTTGCCAAAATCATTGAAAAAATTCTAAAATCTTTTCTAAAACAATTTCTAAAAAAATTTTTTTTGAAAAATTGAGAAAATTAAATAGTTATAAAAAATAATAAAAAATATTGAAAAATGAAAGCGTTAAAAAAATTAAATTTTTTTAAATATTATCTTTCAAATTTACAATATGTATGTGTATTATTAAAAATCTCCCTGAGTTAAGGAGCTAAAATAAAATAGAGGTGAAACACCAAAATAGGAGAAATTCGGTGTATTCATTTTCAATTTGTAATTAGGAGAAATAGAAAAAACAAATTGAAAATGAATATATATGTCACTTAAAATTAAAAATACGGGGACATATTTCAAAATCTTGTTTTAAAGGGACGAAAAATTTTTTACAAAATTTCAAATAAAGAATTAAACATGTTGATCATCAAAGGTTTACTTTCGCCGTATTTCGCCTTTGCCCCAGTGCCTTTCACCGAATTTCTCCTATTTTGGTGTTTCACATCTAGTCAATCGTTTTAAATTTTCTTTCCTTTTGGCCTTATACTTTTTAGAATCTGTTTGGTAATGAAGTGAGTTCCGCAAATTTTTTGTGGAAATGAAATATACCCCAAAAAAGTTAATACCGTATTTTCTCTAATAAAATGACAGTCATTCTATTTTTCATATACCCCAAAAAAGTGTCATTAAATTAGAGATGTCATTTAATTAGAGTAGATACGGTATATAACAAAATTAAACAACAACAAAATTAATTTGAGAATAAAAAACCTCTCAAAAAAACAATTAAATAACAAAAGTAGTAGAATAAGAATTTGAACAAACCAATGAAGCATTAAATGGACTACAAGTTAAAACATTTATAGGTAAATTCCATTTTACAGTTTCAATATTTAAATTATCCGCTAATAAAGATTGGCCATTTTTAAAGGGATTCATTAATTTATCACGAGTAATTACAAATTGAAAATGAATACGCCATCTTACTTTAACTGGAACAAGAAAATAGTAAAAAATAATATTTACTTTGATTATTTTTAAGGTTCCAAAGCGTAACAAGAGTTCTGGTCTCGACGAGGGAAGGGTGCCCATTTAAAAAAATTGGAAATTTTAAAATAATCAGTCTTTGCACAGTCTTATGGATAGAGCTGGTCTCTCCTGTCCACTGAGCATGAATGATTTTGGGTTAGGATTTGCCCAAAAAAGGTCCGGGTCTGGTCAGAGTTCGGATCGGATACTCTAGTCTATTATACAAAAAAGAAATTATTCTTCTAACTTAAAAACTTAAGTTATACTGTAGAGAAAAAATATCAAGTGTGCATAAACTTTCGCACAAGAGTGCAAGTCAAACATTAATTTATCACATTAAGAAAAACAATTAATAGTAAATTATTAGCAAAGTATAACTACATATCTCTCAATTAACTCTAACAATCACGAGACAAAGAGAAGAGAAATACAATAACAATGAATGAGTGAATATATTTACTTGTTTAAAACTATGGATATTCTTTTGGAATTATCTCCTCTAATTGACAAAAAGCCGCCATTGAAGTGCCTATAGCAAGACCAAGAGCCAGAAGCGTCAGCAAGACCGAAGAAAAGATACCTCACTTGTTCTTTACCACCACCTTCTTTTTTGGTTTTGGCTGAGGTTTTGGTTGGACTTTGACGACCGTTTGTTCCACATCGACATTCTTCTTAGAGGATTTCTTTGGAGCTGAAAAATGATAAAAATTAAAAAAATTTAATTGTTATTTCACTACCAGTCTGGCGCTTTGGTGTATCAGACTTGCCATGCTTCTTTCCCTTTCGTTTTCCCGTGTTTTTGTTCTTTCCTGGAAAATGAAAGAAATTATTTTTGAATTCTTGAACATTTTTTTTAAAACTTAACTTTGATAGATCCCAAAAAGATGCCTACATTTCATCGATGTTTTCGTACTCGGTTTTCTGGGTGGCTTTGTAGGTCGCTGAACTTCTTCGCTTTTCGTCCTTGCCGTCGGTTGCTTCCCATCGTCAACCAGTGGCGGTTGTTCATAGAGTTGGTCATTTGCCGGCGGCGGTGGCGCTGCTGATGCTACTGATGCTGCTGGTGGTGGTGGCTGATCGTAGAGATCTGTAGTCTTCATCGGTTGACCAATTTGTGACATGCTTCGGTTTTCTGAAGGAATGAGGTAGATAATTTGAAGTCTGACGCTTTGGAGTATCAGACTTGCCATGCTTCTTCCCCTTTCGTTTCCCGCTTTTTGGAATTATCTCCTCTAATTGACAAAAAGCCGCCATTGAAGTGCCTATAGCAAGACCAAGAGCCAGAAGAGTCAGCAAGACCGAAGAAAAGATACCACACTTGTTCTTTACCACCACCTTCTTTTTTGGTTTTGGCTGAGGTTTTGGTTGGACTTTGACGACCGTTTGTTCCACATCGACATTCTTCTTAGAGGATTTCTTTGGAGCTGAAAAATGATAAAAATTAAAAAAATTTAATTGCTATTTCACTACCAGTCTGGCGCTTTGGTGTATCAGACTTGCCATGCTTCTTTCCCTTTCGTTTTCCCGTGTTTTTGTTCTTTCCTGGAAAATGAAAGAAATTATTTTTGAATTCTTGAACATTTTTTTTAAAACTTAACTTTGATAGATCCCAAAAAAGATGCCTACATTTCATCGATGTTTTCGTACTCGGTTTTCTGGGTGGCTTTGTAGGTCGCTGAACTTCTTCGCTTTTCGTCCTTGCCGTCGATTGCTTCCCATCGTCAACCAGTGGCGGTTGTTCATAGAGTTGGTCATTTGCCGGCGGCGGTGGCGCTGCTGATGCTACTGATGCTGCTGGTGGTGGTGGCTGATCGTAGAGATCTGTAGTCTTCATCGGTTGACCAATTTGTGACATGCTTCGGTTTTCTGAAGGAATGAGGTAGATAATTTGGAAGATTCTTGCTTTTATACTAAATTCTTCATATAAAAGCTGATCCAATTCTGACTAAAATTAAATTTTCTTCTTCAGATAAACAACCTCTCAACCATCAGGATGTCCAAACGCTCAAACACAGGGTCGCACAAGTCGCAGCTGGATCAGGAGAGAGCTCGACGCCATTCGCTTGAGGCAAAATACGGTCATGTGTTGGATCTGTTGAATGATGCTTGTGTTCTCATCAATGCGGTAATCAGCGCTAATGAACATGTAAGAAAAATTAATTTTTTTTAAAAAAACATTCTTCTTTTTTTTTAGGACAATGAGCTGCTGGCGGATCTTGCTGCGAACTTGGAAAAGGCGAAAATGGGGGAGGCGGATCTTGGCGGTCAAGAACAGGGCAAGATCTCAAAGAAAGGAGTAGGCGGCCAACACCAGGACTTGGGCAAGAACGAAAAGAAAGGAGTCGGCTGCTTGGACAAGAACGAAAAGAAAGGAGGCGGACATGGACCGAGCCTTGGCAAATTGGTTGGCGACAATGGAGGGAAGACTAAAGGCAATGGACGTACTACCTGTAAGCATTGCAAAGATGTTGACGGAAAGGAGTCTGCCATCTCTGGTTCTACCGAGTCTACGTCAACTGCGCTCTATGAGAAGGTGCCGAGCCTAGAGAATACGTGAGTTTAAAAAGTTAGTTTTTTTAATCAAAAAAAACTTTAGTTCTGACGATGATGCTGCAGGCCCGTCTACTTGAGCTCTGTGACTGGATGTGCTCGGAATAGAAGGGACGTGATGATATAAATAGGATTATTCGATAATAAATTTATGTAAATACCCAAATTGTATTGCCTGTTTTTTCTCCCCATTCCTATTTGTCTAATTGTCTGTTTTCTTTTGAAATATGTAAATAGATTGTGATTTTTTGAGGTAAAAATTTTTAGGGATTTGTTTTAAGAGATTCTTCTCGTCTTTTAACGCGAGTCTTTTTGAGAAATTAAAAGTCTCAAGCTTGCCCTGTTTTGTTTGTTTCTGCCTTAAGAACTTTTAGATGTGCTTTTTAGCACTTGTGTAATGAAATGCAGATATTTTTAAAAGTGCTCTTTTGAGCTTGTAAAACCCCTTCAATTCTTACAGAAATTGTCTTTTTTCTCTTCCTTCTAATTTAACAAAATTTTCTACTTTTGAAAATTTTACTTCCAAAAATTTTTCGTTTAAATATTTCTTTTAATTCTCAACTTTTCCTTCTATTAATCTCGTGTCCTTATAGTAAATTCCTTTCATTTTTCCGTTCTTTGTATTAGTTTCCTTCAAGTTTTTTACATTTTCCCTCATTTTCCTTCTCATTTTCCTCTCATTTCCCTCTCATTTTTCCTCCCTTTTTGTGTTAACGGCACTCACGTCTTTTTTTCACATCCCCGTTCCTCCGTGTCCGGACAAAATATCGAATCGTTAAAATATGGAATAGGCTAAAAAAGGGTTAAAATCTCGAATCGGGTAAAAAGGGGTTAAAATCGCGAATAGGCTAAAAAGGGGTTAAAATGTGGAATCGTTAAAATATGGAATGGTTAAAATATCGAATAGGCTAAAAAAGGGTTAAAATATGGAATCGTTAAAATATGGAATGGTAAAAATGTCGACACGGCCAAAATCGATCAAAATGTCGAATTTTTTAAAAATGGCGCCAAAACTAGAATCCGGGCGTTACCGTAATACCGATGGTATTTTTCGGTATTCCGTGTCGGTTGTACGGTACGGAATCCGACCGATAAAATTTAAAAGCTGATCGGTATTTTTCGGTATTTCGTACCGTATACGGTAAGGTCAAACTTTAGGTCTTAACTAAAAACTAATGCACACCACTCTAATTTTTCCATATCAGGATCGCGTTATGTTTTCCGGATCCGTACGATCATGCCGGACCGGATCCGGTCGATTATGCTTGATTTATCCGGTCCGGTTTTACTCGGTAAAATACAATGAACTCTGGCAGAAAAGATTGCGCCGGACTACGACATAAGAGACTTATCAATCAACTTATCATTAATAAGTTGATAAGTTGATAAAATCATCTACAATCAACGTATGGCACTCATCTGACCCTTTTTTAAAAGAATTCGACATTTTGACAGATTTTGGCCGTGTCGACATTTTTACCATTCCATATTTTAACGATTCCATATTTTAACCCTTTTTTACCCGATTCGATATTTTAACGTTTCCATATTTTAACGATTCGGTATTTTAACCCCTTTTTAGCCTATTCGCGATTTTAACCATTCCATATTTTAACGATTCCATATTTTGTACCGGAGCCCCGTTCCTCTCTCAATTTTTTTGTCAAACATTTCCTCCCCTTTGTATCCCTTATTCTTTGTATATGCCAACCGGGCCTTTTATTGATTATTTTCTCGTTGCTAATGGCATCGCGGGAAAGAGAATGCCGAGAAAAGCGGGTAAAAATTGCTTCGGCATTATTGACACAGACTGACATTTCCTCTCCTTTTTTTATTCAAAATTTTGTCTCATGCGTGTTTAACATTTTTTAGGCATTAAAAATTAATATTAAAATTACTAATCTGAATCCTTTAAAACTTTGAGAAAACTTCTTTCTTTTCTAAAAATCCTTGAAAATTCTTAAAAAATTTTTTAGAAGCCTTTAGGTTTTGTTAACGAGTAGTAGAACGTTAATTTTTAGGCTCGGAGCTTTAGTCTCTACAAATAGGGATGTGTCAGATTTAGTAAAAAAAAAGTCTGGTCTGTTTTTCAAAAAATTTCTTTTGTCGGGTTTCGGGTCGTCAAATCCAAGTTTCGTATAACCCACTCATCCATGCTTTACAAAAAATGGCAACAGCTTTTGGGTGTTTGGCATTTCAAGCTTTTGGCAATATAAAACGCTATATAAAAGCAATATAAAAAACGGGAATTTGTGGGAAATTTTCGGGTAGTCATTCGCCACGTGTTATGGGGAATTTTCAAAAAAAGGTTTCGACTTCCTTGACTTTAGGGATCTCCAATTCCTCGACAACACTATCCATAAATCTATTTTTTTGCGCACATCTGGGCTATTTAATTTTATTTTTTTTTAAATTTTTTTCTCTTTTAATTATTTTTATTTTTTTCTGATTACAAAGAAAATTAATTTTTAATGCCCTTAGTGCAAGTTTTGAAGCGGAAATTTAAAATTTTTTTTTCTTAGAGGGGAGGAGGTAGTTAGGGGAAGAGAGACGGGTAACTAAATGAGTTTGCCGTACAAACTCATTTAATTTTTCTTTTCTTTTTTTCACTCCAATTGGCGCAATTGGGGGTTTTCGCACAAAAAAGAGATTCAAAACAAAGATTTTTTACTCCTTTAAAAGTGCATTTTTAATAGACATTTGTTTTTAGTTTTCCCCCAATTATTTTTTTTTCTGAAAATTGTTTTTAATTATTTTGTGCGTACGGCACTTTTACGGGTTTGAAATTATCTGAGTCTAAAAATACACGAAGGAAGGTATTTCTTTTAATAAAAACCCTTATTATAAGGATACAACTCTATGTAAGATTCATTTTTTAAATGTCGTTGGCCATTGGGGGGGGGGGGGGCTGTCTAACAATAAGTGATACTTCCTAGTTTAAAACTTTTTTCTGTTTCAGAAGGGGTGGATGTTTTATGCTTCGATTAGATACAAATCGCAAAACGCGCGCGTCTAACGCTTTCATGTGCTTACATAAAATTAGGCGTCTTCCGCTAAGATTAAAATCGCTAGGCAACAATTGCTGATTTTTTAACTACAAAACCATCTGTCACAAGATGTGCGCAATTTTTATGCAAAACCGTAGCATTAGACGGAAAATTTTTTTCAGTTTTAAAGAAAATTTCCAAAAAATGATATCAATTTTTAATTCAAAAAATTTTCTGTGTTGCTTTCAAAAATTAATTTATTCTCCTCTTTTTTTTTCTATTCCATTTAACTTCTCGAAAATTGTCTTCTCATGGGAATTTAATTTTGAGATTTTTTTTACTTTTTAACTAAAAGGTCGTTATTAGAAAAAAAACGTAAAATAGGCGTAAAAATTTTTTTTCTGTTTGTATGTTCTCTCTTTTTTCTTTTATTTTTAAGTGCATTTATACATTTTTTCTCAAGAATTTTTTCTTGTTTTTGTATTTAAAAGCAACATTTTTTACATTAATTTTAAGTAAAATAAAGGGGAAAAATTTTTTATTTTGGGAAATTGTAACTGTTTTGACTGGAGTAAAAGATAAGTAAGAAATTCAATTGTAAAATTTCTGTCCGCAAAATTTGTCCGCAATTTTTGTCCGCAAATTCTAAATTTTTAACAAATTAAATTTTTTAACACTGGGGATTAATCAAGTTATCAATTTTAAATTTTCTAGATTTTTAATGGTCAAATAGCATTATAAATAAAATTATTAAATTCGCTAATCCGGGTTAAAATATTTAATTTCCTATATAAGTGACATTTGATCCCATTTTTCAATTTTGCTACAATTGTCTGTTTTTTTTAAATTTTTTTGCTAGATTATTTTTTTTCTAGTTTTCTTTTTCATTTAAATTTTTCTCATATTTTTTTCAAATAAGATTTTTAATTAATTAAATTAAAGGAAATTCTTTGATTTTTTTGGTTAGACGCCTAAATCCTTGTAATAAACCTCATTTATTAATTTAAAAATAAAATAAATTCTATTAAATGCTTTATGTTAATATTTCTAATGCTTTAATAAGGTTTTCTATTTTCTAATTCTATTTTTAGAATATTTAATCTTTTTGGGTATTACTGTTAATCTATTTTTGCGGACAAATTTCTGCGGACAAAAACGAATCCATTGAAAATTTAAAAAAATATTTTAATATTTTGGTTAAGTGGTATTGCTTTTGGTTTGGGATTCTGTAGGTGGCTTTTTTGGTGGCTTTTGTCCGCAAATTTTAAATTAAAAAAATTTTTTGTGGTATATTGTTTGTGGTCCCAAAGATAACCATTGTCCGCAAAATTTGTCCGCAAATTTTAAATATACCATTACTTGTCTAGGATTTTTTTAACATTTTTTTTCTATTTAATTTCTTTCCTCAAAAATATATCCATTTATTTATTTTTCATTTCCTGCTTTTTTTACAACAAAAAATATATAAATCCTCGCTAATTACATTTATTTGATGTCATTTTCTATTTAATTTTTTTTCTATTTACTTACACACATTTTTTTCATTCGTCCAGTTTTTTTCTGAAAATTGTTTTAGAAAAAAATCATGCGCATTATTAATTGTATTTATTCTCTTTTTTTCTTTTTTAATTATTTTACAACTAAAAAATTTTCATTTCTTGAATATTTTTTTTAATTGAGTTTGAGTTTTATGTTAGTCCGCAAATGTTGTGCGCAAAAAAAATTTTTTTTCTAATTTAAAAAATTTTTTAATCTTTTTCAATTTTTAAAAGCACTAAAAAAATTTTTTTCATGTCTATTCTTTCCTTAGAGTTTTTTTTATTTTTCTCCTTGGAAAATAATTTTCTATCAGGTATGTTCATGTTTGTCCGCAAATTTTTTGTCCGCAAATTTTTTGTCCGCAAAAATTTTTTTGTTTATTTTTAATTTTTAAAAACTTCCAAAAAAATTTTTTCAAGTCTGTCCTTTCCTCGATTTGTTTTTCTTTTATTTTTTTGTCGAAAAAAATTTATTTTCTATCAAGTGGAATCGAACCTTGCTTCTTTTTCTTCAGTAAACCAAACATTTTCCCACTACACCAAAACATTCTTTTTAGGGAAACTTGCTAGGGGTGGTCAGTTTTTGTGTTTATTTAAGCAAACAAATAATAGATTAATTCTTTTGGGTCCTTTCCTTTATTTTTAATTTTCCTTTACTTTTCTAAAAGTCCGCAAGTTTTATCCGCAAAATTTATTCTTGTAATTTAAAAAAAAGAAAATTTTAGATTTATCACAAATTTAAAACAAAAAATTTTTTTCTCCAAACTAAACTCTATTTATTTTATTACTTTTAATTTTTTGTATAGTTTAAGGAGAGAAAAAAATTTTTTTCGGTTTCCATAGTAAATTTTTGAATAAAAATTTTTTTTTATAAAATTTAATTTTTTCATTATTCTAGTATTAATTTATGTTTTAAATAATTTACTTTTAAAAAAAATTTTGGGGAGGGGGGGGGGATATGATGTCTTTTATTTTTTAATTTTTTCAGAAAATTTGTGTTTTGGCTAAATATTTTTGAAATCTTTTTTTTGTAATTAATCTCTTCTTTTTTTATTAAACATTAAAAATCTTTTTTAGAAAATTAAATATTAAATATTTTTTGAAAAATGATAAAATTAAAAATAGAAAATAGAAATTTTTTTTTGAACAATGGGTTTCCTTCCTTATTTTAAAAATAGAAATGGAGCGAAAAAATATTTTTTTAATATTTATTTTTGTAGAATTTTTATTATTTTTGTAGTCTTCTGTATTTTCCAATTCAAAATTTTAATTCCTCATTATTTTTCTTAAAATCTTTTCAATATTTTTTTTTGTCTTACCCTCTTTCTATGAGTACACCTTAAGGTACGAGTGATGCTCGGGAGAAGAGAAAACCCGGGAAACGGGAGTCGGGTCGGGAAATGACCTCGGAAGTCGGGATCGGGAGGCCAAAAACTCGGGAAAATTTCCCGATTCGGAAGTCGAGACACCCGAGCATCACTACAAGGTACCACTGCCTAACAATTATTTTAACGCCTAATATTATTCCGAGAACGTGGAATGTTATTCCGAGAACAGGGAAGAATGGGGGGCGGGGTATTGAAATTGTTCCGACAACAATAAAAAAATGTTACGAGAACCACATTGGCAAAATTAATAAAATCATTTACCGTAAATATCCTAATATAAGCCCTGGGCTTATATTTTTCAATAACCCCCATCGGGTGGGCTTATAATAGGGCATGGGTTTCTATTAGGGCATGGGCTTGTATTTTTCAATACCCCCCATGGGGTGGGCTTCTAATAGGGCATGGGCTTCTATTAGGATATTTACGGTATTTTTTATTTTGACCGTTTTTAAATTCTGACGATTTTTAAGTTGACCATTTTTAAAAATATTTTTTTTTGTTTTTATTTTAAAATTGTTGCAAACAATTTTTTAAATTAAATAATCTCATGTTTTTTTACCAAAAAAGGGCAAAATAGTAAATTAAAAATCAAGACCTCCCTATTTTTAAATAAAAATAGGGAAGAGAGGGAGAGAATATTTTTTTACAATATTTTTATTAATTTGTTTACGCACAAAAATTCTTCCTTTTCTTCAAAAATAGAGAAAAAATTATTTTTAACTGTTAAAAATATTTTTATTGATAATGTCTATTTTTGGGCTAGCGGCGTCGTTTTGGCGAGGGTTTGTTTTAGCGCGAGACTCGAAATTGACACTTATTTGTTAGGGCTAACCCTAACTTTATGAAAATTTTTTTCAAATGTCTTTAACTTGCTTAAAAGGGTTGGGGGCCCGATTAGGTCTTTTTCGAGTCTTTTTCGGCGATCGACGAGTCTTTTTCGGCCGAGTCTTAATCCTAATCCTTACCTATCTCCTCCAAAAATTTCAGAATTTTTGATGAAATTTTTCTCAAGTTATAAGTCGATAAACCTCAAAAAATTAGGTAGTATTTTTCGGAAAATGAAGCCACAATTTCCGAATTTCTTGCTTAAAATTCCTGAAATTTTTGGACAATTTAAATAAAAATACGAGAGTTATGTATATCTATTTTTGGTTTTTTGAATAATAAAAAGAATTTTTTAAGGAAAAAAAATTTTTTTGTTTGTTGCTTTTCCCTCATTTTTGTTTTGTTTGTTGTTTATTGCTCATTCATCTACACACACCTTTATTTTATACTGATTTTAACTAGTTTTCTTCATCTTTTATTGTTTAAATGAGTATATTTACCTATTATTTAATACAAAATGTATATATTATTTTTTAATGGTCACAATCGTGTTTTTCAAAATTTTTCAAAAAAAATTTTTTCAAAAAATTTTTTAATTTAAGGTAAAATTCTTTTTAAAAAAATGCCAAATTGCCGTTTTTGCACTTTTCTGCTTTGTAGCTGTCGTTATTATTTTAATCTTCAACCTCATTTTCTTTTAATTCTGTTGTTGTTGTTGTCAATTCCTCAAAGCCTTCAGGTTGGTTTTTCAAAGTTTTTTAAATTTTTTTTGTTAAGGTAGGTGTTTGGTGTAGTTGGGTAATTGTTAGTGTGTTTGGGAAGGGGTCATGGGTTCGAACCCGTTCAGTGGACAGACTTTTTTAAATAATTAGTAAAATATTTTTGGTGACCGGAAATGTTTGAGGCCTCGAAAAAAATTCGATTTTTTAATTACTGCTGTTTTGGTGTAGTTGGTTGATGGTTTGTCTTGTTCAATAAGGGGTCGTGGGTTCGAATCCGTTCGGTGGTTAAATTTTTTTAAATAAAATTCAAATGTTTTTTGATGACTGAAAATAAGTTTTGGGGCCTCGAAAAAATTTTTTTTTATTTTTAAATTATTTTTTGCTTCAAAAGGACTCACAAACTGGTAGTAATGGTGGTATTTCTCTAGCCTGCGGAAATGCTCTTAGTTCTTCTTCAAGTAACATTCCAAATAGCAACAGTAACAATCCAGCAGTCCAAACATTGTCACAATATCAACTTGTTGGAATGGACGTTTTAACCAAAAATGTTTGCTCCCCTTTGTCTGTTGAACCAACTACAGCTTATTTGCCTGGAAGTGGTTATTTGGTGGCTAAATGTGATGAGTGTTCCAAATGTCCTCAAGAATTGTTACATTTACATAGAGCGCTTACACAGTTGGCAGTTAATGCAAAACTTCAGTCCTTGATCAGTTAGTGATTTTTTAAATTTCTTTTTTGTAAGAATTTCGGGGACCACCGTCCTCTGGTTTTCAGTTTGTTGACCCTCTAGTTCCTGGGATAATAATAAAAAAGAGTTTTCGGCGTCTTGGAGGGGATCGAAACATGAATGTTGTTTTTTTTTTTTCTTATTTCATTTCACTCACATCAGTCAGTTTTTGGTGCTAATTTTTTCATTGCGCTGAAAAAAATTTTTTTGATCGGTACAGGAGGGAGTGGCCGATGATTTTTAAAAGAATCTCATGTTCCTTGATTTTCAATGGCGAGCCAAAAAAATTTTCCATTAATACAGCAGGGAGTTTCCTAAGATTGAGGCATCCCTTTTTTGAAAAAAATTTTCAATTTTATCTTTTTCAGTTGTTGTTGATAAAGAATTGGAACGATTACGACCTGCTTCTAGCCGAACAACACCAGGAAATTCACCTTTAGTTAAATTTGTATTTTCAACTTCGTCTTCAGATGATGATGGAGGTTTACTTTCTCTATGTGATCCTAATGGTGATGCGAGTAATGAGTCTCTCAAAAGTTTTTCAAAAACATCAGTACGTTTTTTTTAAGTTTTTTGGGATTTGCAGTTTCCCTCCCATAAGCCCCGCCCCTTTTCTTCGATTTTTCCTCAAAAAGAAGTGATTCTCGTAAATGACTGAAATTAAATAATGAAAATATTGACCCAAATGTACTTTCTAAATAGAGGAAAATAAAAAAGGAGGCGGGGCTTATGGGATGGAAACTGCACAAATACCGATTTTTCTCATTTATTTTAAATTTTAAGGTTTTATTTGTTTCAATTTCTTTTATTATTTTAATCGTAATTTCATTGGCATGGTTGGTATTTTATTATGTTCAACGTTTTCGTTATGCTCATGCAAAAGATAGATTGCAGAGAAGGTTTTTTTCTTATTTTATTTTAGTAAAAGGGATGGGAGGTCCTTGGAGTTTTATATATTTTATAGTAGGTAATCTAGGTATATCGTGTTAATATTTTTATAATTTTTAAAGGCTATTTAATGCTGCAAAAAAAGCTTTGGCTAGAATTCCAACACGTCCAGTGAAATCAGGGGATCGAGAATTAAATTCAGACTGTCCTGTTTGTATTGATCCTTATAAACCTGGAGATATATTGAGGCAACTTCCATGCAGGTTTGTTTACTTTTTTTTAATTTCTAAAGTCTTTCCCCACATTTTTATCTTTAAATTGGGTCACCCCAGCAGGTCAAAGTCAGATATTTGGGCCGATAAAGGGGACTCAAGATCAGGAATAGGTTGGCCTGCTTCCTTCTACCTTATTTGACAGTTACTCGAGAGAATTTCCGTCATTCCTTTATACCCACAAATCTGTCTTAATCTGCTCAAATCTTATTTATTTTTGGATTTGACCTTCTGGTTAACTTGACTTTTTGGGAGTCGACCTTTAGGATCGCTTGACCTTCTGGGTTAAACCCTCTAAAATTCATATACATAAAAAAATTTCAGGCACATTTTCCACAAAAGTTGTGTTGATCCATGGCTATTAGAACACCGAACTTGTCCAATGTGTAAATCTGATATTCTAAAAGCTTTTGGTTATCATGTTAGTAGCCGTAGTAGGCCAGCACAATTTTCAGCAAGTGTGGATGATGATGCTCCAAGTGGGGGAAGAGGAGGAGGAGGAAGAGGGGGAGGAAACACGAACAATAATAATCATAGAGAAGGAGACAGATTAAGTATAGAATCAACATGTAGCGATTCTGCCAATCCTTTCCCTGTTGTTACTGAAGTACACGATCCGTTTGGTTTTTCTCCTTCTACATCGCCACAATTTGTTCAGGTTTTTTAAAAAAATTTTTTTTATTAATTTATTAAACAATAAAGGGGATTAGGGTTATGAGAAGAATGTTAATGTAGGAACGATTAAAAAGATTTGGTAATTTCTTGTCCTTTTTTCTTGTTTATAATTCATGTTCTGTGTTAAAGCACGAGAATAAATTTCGGCATTCCCGTCGTTTAAGGGGGCTGCCGTTTTATAAAACCAATGTATTTTATTCGGTTTTCTATCAATCAAAATTAGTCCTTTCCTCCTTACTAACAATTATTTTTCACATGTAGTATAAGGTGTTTCAAAATTTGTTGCCAAAATTATAGTCTCACAATGGTCAGAAAATAGCGGCCTTCTTAAACGGCAGGAATACCAAAAAAATTTTTTAAAATTTCGAACAAGAAAATCTTTCATTAGGCTAAAAATCTTTTCTTCAGTGTTTTATGTTTATTTCCCACTCATTTCTCAGGTCAACCAACATTCATTCTATTTAGGTCTTCCATTCCTTTATCAAAATTTCTTTATTCTCTCAAAGGGCACAAGAATTAAGGCACAATTAAAACAGAACAATAATTTTTTAAAAATTTCAAACGGGAACATGTCTTAAGCTTCATTAATTCTTCATTGTTTATATGATAGTTTAAGGGTTCCCTCAAAATTTTTTTAATAAAATTTCTCAAAAATTATTTTTTTAAAGATTGGCAGCGACAATTTTCAAGTTGCTAATAATTCAACAATTTTGCCATCTTCATCTTCTGTTCATTGTGAAATTGTACAAGCACAAATTGAAAGACATTCACAAAATGTTGGGGATGATTTGTCCCCTGGTTCTTTGGAAGAAGGGGAAGGGGAGAATCAAGGATCAAAACAAATTGTTGAGGGAAATGTTGGAGGAAAAATACAGGAAGAAACCGACGATAAACATCAAAAACGGGAAACTAAAAGTAGTGGACCTTTACGCCTTTTTCGAGCAGTAACAGGACGTCGACATGTTAATACGGCACTTGTTAGGGTTTGAAATTTTTTTTTATTTTTTGGAAAAAATTTCTAGAAAAATTTTCTGAAAAATTTTTTGAAAAATTTTTGGGAGATTTCTCTTAAAAAATTTTTCGAAACTTTTTTGAAAATTTTTTGGAAAATTTTTAGAGAAAATTTTTGGGAAATTTCTCTAAAAAAATTCTTCGTTTTTTTGGAAATTTTTTAGAAAATTTCTTGGAATTTTTTTTCAAAAAAAATTTTCAATTTAAAGCTTTCACGTTCTCGTTCGCTCAGTCATAATCCATCTGCTGATGTTGAATCTACCAGTAATCCTAATAATAATGAAAATACAAGTGGACAAGAAGCTATTATTTTCTACTCTTTAAAAGGTTTTTTTATTTGAACGAATTTTAATTTTTCGTTATTTTTTAAGGAAATCGTAATGCCAAAAATATGGAAGTATCACTTCCCCAATCATTTATAATCCCAAAAACAACAGCAACAATTTCTCCATCAACTACTCGTTCTTCTTTAGCTCGTGTAGATGAAGCTGGTGGTATTCTACCTTCAACTACAATGAATGAAAATTCTCGTGCATTAACTGCCCCCGGTGATTTTAGGCGTAAAAAAGGAGGAGGTGGTGGGGGAAGTAGTAGAAGTGGAGGGGGAAGAGGAGGAGGAATGGGGGCAATGGAAGGGGGAGGAAAACGGCAAAAAAGAAATTTTAAAAATCAGCAACAACATTCTTTAAGTGATGGGGATATTGTTGAACAACAAGGAGGAAATGATGATTTTTTAAATAATGGAAAAATTTTAAGAAAGCAAACAGCGGGGGATGTACGGGTGGAAATGCCGTAAAAAAAGAGTTAAAAATGAATTTTTAAAAAATAATTCCGAGTGTTGGGAATTTTGATAGAAAATTGAAAATTTGGCAGGAAAAAGCAATTTAATTTTAGTTTTGTCAACAGAAAAAATAGTACGGTTTAGATTAGTCCTGGCTAGTGAAAAATAAGGGGTTGAGGGTATTTTAAAAATAAAAAAATACTTTTTCTTATTTTTTTCTTTATTAAAAATGGTTCAAATTATTTTTTAAATCCTGGAAAAAATAAATTTTACATTAAAACAAAGTTTTAATTGAAATAAAAATTATTTTCCGTCAGTGGGATTCGAACCCTCAACCTATTAGCCGTTATAACCCGAAATTATCCCACTACACCAAAGTTTTTGGAAGTGTTGGTAAGGCTTGTAAATTAAATTGTTTTGTTAAAAAATTATTTTTAAAATATTTATATTGAGGTTTAGAAGGATATTTTTTATTTTTTATATATTTATGTATTTTGTGATGAGAGGAGATTGTTTACATAAAAAATAATGCATTATTCTGATCTGAAAATTTTTTTTTGTTTTTCTCTTTTCAAATCTACACAACTTTCATTTTATTTTTTTTTTTAAATTGTCTGATCTCAATATACATTCAAAAAAAGAGATACTTTTTCACACAAAAATTTTATTATTTTTTTTTATCTTCCAAAAAAAGGTTTTATTTTTTTACTCTACATACGATATATTTTTCTTTCCTTTCTCATGTCAGAAAAATTTTTTTCCTTCTTCAAATTTGTAAAAAAATTATTTCTTTTGTGCAAGTAATTTGTACATATATACATATATTTTTGAGAATAAAATTTAGTTTTTTCTCTCGTTTGTATGTAAAAAATTGGTTAAAAATTCTTTAAAATATCTTGATAGAAAAATTTTAAAAAATGGTCTGAAATTTATTTTTGGCATTTTAAAGGTGTGGACTTTTTATCAATTTACTCAATATATAATAATTTGTTCAGATGACTTCATTTTTAATTTTTGCCAAAAATTTCAAAAAAATATTCTTCAAGAATTTATTTTATTTTTCAATTTTGCTAAACAATGTAAGTTACTTAACTTATTTTCCATGTTTTTAAAAATATTGCAAAACAAAGAAGAAACTAAAAGCAAAAAGCTAATAAAACGGGGATGTGTTGAAAAAACGATGGAAAGAAGCAGCTGTCAGTGAATTGATCTTTTCTTGAATTAAAAACGGCCAAATCCTTTCTTTTTTCTCGATTCATCGATTAAAACTTTTAGAACTTGGGAAATATCCATTAATTGTTCAACAAAAAATTTTTTTTCATTCCTTTCTATTCGAGAATTTCAACACATTCTAATTAGAAATTGATTTTTAAATATTTAATGGGGGTGAAGTCCCCGGTTCTTAAAAGTTTCTTTAATAAAAATGCTTGAAAGTATTTTTAAAAATCCTGGAAAAATTAAATTTTGCACTAAAACAAAGTTTTTATTAAAATAAAAATTGTTTTCCATCAGTGGGGTTCGAACCCTCAACCTATTAGCCGTTATAACTTGAAATTATCCCACTACACCAAAGTTTTTGGAACCTCACTGATTTTATATTTTTTTCAAAGGAATTTCAAATGTGAGACGATTCAAATATTTTTTTACAAAAGATGTCTTCTTATCCCCTCTCCACATCAACTTCCTCGTCAGCATGGGGTCCTGGCTATATTCCTTCAAGTATTGGCTACACCGACCGAATACAAGAACAATGGTCTAGAGAATTTGATCCTACGCGTCTTCACAAAAATGAGATTTCTGGAGGTCCAATGACCAAAAGCTACGAGAATTTAGGTTTTCTTTTTTAAATTTATAGGCTGAAAGTAGTTGGTGAACCAATGAGACTAGGCTTGGTCCCTGGCCCAGATTGTTCGACTCACCGACCCAATGGACAACAAGGACCTCGCCCGACGATTTCTAGTTAAATTTTCCCGGTCCTTACAGCTTACAGTTTGGAGGACCCTTCGTCCCACGAAAAAGTTTTCCCAGGTTGGGGGATCAACTCTAATTGTAAATAGGACTGCTGCTTTACGGCATTTTGGCACAATCGGCTAAAGTGTATGTAGACGGGTGAGTTGGTCCATTTGTTAATTGATCGTTTTTTCTTACAATCCAACAATTTTTTTATTTTTTTTAAGTTCGCAACATTTTCCGTCCTGAGCAAGCTGAAGGTTATGGTGGTGGCTTTCCTCTCCCTCCTTCTTTTGCTCCACCCAATGGACAACAAGGATTATTAAATGCTAGTCAAAGAATTCTTGGTGTTGATAATCGGCCAAAAATTAGTGCTGCTGCTATGAGACGAGTAGAATCACAATTAGGGAGAGATGCTTTGGATGATTCGAGTTTGTTTTTTGTTTTTGATTAGGTTTTGGGGAACTTATTTGGAACGGGGATGAAAATCTAAATTTTCGAAAGGTGTATTAGAGCAGATTTTAGTATCCGATTATGGCGGCGGTTTGGTCAAGTTGGTAGTGGTCTAGTTTTGAGAGTAAAAGGGTTATGGGTTCGAATCTGTTTGGCGGTTAAAGAATTTTCTGCTTTAAACATCACCTTTAATTTACTATTTTAAGAAATTTTTGGCTTGAAAATTTTTTTAGAAAATTTTTTGGCTCGCTAAAGTTTCAAATTTACCATACAGATGATGATCAACTATGGAAATCGCCTTTAGACGAAATTTATGCAGAATTAGGCATTAGCAGCAGTGGGTTATTGGATAGCCGCCCTTCATTGTTTCCAGTTTATACGCCAAAGTCATCTACAGAATACTTCTCTACAGCAACAGCTAATCCAAGTTCAATTCCTTCTCATCGAAGTTCAGCGCTGGGAACTTACAGGGTTTATTTTATTGTTTTTAAATTTTAATTAGGGATGGTTTTTGACCTGTCGGGATTTGGGGGAATGGGGATGTCGGAGAATGGATTTTTAAGGGTCTGGACAAAAATTTTAATCCTAATTTTGGGTTCAAAATCTTTTTTAATAGTTGGGCGCTCCTTTTTTAAATAATTTGTGTTGGTTCCCGACCCATGGGAGGAAATTTTTTCGGGAAGAGTGGATGCTGGAGAATGGATTGTTAAGATTGGGGACAAAAATTATCCCGGAATCAGGGTCGTTGACCAATTTTAATTAAAAAAAATTTTTTTCTATAGTTGGGCGCCCCCTCCTCTCTTCGCCCAATTTCTACATGTTCATCTTCATCCACAACAGGCTGGGATTCTTTGGAAGGCGAAAAAAGAGGTTTTGGAAATTGGCGAAATACTGATAAACAAATGCTTTTTGATTGCTCTTCAACAAATTCCCAGTCTCCTTTTGCTTCACATTTATATGGGGGTGGTTCTGTTAGACGTCAAGACTCGAGAATTGTTGGCTCCAATTTTGTGCAATTAACGCAGAGGCCAAAAGACCGATTTTTGGAAAAGGTTTGTTGAAATTTTTATAGTTTTCTTGGGGGTTTATTGAATATTGGTTTCGAGACTTTGATTTTCTTGGATCCCCAAAGTTGGGTTAATTTAGACTGCTTTTTTGATAGGCTTCTTTGACTTTGATCCACAATTGTGTTTCAGTTTAGGCTTTTCGATCATGACTGGGAGCCATTTATGTAAAATATTTTTCTTTTTTATACCTCAAAATTCTAAGAATCGCAAAAAAAATTTTTATCTGAAGCCTTTACTTTTTTATTCTTTTTGTCTGACAATTTTTGAGTCAGTATCTGGGCCGCACAAAAATTTTTTTGTCAAAGGCAGGACATTAATCATTTAGAAAAAAATTTTTTTCATTTTCATTTATTTATTCAATTTTTTCTTACAGATTGACAAAACATTGGCTGATGTTCGTTCTGAGCCGCGGTACTATCGTTCATGAGAAAGAAGGAATGTGTGAAGAGATGATGTAATGTGGACAACAATAAATGCAACAACGGTAATTTTTTTAAATATTTTTAAAAAAGGAAAGGATCATTTGTGAGAGAGAGAGATTATCTTGACAAAAAAGATAAAAATAAATTTCCAAATTTTTTTTAAAAATTTTAAGAAAATTGAAAAATATTTTTCAGCATAAAAATGCAAATAAAAAAATTTTTTACATTGGGGGATATTCTGTTAATTGTAATTGGGGTTGTGAGTCTTGACCGAACCGAGGAACCGCTGATTTTTCGGTTATTTTTGGATATTTTTTATTATTCTTCGGTTTTGTTTTGGATATCCGAAGATTTCCAGGAACTAACAACCCTAATTGTAAGCAAGAGTGTTTTTAAGGTCAAGTTAGAAATACTGTGACGATTTTTTGGGTTAGTAATTGCGCACAAAATTGTGATTTTCATTTTAAAATTTTTTTTTAGTTTTTTTTTCTTCGTTTGGGGGGAGGGGGGCATAATTTAAAAATTATAGAGTCTTTCTTTTTTAATTTAATAATCTCTTGGCCGGGAAATTTTGAGAAAATTTTTTGGAATTAGATTTTATTTAAGTAGTTTAATATAAAAAATTAATTTTTAAAATACAAAAAAATTATTTATTTATTAGGATAATTTTTATACAATTTTTAAAAATATTCTTTTGAATTCTAACCCTTTAAATTTTTTTTCTTTCTCTCCTTTTTCCCTCAAAATTATTGTTGTTAGTTAAATAGTTAAAGCAAGATATGATTTGATATGTTTTTGTCTTCAAGTTCTGTAAGGATGACAACGCAAAAATAAAAGATTTTCAACTGTTGGACGACATAAAAATAGAGGGCCTGCTATAAAAAAATTTTTTTTTTAATTTTAGAGTTTTTGTGGAGGTTTGAAATTAGAGGGTTTTTTGTCTATTTTCGAAATGGCTGTTTTTTGTCAATTTTTATGTTTTTGGGTGTTTGTCATCAATCGAGTCTGAATCTTTGACTAATTCTTAATTCTTCTAGGTCAGGGAATTTTGAGTTTTTTTTTGGAATTTCCTTACTACTTCTACAAGATCTCCTTAATGTTTTGATTACCCCTTTGATTCTCAATTTATTTGGATTTTATTCTTTGGTTCCCGGTGTCTTTTGGATCCCATTGTCTTCTGGATCCCATTGTTTTGTCAACCTTACAGGGAGTAGAGGGGGCACTACCAAAAAAATTTTTTTATTCTTCTTCCTTACTCTGTTGTGTATCATAACTCGAAGGAGCAGTAACAATTGCCCGTCCACCACTTCTTTTTCCATAACGGGATAATACAGCAGCACGTCCATACCGACTTAAAAGTGCAGGTTGTTTTTGTTGTTGAGAATCATCCCCATTACTTCTTACTAGCCGAAAAAATGAATTTGAAGAGGGAATGTTGTTGTTATTGGAGGAAATGAATGCAGTAACTTGATTATTGTTGATATTAAATGATTGAATTAATAAAATTAGGGAGAGAATAAAAAATAAATTTAGGGGGGAATATTTAAATGAGGGTGATTTTCTAAAGGATGTTGTTGATGTTGAAGAAGAAGATGAAATTTTTTTGAACTGCTCCATTTTGTTGGGGGAGAATATTTTTTGTGTGATTTTTTAAGAAAAAAGAACTGAAAAAGTGAGAATAATGAGGGAGTTTAGAATGTTTGGAGTTGTGTGAATTAAGTTGAGCTTACACCTGCTATATAAGATCGTGAATTTCTATAGGTTCGAGAGATTTAGATTTTGCGAGTTTTAGACTTTATAGTTTCTGATTTTCAAAAAATTTCGGGTTTTCTAAAATTTTCTCCTCAATTTTCCATGATTTTTTTGATACAGCTCTGGTTAGAAAGGAAGAAAAATTTGGAAAATTTTAATACTGTAAATCTTCTAATAGAACCCCACATTTTCGAACAGAAGACACTGCCTCAGAAGGCATACTATGTGTAAAGCAACCCTATGAGGGGATAAAAATGAGAGGTTCTTTTAGAAGATTTACAGTATTATGGGTTACTAGGAAGATTAAAAAATTCTTTAGAATTTTTTGAGAAGTCTAAAGTTTGAAAATTATTAAAAATGTGGACAATTTAGTTTTGTGAAATTTGTGTTTATATAGATTTGAATAAGGGGGAGGGGAGGGACTAATCTCTAAAAATTATTAAAGAATGAACTCTTCCCTTATTTTTTTAATTTTATAAATTGTTTAAAGCCTCCCCCCCCCCCCCCCCCCCCCAAGTACATTATTTTAAAATACCAAAAGATTATTAGCAACACATTTTTTTCAAAAAAAATATTTTTTTAACGACCTAGGGGGGGGGGGGGGAAGAAGTCGTTTAAAAAAAATTTTTTTTGTCAAAGGGCAGTCAGTACAAAGGGATTAGAAAGGAGAGTTAGCTAATTTTAAAGTGTTTTTAGTTATGGAGATGAGTAAATGAATGAGGGGATGAGAGAGGGATATTTAAATGAATTAACTTTTCTGTTGTGTGTTCGTGCCAGCCGTCACCTTTTTATAGAGAGACCTTTTAAATTAAAAAAAATATTTGTGACAAATTACACACAAGTTTTTTGGGAAATGAACAAATTAATTTTTGGAATGGGTTATTCATCCTTACTTTTTTTAGAATAAATAACCCGGAACTTTGGATAATTTGAATTGAAAAAAAATTGAAAAAGTGTTTTGTCCTTTGTCCTAGCTTGGGGCTGTTTCCAAGCAGAAGATCCCATCCCCCCATGCAATGAATTTTTCCACGTCATGAACATTAGTTTAGTTGTTGTTCATTCATCTCGAAACATATAAGAAGGGGTGACGGGTGGCGTGAACGTACAAAGTCCAATTTTTAATTTTTTTGTGTTATCAACTAGGGCTAAAGTGGAAACTTTTGTCTTAAAAATACAGTTCTTGTTCTAGCTAAATAAATTAGATTTGGAGAGGTATGAAGTGAATATTTATATTCTAGTTTAGCATATAAAATTAAGGAGGAAATGAATAAAGTGAAGGAAAGAAGGTATTAGTTTTGTTTGGCACATTTATGTAAAGTAGGCCAAAGAGGGAGGGAGGGGAGAAGGGAGGGGAGGGATAAGCAAAAATTAAACACATTTCCTTATAAGCAAGGAGGATCCATCAAACAAACACAAAAAAACCAGCTGTCAGCAGTCAAAAAAATGTTTTTTTCTGTCCGTGTTAATAAGTATAAATATATAAACTAAATTCGAGGGGAAGGCCAAAATTGAGGGGAGGGAAGGAAGGGAAAGTGAGAGGGAAGGAAAACATTAATTTGGCAAGATTAAGGGGAGAAAAAAAAGTGATGATGGCATAACCTTAAAAAAAATAGTTTTTTTGTTTTCTATTTAAATATCTAAATAAGGAGATTTTTTTGAGAGAGATGAGTAGGGCCTTAAGGCATTTTTTGTGTGCGCTTGATTTAATTTAATAAATAATGAAGAGAGGGATTTTGTGGGGGGTATTTGTTAATTTATACACTATTTTTACTTGCGTGTAGTTTTTGGTTCAAAGAAATATTTTTATGTAAATGGCAATTTTTTGAAGAAAAATTTTTTTTTTGAAAATTTGTAGAAAATTTTCTGCAAGAAATTAAATTAAAAGGAGAAAATTTAAAAAAAATACAAAATTTGTGCACAATTATTTAGCAATTATAATTAAAAATGTAATAATTACGTGTAAGTATTGGTTAAGTATTAGAGTCTGTTTATTGGAGGAAATTATTATTTTTGGACAAAAAAATTTTTTTGACGTGTTAGTTTTGATTTTTTTGGAAATTTTAATAGAGAGAAGCTAGGGAAGACGAAAAAGAAATTTTTTGTTTATTTTTAAAACAACTTTTTGGGCTTAAAAAGTTAAAAAAAAATATAAATTTTAAACAGAAAAGGGGGGAGGGGAATTGTTTTTACTAGTATAGTCTTACGTAAATTTAGTGTAAAAAATTTTTTTTTGTTTTTTTTTAAATTTTAAATAACAAAACAATTAAATAATTAATTAAGTGTTCCAAAAATAAATTTAATTTTTTTTTACTAAAAATAATTTTATAAATTTATTTTTTTAAATAAAAAATAATAACAATAATTAAAACAATTAAAAATTAAATATATTTTTCATTTATTTAATTTTAATTGTGTTAATATACCCAATTAATTCTTTAACATTTTTTAAAGCAATTTCACAACATTTTTCGATCTGAAAAAAAATTTTTTTTGAAGGAAAAAATTTTTGAAAATTTAAAAAATTTGAGTTACCGATTTTTGATTTGCATTCAAATTTCCACTTTGACTAATTAAACAAATTTCGTCACGATGATTAGCCCCAATAATTAAAAATCCGTCTACTAAAAGAGATTCTTCCATTGTTGGGTCTATTATTGGGTCCTCACTTAAAAATAAAAAAATAATCTTTAACTTTTTATTTGGTAACATTTTATTCCAAATTTCCAAAACTTGGTTAAATTGGAATAATTAAGAGCTAGAGAATGAGTGTGAGAACACTAATTCGTAAGAGTGTGAGAACATATCTGGGATAAATGGGAGAGTGGATAAGAAGGGGATTTGTAATACGAGAGAATGGTTGGGATAAGTAGATGTTAATAGATTTTTGACTTGAGTTTGTATGGTATAAATGGGAGGTTGAATAAACAGGAGGTGTATAAGACAGATTTTTGGCATGTTGAGCATTTTTGCTTCTTGCTATTTTGATTTTTCTATTTTTTAAAGTTTTTCTAATTTTTAAAGTTTCTTAAAATTTAAAAAGAAAAACTTACATTCCATTAATAAATCCAAATGTAGTAGTTACCGGCTTGTAATAAACAGTTAAAGGAATTGGTGGTTTATCATTTGAATGCTTTTTAAAAATTAATTTAAAATTAATTTTTATTAAAAAATTTACCACAATAAGCTTTTTAGTTATAGAATTATAACTAACATCACTTCTTTTAAAATGTGTTATGGCACAAGAAACAGCCAAAACAGATGCATCCCATAAACCTCCATCATAATCAAGAATTTTTATTTCACATTTGATGTCAAATACATATCTAGGTAAATTATAGGTAAGAAATGGTAGAAAATGGGGGGGTTTCGGACAAAAAATTTTTTGCGGACAGAAAAATTTTTTGCGGACAAAAAAAGGGGGGTTTGCGGACAGAAAAAAATTTTTGCGGACAAAAAATTTTTTTAGCGTCCGAAAACATTTTTTTGCGGACAGAAATTTACGGATAACATTCACCATAAAATCTTGTATATATTTTAACAATTTGATGAACAAATGACCCCAAAAAATTTCTAAAATATTCTCAAGAAATGGTATTAAGATTTGCTTTTGTCCGCAAATGTCAGTCCGCAAATATCTGCCAGCTTGTTTTCTATAGAAAAAATACGTGTCTAGAAAAATTTGAACTTTCTAGACAAATAGGAAGTAACGTCATCATATTAAAAAAATTTAATTCCTCAAAAAATAAATTGACCAGGAAGTAATAAAAAAAGTTTATTATTGGAATAACGTACTTCATCAAAATGTCAAATTTAATTAATAAACAAAAAAAAATCCATCAAATTTTGTATGACATTTATAAAAGTATTTTATGTTTTCTACGTTTAATAGAAACTTTTCTGAAAAAATTTTTTTTAATTCCCGTCTTCCTAGAAAATATATAATGTTCCTTTTTTGGAGGGGATCTTTTAATTTAATTTAAATTTGACAGTTCTTTTTTTAGAATTTTTTTGAAATTAATTTCTAAAAATTAGTGTCAGCCCGCAAAAAAATTTTTTTCTGTCTGCAAATTCTGTCGCAAAAGAAAAATAAATTTTTCAGTCCGAAAATTAAATTTTTTTCGTCCGCAAATTCTATCCGCAAAAAAATTAAAATTTTCAGTCCGCAAAAAAATAAAATTTTTAAAATTAAATGAAACCTTACTTATTCGATTCAATACATAAAGTATCAAAATCTAAGCAATAAGTATCTCTAAATAAAGATTCCAAAATAACCAAACATTGCTCTATTTCGTTATCAAAAGAATTTGTTTCAACAGCTGAGGGATGCGCCATTGGAAGAAAATCAACGGAAAAAGCAATAGAGCCAGCACCTGGTTTTGTACTTTTTCTGGGTGCTGAAATTTCTGCATCTAATGTGCACATTAATCTTTGAAAAGAAAATTTTTTTTAATTTTAAAATTTTAATTGGTAGGGAGATATTGTAGTGTCCTATAAGGAGGGTAAGCTAGAATTTGTGGAGAGTATTGGAGAGTTATTTTAGCCGTGAAATTAAATACGTTGGTGGTCTGGTCGGTAGCGCTCTTGCTCGCCTAAACTTGTAGGTGCGAGTTCGACCCATCTTTGGAGTCAGTCTATTTTTTGGCTTGCTTCTTATTGTTAATTGACAAAATATAAAATTTTTTCATTTGGCAAAATTAAAAATTTTTTTTCTAAGAGCTAGGTGTCTGAAAACCTGAAAACCCTATAAAACCCCCCATAAAAATCAAAAACCTTGTTTTCCCCAATCGAATGTGTGTTAATCTACAAGTTGGATCATAACTAACGTCAAAAGAACGAAAATCAGTCCATTCTCTGCCGTCAACACGCTTGAAAAAAATAAATTTAAAAATTCAAAAATAACTTAAAAAACCTTTTTAGATTGAAAAAGATCTAATAAAAATGCGAGGTGTGTATTATTTTTGGGTAATCTTCCCCTCATTTTTTTAATATTTTTAAAGGGTATTTAAAATTCTAGAAATAAATAAATTTTAAAAAATTTTAAAAATATTTAAATAAAAAAAAATTTTATTTTAAAAACAAACAAATTTTAACATTTCTTTTTTATTTTTAAGTAAAAACCAAAAAATTTAAATGGAGGCGAATTTAATTTAAAAAATATATTTGGTTATATTTTTTGGTTAAATAAATCTAGAAAATTTCTTTACGGTTTCCAAAATTTTTAAAAATAATTTTAAGGGTATTTCCAAAACAGAAAAAATCATTTTTAAAAATATTTATAGGACCTGATTGAAGGTAGGTAGGAAGAGACTGATTGTGAACGAGTAAGGGCCCAGAAAAATCCAGAAAATCCAAAAAAACCAAAAGTTGGTCCAGAAAAATACAACCAAATAAAAAATAAAAAACCAAGTCAAATCAAAACAACAAAAAAATCCAAACTGAAAAATCATTTAGCAGAAGTGGTAGCTTGTATCTTCTTTTGTAAAGCCATCAAAACCATTTGTCTAAGTTGTTGTTTTTCTGGAATAACACTCTTATTTATTGTGTTTATTTGGCCGTCCAAAAATGCATATTTTCTTTAAAAATAATTTAAAAAAAATTTTTTTTAGAAGAAAAAACCTTTTAAAATAATCCAAAGCCTGTTTTCGATTCATTCTAGCAAAATAACCAGCACCAATTTCAACCAAATATTTGTCTGGATCAATAACTTTAGCTTCAATATAAACCTGAAAAAAGTTTTTTTATTTATTCGTAGAAAGTATCAGAGAGATTGAAAGTTGAATAAATGTCTGGGCCTTGATTAATGGTTTAATGATCTGAACCAAATCCTGTGCCTGGAGTCCAAGAAAACTCAGACCGAGGAAACTTGGTGAAAGTCCAAGGGCCTCGGTTCGACCAGGAAAATCCAAACTCCAAAGAAAAATTCAGGAAGCTCGAAAGATGTTTTTGGGAGTTAGAGAGGGATTAACGCATCAATCTGGACTTTAGTTAAGGAAAAACCCCAGGCCCTGACCTAGACCAACTCTATCCCCTATAAACTAATGGTCGGCTCTCAGGTCGGCTCTCAGTGGGACGCCTATGCTGAAAGCTTAAAGCAAAACAAAATAATTTAGAAAAAGAACTAACCGATTCTGATAGCGGAATCAACGCTTTTTTATTCTTTTCCTCAGGATTTATAGAATCCAAAGTCACTTGACATCTTCCAAAACGATTAGAAACACTTCTCAATTCATTTAAAGATTCATTAAAAAAAGATAATTCGGCACTAAGTTGTTGTTGTAAACCAGAAAGTTCTTCAATTGTTAATGAATTTATGTCGACTACAGTTGGCTGTTGAGTTGAGGAAGATGTTGAAGATTTTGAGGAACTCATTTGTTTTACTTAAAAAATAGAAAAAAAATAAAGGATTTAGAATTAAACAAGGATTTGAGATACCCAAAAAAGATGGGAGGTTTTTAAAAAAATAATGGGTGGGATAAACTGTCATTTAATTGGGACCAATTGTCATTTTAAAAAAAAATGAGAGAGTAACGATAAAAAAATGGGTTAGAGATAAAAAGAAAAGTTTAGAGATTTCTCCATGTCCGCCTTGAAAGTTTCGTAAGCCCATATTGCACATACCATATTTTGCCAATAAGGCTAAAAACTTACGTTTTACCACCAGGCCTTATTGACAAAATGCGAGTTTTTCCCCTTATTGGCAAAATGTGGTATTGGTCAAATATGTGGGGGCCAAAAGTTTTTTTGTTTTTTTTTTGTTCCAGAAAAGTTTGATTTCCGTTTATTTTTTTTCCTTTTTGTTTTAAATCCTCAAGCTAACAATAAGTCGTTCTTTTGCCCCCAATCTGTTTAAAAACTTCAATAATCCCTTAGCTTTTTTCAGATTTCAATTGTTAAACTTCCCCCTATTTTATTGCGAGCTTTGTATAAACCTTTTTAAACCATTCAAATTATGCAAAATAAAACTCGTGTTAGACCAACAAATTCGGGTAAAATTTTGGTTTATTAAATACTTGAAACATTATTTTTAGCTTCTTCTTTAACTGCCGGTGCTGTGAGTGAAGAACAATTTCGTCAAGCATTTGAGGCTGTTTTGGACTTAAGGGTAAGGATTTTTGGTGAACATTTTTGCTTGAAATCAATAATCAACTAAGAAGATGGGGTCATTTTCGTCCTAATGGTTCGTACTAGAGATCGGCATGGCTGGAATCCATACGGTATTTTACGAGAACCCTTCCAGGAATCTCGGGTTTTAAGTGACAGACCGGCTTTCCCGTTTGATTTTTCAAAGCTCAACTCAGTTACGGGATCCCGGGAATGTGATTTCGCCCATTTCTGGTCTGTACCCAGCCTTTTCGAGTCTTCTCGGGTTTGAACACTTTTTCGTGTCTTCACAATATCTTCTAATAGCCCACAATTTTAGGTTACTTCCCTCAAAGATTTGATTGCTGAATGTCAAAAACAAGCGGTAATTTTGGAAAATACAAACAATGATTGGACAAAACGAATTAAAGCGGTTATCTTTTTCTCAACATTTTCTTTTTAAATAAATTATTTTTCAAGCTTCAATCATTACGAGGATTGATTAAACACGATATTGGATGTTATGCTCCTTTTGCCGAACAAGCGTATGGATTGCTGGGAACTGCTTTGGAAGTGTCTGTTAAGGATTTGCGTTCTCAAGTTTGTCGTGAAACTTGCATGACGATTGCGTTTGTTTTTTTTTTATTTTTTTGTAAAATAGGTTTACTTAGAGAACTGGTTTTTTTGTTCTGGTTAGGGATAAGTTTTTTCAGCATTAGAGTCGATCTTGATTTCTGTTTAGGAATTAGATTATTGAAATAAATCAAAATTTTGGACAGTTTTTTGTCTTATTTTCGGACTGGGTTTTATTAACAGTATTGTTACTTTGTGTGTTTACAATTAACCCCTTAATTTTAATGAAGATCGGATAGAGAAGGACTGGATAGCAAGGATGTGACGAGTTACCCGAGACCCGGACTTTTTTCGACCCGAAACACGATCCGAAGAAATTTTGAAAACCCGACCCGTCTTTTGCAACCCTTCCCATCCCTGGTATTTAGTTATGAAAGTTTTCGTGTGAGTGGGTATCATTTCTGTCTGCCTAAGAAGGAGTCTAATTCTTGAGAACTAGTAACTGAACATTAAATCATTTACTCCTCGCGTTCTCCCAAAAAAATTTTTTGAAGTTTCTTCTGTGAAAAGTTGGGAACATCATTTTGGCGTGTGGCTGAAGCTATTATTCCAATAACTTTAAATTTAACACAAAATTCGGCTAAAGTAATGGCTAGTTCTGGACGAAATTGCAATATTTTTATTACAAAGGTTTTTTTAATTTTTAAATATTTTTTTAAATTTAAATATTTAGAATATTCATCATTCAAAAATACTCACGCTTATTGTTCAACATATTTCACACAAGGCGAAGGAGATTAGAAGGTCTTAATTTCGATTAATTTTATAGCAATTAGAAATTAAAAAATTGATGGGCATGTTTCTGGCCTAGTGGTAGGATTCTGGACTTTGCGTGTACTCCTTCTTGGTTCGAATCCCACAGAGTTATTTTTATTTCTCCTTGTTCTATACTATAATTTTATTTGTCTTCTGGTTTGTGTTACCCACAATTTTTTGGCAAAAAATTTTTTTAGTGAGATTTATTAGCCTTATATAATTTTCAGGATTAAAAATTGTTAATTCCTTCCTTTTTGCTGTTTTCTAATTTATTTTTTAAATTTTTAGAATGTCAATTGAATTAATTTGTATTATTGTAAATCAATGGGATCCAACTCTTGTTGAAAAACATTCTGGTGAATTGACACATTCCATAAAATTGGCTTTGAGTGATGCTGATTCTGAAGCTAGAGTAATTGCTCGTCAGGCATTTGAAGGGTTACAAAGCAATTATCCAACAAAGGCAGAAATACTTTTTCAGGTTTATAAAAATTTTTATTTTTGACCTAAAAAGATTTAGGAGATTTTTAAGCCCCAAAAATTCGTTAAAAAATTTTATTTTTTAATTTTAAGGAGCTTGAACCAGCCAAGCAGCGAATGCTTATTGAACGTTCTAGTACAGCTTCTTCAACTCATTCTATAAATTCTGAACGTGACAATCTTCCAAATCCGAATAGAGGACTTTATAATGCACAAAATTCTGGTTTATTTTTTTAATTTTCAATGAAATAATTTAAATATATTTTTTAGCCTTTTTGAATAAACGTTCAGCCAGTGATTTGAATCATACCAGCGCTCGCCGAAATTTGGTTCCTCCGAGAATTGTTCGTCGGCCAAATCCTCCAATGGCTTCGAGTAGTGCAACAAGTGTTAAACCACCAATAACACGTTTGTTTTTTATTTTCTGGTTTTTTTCAAAACTTAATAAGGTGTTGGGAGGGGATTTTTAAGTCTGTCAGTCTCCTCTTTGGAGACGTGGTTGACCTTTGTCAAAGCCTGGATTTCTCTTAAGAGTCCAGGCATTCGGCTTTCTGGACTAAACCCTTGGCCTCGATTGTTTCCTGGCCATGAGTTCTATAAAAGTCTAACAAACATTTTTCGGTTTCCTGGACTAACAGACGACCTTGATGTTTTCCGACTACAACTCATAAACCCTCTTAAATAAATTATATCATTACTTCTTTTTATTTTTTTTAGATCCTTCTCCATTAGTTAAAAAACCATCTCCAATGACTCCAACTTCTCACCATAAAAATGGCCCAGCATCACATACTCCAATACCTTTAAATATTCATAAAAATGGAACAACACCACCACCATTAACCGCTGCATCAATGGCTGCACAAACAAATACAATTAAAATTCAAAAAATAATTAATGTTTTGTCTGATAAACATGAGTAAGTTTGGAAAAAATATTTTTTTTAATTTTTAAAATTTTGTCATATGTCCCGGAAATTGATTCAGACAGCCGCTATGTCATCTGAAATAACCCATCGAGCTGATTTTGTAATTTAATTTTTACCTCCCCCCTATGGTTTTTCGATTTCCAGTGGATGTATCTCGGCTCATGGAAGAGACCGAAGCTTAATTTTGGTGTCATTTGACTCAGTTTGACGACCTCTTTCAAATGACTTATTGTTTATCTGAATCGGTTTTCGGGACACATCACGGAATTTTTTGAAATTTTTCTAAAAATGATTTTTTATTTTTCACAGAAATATTGATAATGTTGAGAATTCTCTTCGTTCTCTTACTCAATTAATCAAAAATGGTGAAATTGCAAATTGGGATGAAGTTTTTAATGATATTTTTTATATTATTCAACAAACTATTTTGCATCCTTTAAATAATGCTGGAACAATAAAAGCTGGGGCATTAAAGGCTATGAAGGAACTTTGGTAAAGTTTGTATTTATTAATCTTAGATGACTACTTAGGTACTCGTGTGGTGTGATGGTTAGGGTGTTAGACTTTTGGGAGAAGGGGTTGTGGGTTCGACACCGTTCGAGTTCGATTTTTTTTCGGAGTGAAGAATTTTTATTTTTAATTAAATAAAAGTTGAAAATTTGAGTTTTAAAAATTTTTCAAAATATTTTTTTAAATTTTTTTTCTTTCTTTAGCTTGTCCCAGCCAAAACGACTTTTAACAAAGACAGAACTTCTTTTATTAAATACTTTGGATGCACACGAAAATGATGATGCACAAGTTGTAAAAGCAGGTTTTTTTTAATTTTTTAAAGGTAGAAAATTAAATTTATTTTTTAAAGCTGAAGAATGTGGTGCAGCAATTGCCACAAAATTGCCGTCCAAAACTTGTGTTAATTTATTAACAGCAGTTATTGATGATAAAAATAGTAAATATCATCAACTGTCTGGAGCAATAAAAATGATGAGCAATTTAATTAGTAAACTTCCACCTGATGAGGTTTTTCTTAAATAAATTTTAATTTTTTGATTATTTTTAAAATTTTATTTTGTGTTTTTAGGTTGAAGTAATGATGCCAGATAATGTACAACGAATGGTTCGGGTAAATTCTTTTTTTTTAATTTTATTTGGGGAAAATATTTGGTGTTTCCTCATACTTTTATCTCTTAATTTACACAAAAAGCAGTAAAAATGATGATATGATTTTTGATTTATTTTTGTGTTTTTTTAAATTTGGACTAACATGGAAGTTTTTTTGTGTGAATTAAGAGCACTCCTTAAGAGTCTCTAAAAGTAAGGAATCTTCTCCCAAAATTTTACGTTTCCATGTTTCTGTAAGGGGAATAACAATAAGAGATCTTTGCTTAGGCTTATAATGCAAATAATCTCCTCCATCACAGAAATAAAAAAATGTTAGACAAAAATAAATAATACTTTTCAAGTGTTATGAAAATTCGCAATCAATGGTTCGTAGAGCGTCAATAATTTGTTTGGTTTCGATGAGTGCTTCGATTGGACTTGATAAATTAAAACCGCATTTAAATCCATCGACGGTTTATTTTTAGATTTTAATTTCTTTAAAACATATTTTTTTAAGTTAAAACTTGTTGAAGTCTACGCTGCGCGCCTGACAAAAAGAGAAAGTTATTGATGATTATATATTGATTGATATTATTTTAATTTAGCCAAATGACAAAAAAATATTTTCCCCTTTTCACTTTATATTGTTTTGTGCCGAATATGCCTGTAGTAAAACAGCGAATTTATTAATAGTTTTGATTTGGAAAATCAATATATCGATTAGTATTGATTTTATCGATTTTTTGAAAATTAAAAATATGTTACAATTTTAAAAAATCAATACATCGATTAGTATTGATTTTATCGATTTTTTGAAAATTAAAAATATTTTACAATTTTAAAAAATCAATATATCGATTAGTATTGATTTTATCGATTTTTTGAAAATTAAAAATATGTTACAATTTTAAAAAATCAATATATCGATTAGTATTGATTTTATCGATTTTTTGAAAATTAAAAATATTTTACAATTTTAAAAAATCAATATATCGATTAGCATTGATTTTATCGATTTTTTGAAAATTAAAAATATTTTAAAAATCAATATATCGATTAGTATTGATTTTATCGATTAGTATCGATTTTTTGAAAATTAAAAATATTTTAAAATTTAAAAAAATCAATATATCGATTAGTATTGATTTTATCGATTAGTATCGATTTTTTGAAATTTAAAAATGCTTTATACGACATAACGCCTCACCGCTTGAAATACAACAAAACAACTCACCGTTAAAAAACGACAAAATGCCTATATTCTTAGGTGACAAAATAGATCACTATTCTAACACGACAAAATGCCTAACTGTTTAGATACGACAAAATACCTAACTGTTTAGATACGACAAAATGCCACATTGGTCAAAATAAACACAAAGGTCAATGTCCACCAAAAATTCTTTTTTTTCTCTGCCAATACTATTTTCAATTTCACTCTCTCTATTTATAGGGCATTTTTAAATTATACAGTCACAAATAATTAACTTTTCAATTCTTTTACTCATTTTCAATTAAAAACAGATATATAAAATTTAAAAAATTAAAGGAATTTTGATATTTGGCTAATTTAATTAATAAACACACAAAATTTGAGGTACTGGATCATTCCACTTTTAAAACTACAAAATTAAATTTCATAAAAAAATTGTCCCGCACCTTAAAAAGACAACAAAAAATGCACGAGAGAAAAATTACTTTAAAAAAAAAGTCAAAATTAATTAATTAAAATATTAATTATCTACAATTGTTGGGATTTTTATATATTTTTTTGTGTTTGTTGCTTGTTTCTATTGAATAGAAATTTTAATTTATAAAAAAAATTAAGAAATTTTTAGAGGTGTTTTTTGTAACGTGTATCTCTTGGTTAATTTGTAAAATTAAAAATTGAAGACCGGATATTTTTAAATATATTATTGTTGCAAGTGTTGTTGTTGTTGACGTTGTTGTTCCATAGCTAGTTCACTAAAATATAAAGAAAAATATTTAGATCAAAACACTACGGACATGTCTAACGCCTATTTAATCAATTACACTAAAATATAAATCTCACGCGCCAAACGCCAATTTTTCAAAGCACGAGAAAAATGGCGCACACCTCTGATGTAAATAAACTTTCCGTAAAAAACTTTTACAAAAGGTTTCCGGAAAAAGCGAATTGTAAAAAGTCTAATATTTAAAGTTTTCCGGAAATTGTTTCCGCAAAGTTTATTCTAATTAAAAGCTATCAGCCAAGTTTTAAAACTTTCCGGATAATTGTAAAACCTTTACAAACGTTTGAAAAAGTTTTACAAATGTTTATAAAAGTTCTACAATTATCCGGAAAGTTTTTACAAATAAAAATGTTTTTGGAATCGACGTATCAGTATTAATGCTATATTTTGGCCCATAACTTTATTGATTCCTAACCGATTTAAATAAATATTATATCAACCGAAAGCTCTTAATGTGGGGATTATTTTATTTAACAAGATTTACTTGATCAGGTCATCCTATAAAAAGTTAGAGCCCAATAACGATAGGAAATTGCGATTCTCCGAACTTAATAGTTAATAATTTCATAAGGAATGATCAGATCTCATCAGTCACATTAGCAAAAATAATCAGTAGAACTCAGAACTTTCGATTGATATAATAATTAGTTGAATCTCGGATAAAAATCAACTCAAAAAAAACATTTAAAAAATCAACTAAACTCACTCATTAAACATTCTAACACAAGCACCTCTACCAAAACGTGCATCCATTAATATTCGTTGAATATTCATTTTTGTAACAACTTTCTTTAAAAAAACAATAAAAATTTTAATTATTTTTTTATTATTTTTTACCTCATCTTCATTCAAATTTTTTAAATGTCTCACTGAAAAATAGGCAAAAAATTTTTCAAAAATTTTTTTAAAATTTTTTTCTTCAACTAACCAATCATTTCAATGAAATTTCCTTCCTCATTTTCAACAATTTCTTCTTGTTGTTGAAATAATTGTTGTTGTTGTTGTTGAGGTATAATTGTTGTGTTTGTAGTAGATGAACTTGCTTGTTGTTGTTGTTGACCAACTGTTATTGTTGATGAAGTTGAAGGTAATAATAAATTATTTTGTTGTTGTTGTAAAGATGTTGAACTATTTGAATTTGATGATCTAATTGAATGAACTGATGGAGCCTTTAAAAATTAAATTTTTTTTTAATTTTTAAAAAAAAATTCTATACCTGATGTGGTGACAGTAAATGATGTTGTTGTTGTTGTTGATTATTATGTATAGCTAAAGCTATTGAAGGAATTTGTTGTTGTTGCTGTTGTTGAATAAGTAAATGTTCTGGTTAAAGGAAAAAAAATCAAATAAAAAAATTTTATCAGAAAATATTTGTCCCATATTGAGGAATTCCCCCCCTTCTTCAACTTAAGTAAACGGGAAAAATGAAAATTCAAAAAATTCCAAAGGAAAAAATTTTATTTTGGAATCAACCAAAGAATGAAAATATTACAGGGAGGTTACATGGGCAATTCCACTTTAAAAACCAGAAGGCGGAAGAACCCTAGACTAAAAACTAAAATAGAAGATGTACAATGAAGAAAACGGAAGAAAATCCTCTCCATGTTAATTTAAGTAATGATTGCCAAGACTTGACCTATATATAGATTCTAAGAGAAGAAATTGGAGAGGTTGATCGGATAAAGGGAGGCCCCAAAAAATCAATATACAAAAATTTTATTAAGAATTTTCAAAAAAATTTTTTAATAAAAAAACCAGATTCTGCAATAATTTGTTGTTGTTGTTGCTCTTGTTTTGTTCTACTATTATTATTTCTTTGTAAAATTCTTTCATTATTTGTTGATTGTTGTTGTTGTAAAAGCATTAAACTATCCAAAGCTGAACGTTTTCTTCTATTCAAATAAGGAGAAGAAATAGCTGCTTCATTTGTCGCAGATGATGAAGATGATGGTTGTTGTTGTTGGTGAAAATAATCATTTTGAATATCTAAAAAGAATTTTAGAAAATTTTTATTTTAGATTGAGCATGGGAAGGTTAAAGAAAATTTCCAAACCCATTCCCATGATCTCCGTTAAAAAAATTTTTTGCTAGTCGGAGGGATTGGTCGGGTTGGATTAAGAATTGGTCCCATCCATGGAAAAGGCCAATCGAGACGACGCCACAGCAAAACACGTTCACCATCCCCCTTAAGGCGAAGGATGTGATGGTCAGATCAGGGATAGGATGGGTTGAAAAAACCGGGTTGGGGTTCGGTTCGGATGATCCCCGGTCAGGTCAAGCATAACGACGGTCACGGCCAAAAAAGGGATCCTCATTTTCACTTGAGCCCAAATTTATTACACAAAAAGCAAAATATAAACCTTGAATGGAATGTTGTTGTTGAGGTAAAATACCAATTTGTTGATAACATTCAGCTGAAATTGGCCTTAAAGTTTCTGTCGGCATTTGTAATTGATGAGGACTAATATTGAGATGTTGTTGGTGTTGCTGTTCTTGTCCAATATTATTTACAAGCCCAATTACTGGAGGCATTCTAAGGCCCAATTCTTCTCTCAATTTGTACATTAATTGATTTGCCTTTTAAAAATTTATTTTATTTTAATTAAAATAAATCAAAAAATTGAAAAGCTGCAGTTTCGAGTTTAGAGGGTTACAAAATTTTATCGGCTTTGGAAACTCTTACACCTCCTATACAATTTCTTTTCGTCTGTGATCAATAAAAAGAAAAATTAAAAAAGGGAATTGACAAAACAATATATCCCTCCAACAGATCGACCACAGACGAAAAAGAAATTATAAGATTTTAGCAAAATCGATAAAAAATCGATAAAACAATCGACATCCATTATGGAAGAAAAGAATGGCTCGAGCCTATGATCACCCCATAAATGGCTGGATCATCCCATAAAATGCCTGGATCATCCCATAAAACCGATAAACTTCTTGCAAATTACCGAAAACCCCCCGTGAAAAAATTAAGGATTTCCTCAATTTTCTAACTAAAAAATTCTTATAAAAACCTTTCCAGTAGAGTAAAAAGCACTTCCTCCATTAATTTCAGATTTTATTTGATGCCTCAAATTAGGTAAGATAATTTGTTGTTGTTGTCCTCCCCCTCCAGAGATTGTACTTGTTTCACTGCTTGTAGAACTTGGTGACCCGTTTGTTGATTCATTTTTCTTGGTACCAATTGTTGATGTTGATGGACCATTTAATGAGGATTTACAAATTCCAATATTCCCAAAACTTAAAATAAAAAATTTGTTTTTCAAAAAATAAAAAATAAACCCGTTATTAAGTGGCTCAAAATATTGTTGTTGTTGATGTTGTTGTCGGTCAGAAATACTTGTACCAGGCAAGTGCATAGAAACTATAATTGAAAAAAATATTCGAGTCAAAGATTTTCTATTTGCAAACTATCCCAGGATTGTAAATTAAAAAAACAAAGCACGTAGAAACTTTTGAAGAGTAAAGAAAAGATATGATGATCGGTCTGGAGCCTTCCCACGTCCTCCTTCAGAATATGAAATAGGAAATCGTTTTTCAAAAAAATACCGAGATATTTCGAGGGAAATGAAAATTTAATCGAATTGAAAACCCTCTAAAAAATTTTGTGCAGAGTTAAACTAATAAATAGAAATACGTCCATATCCACCCCTCTATAAATAAAAAACACAAACCATTGTTTGAAGAATTGGAAGATGAAGATTGATTATTAGATATATCAGGAAGGAATTCATCTATCCAATGCATCAAATGAAAATTTTTGACAGAAGAAACACCTCCAGTAAGGGGATCAAAAAAATCTTTTGCAGCTTTTCTTCGTCTTTCTCTAACATAACGCTCTCTGAGACGTTTCCATTGAGTTTGAAGAGAATGGGCATCTTCGTGGTAATTTAATTCTTTTACAAGTCTTTGCCAAACAGCAGCCTTTAAAAAATTTAATAATAGGGAAAATGATTTTTAAAAAGTAAAAAATTGATCAGACATAAATTTTAGAACAAAAATTGAAAAATGACCCGCAGTGGTGGTCGAACCATGCCCTATAAGAGCCTAAACCAAGGCGCTTCCGACTACACCAAAACCAACTATAATCATAAACATAAAATTTCAAGCTATATTTATTTAATATTATCCTATTGATTACAGATATGAACAATTCCACCCACAAACCCCAATAAAAATATTTTTTAAAAATTAAAAAAAATATATAAAAACCCTGTATTGCGCACTAGAATGTTTATTTCCATGATGTTCATCATTTGGATTATATAAACAAGGTTCTCTTCTAACAGCATTAACCAAACGATGCAAAAATTCATCATTACTTGAAGTAAATGAAGAGGAAGAAGCACCACCACCGCCATCACTTTCACGGAAAGGACTGGTAATACTTCCACCATTTATAGCAGCAGCTATAGCTATTTCAATTTGTTGTTGTTGACGGTCATAAGCGCTAATTTCTGAAAGAACAAAAAAGGTAATTGTGGGGTATCTCAAACCAGTTTTTGCGAATTATTTTTGCGGACAATAATCAAAAAGGTCTCATAATGGTCAGAGCATCCATACTGAGCATTTCTCTATTCAAGGAAGTGATATCTATTATACATCTTTTTTATATCCGATCAATAAAGATCGAGCAGGGTCTGGACAAAGGCCTGGGTTTTTCCTGTACCCAGAGTCCAAGCCCAGGCATTTTTTGACCTTCCTGGATTTTTCCTGGACTACAGGCCCAGGATCCTATCCAGGGCAATAAATCAAACCAAAGAGTCCCAGAACAGGCTTTTCAAAAGTCTCCATCTCTACTGACCATTATGAGCCCGCATATAAACATGTCCGCAAAAATCTGGTTTGGGATAACCTACAGAATTTGGCTTCGTTCCAAAAAAATTTTTTTAAGAGAAACCTTCTTCAGTAGAAACATTTTGACTTTCATTAGCACCATCATGATGATTACCATTATTGTTGTTAATCACAGGTTTTAGTTCAGGCAAGTGAAAATTTGAGGAGGATGAGGAGGGTGTTTGTTGTTGTTGTTGATGAATAGAGGATGATCCAACTCCATTTGTGGAGCGACTTGGAGAAGAATTAACGACCTCCAGTTTCAGTTTTGAATCTAAAAAATAAAAAATTTTGCGTGGCTTTATTTCAAGGAAAATCACCCAACCCAGAAAACATCCTTTAGAACAATATGAAAAAAAGGTTAGAGAAAAAGAGTAAAGAGGAAAATATAAGGCGATAATCAGATGATGATCAACACGCTGGCTGCGTGGCGATGAGTGCAAAGAAAAAAAAAATAAAATAAAAATTTAAAACAAGGGCAGAAAGAGGAATTAAAAAAAATATTAAACAAATAAAAAAAACTTGAAAAAGTTTTTGATTTTGAACACAAAATTTAAAAAATAAGAGCTGAGAAAAGAAGTGACTAAAGAAACAAAAAAATTTTTTATTCGATGGCCAACTTTTTTTCCCCTTCATTTTGTCGCCTCCAATATTTTTTTTGAGGTCTTAAGAAGGGCTGACGGCATTCTCTCTCTCCTGTTCATTGTTTCTTTCTTCTTCTTAACCCCTTTCACAAACACGCACAGAAAAAAACCGTGTCCAAGTGCTTAAGGAATTATTGGCCAAGTCACTCTCTAGCATCATTCTCGTCAAATATTTACTTTGGGATTATTAGAAAAATAGAGAGAAAGATGAGAAAAAAGAGAAACAGAATGAAGCGAGAGAAATGTTGAAGAAGAGAGAAAAAAGAAACAGAGAAAAATAAAGAAGAAAAGAAAAGGAAAATTCGATTGCTCTCCCATATTTTACCAATAACACGTTTTGCCAATAAGAATGAAACCTTCCGTTTTGTCACAAAGACTTTGGCAAAACGTGTATTTTAGGCTTATTGGCAAAACATGTTTTTGGTCAAATATGAAAACACAAAATTCAATCCCTTAAATTACATTTCACCAAATTTTTGTCGATTTTCACTTCGCCATAAAGGGAAAAATATTTATTTTTGTCGCACAGTGAAATATTACCCAAAAAACCATTTTTTAATGGGAAAACCGATAAAAGGACGTAGGAAAGCGTCAATCCTTCTCCCTCAACACATCCAAAAAATTTTTAGATTTTATCTAAGCATCTCAACTTTAACAAAAAAAATTTTCTTTCATAAAAAAATTTAAAAAAAATTTCCACCTTCGACCAAATTAAATATTTTCCTTTAATTGGCGAATTGTCATATATACACTAATTTTAAAAATACAACGGCATTTGTTGCTGAGAAAGAACAAAAAATTGTCAAGAAAAAAAAATTGCGAGTTGAGAGGAAAGGACAGATAAAAATGGCGTGGAAAGATTGGGGGGACTTAAATCGATATAAAATAAATAAAAGAAAAAAGGGTAAATATTAATGGGAATAAAAAAAAAGTATTTTTTTTATTGAAGGGGGATTTGAAGAGATTTTTAAGAGGGGAATAATAATAAAATTAATGTTTAAAATTTTTAAATTTGAAATGGAAAATGAAAATATTATAAAATCAATTTTTAAATTTTGCGGATATTTTTTGCGGATTTTTTGTGCACAAAAGTTGCGGACAAGAATTGCGGACAAAAAAAATTTTTGCGGATAAAAAATTCTTTGCGGAAAAAAAATTTTTGCGGACAAGAGTTGCGGACAAAAAAAATTTTGCGGACAAAAATTTTTTTGCGGATAAAAAAAATATTTGCGGACAAAAAAATTTTTGCGGATAAAAAATTTGGTATAATTTCGGAAAACGAACAGATCCGAAATAGGCCAAATTATATGTCATTCGAAAGAGCTCGTCGAGTTATGTCGAATGGCGAAAAAATTTTTGTGCGGACTCATAAAGGGGCTGAGATATAGGTCCGCGAAAATCGAAAAACCATAGGGGGGACCAAGCACTTTTTTGGGGTGAAAAATTCGAAAATGCAAATTATACCTCATTCGAAAGAGCTCATCGAGCTGAGTCGAATGACACCAAAATCAACGAAATCTGACTTGATTTGACAAAGTTATGATCGTTTGTTTTAGCTCCTTACCTATGGTCTATGTGGAGGTACTTCCTGCTACGGAGGAAGCCAGATAACCCATTACAGCGATAATTGGAATAGGATTAAGTTACGAGCCCAGAACCCATCGCCCGTAGACTCCCCGCGAGGCGCGTGCCGCAAAACCCCGCGCGAAGCGCGGGGTTTTGCACAAGCGCCTCGCCTACGCCCCATAGGTTTACGTTGACCATTTTGGGCCTCTATCTCGGCTCAGAATCAAGATTTCGAGTTGATTTTGGTGTCATTCAACTCAGCTCGACGAGCTCTTTCGAATAAGCTATTATTTGCATTTTCGAATTTTTCACCCCAAAAAAGTGCTTGGTCCCCCCTATGGTTTTTCGATTTTCGCGGACCTATATCTCAGCCCCTCTATGAGTCCGCACGAAAATTTTTTCACCATTCGACTCAACTCGACGAGCTCTTTCGAATGACATATGATTTGACCCATTTGCGCTCTGTTCGTTTTCCGAAATTTTTCCAAAAATTTTGCGGACAAAAAAATTTTTGCGGATAAAAAATTTTGCGGACAAAAAAATTTTTGCGGATAAAAAATTTTGCGGACAAAAAAATTTTTTGCGGACAAAAATTGCGGATTTTTTTAGATTAAAAATAATTCAAAAATTAAAAATACCTCCCCCCCCCCTCCCCTCTAAAAATAATTTCTTTTTTAATCCGTTCATTCCCGCTGTTTATTCTCATTATAAAAAAGCTAATTTTTATTTAATTTTCTCTCTTCATCTCTTTTTACAAAGCGGATAATAAAAAAAAGGAAAAGAAAAATATCCCCTCCCCCCCTCTCTCTCTTCAACAAAAACAACACCAAAAGCCGTGGAGATTTTTGGTATTTTTCATGAAAAAAAGAGGAATAGCAACAACAAAAAAATTTTTTCTTTTTTTTCTTCGCTCGATTGGTCGCGCAATTATTATATTATTTGTAGATATTTATTTTTTAAAGAGAGATGAGAGAATAAAAGTGGCAAAATAAAGAAAAGAATTTTTTTGTTCTTCAAAAAAAATTTTTATCTCGAAAAAAGATGAAAAGAGGAAAAAAATATTTTTAAAAATTCCAAAAGATCACACAAAAAATGTTTAAATCAAAAAAGGAGTTAAAAATTTACAAAAAAAATAGTGGTAATTAAAAAAAAATAAAAAATTTAATTTTGCGGACAAAAAATTTTTGCGGACAAAATTTGCGGACTTTTTTAAAAATTAAAAAAAATACTAAAAATTAAAAACTCAAAATCTAAAATCACAAAAAAAATCAGTTACATTTACAAAACTTATCTATGTAAGAGGATATAAGTCCATAAGTGAGGTATGCTCAAGCAAAAAACTGCAAGTTTTGCGGACAAAATTTGCGGACAAAAAAAAATAAAAAAATTAAAAAAGAAAAATAAATTGTCCGCCTCAAATACAGAAAAACAGTTTAAATAAATCATTCAAAAGATAGTGATCTTTAGGATAAATAAAAATCAAGAGAGAAAGACGAGCTATGAGAAGAAGAAAAATCGCCACAAGGTGACGACAATCTCCCCATCTATCCAATGGCTAATATATAAAAATATTTATTTTTATTTTTCTTTCTCCCCCAAAATTTATTCACGCATGTAGATACACCAAACAATAAATAAAACAATAAAATAAAACAACTGGTCAACAACAGAAAAATTAAAAAAAGTGAAAATATCTACATATATTTTAATTATTTTATTTTTAAAAATTTTTTAATGTCCGCAAATATTTTTTCTGTCCAAAAGAATTTTTTTTCTCTCGTGTTATTTTTAAATAAAATTTATAGTAAATGATTTAACTTATTTGTATATTCACACACAAAAACAAAAAATCCGTTTTGTGTGAAAACAAAAAAAAACAAAAATTTACACAAAAACAAAGAAGTCCGCAAAAATATTTGCGGACAACGGCCAAAAAAGGATATCTGGATACTCGTATTTAACCTCAGTCATTAGAATTCCAAAAATATCGAAAAAAATTCGAGAAATAATTTTTTAAAAATCCAACTAATGTAAAAAATAAATAAAAGTCCGCAAAAAACTTGCGGACAATAACCAAGAACAAAAAACACATTATCAAACCCCAAAAAATTTTTTTAAAGAAAACAGAAAAATGAATTTTCTTCTCATTTTCCCCATACTTCTCAATTTTCTTCTACTTCAATTTACAAATTTAATTAACTGCCAACACCAATCCTTTGCAAACACAAAATTTGAATTGCCCGAAACATTACCAGAAGAAGAACAAAATGTGGTTGAAATTGCAGCTAATCAAGATATTACACCAGAGACACAACCACCACCCACACAACCACCCCCTACACCACCCCCAACAGAGACAACAACAGAACTAACAACAACTCTTCCGACAACAACAACGACTCTACCAACAACAACACTCCTAACAACAATTAATAATACACAACAACAAAAAACACCATTACCAGTGCTTCCTAATCTTGTTGAGTTACCCAGATTTGTTGAGAGAGGAAATGTTCAGGTGAAAGGAATGGAAGAAAAAAATTTTTAAAAATAGTAAAAAATTTAAAAAATGCGGACAAAAATTGCGGACAAATTTTGCAGACAGATTCATAAAAAAGTAAGGCTCTTGTTTAGTTTATGCGTCCCATGAAAGTATATGCGTCCCATCAACAAAAAATTGAATATTTCTTGGTGTTGCAAAGTAGGGGTATGGTTCCAAAGCATTTCTTCATGTTCGGGATCTACGTCCACTGGGTCTGGGACCGTTCCTTGCCCTATACCTCGAAATTTCTGAAAGTTATAGCCAATTTTTAAAAATTTCAGAAAAACGATTTTAACTTTCAGAAATTTCGAGGTATAGGGTAAGAAATGGTCCCAGACCCAGTGGACGTAGATCCCGAACATGAAAAAATGCTTTGGAACCATACCCCTACTTTGCAACACCAAGAAATATCCAATTTTTTGTTGATGGGACGCATATACTTTCATGGGACGCATAAACTTGCGGACAACTTTTGCGGACAAAATTTAAAAAAAAATAAAAATTTTAAAAATGCGGACAAAATTTGCGGACAGTCTTAAAATAAAAAACACTTAAAAACTCAATAAAAAATTCATTCAAAAAATTCCTTTATATCCCTTTTATTTTATAGCCAATAACAGTCCCCCCATCACTTGTTGAAAATAATGGAAACACTCAAAAGTCCATTTCTTCATCGACTACTATACGACCCCAAAAATTAACTAAAGGAAGACAAAATAATTCTTCAAATAAATCAACTGCTTGGGGTGTATTAGATCAAAAATGGGAAAGTTGGTTTAGACAGGATTTTGATATTACAAGTACATAAGTTAGAAAAATAAAAATAAAAGTTCAAAATAGTGTACTAAAGAGAAAAAAATAGTACATAAAAGTAGAGAGAGAAAAATGAATAAAAATGATAGTCAGATATTTAAATTCTGATTTTTAATTCTGATATTTATTCTGATTTTATAATTCTGATCTTATAATTCTGATTTGTTAATTCTGATTTTTGGTTCTGATTTCTAAATTCTGATTTTTAAATTCTGAAATTTGACATTCTGATTTCTTAATTCTGATCTTCAATTCTGATTTTTTAATTCTGATTTTTAATTCTGATCTTATAATTCTGATTTTATAATTCTGATTTGAAATTCTGAATTTTTGTTCTGATATATTATTTCTGATTCTTGAATTCTGGTTCTAAATTCTGATTTTATAATTCTGATCTTATAATTCTGGCTTGTTAATTCTGATTTTTAAATTCAGAATTTCTAATTTTAAATATTTCAGAATTTAGAAATAATTAAATTTGTTCCCCTCACAGATTGTCCTAAAGGAGCAGAAACAATGGCTAAAAGCTTTCGTCTTAAATTTCCTCCAAATTTGCTTAAACATAAAAAAGAAAAGGTAATATAAAATTTTTTTTCTTTATTTTCTTTTCTTTTTAAAAAGATTTTAGCCGAGCTTTTAGCCATTAGATTAAGAGAATGTTTGAGAAAGCAACGTGGTAATTATTGGATGAGAATGGAAAAAAGATTGTTACAAAATGAAAAGGAAAATGGAGGAGAAGAAAATAATGAAAGGTAAAAAATAAATTTAATTAAATTATAATAATAATCTTTAAAAAATTAACCAATAAAAAATAAAATAAAAAAAAATTAATAAAATTAAATTTAAAAAAATCCGCAAAAATTGTCCGCAAAAAATAAAGTTGTCCGCAAATATTAAAAAAAATTTTTTTGATATTTTTTCGCCCCTTAATATTTTTCCGTATCTTTAAAATGTTTTAACGCTCTTCCATCTTTCCATTATAAAATAAAATTAAAAATCTTATCGAGAAAAATTTTTTTTAATTTGCGGACGATATTTGCGGACCAATTAAAAAATATTTTTTAAGTATTAAAAAAATTAAAAATCACACGGACTGGCTAAACTTGCTGTATAAAATTTTTAAAAATAATTTAGGTGTTTTTAAATTTTAAGAGGAATCAATGGAGAAGACAGAAATGAATGCCGAGAAGGTCTCGTTCAGGAACAGGTTTTTTCAACAGAAAAAAATCGAAAATTTTTCAAAAAAATTTTTGAAATTTTTTTGAAAAATTTTTCCGAAATTTTTGGAATTTTTCCAGAAATTTTTGAAATTCGTTTTTGAAATTTTTCACCAAAAAAAATTCTTTAAGAAATTTCAAAAAATTTTTACTTTTTTCAGATAGCCTGTATGAACGTTTATGCCTTCTCTTGCCAATTTATACAGCCAAGTTTTCCATTCCGTCTTGTACCTACCCGCATAATTGTTCAAGAAGCAAGGCTTGCAGAGGATGGAGCAGAAAAATGCAAAAAATTTGTTGGAATACAAACAGCTGTTCAAAGAAATTTAAAAAGAAGACAACAAGTAGCACAAAAAAGAAATTTAATTAGTAGTTGAGAAAGAAAATTAATCTGAAAAAAATTTAAATTATTTAATTTAAAAAAATTGTTGGACCTCACTTATTTCTACATCTCTTCCCTGGTGCTTAAAAATCCTCAGAAAATGAGGGGGTATAATAAAAGTGGTGGGAGTACAGCGCAGGAGGAGTATATGTAGTTTCCCCCAAACAGAGTGACCAATATTTATAATAAATTTGGATAAAAGTGAGGGTGTACCCCATTAACAGGCGTACTACTACAAATAAGTGAGGTCCGACGTATTTTCAGTTAAAAAAAAGATATTGAAAAAAAAAATAAATCAAATTTTTAGCATTAATTTTTAAATTGCATTTAAATGTCATTTTATCCAAAAATTAAAAAAAAAACAACTGGAAGAGAAAAAATATATAGAAAAATAATACATAGAAGAGGTAGGTCGCAATTCCGATTTCCGGCACCTTCGTCATTTCCGACCTACCTTCTGATACATAGAGGAGAATGAATAGACATTTTAAATTAATTAAACTTTAATTAAAATTAATAATTAAATTAAAATTAAGCATCACAAATAGCAACAAGAAAATATAAAATAATAAAAATAATATTTTTCTAAAATTAAAGTGAAATTAAATTTTAATTTGCCACAATTTTTTTATATAAATTTGTGAGCATTTCCTATTTTTCACAGATTTTCCCCCCTAAAAAAAAAATTTTTTTAAATTAAGTATTATTTAAATTAAAAATTTTTTTTTTCAAAATTTTATTTTCGTCTTTGGATTGATTGTTGTTGTTGTCTACAAGTATCAAAACGATTAAAATCCACATTGAAAACAACCTTTAAAAAATTTTTTATTAAAAATTTTTTGGGGAGTTTGATAGAATGTAAAATTTAGAAGCTTATATAATCCCTGGATATAGCGCAGATTAATTGGGATATTAATAAGCCATCCCGTGAGATTTAAGTTAAAACAAAGAGCAAAAAAAGAGAAATATTGTAAACGAGATTCTAGAAGATAATGTACTCTAGGGGATCCCGTTACAGAATAACTTTTAATAATTTTCAAAATTGACTCTGTAACTGGAACTCTGGAAATTATGCCGGACTCTGGAAATTATTTTACCGGATTAAAACCGGACCGGATTAATCCGGAAAAATCCGGCCGGATCCGGTCCGGCATGAGTGTGAAACTAAAAATCCGGTTTCCGGATCCGGAAAATGATTTTGCCACACACATAATACTAATCATTCACACATAATTTAATTTCGCTCCAAAATGAAATTGAAAAAAAATTTTTTTTTTATGTCGGAGGTGGGGGGGCATTAATGTTCAGTAAGCTCTTATATATTTTCCTTAAAAAATAAATTTTGCTTCCCAAAAAATTAGAAAAATTTTTTTTATTATCAAAACTTACAATAGCCCCACTGTCTAATCCACCAAAAACAAATTTTTGATTTGTTGAAATTGCAACAGATTTAATTGAACTATCAGTTTGTGCATAAGAATAAATTAATTCTAAAGGAAATAGGCGCAAAATTAAAATTTTTCCATTTTCTGTTCCAATAATAAAATATTCTCCATCTCTGGATAATACTGAAGATAAAATTTTTCCTTCATGTTGAATTTCTATTTGGCCAAAAAATTTTCCATTAACGCTGAATGTTGAAATTAATTTTTGTTGTAAACCATGGAATATCTTTAAATTTAAGGGAAAAAATTTTTTTTGGAAATCATGCTAAAAAATAAAAATAAATCTTCAAAAATTTTCAAAAAAATTTTTTAAAAAATTTTCAAAAAAATTTTTAAAAAATTTTTCAAAAAAAATTTTTTTTTTAATAAAAAAATTCAAACCGCAAGTTGGCAATCTCTATTTAACAAAATTTGATTAATTGTTGATAAATTTCCATTATTAAATTCAATATTCCGAAGAAAATCACCCATTGTTGTGTGTATTAATAATGTTCCGTCTATAAAAAAAAGGAAAAATTATTAATTTTTTTAATTTAAAGAATTAAAAATAAATTTTTGGGGGTACGCAAAAATCATAAGGGAACTGGCAAAATTAAAAAAACATTACTTGATGAAAAAATGAAGAGGGTTGGGGTTCAACGGAGTACCAGTCCTTCCGAAATGAAAGTTCGATCACTTAAAAAGTTGGCCCCCGTTCATAGAGGAAGAGAATTCCCTCCTAAACAAAGAAACTAAAACTATCCCTTTCAAAAAAAATTTTTTAATGAAACAAAAATAAACCTTTTGCTCCAGAAATAACAAGTCCATGTTCAGCAGATACAGTTATTGCTAAAATAAAATTAATTTAAAAAACTTCCCCTCTCAAAAAAAAATAAACCTGTAATAACAGCTTCATGCCCAGTCAATATAGCTCTCGGTACAGGCAATTCCCCTATAGAATTAAATTCTCCAGCTATAGTCCCAGTATTTTGACTAAAATGCCACAAAACAACTGTACAATCAGCACTACCAGAAGCTATATAACTATCAGCAAAAAGTGTAGTTTCTGAACGTGCTAAACATGTTACAACATCGCCATGTCCATAAATTACTTGTCTAACTTGTGCTGAAATTAATTTTTTAAATAAATTTTAATAGATTATTTGTTAGAAAATTAAATAAAAACATTCCTCTATTAAAATAAAAATTAATTTCATCAAAAGGATTCGAACCCTCAACTAATGCAAAGAGAAAACTAAGCGGTTAACCACTACACCATATTTTTAAAAAATTTTATCCCTCGCCTATTAGTAGTAGAAAACTAATAAGAGATAAACCAGCACACCTTAAGTAAGCTTAAAATAAATATTAAAAAATATTTTTTTTCATTAAGATAAAAATTAATTCAAGCAAACGGACTTGAAACCACGACCACAAACTAACACAAAACTAAGCGGTTAACCCACTACACCATGGCACAAATCACCTTAATAACTTTGATAATTTCGACTTATTTTTACCCCACAAAATCTAAATTAATTTTCAATATTTTTCGAATGGGAAAAATTTTTTAAACCTTAAAAAATAAAAAATGAAAAAAAAACAAACCATTTTCAGTTTCTATAATTCTAAAACTATAATCTGTATATCCACAAGCAATTATATATTTACTGTCTACTGAACAAACAAAATTGGCTGAGGTTATTTGTAATCTTTGATCAAAAGAATCGCCTTTATAATAAAAGAAAAAATTAAAAAAATGAATTTTAAAAATTTAAAAATCCGCAAAAAATTTTTTGTCCGCAAAAATTTTTGCGGACAAAAATTTGCGGATTTTTCTTAGAAAAATTTTTTAAAATCAAACCCAAATGTCTTTTAGGCAATTTTTGTGACGGATTTCCAACTGCAAGTAAAGGATCTACTGTTATTGGAAGTTCTGATGGTAAAATAGAAGTATCTAACTGTTGATTAACTGAGGAAGTTGATGATGAAGACGTAGCATTATTTTTATTATTTTCATTTTTTTCTGCATCAAAAGGAGGTACAACTGTAGATGAATGTTGTTTAGAAGGTTCTAAAAATTAAAAATATCTTAATAAAATCAAATAAAAAAATGATTTTCAGGGCAGATCCGCAAAATGTTTTTGCGGACAAATTTTTGCGGACTTTTCTTTTAATTAAAAAAATCGTTATTTTCGCAAGAGCCTAGTATCTGTATGTATCTTAAAAATATTTTGAAACAGAAAAATTCTAAAAAACCCCCGTCAAAATTTTAAAAAATCCGCAAAAAAATGTCCGCAAAAATTATCCGCAAAAAACCAACAAAATTACAAATTATAAAAAACAAACGATTATAATTTGGATTCCAACGATTTAAAGCGAACACCAAATTTTGAGCTATAGTTACTTAAAAAAATTTTTTATTAAAATTTAAATAAATAAAAAAACAAACTTAATGTTGGATTATCTACTTGTTGAAAAGTATTTGCAGTAATATGCACAACTGGACTATTTGAAATAAATTTCATAATCATACAAAGATCATTAGGGCAAGTTTTGAATATTAGAGGGCTCTGTAAAAATTATTTAAAAAATTTTTTAGACAATTTATTATCATCAAAGTTAATTAAAAATATTTTTTGATTAAAATAAAAATTATTTCCACCAACAGGATTCGAACCCACGACCTCCCACAAAGAAAATCTAAACCACTATCCAGTACACCATTGGCAAGTATCTCTGGTTAATATTTTTAACGACTCATATTTCATTTAAGAATTGATTATTTAATCGTTTTGGAATTAAACATGCAGGGGAAAATCAAAAAAAAAATCCAAAATTAAAAATTTCAAAAAAATTTTTTCTTTAAAACAAACCATAGTCATTATAGAATGTCTAGGAGGATGTGGTTCATTTAGCAATTGTGCCGGAGTTTGCCCAAAATTTAATATTTGTTGTTGTATACTTTCCCTCAAAGCAGCATTTTCTATTGAACGTAAATTAAATGCACCCTCATATGTTAAATAATAAAAAGTATTTAATGCACGAATCTAAAATTTAAAAAATAAAAATTATAAAAATCTAAAAAAACTAAACCGCTTCAGCTCCTCTTTGTTTATAACCAAAAATTAAATCAATCCATTGATTTAGTTGACAAGAAACTAAAATTTTTAAAAAAAAATTTTTTTGAATCCTCCATAAATTATAAAAAAAAGGAAAAATATTTTTTGCGGACTTTTTCTTCTTTTTTTTTTTTTTTAAAATAAAACAGTATTATTTTACATTATATTCATTCAAAAAAATTCAGAAAGTCCGCAAAAACTGTCCGCAAAAATTCTACAAAATTAGGTTCAGGCCTAGATTATGAGTCCAATAGACCTTTACGTGTCCAATTTGAGTGGAGAGATGTTTTTATTAGACTCATAAATATTCCGTGGACTCGTAATGGTTTATGGACTCATAAAGTTAAATTGGATTCATAAATTAAAAAAAATTGCGCAAAAATTACAAAAATTCGCAAAAAATCCAAAAAATCCGCAAAAATTTAAAAAAATTCAAAACTAACCCAAATCACTTTCCAAAGCCTTTCTATGTATTTTAACAAATTCTTCAGCTTTTCCATTAGCCCATTTAGGTAAAACAACATTCCCAATTTTATTTCCATCTTCTCTAATTCCCAAATTCTTCTCTTCTTCACAATTATTTTCATTCCACAAAAACATTTCTGTCAAATAAAATAATTCTGGAATCAATTCTTTTACATCATGTGTATCAGTTAAACAATGTTCCCAAGTTTCTTCAATTGAATGAAATAGGCGATTTGAATTGACATTTTCAAAAATTTTGCCATCATTTAATTGTAAATAAAATGTTGTAAAAGGCTCTAAACGAAATAGCCAATTTAGAACAAATGCTGCATTTGAATAGTGTGTTCCATAATGAAATGGTGGAATTTCTGGATCATCCCAATTATTAAAACGTTCTTTAAATAATTTTTTTCGTGTTTCGGATAATGCACCAATTGGCTAGAGAATATAAAAATTAATTTTAAAAAATAAAAATGGTGAAAAGAAAGACGTGGAGGCCTTTTTTGAAAACCTTTTCACCTTTTAGGATTACATAATAGTCAAAAAAAAACTTGAGGAATGCTGTCAGAACAACCGAAAAAAAGTTAACAAAACAGGGATAGGATCTTCAGTATCCAAAAAAAGTGGAAGACCGAAGGTGAAAGCAGAAGGATCAAAAAGGAAATATGGATAGACGGAAGGCGAAAGAGAGCCCCTATCCCTGAAACAAAAATAATTTTCATTAATCCATTAACAAATAAATGTAATCCCAAAAGAAAAATATGGAAGGGAAGAAGGGGCAGAATTTCACAAAAAAAAAGTATTCATCAAAAAAATCCCGAAAAAAATTCCAAAAATAAAAAAAATAAAACAAACCTTTGACAAATCTCTAAAATTAGCTGCATCATTTAGATCAATATTTTCTAAAATAATAAATTAAAAAAAAATCAAATTAAAAAAATAAACCAGAAGAATAATTGCTCAAAATCCAAGGAAAGACTGGATATTGATTTAAATCATTATAAGTACGGCCAGCTATTGTGTTTAAAAACATGAGATAATCAAAATTAGATATTTCTCTTTGTTGCCATTTCTAAGAAAAAATATTTTTTTTGAAAAAAAAATTTTTTTTTAATAAGAAGACAAGGGCATCTCCAGGTGACTAGGGCCACCGAAATACCAACCCTGGTTACGCCCTATGAGTTTTGACTTAAAGAATTAAGCCAGACCGAACTCCTTATACAACAATAGGTCGTCTTTTAAGATAGCTGGTTAAGCTTCCCCTTAGGCCGGAGAAGCTTTGTCCACAAATTTTTAAACACAAGTTTTAATCTATAAACGAGATCCAAATTTATTCACAAAAAATACTGAGGTAGTGATAGGGCCGGACTGGAAAAACCGGGTCGAGTTTCAGTTTCAGGTACTTTTTTCAGACCAGGACAAGGCCAAAAAAAGTTAAAGTTTCGGGTAATCCGAGCCATCCCTGCTGACAAGTTACGCAAAACAATTTTAATAAAAAACCTGAGGCATATTAGAATGCTTAAATAATTGCCATGGAGTCATTAAACTCGATTTTCTACTTTGAGGTAATCCATATTTAACTCCAACACCAACAGGAGGCAATAAAGAAACAACGCGTTGAACAGTTTCCATATCGCGGAAAGCAAACATTATAGCAGCTTTAAAAAATTAATTTTTCTCCTTATAAAAAATTTAAAACAAACTTCTCGAATCCAAAAATAATTCCAAAGATGTATATTGAAGTAAAAATCGACGAAGAAAAATTGCACGAATTTCTTGAAAATTCCATCGAGAATGATGTAAATTATCACAATATTGGAGACTCTAAAAAAATTTTCATATAGTAAAAGTTTAGCCTATGGTAGACAAAGATTCTGCGACCTCCTAGCAGTTATTGCTAGGCGCTTTTGCTCATGTCAACATGTCAGGTGCACTACTGACTGAAAAGCTACGGGTGCGCGCTGGTTTGCCTTCTTTTTTAAATAAGATCTTAAACCTTTCCGCGTAGAAAGTGTTTAAATAATAAAGAGCTGGGTCTACCTTGTTCATTAGTACAAAGGGAACTGGATTTGGAGATTAATCGAGATTAGTCTCGAAAAATTTCAACGGCCAATCAAAAGCAGATTTATGGGGAATGGAGCACTTCCCTCGCAAAAAGGGGAAACTGGAGAACCTTGGGTTGATCATGTCTGCCTTATCAGTTCTATCTCCCTCTATAGCAATTTTTAAAATCACATAAAAATTCCAAAAAAACTATTCACAACTTAATCTTTCCACAATTTTTTCTATTATTATACTAAAATCCCCGACTTTTTTTACCTTAACCTTTTCCCCTACTTATCTTCTCAAAAATGTGTCAATAAAAATTAACTTTTTTTAAGAAAACAATTGTCGATTGTTTTTTTCCTTCTACACCTAATATATAAATTAAAACAATACACACAATCATTTAACCAGTCGGAGAATTTATATAACCGATCAATTGGTGATATTAATAATAACAATATATTAGTTTTTAGGTTCAGAAAAAATTTGCGGATTAACATTTGCGGATAAAAATTTGAGGACTTTAGGAAACATGGAAATATGGTAATCAACAATTTTACCGAAGTAAAACCAGACCAAATTAATACAAAAAAATCAAGCCAGTCCAGTCCTGGATAAACATTAAATTCAAAATCTGGCTTCCTGATTCGGGAAAATAATTTTGTAGTGGGCTAGGCATGTCCATCTATTTTGGCATCATAAAAACTTTTTTTAAATACTTTAACTAATATGGAGGATGTTTAGTGAATGTCCGCAAATTCAATCCGCAAATGTTGTTATACACCCTTATAGAATTTTAAAAACTTTTTTCAAACTTAAACTTTTTTCCAAAATTTTTACAGAAAAATATTTTTCCTTAATTAAATTACAAAAATCACAAAGGCGGGGCCAACTTTTTAAGAAAAATTTTTTACTTCTCGCTAATTCAATTTTCAACTACCTAAATAATACTACAGTGCGCCTCCTATTCTTTCCTCCCCCTTTATTTTTTCTTTTTCCATTTTTACTCTCAAATTTTAACGCCTGCCTCCAAAAACAATTTTACTCGCCAAGTTTTCTCAATTTTTTCTCATTTTTTTCACACAAAAATAAAATTCATTTTCACAATTATTCGCTAAAAATAATATAATAATTCTTCCTTTTTTTAATGTCAAAAAATAATATTTTTTGCGGTTTATTAATTATTAATAATAAATGTGTTATTTTTAATTATAGCGTCGCGCACTACTCAAAAAAAAGAGAAAAAATAATGATTAATTAATTATTTTGTATATAATTTTTGTTATATCTATCTATATTTAATTTCCGTGTTTTTAAAATTAAATATGAGGAAGCATTTAACGTGGTTAAAAAATTATGCCTAAAGGCAAACAATTTTTTTAATTTTAAAAATCCTAAAACATAAAAATCTCTCTCTACCTAAATTTTATTATAGCTCATTCTAATTGTTTTATGTACTCAAAACTATTATAGCAATCGGACCGGTACGAAAGTTCGAACCTATAGATCTCAGTTAGCGAGATCTGGATTACTTCTTATACGATTCTCGTACGACCTCTCATTCCGGTCTCTATTCAAATTTAAATTTTTCTTCAATTTTAGCGATAAAAATTAAAATGCTTTGCCAGAACGCAGCTTGTTATCAACAAATAAATTTATTTATTAATGATAAAGTCCAAGCCCGAAAAATGGAAATACAAAAAGCTATAATTTTAGTTAGTGAAGTAATTCAGGATGTACTTAAAAATGTTGAGCATTTGGTTAGTTTTTTGAGATAAAAAGAAGAGAGATTAAAAGAGAGTCATCTCATCGCCAAAACCCCGAAAAATCTCAAAATCCAATTTTTTAGGAACCCCGATTCATCTCAACGTTTATTCAAAAGAATGATGGCTTATTTGAAGGAGTAAGTGGACACAGAAAAAATTTTTGAATCAAAAAAATTTTAATTAATTATTTTAAAGTTAGAAGTCCATTCGTCAAATGAATTTGAAGTTATTCTTTATCTCAACCAAGTAAAATTAAAATAATTTTGTCAACAAACGGTCCTCATTTTAGAATTAATAAGTTAGGGTTTACAGGTTGGGGAGAGGATTGTGCCGATAAGATCTCGAATATAATAGATTCCGCGTCTTATCATACTCTTGAGGCCACGGTTCTGAGGGGGAGTGAAGATAAACAAAGCTGTGGCCAATGACACCTGATAAGTTAGAGGATTAGTTTGACTGATAAACTGTTTCTGGGCCGAGCCCATGAACAGGGTTATAAATTTAAAAAATCATCTCTCTCTCCTTTTTAAGATGGGAGTTTTTAATTTTGTTGATGATGGATCAATTCCTGGTTGTGCCGTACTAAAATTGAGTGATGGACGTAAGAGATCAATGTCTCTATGGGTTGAATTTATTACTGCAAGTGGATACTTATCTGCAAGAAAGATACGTTCTCGATTTCAAACACTTGTTACACAAACAATTGAAAAACCTCCATTTAATGAAAAATGTAAATTTTTACAAGAGGGGAATGATGTTAAACTTTTAGTTTATGGAAAATATATTGTTCAGGTTCACAAAAGTCTAAAAAATTAAAAAAATATCATTCTCCATCTCAGCTAACTTGCGCCTTTCGATGCAATGGAATTTGGCCTCGTTCAGCAAATCATTGGCCAAGTCCCCAAATACAATGGCCTAGTGCTGAAGTAGCTAAAGAAGTTAGAATTGAAGGATTTAACCTTTTAAGTAAAGATATATGGCCAATATCTTCTTCTTCAACATCAACAACTATAACAAATAAACAACAACATAACCAAATATTATTACAACAACCCCAACAATTAAATAATACAACAACAATGACAACAAATTCAAGTAGTAGTAGTATGATGGAAGGTGATGCTTGGATGATTAGTATGACACAAGCAGAACAAATATTACTTGAACATATTAATAGAGGACGCGTTTTTTCAATTTTAAAAACTTTGAGAGATAGACATTTAAATTTTGCTGGGTCAAGTGTTACAAATTATTTGATTAAAAATTTGGTACTTTATGAATGTGAGAAACATTATAGTGATAATGAATGGCATGATTTTTGTATTGGAGACAGACTTATTGGTTTTAATTTAAAAAAATTTTTTGGGAGCCAGACGTAGAGGGACGGGGACGGCCTAAATCCACTGAATACCGACCTAAGGCCATTGGGTACATTGTCCTATTGAAGAGAAGTTTTTGTTTTAAATCAAAACCCATATAAGCCGTCCCGGTATGTCTGGCTCACAATTTTACCTAAAATCTCAATCAAAAAATTTTTTTCTTAAAGGAATTCTACTTCAATTAGTTAGCTGTTTACAATGTCGACGATGTCCTCATTTCTTTTTACCTCATTTAGATTTATTAAGAGGAAAGTCAACAAAATCGTTAGATGAAAGTGCAAAAGCTGTCTGGGCATTAGTAAGACAATTAATGTTGGATGTAAAATCTTTAGAGAGATTATAGCCAAAGAAGACAAATTTGTTAATACTAATAAATTGGGATTATTTTTTTGTTTTTCTTATTCAAAATATATTACAGTCACACATAGTTATTATTAGAAATGTACCATTAACGCATACTTGTCCTAGTTAGTAAATATAGGTGTCAGTTGACAGACATTCATAGAACCGAGGGGTTTTCGATTTGGTTCTGGATATCCGAAAATTTTTCAAGAGCCGACAACACAATTCCTCACTAGCTAAAAATTTTCGTTTTCTGACTGTATTATATAGTATATATTTTTTAAATTAATTTTGTTATTTACTACATTTAAATCATTTTGTAAATATTTTTCTAGTCTCTTAATAAAAAAAACAAAATTAAACAAATTAGACTAAGAAAGCAACAACCAAGAAAAAAACGAGATAACTTGTTCCAAAAAAACTATACAAAATCAAGAAAAATATCAACAACAAAAAAAAGACAAAATGTAAGATGACTCAAGAGAAAATGAAGGCCGCCAATTAGAAGAAAAAGAATTTATAGAAAAGAGAAGATGGTATGAAAAAGGCTATTTTTACTTTAAAATCTTAAAAAAAAACTCTTCAACCTCTAATAGTATTTTAAAATCTTTTTCTCCTAATAGAGTAAAAGAGAAAGAATGACAACTTTTGACATGAGGACGTGTCAACCCAAATATCCGTCAAATAATTTACCCAAAAATGCACACAAAAATTATATACTTATACTTAATATAGAGGAAAGGAAATAGAAATATCCCTCAAAATATTTTCCCCCCTTCTCTCTAATATTTAGAAAAAAAATAATGTCGTGTTAACAATTTAGAAAAAAAATATTATTTTTCGCGCGCAGGTTAACCCCCAAAAATTAAAATTTCCCAAATTTACTCAACAACCCAAAACTAAAAAATAATCTAAACTCTCTCGACCTCCAAAAAAATTTTTTCAAAAAAATTTTTTTCACCCACCTGTAAATTTTGTTTAAATGATTGGTCATCTTCATCAGCATCAAAATACAAATCAGAACCGGTTAACGTAATTGTTCCTTTAAAAAATATATAATGTAAAATTATACAAAAAATTTAATGTATAAATTACCTGGAACGATAACGCCTGGGGCTATTAGTTTAGCAAAGGTGCTGAAGGTTGATTGACCTGCAAAAAATAAATTAATTAAAAATCAGAATATTTATTTTTTAAATTTAATTAAATAATTAAAAGAATAAAGTTTAAATAAGAATTCTGATTTAAAAAAATTCTGATTTCATTCCAATTTTTTAAAACTAGAACTAAGGAAAAATCTTCTACATTATAACAGTAATTTTGGGAAAATCAGAATTCCTTTTTTATAAATCAGAATATCCCAATAACCACAAGAAACAAAAAATCAGAATTTTAAACCAAAATTCTGATGGATTCCAGAAAATCAGAATTTTTAAACCAGAATTCTGATGAATTAAAGAAAAAATCAGAATTTTAAAACCAGAATTCTGATGAATTAAGAAAAGAATGAAATTTTAAAACCAGAATTCTGATGAATTAAAAAAAAATCAGAATTTTTAAACCAGAATTCTGATGAATTCTGATTTTTTGTGTTATAGGATATTCTGACTTATAATAAACAAAAATTCTGATTTTCCCAGAATTACACTTTTTAAAAGAAAACACAAAAAAATACGAAAATTCTGATTTTACCATTTTTATTTTCAGAAGCAGCATTGTTAGTAGTAGAAGCATTAACACTATTACTATTCTCTTCTTCTCTAATTAATCTTTCAATTTCTGTTTCATCAACAAATTGTTGCAATATATTATTTGTTTTAGAAACACCACCAGATGCTATCATTTTTCTTGCCAAATCTTTTAATAATTTATTTAAATCTTCATCTTTTTTAATTTTATTTTGTTCTTCTTCCAAATTTTTTGTTTTTCTTTTTTCGTTTGAAGAAGATATTGAATGACGTTGACCATAAGGATTGTGTACAAAACGTCTTCTCATACGTGAATCATCTTCCCAAACATCCAATTTTTCAAATTTTGGCCTAAAAAATTTATAATTAAAAATTATTTTTTTTTGGCTATTCTTATGATCCCGAAAGTCCGCAAATTTTGTCCGCAAGTTTTTCTATTTAACTTTCGTTTGAATTTTATATAATTTTTTACTGTTAGATACAGCAGGAATATCACTGGTAGTAGGATTTCTTATCCGAGTAAGATTTCTGATCAAAAAATCGTCAGGGTTTCGGATTGAGGTATCCGGTATTTAGGAAATTCGTGACATCACTGTTATATAGAATAGAGTAGAACAAAACCGATTAAACGCCCGGTTAATTTTTCCCTGAAGCGGATCAAAAAACAAGGAAAGAAGAGCACAACCCGCTTCAAGGAAAAATTAACCGGGCGGTTTACCAGTACTGTGCTAACCCGTATTCTCAAATTTAAATATCAATCCTATTCCTAATCCAAAAAATAAACAAAATCCAAATTAAAAAGTTCTCACACCCTAAAAAATTTAAAAAACCTCTCTTACATATTTTTCTGCAAATTTGAATACCAAGCACCAGTTGGACTTGTTAATATATTTACAATTTTTTCCAAAAATTTAGTTGATTGTATAAATTCTCTACGTCTAGCAGAAATTATTAATTGATTAGAAAGTTGTTCTTCTGTTTTTCTATGCTGTAATTGATCATTTACTTCACTCTAAAATTAAAAAAAAAATTTTTAATGTTCAAAAAAATTTAAAAAGAAACCTAAATTGAGCATGTTTACTAACATCTTCAGCTCTAAGTCTATTTAAAATAAAATCTGCTTCATTTGCAACACGCAAAATATGATCTCGCGTAGCATGAGCCATTAAACGACCTAATAAAAAAATTTTTTATTTAAATATTATTTAGGATGTAAAAAGTAAATAGAAAATTACCTAAAAATAAGCAGAGCTCCCTCCTAACAGTGTTAAGAAAAATGTTCTAGGAACTGGAAACAGGAAAAGACACAAAATCCCAAACGTGCAGATTTAGGGTTATTTACGGAATGTTGCCCGAACCGAAATCAGCGGGTCGAAAGCAGGACATAACCTAAAACCCAGGGGTACCGCGTAGTAAATGGTAGATCACCTTATTTGAAATTAAAAAAACTCTTCCCAGAAATTTTTTTCAAAAAAATTTTTTACAAACCTTCATTAACCAGCTCTATAAATGCTAAACCAGAATGCTTTTGGAGCGAAGTTTGCCATTCTTGTGAACACAAAAGCATTACAATTTCTATTACACTACCATTTTTAAGTGTGTGCATAACTTTAAAAATTAAAAAAAAATTTAAAAAATTTCAAAAACAAAAAAAACCTCTAACATCATTCATAATTTCTTGTCCATGTGTTCCCAATAACGTTTTTTGAAGAAAGGAACGGAAATCGCACAAAATTTCTCGGAATAAAGGAATTACAGGTTCTATTGATTTTTGTAATTTATCTGTAAGATATCGTCTTCTTTCAATAGAATTTTCATTTGATGAAAGAACCAAGTCGGGTCGATTTAAACTTGAAAAATATCAAAATATTTTTTAAATTAAAACAAAAAATTTTGCGAACAAAAAATTTTTGCGGACATCCGCAAATTTTTTGCGGACAAACCTTCTTGTCCGCAACTTTTTTTGCGGACAAATTTTTAAAAAATTTTTACCTAGTTAAATGATGAGGTTCATATTTATTTGTATCCGAATTTTCATCCTTATTATTATTCGTTTCATTAGAATTTTCATTTAACTGAATTGATGAAATCTGTTTAACTATTTCATTATTGGCTTTTTCTTCATTTCCTTCCTCATACATTTTATTAGAATTTATTTCATCAACATTTACTTCTTCAACTTCATCTTCTTTTTCGTCCTCATTTTCATTATTCAAATGATTTTCATCTTCATTTTTATCTTCTTCTGATATTGAATTTAATTTGGCAGGTTCTTTGGTTACTAGAAAAAAATTTTATTGAAATTTAGAAAATAGACATTTCATCCCTAATTAACAAAAATAACTGCCAAAATAAAAAACCAAATAAAAATCCATCCGAAATCCTAAGTGACATAAAAAAATTTCTGCTTTCCGGAATCAGAACGACGAGGATTCCTGCTTTAAATACTTGAAATTTTGCAAAAAAAAAAATGTTGGACATTTTATCCCAATTTGAAAAATTTTTTCAAGATTTACCAGATTGCTTTCCATCATTCACCGAATTATTCTTTAAATTATTTCCTGAATTAACTACTCCTCCTGAATTTATCTGTTGTTGTGGTGAAGGTTCAAGAATATCTCTATAACGAGAAACCATTAAAACTGACAAAAAATAGACAATAGAAAGGGCCAAAAATTGTGCTTGTTTTACTTCTTCCTTTAAAATAAAAAAAATTTTTTTAATAAAAAATTTCATAAATATGAAATTTTTTAGAGAATGACATATGTCAAAGTGTCAAAAAAATTTTCAAAAAAAATTTTTTTTGACAAAAAAATTTTCAAAAATTTTCAGAAAAAATTTTTTTTGACAAATGTCAAAGTGTCAAAAAAATTTTTTAAAATTCAAAAAAAATGTTCACAAACCATATCTCTGTAAATTAAATTTTTTAGACGTTGCAAATCTACTGTTTGTAGCAATTGATCTTTAAATTCCACATTTGTTGACTTATTTTTAATAAATTTTCTAATTGCTTCATATTTTGTGGAATTAATTTCTGATCCAAATATAGATTCATTGTTGCTTAAAATACTTGATAAAATTCCTCGAACTGCCGATGTTGCTGCTAAAAAATTTTAAAAATATTGCTTAAGAGAATTCAAATTGGGATCAAATTTAATTTTTGACAACCAAAAGTCAAAATAACAAATGTCAAAGAGTCGAATTCAATTTTTAGAAACTTTGTTTCATTTTTAAATATCCCCTTAAAGCTCAAAAAATTGTCTCTTATAATGAAGGCTACATTAAATAGAGTCCAAAGTGCCCAATTGTTGCGGCATCTAAAAATGAAGTGTGCCTGACAGTATTAATTTGACAAACAAAATCCCAAACCTTCCTAATTTTCAAATTTGAAAAAATAAAAATAATATTTACATAATCTAAGTGCTTGTCTCAAAATTCCCCCAGCCGGCATATTTTTTTCTTGTTCCAATTCATTAAGTGTAAGTGGAGAAGTAAAGATAAAAACATCAGCAATTTCTGCAAAAATTTCCAAAAAATAAGCAGCATCAGAAATATCCAATTCTTGTTGGGTTGTATCAAATAATTCTAATTCACTCTTTAATTAAAAAAATTAAAAACAAAAGAATTTTTTAAAATTAACCGTTGGTGCTGTTGCTGCTGCAAGTAATGGTAAAAGTCCTAAAAAATTAAATATTAAATTTTATTCAAAAAATTTTTCTAAAAAAACCTCCACAAGCCATTACTAAACTGTCAGCAAGTTGGGAAAATATATGGACTGTATTGGTTATAAAAACCTGAAGAATAATTTTCTAATAAATTAGTTACTTAATCCAGAAATAGTTAAACACCCATTAACTTTAAAAGCAGAGAAGAGAAGGAATTTGACCCACTCGAAATTAGCCCACTCGCTAAAAATGACAAAAAATAAAAATTTCACCAAGGGGAAAATTTAAAAAAAAATTTCTGATAGCTAGGGCTTCTCCCTAACAAATTTGCTAGTGAAAGATTCTACGCCTTTTCAAAAATAATTTTAAAAAAATTTACATGATTATCCGAATTATTTAAATAATCAGCAACTGGGCTGGGTGAACTAGAAATTTTTAAAAAATTTTAAAAAATTTCAAAAAAATACTCTTTCCATTCCTGTACCACAGCTTGTATTAACATCAACAAATCATTCAAAAATTGAATTTGTACTTGTGACCAAACAAAATCTGGAGTTCTATAAAGTGATGATACTCCTCCACCAGAAGAAGACGATTGATCATTTTTAGTTAAATTTTCTCCCAATTTTTTTCGAGCATCTTCTTCTTGTTTTTGTGTCAAATTTTTGCGATATTTTTGCCATGAAACTTTTGAATGAGCTATTGCCATTGTATCAACCTATTTTGAAAAGAAAAAAATAAATTCAAAATTTTATGCTTATTTCAAAAATTTTTGCGGACAAAACTTGCGGATTTTTAAAGACCAAAATTTTGAACCCAAAATTAAAAAAAATTTCAAAAATAATCCCCAACCTTTATTGACTGAAAAATTTATAAAAAATTTTAAAAAATACCCAAACTCTCCAACCACCATATTCTAAACGTATAGCATGAAATAAAAGAATTGAGAAAAGTTGAAAAACAAGTTCAGAAACATTCTTTTGTTCTTCATTTTCCGGATAAATATAAGACAAAGAAATTAGCCATTCTTGCCAAACACTCATTTGAAGTATTATTCTTTAAAAAATAAATTTGTAAACAAAGTCAACCTTCATTTTAGCACTTGGCACCAGAGATAGGGGTCTCGAAACCCGGAAATTTTTCGCCCGAAATCCGACCCAAAGAAAATTATGAAAACACTCTCTAAAACCTAACCCAAGACAAGAATATCGCATAGATTAAGAAAAGTTTGGTAAAATTAGGTTGGCAATTGAACAGGTAAGCTGCTTAAACGATATCTCCCATCTAAATCAACCTTCAATAGTGTTAGAATTAAAAGGCTGCACCAAAAATTGAAAAAAAAATTCAAAAATGATTTCGGACAATAGACCTGGCACAAGAACCCAATACGAACCCAATACACCTAAAACCCAATACACAACCCAATACACCTAAAACCCAATACACAACCCAATACACCTAAAAAAGTCTCGAACCCAATACATCTAAATCAACCCTCATAAAAATTTTTCCATTCTCAAAAGAATATTTAAAAATGAAGTAAAACTGTATTACCTATCTTTAAAAATATCGAAAACCCCATAAAAATTATTTTTTAAAAAACCTTCTATTCTCTCTACAATCCTTGCAATGTCTTATCAAATCTTGAAGAAATATTCTTTTAACTCTCAATGTTTCACTTGAATCTTCACTTTGAATTAGCAATTGTGCAACAACTTTTAAAATTTGTGGATTTTCAAATCTTGTATTTTCTATTGGCAATTCTTCATGTTTTACAAATAAAATTTCTGGACATACTAATTCTACCAAAATTTCGAATAAAGCATTGTAAGTTGCTAATGAGAGAGAATGACAATTGAGCATTAATTTATCAGTTAATAAGTGAAATAAATTCCGTTGATTGATTGACTCGTTTTTACGTCTAAAAATAAAAAAATTTTTGATTTAAAAAAATAAAAGGAATGATCCCTTACTTAAAAACCCCCAAAATTTTGAAATTTAAGAAGAAAATATGCAAGAGATAAAAATGTTGTTTTGTTCCCAAATAAGCCCCAAAAAAATTTTAAAAACATAATTTCGTGAAATATCATAAAAAATAATTAAGTTGTAATTAATCATTTGTCAAAATATTTTGGTATTTAAAAAGTAAAAGGGAAAAGAAAGATAGAAAACTGTTAGGAAAGGACGATGAATAATAACTAGCCCGCACAGGACCAAATCCGATCAGGTTTTTCTCGAATCAGTCTCAAATCGTTTTTTTGCCGAGTAATCCAAAAAAACCCGAGATTCGCTCGGCAAATCCAAAATTCGGTCTCCGGATCCAAAAAATTATTCTACCGAACATTAATCTTGGAAAGGTGGACCAAAGAAAAAGTTAAAAAAAATTAAAAATAATAAACAAACTTTTGCGTAGATCTGCATAAATAATATCCAAACATTTTCAAAGCTGGTATTTTTATCAATTCATTAGGTGAACTAATTAAGTTGAAAATAATACAAATAACTTTCTTTTTGTCAAATGCTGGAACCTTTAAAATAAAAAATTGTTTTTAATTAAAAAAATTAAATAAAAACCAAAATTGCAGGATGATCAGATATTTGTTGCATAGTTTGAGTTAAAACATCGTAAAGATTGTCATCCTGAAAAAAAATAAATTTTTTAAATATTCAATAATCAATAGGTTTATCCAGTCAACAAGGAATAGTGAAAAATTGTTTTAAGGAAGTCCCCACTCCTCTTCATTCCGATAAAAAAAATAAATTTTCCAAGTCGAAATAGCTCCTTGATTCCAAAAATTCGACAATATTTCCAGTCCTCCCTAACGCTACTAGAATATTACATAAAAATCTTCCCCACCTTCTTCCCGCTCCTTAACCTAACCCAAAAAATTCCACAGAAATAAAATCTCCGAAAAAAACCTCATTAGTTGTAGCAATAAAATTAAAAATGCATTGTAATTCATCATCCCTTTCTTCACTTCCTTCACAACACAAAAAAGTAAAATTGTAAACTAATTTTAATATGCAAGTACGGACATGTACAATTGCTGAACGATCAAAATTTGTATTATTAGTTCTTGCAGGGGATTTATTTTGAGCATTATTTTCCCCATCTTCCTCGCCTTCCTCTTCAATATATCCATTTGGCAATGTTATCCAATATTTTTTCAAAGTATTCATTAAAATAACAACAGTTTGTGTTCGACGGACAATTTGTAACAAATCAATATTAGAAAAGAATTCATTTGCCAAAAATGTATATAAACGAACTTGGACCTTTTTGAGAAAAAAAGAATTTAAAAAAGACAAAAAAAGTGTTTTAATTTCAGAAAATACCCAAACAAATTTTTACGGATTCAACTACAGAATGGATGATTGGTTATTAACCAGTCCCTCCTCATTTTTACTCAAATCTTTGAAGAAAATTTTCAAGTAATCACCAGTGCTAGGGGTATGATCTCATAAGAGCTAATTCCGGGGTCGGTTCCGGCGGAATCACAAAATGAAAATAAACAGCACACCGAAACCGAGTCCGTAACCAGCTCTCACGGTCATACCCAGCATGGTGATTACTTGAAAATTGAATGGTATCATCGTGAATAGTCCCAAAAATTACCCAAAAAAACATCCTAATTTAAATTATAAATTAAAAAAAAACAAACTAAAGGTTCAGCTTTCAACCACAAATGTGATGCAAGAAAAACACTTTCTACCAATTGTTTAAGTAAAGGCAATCCATTATTAAAATTCGCAAAAGCTTTAGACATTGAAATAAACGTCTAAAATATTTTTTAGAAAATTTAAAAAATATTTAAAAAAACCTCCAAAAGGTTCATACTTAAATGAACATTAGAAGAGTTTTGGTGTAAATTTGAAATGACAGAAAATCCTCGGCACTGTAAAAATTGTTGTTGAGAATTTAGAGAAGTTCCAAGCAAAGTAGCAATTACAGTGAGTAATTTTGAACTATAAAATAAAATTTTTAAAATTTTGAGACATTTGATCCCAAAAAAATCTTGCCGGGAAATTTCAAAAAAATTTTTTTTAATGTTATAACATTTGATCCCTCTGAAAAAATTTTTTCGACCAGAAGGTAGTGTTTTATTCCCCAGAAAAATTTATTTTTAAAACTTTCAGACATTTAATCCCAAAAAATTTTTTGGACATTTGATCCCAAAAATTTAAAAAAAATATATGAAATTTCAAACCAAATTTCCTCTTCGATATTCTCTTCTTTTGCCATATCAATTTGAGAAAACAAAGGCAAAAGCATTTGAATACCGCCAACAGAATGTAAAGAATTATGTATTGAATGGGTTGTTATTACTTCTACACCCTTTAAAAATGTTTAAAAATTATTAAATTTGAATTTAAAAAAAACATTTTTCATAATTGCATGAGGAACTTGAACAAAATACGAATTTGTAGCATTTTTTGAAGTATTCTGTAAAGAGAAAAGAAAAATTAAAATGAGGATTAAAATTTTTTTATTTTTTCTTTCAGAGATTTTGCGGACAAATAATGAATCGAGAAATGAATATAAAACCTATTATCAAAATAAAATCATTAAAAAAGTTCATAAAGAAAAAGATTTATGGGTGAGTAAAAGGATAGGCCAAACCATTTTTTGACTTAAAAAATCGCAATTTTCCGAATTCACGTCCCCAAATCAGGAAGTCAGAAAATCACTCCATACTCCAAAAAAATTTTTATCTGACCATTCGCCTGGTCAAGTCATTCTTTTCAATATCAAATTTAATATTTATCATTCCACAATTATTCACAAAAAAATTTCGAAAAAATCACCGGCGGGTGTGATAAAACCATCTGTCCATGACAATCTTTTGGACAATACGAAAAAATAATTGATTCACTCAATTTTCCATCAAATAGCAACTTTAAAAACTCAAAAATAATTTTTCAAAAATTTAAATAAAATTTCCAAACCTTTTTATAATTTTCAGGCAAATTAGATTCACTTTTATGTTTAAAATGTGATTGATAAGAAGATCCCAAATAATGAAGACAAGCTGCCTGTTGAGGTGTTATTGATTGTGAAAGAACATATATTGCAGCCATTTGTCCACTAAAAGCTTCTCCTTCATCTTCTTCATGTCCACAACCAATATAACAATGATCAAAATGTTCGTTTTGGGAAACTAGCCTAAAAAACAGAAAATAAATATAGTCGAATTATTAAATACAAATTATAATAGACACTGAAGTTAAGGCAATAGACAAGGGAGAATCGAGGGATCGAATCTCAGGGGGATATAATGGAGTGTGCACCAACCCTATTGGGTGTATCTAAGAGTGTATCTTACAGCTTTGTCCGACTTCTTTTGAATAAACGGTAGGATTTTCAGTAAAGGAACACCAGAGGGTTTGGCGCACCCTCCAATATAGCCCACGTCTCACGAAATACGTCCGAAATACGTTTATCGAGGGATCATATCTCAAGCGGATATAATGGAGGGTTCCCCAAACCTTTGGGGGTTTTTAAGGGTGTATCTTATAGCGAGGTTCGACTGCTTTTAAATGCACAATAAACTTTTCAGCAAAGGAACACCAGAGGTGCTAGAGGCTTAGCGCACACTCCAATAATCCCCTTCCTCACGAAATACGACCTTTGGTTTTTCAGTCAAAAATGATACATGGCCCTCATAAGTCTCCCACAGGATAATTTAGACCGTCCCGTGCCAATCGCTAATTAAAAAATAAAAAAAACAAACCAATTAGAATCAATAACTTCAACTAAACAACCATCAACAAAACAATGAATTTCTCCTTTTGACCAGCGAGAATAAATAAAAGTTAAGGCAATATGGTACCATTTACGAGGCATAAATTCAAATTTTATACAACGCATAATTTCTTTTCCAGGTGCTCTAATACAACGTAAAACTAAACAAGAGCCCATAAAATAAGAAAAATATCCATTTCCTTTAGGTGTTGAAAAACTGAAAAAAATTTAAAATTTAACAAAAAAATTGTTTTGCGGACAATATTTTCGGACAGTAAATTTAGACTAAAAAAACTAACAAAAATTTTATTTTATTAAAGTGAGAATCCCAGCACAACCAAGAATAGGTCGAGTTTTGAATAAAAGCGGGCTTCCAAAAATTTTCTTTGGACCAGGTAGCCCGGCCCTATCTGAAGCAACGACAAAAACACTATGTAAAAAGGGTCTTGACAGAAGATGGATCAACCATGCCAGCTTGATCGAAAAAAGCCTAATTATGTCGGTTATTAAACGTAAACAAATCTTTTGCCAGGCCAAAAAAACCTACAAAAAATATTTAAAAAACAAACTTGAATAAGAAAGGCTTTTCTCTTTCAAAATAAACACTATTCAATGGATCCATTCTGAACCAAGTACAAAATGTCCATCCATTTTGATGAGGCCAACGAATTAATGGAGGAATAAATATACCCTAAAAATTAATTGAAGAAATAGAAAAAATAAAAAAAAAGAAACCGCCGAAGCTTTCCCAGGAAAAGCAAAAAATACATCAGGTCCTTCACGTTTAGGCATTTCTGCCATTACATTGAGTAATTTAATTGAATTGCGTTTCTGAAAAAATTTTTTTTATTTTTAAAATTTGGTTAACAGGGCGGGAGCTGTGCCTAAGCGATATCCCCGATGGTAGAAAAGGCCTCCTTATAAGATACGATTTTTACAGGGGATAGGGAAAGAAATTCGATTTATAAAAACAAAGCACGACGAAAACACCCATTAAAATGGTTCCGTGACTTTTGCGCCGAGAACATTTGCGCCGCGACTTATGCGCCGCGACTTTTGCGCCGCGACTTATGCGCCGAGCGACTTTTGCGCCGGGCGACTTTTGCGCCGCCACTATCATTAAAAATATATCAATAACTACAGCCGGACCTCACTTTAGTAGGGTTGTCGAATAGTTGGAATCTTCGGATCTGATATCCGAATTGAAAATTTCGGATATCCGTCATTTTTCGGATCCGGATTTTCTAAACAATGGCGGCGCAAATGTCGCGGCGCATAAGTCGCCCGGCGCAAAAGTCGCGGCGCATAAGTCGCCCGGCGCAAAAGTCGCGGCGCATAAGTCGCGGCGCAAATGTTCTCGGCGCAAAAGTCGTGATACCATTAAAATAAGCTAAATTTGCATTTTCAATTCCGTAGTGTAGTTGGATAATGTTTAGTCCCACACCAAAAAGTGACTAAGGTTCGGACCCAACAACGAAAATTTTTTTTACTATTTTATTAAAACAAATCACACCAAAAACTCTACCCACTAAACACGAAAATTTTGCATAACTAAATTCCTTGGTGTAGTTGAATAATGTTTGGTCACCCCCAAAAATGACGGAGGTTCAAACACCGTTGAAGGAACACATTTTTTATTATCAAAAAAACTTACCCAACAATTATTGTCAACTTTTAACGCCTTCAAAAAATGTTTAAATTCTTTAACAGAAATACTATATCCAGTTAACACTGTAAGTAATTGGATAAATAAATCGGCAATAATAGAATCAGCATCAGGTAATCTATCCAAGAGAAGAGAAACAAGGCCAGATTTTGAACTTTAAAAAATTTCTTTTTTTAGTATAAAAATAAAAAAAACCAAATTTCCAAATTTAAGAAGCTCTTTTTGACAATAGCAACAAAAATGCTCCAAATTTCTGCCTTTAAGTGAAAAATTTTTAAATTTGTAAAAATTAGAGAAAAATTAACCTGAATTTTAGGGGGACACAAATCAGTCAATTCTAACATTAATTTAACATTTTCACAATTTTGAAGAACGTATCTTGATTCCAAGTCAAATGGGCCGCCAACTAACTGAAATTATAAGTCGTTCAATTAGCTCTACCAAGCCCGGGGAAACGGAAAAAGTTTTCAACAATCAAACGGAAAACCCACAAGCCTGGTATAAAATACCAAACCCTAAAAGCCGCCGAAATACCAAACTGTGGAAAAAACGCCATAATAGAAAAAATACCAAAGTTTTAAAACACTTACACGTTGATGGACACTAATCAACTATGTGTCCACCCAATCCCTCCTAGACGAGCAAGAACAGCCTAACGAAAACAATTGTCAAAAGGGTGCCAAAAAGTGTTTTGGCGACCGGAACTAATCCTTCGATTACTTTAAAAACCCTCAAACAAACCGTATTATAAAGTCCATCCATAATGTCTTCATACGTCAAAGTTCCTTCAATACAAGCATCTTTAAGTCTAGAAAAAGTTTCTTGAGGAGTCTCATCATTTGAATGAATTACAACTGTCTTGCCCAATTGGGAATTTTTAATTTGTGAAAGAGATTCCTTTAAAAAATTGAGAAAATTAGATTTAAAGCACTTTTAAATTATGCGATTAAAATAGCGCCGGAAACTAGAGGAGAATCAGCCCGTGACAAGATTCTTGATTTGAATCGAAAAGACAAGGTCAAAAAAAGTCACAAAATACAAAAAATACCCTAAAGCAGGTCTATTTTGACTTTTTTAAAAAAAGTGAAAAAATTAAATTTCCTGCACGGGTTCGAACCCAAGACCATCAATTTGCGGACAAAATTTGCGGACTTTTCTACGTCCCTTAAACAAAATTTTAAATTCACAACTCACAAATTCCAAATGTTTTTCTGAGGTCGCTGCTTCATTGTCATCCTCTCCTCCCTCATTATGCTCAGCTCCCTCAATCTTATCTTCATTGTAACCATTCCCTCCATCCTCTGACTTCTTCGAATCCTCATCAGAACAAATTTCTTCATATAACTGAACATCCCTCATTTCATGTTCATCAAAATTTTTTTCATTTAAAGCTTCACTAAACGAAGTTAAAACTGTTGGTGTTGCTCCACGTGGAGAAAAGGCGTCAGATTTTTTGTTATTTTCAGAATCTTCCTCGACCTCCTTAGCAGTAGAAGGGTGCGAGTCCATTTCCCTTTTTGTCTGCTCTAAACAAAATTAGAAACAATTAAAAAGTAGAGAAACTGAAAAACGACAATTTTCAGATAAACACAAATTCAGGTTTCGGTTAGCGGCTTGCTTAAGCCGCCAAATTATTAAAGCAAGAATACGTGGAATCAAAACAATCAAAAATTAGGTAAACAAAAAAGAAAAAAATAACAAAGGTTTGCCAATTTAAAGAGTTGACACTATGAAATTTCATCTAGAATAAATAACATTTGGCATATTTCTCTTTAATGTCAAAATGGTAAATTTAAAAAGGTAAGAAGGTGAAAATAATTCAATTCGCCCAAAAATTCGAGAAAATCTTATTGAGCGGTACCTCTGTTTTCTGGCTACTGGTCAAAAAGTTTTAAATGTAAAAATTAAATTAGTAAATTAAATTTTAAATAATTCAATGTAAAAATATTTGGAAACTATTAAAAAAAATTTAAAAAAAAAGAATTGCCATCTAACAAGGAGAGGTTGCGAGATGTCCGACCTAAAAACGGTCGAGACTGGGCTCATTCGATAGAGAATATGCCAGCAAGGATTTTGAGCCGTTTTTGCCCGTTTTTTGATCTGGCCAAGATATGGCTTTCCAAAAACCAAAAAAAAATTACAGAGGACTTGAAAAGTTACCAAAAGAGTAGGCTCTGCCTCTTTGAATCAAGGTAAACTGGCACGGTTTCTTCAACATCAACCATTCAAGGGTTGATCAAAAGCTTCAAAATTCCACTTTCCATTGTTTCGAAAAATTTTTAAACTTGTTAAGCTTCATTAATAGACTTTTTGGAATGAAAAAAAAGGAAAAAATTAAAGGAAAATTTAAAAAATTTTGAAAAAGCTAATACAAAGAACAAAGACAATAAGGTTTATAAAGACACAAGCTTAACAGAAGGAAAAAAAGTAAAAATTAAAGGAAGGGTACACCCCAACATACCACGAACCCAACTGACCGCAGAGCCTATAACTTCGTTCAAAATGGTCAAATCCGGGAGGCCCTAGTATGGTTCGATTCAGCTCGTCGAGACGCATCTACCCATACTAGGGTGTCCCGGATTCGACACTTTTGAACCAAGTTAAGGTTCTGCGGAGAGTTGGCCTGCTCCCTTAAAGGAGCAAATTCAAATAAGAAGAAAATTTTGAAAGTAATAAAATTTTTTTCCAAATTATGGTTTCTTTTTAAATTCAAATTCCCCACACTTTCATATCCCCCATATTCCATTATATTCAAATTCCATACTTTAATTGCCTCTCAACATTTTCCACCGTTCAAAGTTCATTCGAATTATTTAAATATTTGTCAATGCCAAACCGAAACCGGCCCATGAAGAGAATATGGGCTACTAACCTATGGCTCGTCAACTGAACATCACTGACCCCTGTCTTATTTTGACCCATCACTCATTTATTAGACACAGAATTTATGAAGTAATTAGAGAAAATTGGCGCGAAATTTTCTTAAAAACAAAGGAAAATGTGTGGGAGGGGGTAGGGGGGAGGAGGGGGGAGGGGGGTCGTGTGTATTAACCCTAGCTTTACTTATAAATTGCCTTTCCACATTTTTTCTCCTTATATAAACCAAACTTGTTTTAGTTCGTTCTGGCATTTATTCTGATTTTTACGGCATTTATTCTGATTTTTACGGCATTTATTCTGATTTTTACAAAATTTTTTAGGATGTTTCCAATAAATTAGACATAAAATTATTGATAAAAATGATTAAATTTTGTAAAAACAGGCTTATAATTGTCCATAGAAAATTTTTTTGGCAATACAGTCAACGTTTTTTTACCACTGCGCGATTTTTTTGTTTTTAAATAATAAGGGGTCACTATAATAGATGGGACCCCAGACCTGGATTCGAAATATATACCACTCCATTCCTTTCCCCAGCTAAGTTGACTCTTTCTAGAAGACGAAAACTCGCAGAGATACATACCCTGACTATTGAAAACCCAAAGGGGGGAGTAACTCATTTTAGGCAATATTGAGTTGATTCTAGTGGTATTCGTCTCAGCTCAAGAGCTATCAAGAGCTCGAGTCGAATGGGCTATCATTTGAAAATTACATTTTTCACCCCAAAAATCAGTTTGATACCCACCATGGTTTTTTAATTTTCAGGGCAAGTATCTCTGAGTTTTCGTTCCTAAAAAAGAAGTATAAATTCGAACCTAATTCGAACGTTTGGCATATACTTTGAATTTTTTTAGGCATTAATAAAATTGTGGAAAATTTATAAGTTGGATATTTTTAAATATTTTTTCTTCTACAGATACTAATTAATGTTTTCTCTTCCATCTGAAGTTCAACTTGATGTTTTAAAATGTTTAAAATTTAAGCAATTATTCTCTCTTAAACAAACCAATTTTTACTTTTACAATTTAATTAAAAAATATGAGGGAGAATTAGCGAGAATGAAATTTTGTAGTCTTAGCTTGGTAAATATTAACTTTTTTTTAAATTTAAAAATAGAGCTCGTACTTTCTACTTTGCCGGAGGCATCATTAATCTATACGTGTTTATTTAAAGGACTTAGAGAGATTAATGTGAATTTAACGGCTTAAGAAAAAGATTGGATTTGACAGGTTCTGTGAAGGATTAATAGGGATTTACAAGGATTGGATAGTCCACGATATACATCTCAATCCTAGATATCTCTCTCTATAATTATTTAATCTGGGCATTTGGTTGGGTTAATGTGGATTTGGAGAATTAAGGTGGATATCGGGGGAGTTTGCATTAGGGGGCATATCGGTAATTTGGAAGGTTTAAGGGATAGGTCTATAAAGAATAAATTCATTTTATTTTATACTTATTGTTAGACTGGTAAATATTAACTTTTTTTAATTTTAAAATAATTCTAGATTCCCATAAAAAAAATCGATCCTCAAGCGATGGATTCCTATAATCGTCAAGAGATGGGTTCCTATGTACTCATTAATTTTGAACCTGTAGTTTCTGATTTTGTCTTGAATGATCATCTTTTGGAGAAGGTCTTGTAGTAAATGGGTTTAGTTTGGAAGTCGTTCCTCCCCTTTCTTTCCTTTCTATTTTTTGTACTTGCTCACATTTTATGGTATATCATATATCATTCGAAAGAGCACTTCGAACTGAGTTGAATGACATTAAAATCAAAAAATCTGACTTGATTGGACAAAGTTATTTTAGGATAAATTTAATCTCTTGCAGCGGGAAAAAGGTTTAACAGTCGATAATTTCACATTAAATTTTTGGTAAAAATTATCAAACCTAACCGATCATGGTATTATTCGATTAGCTCGAAAAGATATTAAAATAAGTATATTCAAGCAAAAAGCTCATAATGGACAGGACAGTGGGAAAATGTGGGCGGGCGACTTCCAAACTATTACCTAGTAAATTTTAATATTGATTAGATTACTTGTATTTTTCAGTGGGGACAGGCGATAGATAAATCTATTCCTTTGTTTTTATATCGATTTGAAGATGATTTTATAGATGGTATTGAACATAATATTCAATATGGTATTCAAAGCATTGCTGTTTGTATGTTGAAAACAGGTTTTTATGCTATAAAATAAAATGGACCGTTCGTTGATTTTACTCATTCGATGACTTTCTGGTTAACCTAGTAGATATGCCCTTATATATACAGATCAGCATGTGGCAGGATCCCGTGCGGGCTTTTTAGGGATATTGTCCGAAATCTCATTTGAAGAGACGAAACGGGATTAATCTCGAGGATCCTGCCTTTAAGACATGTTGAAAAAAAATCTATGGGTTCCCGTGTTTGTGATTTTGCCTATCTCTACTAAAAAAAGATGGGGGTAACTTCAAATCGAGTAGATCGAGGGTCCGAATGGTACCAAAAAATTTATTTATTTAATTCACAGTCACAGTAGAGAATGGTTCCTTGTTTCATTGCAAGAAGACACATTTTGTTCTGGAATTGCCAAACATCCCAAAAACGATAAATGAAATGATTATTGTTCGATATTGGTTAAAACAACTTTTTCAATATGCTTTTTTTGAAAATGCTTCTCTTGAATATGGTATATTTAATCCAGAAATGATCAATTTATTATTTGATAACGACAAAACAATTCAAAAACAATTTTATGTTCAATACCTCAAATTAGAGGCTAGAAATGATATAAACGAAAATATTTTTGAATTCACTCTAAACCGTTTTGCCATTTACGAAAGTCTTAGAATTAATTTTCATGAGGACGACAACATTGAAAAATATACTGATATTTTATTTAATATTATAATAAATGAAGGCAATAGATTACCTCGAGTTAATTTTAATGTTATTTTACCTTTTGAGGTTTTTGACATTACAAAACTTTATAATCTTATAATTGAAGTGAGTTATTTAAAATTAAATTTAAAAATAAATTAAAATTTTTAGTATATAACAACATCAAAAGATTTGTCAAAAATGGTGTCTTCTATTTATTTTAGTTGTTATTGCAGAAAGTTAATTTTTAAATTACCCGAAAGTGCGGAAACTTTGAAATCTACCTGTTACAAAATTGTCAATATTTATAATCCAAAAATAAAATTTGTGTTATCTAATGGTGAACCTCATGGAAATTTTTCTTATGTTTTTATCCATAGAATCGAAGAATAATCTTCTTGAACTGGATTTTAATTCGGACAAAACGGTAACAGGTTTCCTATGATATAGAATAAAGTCTGGTAACCTTTATAATACTTGGTACTATACCCTTATATATAGAGATCGGCCTTGGGGATTTTATGGGATGATCCTTGTTTAATCGGACGAATACGCATGGATACGGATATGATGCTCCAAATCCGCGGATATCCGTCCCTAATATCCGCTTATTTTTAGACTTAGGCTGAGACAAATATTTGAAAATTTTTCGAATAGACGTATACGGATACTAGCCCCAGATATATCCGGATATGGATAGCAAAATCCGTATCAAAGTGCACGTCTGCCTGCGGACTTTTTTTTCTAAATTTAAAAAGAAATTTTTGCAGATTTAAACTCAGCCTGGCAAAAAGGAATTATATAAAAAATGGCAAACCGCAATTATACAAAACACTAAGAATAAAGTTTAAAAATATTTAAAAATAAATTGGCAGGCTATAAACTGATGAAAACGAATAAAACAAAGAAAACTTTTAATTTATTTTCAATGAAAATTAAATTATATTTTTTTTCAAAATTTCGTTTTTCAAATATTTCAAATAAAAAATATTTTTTAAAATGTTCATTTTTAGCCCACCACATAATTAAATGAACACTTAGGGTTTTTGTATTTCAAAATGTAATTAAAATCTACAAAAATTCCGATAAACTTATCAATACTTAAAAAACTAGGCTCATATTACATTTCACTGTCGAGATCTCGATATCCCGAAAATCAACATAAAACCTGGGTAAGTAGCTTACAAAAATTTTTTCGACCCCTTATGGATTATTTTAAAATTTTATTTTAGGCTTAGCATAAACCCGCTAAAAATAGATGAAAATAAAAAAAATTTTTTTGAATCTAAAATCAATAATAACTTATATTTTTTAAAATATATCGTTGTCCAATTAATTAAAAAAAATTTTTATAATATCCTCTCAAATTCTACTCTTCTATTTTCTAATAATAAAAGAAGAAGGAGGTCCAATATTAATAGATAAATAAAATTTCATTTTTGGATTGTAAATATTGGAAATTTGGTATTTTGTATATTCTCTATTATATTTGTGCTCAGTCCCAATAAGTTTTGTTCCAGTTGGCAATTTAAAGTTTTCCAATCTATTATAAAAAAAGTCACAAGCAGGCACAATTTTTGAGAAATCGTTCGATGTTCTTATGTGCTAAAAATTAATTTATATACTAAAATTGAAATGTAAAAGGCAAAAATACGAAACTAAAGCCTATTTTCTCAGTTAAAAGTTATTTAATGAGTATTAGAATTGCCAGATTAGCATTTTTTGATATACAGCCCATACTGAAATACATGCTATGCAGGATGGGGGGGGGGGGGGGCGAGTCTTCGATTCCCCCTCAAAATCAACGTAAAATCGGGTTTTCGACTTCAAAAGATATTTTTGAGCCCTTACTAGTTTTAAATTCTTATATTTGGTCTATTCGACCTCTGTAAATTTGAGCTTATCAAATTTAATTTCTACAAAAAATATTTTGACTGGGTGTAGAGCAGGGCTGGACGAAATCTAAAAATAAAGGCCTAAAACGTGAAATATGCAAAATGCGAAATTAGCCAACCCTGATATATTAACCATCTTTCGTTCCCATATTTTTGTCCACTACTGAACTTTAAACATTATTACTTACTTTAATAACACGATTATAAAACTCTGAGGACTGGCAATTAGTGAAAATAACATGAGGGACTTTTTTGCCTTCATTTATAATATTGAATAAAATATCAGTATTTCCAGAAGCGAAATTGATGTTGAAAGACAAATAAATTGCAAAACGATTTAAAGCAAAATCCAAAATATTGTCAGTAATATTTTGAGTATGTAAAGTGAGGCTATGAACATTAAATTTTTTAATTTTGTCGTTGTCAAATAATAAATTAATCATTTGTGGATTAAATATAATATCTCCAAAAACCGCATTTCCAAAACCACAATCAAAAAGCTGTTCTAACCATGAACGAATAATAATCAATTCTTCAATAGTTTTGGGATAGTTTGGCAATTTTAGAATAAAGAAATCTTCTAATAAGAAAAAAATGTAAAACAATAAACTAGGTAATGAGCAATTTTATCTAGGTGGAAAGCCCAAAGAGGGGAGAATCCTCAGGAAATGTGTCTCGCCTCATTATGAGACACAAGTAAATAATGGCAATTTTCCGTTTTGGGGCCGAACATTTAAAAATTGTTTTAAAATGTCATGAAAATGGTCAAAAAATAGGTCATAATTTTGTATAGAAATAGGCTCAAAATGGCCAAAGTGAACCTATTCATTCACTCGTAATTTCGTTCCTACGAATCGAAGGGCTTTAATTTTCATGCCATTCGACTCAGCTCAATAAGCTTTTTCTAATGGCATATATCTTGCCGATATTCATAACACTTTAAGAAATTTTTAAAATGCGGGGCCATAACGGAAAATTACCATCTATTTATATCAAAAACCTTTTAAACGCAATTCAACAAAAACGTTCTTAACACGCCTCGGACCATGTGAAAATAGTGAAAAAAAAGGCCTAGCTGGTTGTAAAGGATCAGTAGTATCTGGTTGTAAAAATAAAGTAATAGATTCCTCCAACGCTGTTTGCCACTGAAAAAATACATGTAATTTAATCAGATTAAAAATAAATCTAACCTTCTCTTTAAGTTGATCATTCAAAATAAAAGATGGTACTTCATTACTTTTAAGAATATGATGGCTTGAAAATATTGCTCCTGTCTGAAAAAAAAATTTAAAACAAATTAGTTAATACTCATACCAGACTGAAACTACAAAATTTCTTTCTTGCCAATACTCCCTCGTATAAATTAATTAAATTGTAAAAGTAAAAATTGTTTTGGTAGAGAAAGAATAATTGCTCGAAATCAAGACATTTTAAAACATCAAATTGTATTTCAGGTGGAAGAGAAGACATTTTAAACTGTCCAAGTATTTTATTTGGAACACTCAAAATAAAACCTAAATGAAATTTTTATAAAACTAGCAGAAATCAACAACATTGTTAACAAATAAAATTACAAAAACAGGCCATAACCGAAAATTGGGTATACCGACCAGGGCTGTCAGTAATTGCGGACTATATGGTTTTTTGACTTGCGGACCGCGGTAGGGATAAATTTTTTATTTGCGGACAGAAACTGATATCGATTGGTAGAGAGAACCCTAATTTAAATTAAAAAACCATTCCCCAAAAAATTTTTTTTCAAAAAAATCTTTGCACAAACCTTCATTAACCAGCTCCATAAACTCCAATTCAAAATGCTTTTGGAGCGAAGTTTGCCATTCTTGTGAACACAAAATCTCAATTACACTGACATTTTTAAGTGTGTGCATAACTTAAAAAATTCCAAAAATTTTTAATAAATTTCAAAAAAAAGAAACCTTTATCATTCATAATTTCTTGTCCATGTGTTCCCAACAAAGTTTTTTGAAGAAATGAACGAAAATCACACAAAATTTCTCGCAATAAAGAAATTACAGGTTCTATTGATTTTTGTAATTTATCATTACAAGGTTCAAGAATATCTCCACAATAAGCAGCCAACAAAACAGACAAAAAATAGACAACAGAAAGAGCCAAAAATTGTGCTTGTTCTACTTCTTCCTTTAAAAATTAAATTTTAAAAATTACAAAAAATTTTCAGAAAATTTTTTCAAAACATAAAGTATTTTTCAGTAAAAATGTCAAAAAAAAATTTTTAATTTTCAAAAAAATGTTCTCACAAACCTTATCTCTGTAAATCAAATTTTTTAAACGTTGCAAATCCATTGTTTGTAATAATTGATCTTTAAATTCCACATTTGTTGACTTATTTTTAATAAATTCTCTAATTGCTTCATATTTTGTAGAATTAATTTCTGAGCCAATTATAGATTCATTGTTGCTTAAAATACTTGATAAAATTCGTAGAACTGCTGATGTTGCTGCTAAAAAAAATTTATAAAAATTAAGGGATGGCTAAAAAACTAATTAAATTTAGAATGTGATTGAATGTAATTTTTAGACCTAAAAATCAGAACAGAAAAATCAAAAAATTTCAAAATGACAAATGTCAACGTGTCGAAGCTCAATTAAAAAATTCAACCTCATTTTCAGATATCTGCTTGGGGCTCCAAAAAAGTGACCGTTATAAAAAAAATTGACTCCCCTGAGTGCCTATTTCTAGCGGTATCAAAAAATAAAGTTTACAACAGCATTAACAATTTAACAAAATCCCCCCTCCCTTTAATCTTAAATTAAAAAAAAGAAAAACCATACATAATCTAAATGCTTGTCTCAAAATTCCCCCAGCCGGCATATTTTTTTCTTGTTCCAATTCATTAAGTGTAAGTGGAGAAGTAAAGATAAAAACATCGGCAATTTCAGCAAAAATTTCCAAAAAATAGGCAGCATCAGAAATATCTAATTCTTGTTGGGTAGTATCAAATAATTTTAATTCACTCTTTAATTAAAAAAATTTCTTTTAATAAAAAATTATAAAACTAACTGTTGGTGAGGTTGCTGCTGCAAGTAATGGTAAAAGTCCTAAAAAATTAAATTTTATTTAAAAAATTTTTTTAATAAACCTCCACAAGCCATTACTAAACTGTCAGCATGTTGAGAAAATAAATGGACAGTATTGGTAATGAACAACTGAAAAAATATTTTTTTAATAAATTAGGTAATTAATCCAAAAAGAGTTAACTTAAGTCCTTATACCATACTTTTTAAAATCAAAAAAAATTTAAATGAAAAAAAAATTTTTTTTCCATTGATGGTTAAACCCTAATGAGTTTAAAAAGCAAAAAATAAAATTTTCAATGAAAGAAAAAAAAATTTTTAATTGCTCACTTTAATCGCTCACCCCTTCCCTAACAAAGAAAGTGTAAAAATCCTAATCTTATTAAAAAAAGTTTAAAAAAAATTTACTTGATTATCCGAATTATTTAAATAATCAGCAATTGGACTTGGCGAACTTAAAAATTAAAAAAATTTTAGAAAAAAAAATTTCAAAAAATACTCTTTCCATTCCTGTACCACAGCTCGTATTGACATCAACAAATCATTTAAAAATTGAATTTGTACTTGAGACCAAACAAAATCTGGAGTTCTATAACGTGATGATACTCCTCCACCAGAAGATGACGATTGATCATTTGAATTAAGATTTTGGCCCAATTTTTTGCGAGCATCTTCTTCTTGTTTTTGAGTCTTTCGATATTTTTGCCATGAAACTTTTGAATGAGCTATTGCCATTGTATCAACCTTTTTTGAAAAGAAAATGAAATTTATTGCTTATTGTTTCAGGCTTAAAAGGCTGAAACAAAAATATTTCAAAAAAATTTCTAAAAATTTTTGCGGACAAAACTTGCGGATTTTTTAAATTACAATAAAAAACCAAATTTAAAGAATTTCAAGAAAAATCCCCAAACTTTATTGACAGAAAAAATTTATGAAAAATTTAAAAAAAATACCCAAACTCTCCAACCATCCTTTTTAAAACGAATAGCATGAAATGAAAGAATTGAGAAAAGTTGAAAAACAAGTTCAGAAACATTCTTTTGTTCTTCATTTTCTGGGTAAATATAAGATAGAGAAATTAGCCATTCTTGCCAAACACTCATTTGAAGTATTATTCTATAAAAAATAAAATCTTTAGACACAGCATTTTTGAAATCACACAATCTATGCACCAAAGATAATTCGAATTACTCTAAATCCGGACTTTTTCGACATAAAACCCGATTTGAAAAAAAACTTATGAATACCCGCCCAGACTTTTTTCATAATACGAGCCAAATTTGCTAGGCACCCCTCAAATTAAACTGGCAAAATTAGGTTGGCAATTGGTTAGCTCAAGCCCTCGTCATAAGGTACAAATTTTCATTTTCAAGGGGGTATCTAAAAATACAAGACAGCTGTAATAACATTTTTAAAGAGTCTTCTTTTCGAACCGAAACCCTATGACCTGTGATATAAACTTATCAATATTAATAAAATAATTTTAATTAAAAAACCTTTTATTCTCACTACAAGCTTCGCAATGTCTTATCAAATCTTTAAGAAAAATTTTTTTGACTCTCAATGTTTCACTCGATTCTTCACTTTGAATTAGCAATTGTGCAACGACTTTTAAAATTTGAGGATTTTCAAATCTTGTATTTTCTATTGGCAAATCTTCACGTCTTACAGAATAAATTTCTGGACAAAATAATTCTACCAAAATTTCGAATAAAGCGTTGTAAGTTGCTAATGAAAGAGAATGGCAATTGAGCATTAATTTATCAGTTAATAAGTAAAATAAACTTCTTTGACTTATTGCCAGGTTTTTAAGTCTGGAAAAAAATCAAAAATCAAAGAAAAATAAAAAATAAGGGTAAATATTATGGATGGGAGGAGCCGACAATTCCGTGTTTGCGGGTTGAAGAACTTAAAGAGTGAACCAAAAAAATAAAAATATCAAACAAACTTTTGTGTAGATCTGCATAAATAATATCCAAACATTTTCAAAGCTGGTATTTTTATCAATTCATTAGGTGAACCAATTAAATCAAAAATAATACAAACAACTTTCTTTAACTCAAATGCTGGAACCTTTAAAAATTAAAAAAATTTCTAATTTAAAAATTAAAAAAAAAACCAAAATTGCAGGATGATCAAAAATTTGTTGCGTAGTTTGAATTAAAACATTGTAAAGCTGGTCATCCTGAAAAAAAAATAATTTTTTAATAAAAAGAGTTCCCTTATAGAAAATGATAGAGAATTCAACGAAAAATTCCCACTTCTCTGTTCCGATAAGAAAAGAATCTTCCAAATATCTATTTCTTGGTTCACCAAAAATTGACAATAAAATGTGTCTCCCGCGTCTTCAATTTCGATGCTAACACATTTTTCGGTCTCCCTATTCCCACCCCCCTCCCACGCAAAAAATTTTCCCAAATATAAAAAATAAAATCTGAAACCTCTTCTGTCCAAGTTTGCACATTTTTTTTGACAATTCCAACAAAAGTACTCCAAACCTTTAAATAAAAACAATTCTTAAAGCGGCAAAAATTTTATCGAATTAACCTGAATTTTTGGAGGACATAAATCAGTCAATTCTAACATTAATTTAACATTAACACGATTTTGACGAACATTTCTCAATTCCAAGTCAAACGGGCCGCCAACCAACTAAAAAACAGAGTTGAAAATGTGGCATCAATTAAGAGTCTGTACTAGCCCGATATAATGCCGTATACTAAAGGGTCGAAATATCAGATTCCAAAAGCCCCCGAAAAAGCCCCCTACTTTAATCTTTTTAAAAAAGCGAAAAAAATTATCCCGAGCGGGTTCGAACCCACAACCATAAACCACAATTTGCGGACAAAACTTGCGGACATTTATAAGTTTCATAAAATAAAACTTCAAAAATAACTCACAAATTCCAAATGTTTTTCAAAAATCTTTTCTTCATTTTCGTCAAAATTCTTTTCATTTAAAGCTTCACTAAACAAAGTTAAAACTGTAGGTGTTGCACCACGAGGCGAAAAGTTTGATACAGCGTCTGATTTCTTATCTTGAAAGTTTTCTTCGGCTTCCTCAGCATTAGATGGATGTGAATCCATTTCCTTTTTTGGTCAACTTTAAAATAAACAAAAAAAAACATTCATTATTATTAAAAAGCAAGGGGTATGTTGTCGACTACTGGAAAAAACATAGGATATCCGTAATTAACCAAAGAACCTCGATTAGTCGGTGTTCGACAACAAACCTGATTTTAAAGGAAAAAAATATATGTTGAATCAAAACAATCAAAAAAAGATAAACAAAAAAGAAATCAATAATTTATAGAAAAAAATATCCGAATTAAATCGATTTTCAAAAAATAGGCATGAGAAAAAATACGAGACAGGCAAAATGATTTACAAAATGTCATACTTGGCGGTCCCCCCTTTTTTCCTTTCTATTAAGAAAAATTTCTTCTGTTTTTAAGGCAATTAGATAACATGAAAATGGGCAGGAAAAAGCAAAGGGCGACAACTAAGGCATTACTTTATACGATTATATTTAATTTTTTGAGATTCTTAATTCTTTCAAGGCATTGCGTAATTCGTTCGTGCTCCCATTTTCATATTCGTTCCATTTGTAACCAACTTTTTTCACTCGGCCAGATAAAGCATTGTCCAATTCCATTTTTTTGAGTTCCATTTTAAAGAATTCCCTAAAAAATTTTGAATAGAATCAACTTGAATATGGAATACTTTTAAAGAAAATTTAAAAATAAAACACTGTTATGTTCAAAAATTATTTCTAGTGCAGCGTGACCCTTATCAAATCACTAAAAAGGGGGCATGGCTTCACAAAAAGGTGGCAACTAAGAAAAAAAGTGGGGAAAAGAGGATGGCAAATGCCTCCCAAGTGAGGTAAAAAGGCCACCCTGATCTAATAGACTTCTTGGAAAAGTTTCGGTCCGAAAACAAGAAAATTTTGATTTTTTGGTATGTTATAGAGTGTTTAATTCTCTATCCAAGGGTACCAAGAAAATGAAGAAGTGACCATCCCTTTACTAGTTATAGGGTCGGGACTGAACTGATAAGCCAGAATGAAATGAACTGGCCTCCTATCTCAACCAGCTCACTAATTATTTTAAAATGTCCAAGACTACTCAAACAGAAAGCAAAAACACAAACCTCTTTTTATCCTGTAATTTTCGCCATTTAGCCATAAATTCATTTAAAAGCACATCTGTCTCATCACGCAAGTCATCAAATTTTTCGTCGCTAATAACCTCCGTAACTTGTTCACATCCATCTTTTTCTTCACTAACATCTTGATTAATTTCCTGACTAACATTTTCGTCACGTTTTTCACAAACATTTTCATAAGGAAGACTAATATTTTGATTAACTTCTTCACTAATATATTCATCAACTTCTTGAGTTACATCTTCGTAATGAAGACTAACATTTTTGATAACTTCTTCATTAACCTCCAAGTTAACTTCCTGACCAACATCTTCGTTAATGTTAGAATCTAAAAATGAAATAATAATAGGCGTTATAAAGTTGAAAGGTGTATTCCTTTAGAACCCTGCCTATAGAGAAGACATTTACAACCCCAAGGCAGATAGGGAAAATCACTTCAGTCGTCCTCCAAGACTGTGAGTCACTTAGCTAGTTGAACGTCATTTCAACTAACAATAAGCTTCATCTCCGTCTGTGTCGATCTAGCGGTCGATCGATCCAGTAACCCAACTTTCAGTGCCTCTGGGGAAACGCCCATCTTCCCCCTCTATTTCCTTATTCTTAAATAGACGAGGGGCCCAAATTTAACTTTAACTTTCTAACCTTCACCTTCTTCAACATTTTTGTTATCATGTTCAACCAACTCCAATTGATCAAAAAATTCGGCAGTATCATTTGATAAATTATCATCATTTAAGGAATTATCAATTTCCTCCTATAAAAAACTATTTGAATGAAATTTTCTCAAAATTTAATTAACCTTTTCAGGACTTTCTTCAAGCTTCGCAAAAAATGCCTTCGTATCTTCATCCTCAAGAAATTCCATCGTAGATTTTACAGAAAGATTTGTGATATTAAAAATTATTTGCCTTAACACTAAAATAAACGTGCATGAACTAATGAAAAAATAATTATAAAAAATTCCCTCTCAAAATCAGAAAACAAAAACTAAAGTTTACCAATTTTCTAGTTAACTAAAGAAAAATTGGTCAATCAAAAATCACTACAGTTGTTGACAAAATGAAATTTTCACTTAAATAAATTACATTTCGCATACTTTCCTATAATGTCAAATTGGTAAATTTTGAAAATGGTAAGAAGGGAAAAATAACACAATTCACCCATAAGCGCAGCAAAATCGCATCGAATTCTACGGTCGATTTTTGTCGAAAATTTCGCTATCGAATTCTTGATTATCAGATCTAATATCCTTTTTTTATTTTAGAAACATCTCTCTTTTAAAAGTATCAACTTTGCAGCCAAACAAACAACCGAAAAAATGTCATCAAAATTTACAATATTAATGCGATCTCATCGTGCTGGTTCTATTTATGGAAGGTTTCTTTTTAATTTTAAAATTAAAAATTCCCCTTTTATTTCCTAAAGAGTCCTAGGCGTTATAACTTCTGGAAATCAAAAATGGGAAGATCGACCACTTTGGTTTGATGCATATTCTGCACATCCACCATTTGAAGAACCTATATTTAATATTAGAAGGCCTAAAATTGATGAGCCTGTAAGAAAAATTTTTTATCCGGAGGATTTGGAAAGAGCGTAAGTTTTCTTTTTTTCATTTTCCCCTTAATTTCCCTCTTATTTTTTCAGAAGAAAAATGTTTGCAGCTACTGGAGATGAACCCAAACATGACTTGGATAGTATTGATGACCAACAATTTGTGCAACAACAACAACAGAATTAGGCTTTTGGGGAAGTATTTAAAAAGTAGTTTTTACATTTTTGTTGTTGTTAAGTTTGTTTTTTAATAAGGTACGAATTTTAAAGAATTTCTTTTTTGCTTTCTTTCTGGTAAAGTTTGGGTTTCTCCTCAATACCTTTATCCCAGTTCCTTCCATATTTTCTGGTTTAGAAATAGGAAATTTTTAAGACCCTTGATTCTTGATTTTGGTCAAAGATCTTGTCCAGATTCTTGTTCTTGAGTCGAGAAAAGATCAAGGAACACTGAAAAAAAGTCTTTGATGTTGACTCTAGATCCAGGAAAGATCACGCGGTCTGGATCCCCAACCAATCTCTAAATGAAATTTGTCTTCCTCCCCCTCAATACCTTCTACCACATTCTTCTTTTAAATTGTTTAAAATTGACCAAAAATATTTTTAAAAATACCAAAAAAAATTTCCTCTTTATCTATCCCATCGACTTTTCTTCTTTTGTGGAAGGTTTTTTCCTTCCTCTCCTTTTCCTTCTTCATTTTTAGCTTTTTCTTCTTCCTCCTGTTTTTCTTTTATTTCTCTATTTATTCTTTCTGCTTGTTCTTCCAATTTAATTTTCCATTCTGGTCTAGGATCACTTGCTCCAAGACGTGAATGAAATTCATCGGTAGATGATGGTTGAAATGAATGTTTAAATGTTCCCTAGAAAAAACATTTCTTTTATTTTAAGGGGTTCACGGGGATGCCACAGATTATCAGAAACTCGAAACACAGACTTACGAGCCGAAACCCGACCCTTTTTCTAAAATCCGAAACTTGACCAGACTTTTTTCCCTCCTAATCCTCCCCGGGTGCTCCGATCTGAACCCGACTTTTTTCCGACCCGAAACTGACTCAATAAATTTAAAAACCGACCCAACTTTTTTCTAACCCGTGACATCCTTACTATATACACATTAACTCAATTTAAAAAATTAAAAACTCTTATACTTTAAGTGCAGATCTCATTATATCAATTTTATTCATTCCTGCAGCTCCTCCACTTCCCACTAAAGTTTTTGCTCTCGCTATTTGTTTTGTTATGCTAAAAAGAATAATTTTAGGAAAAAATATATTTAATTTTTTAAAATTCAATATTCATAAGCTTTTAAAGTTACACAGAACCCCTCAAAAATCCCTCGAAAAATAAAAAACCCTAGCCAAATTCCACTCTTCAAATATTCAAAAACCTCGAAACATGTCAAAATCTATCCCTCAAAAAACTAGAAAAACCCCCAAATTCCGCCCTTTAATATGTTCAAAAATTCCGAAAAAACCCCCCTCTCAAAAAATTAAAATAAAAACCTTGGTTGATTCTGTAAAATTGAAGAACTTCCACCTCCTCCTCCAGACGATCCCCCTTCTAAACCAAAACCACCACTTGTTGTAGGAGCCTTTTTTAATCCAAATCCAGGCCTTTCTTTAGGTTTAAATTGATTTATTCCAATATAATTTCCTGCTGCATCTGTCACTTTTCCTCCACTCAAATTTTTTTCTTTTTCTTGTCTTTTTGCATACCAAGGGCATTTTAATGCAATTTGTTCAAGTTCATTATAAATTAATTTTTCTTGATCTGATGATTTTAAATTTTCAATTAAATGAGCACAAAATTCTGAATCTTTTTCTAACACTAAAGTGTATGCAGAGCCTTGATGACCTTTAAAATTAATTTAAAAAAATATTTAAAATCAATTAGAAAAATTTTTCCGTGCCCACACATTTTGCTAAACCCATATTTTGTCAATAAGGCTAAAAATCCTTTTTCCAATAAAATTATTGGCAAAACGGAGGATTTTTTCTTGTTGGTAAAATTAGGGGAGTCATTTTTACAAGGAGAGTTTGCGAGGTGTCCGAGCTAAAAACGGTCGAGACCGGGCTCATTCGATAGAGAATGTGACTTTTCTAGCAAGGATTTTTAGCCGTTTTTGCCTTTTTTTGATCTGGCCAAGATATGGCCTTCCAAATCCCAACAACTCATTTAGTGTCGTGGAAAAACCCTTAGTTTTTCCGGTATAAAAGGTAGAGGTTCGAGCCCCAACCATGAAAAATTATTTTTAATTTAATTAAAATCCTTTATAGAGGCAAAATAATTTTTTTGTATTTCTTAGCGTTCTGTTTCAAATTTTATTAAAGATATTCAACCCCTCTTCCTCTCTCCCCTTCCCATTTTCCCCCTTCTTACCAGCTCTTCCAGTCCTTCCAATTCGATGAATATGTGTATCAATATCTCTAGCAATATCAAAATTAATTACATTTCGAATTTCTGGGATATCCAATCCTCTTGCTTTAAATTAATTGGAAAAATTATAAAAAAATTTTAATTTTCCTTAAAAACCTGCTACATCCGTTGCAACTAAAACAGATTTATTTGTTCGGAACGAGGTTATTCTTTCATTTCTTTCCTTAAAAAAATTTTTTTAATTAAAAAATAAAAGCTTAGTCCAGTTATGCGCCCGTTAAAATTTAAAAAAAATTTTTATTAAAACTTTGGAAATTTCGGGGTCTGACCATTTTGAGTCAATTTTAAATTAAAAAAAATAAAAGGCCCTAATTCAATAATGCGTCTCTGAAAATTTTTCCTGAAAGATTCTCTTTTAAAAATGAAAATTTTTCAGAAATTTTGGGATCTGACCCTTTCGAGTAAATTTCAAATTTAAAAAAATTAAAAATTTTTAAAAACCTGTTGATGCATATCCCCATGCAATAAAACCGTTTCCAAATCTCTCAAAGCTAATTTCTTTGAAACATCTTCAGCATCTGCTTTCTTTGTCACAAAAATGAGTACTTTTCCCACTGAAAAAAATTTTTTTTAAATTAAAAAAATTCCAAACTTGTAATAAAATTAACAATATTTCTAAAAAGCCATTCATATTTCATTTCTTGATTATACAAAACAATTATTTGTTGTTGAACACAAGTATTTTCACCAATATCTCCACACAGAATTTTTATTGGATTATACAAGACGTGCATTATTAATTTTTCAATTTTTGGTTTACATGTTGCACTGAAGACTAAACATTGTTTATCTGGACGGATATGATCTGATATTGATTTTACTTGGGCCTCTTTAAAAGAAAAATTTTTTGAAAATTTTTTAAATTATTTGAGCAAACCAAATCCCAAATCGAACATTCTATCAACCTAAACGATAAAAAATTGAATTTAGAAGATTTAGGTAATTGGTGTTTAAAATAAAGAACGAGCAAAGGTAAGAGCTCATTAACGTCTCTAAAGTAGATAAAAACGATTTTTTTATTTAGGTTCCCCTACACTCATGTGGTGCTGTCTCCGAGAGGGAGAGGAGCGGCTCTGACAATTCTGAATCAAATCTAAAAATACCAGCAAGAGTCCCCAGGACTGACAAGAGAGTCCCCAAGATTGGCAAAATTGATGTTTTTGATCCAAGTCCCCACTAATCCATAGGGGGCTGCTTTCTTGAGGAAGGGAAGAGGGAGAAAGGCTTTGAGACCTAATCTCAAAAAAATATTAAAAAAAACCTCATCGAGGACAAGAAATGTTGTTCTTAAAAAGTTTGTTGCTTCAATTTTAACTAAGTCAATTATTCTTCCCTATAAAATTTTAAAAAATTATCAAAAAAATTTTTCAAAAAAACCCTACAGGTGTTCCAATAACCAATTCAGCTCCATTTTCCAAAGCTTTTTTCTGCTCATATTTGGATCCACCACCATAAGCACAAACTAGAGCAATATTGTAAAGGGAAGTATAACGCTTTGCTTCGTTGTAAACCTTGAAAAAAGAAAATTTTTTGAAAAAATTTCAAAAAAAATCAAAAAAATATTTCCCAAAAAATTTTTAAAAATTTCAACCAATTTCAGAAAAATTTACAAAAATTCCAAAAAATTAAAAAAATTTCAAAAAAATTTTCAAAAAATTTACAAAAAATTAAATATTTCAAGAAAATTTTTAAATTTCGAAATTTTAAAAAATTCAAAAAAAAATTTACAAAAATTCCAAAAATTTCAAAATTTCTCAAAAAATTTTTTTTCACAAACCTGAATAGCCAATTCTCTTGTCGGAACAACAATTAAAGCAATCGGCCCATCTCCCGGTGCTAATTCTTCTTGATTCATTATATGCACAATTGTAGGCCATATATATGCCAAAGTTTTTCCACTTCCAGTTTTTGCTAATCCCAAAACGTCTCTGCCTGATAAAGCTGCTGGAACTGCCTTCAGAAAGAAATTTCTTTATTAATAAAAATTCTCAAAAAAATTTCAAAAAAATTTTTTGAAATTTTTTGAAAGATTTTCAAAAAAATTTTTGAACAAAAATTTCAAAAAAAAAATTATTTTGAATTTTTTTCTGAAAATTTTTTTGAAAAAAAAATACGAAATTTTTTAAAAATTTTCCCAAAATTTTTCAGAAATTAAAAAAAATTTTTTCTTCAAACAAAAAAAAACCTGTGCTTGTATAGGCGTAGGCTTTTCAAATTCATTTTTAACAATTAAATTCATTATAGGTTTATCAAATTGGAAATGTCCAAAACTAACAACTGGTTTTGGGATATTTTGTCCATAAACACGAATCTGAAAAAAATAAAAATTTTTAAATAAAAATTTCAAAAAATACATCCAATGTAATCCTCAATTCAAATGCTTGTTGTAATGTCAAATCTGCAATGTCTGGATGTTCAGAATAAAAATTCTTTTCAAAAGGTTTATACCTGAAAATTAAAAAAAAAAATTTTTTTTATTCACAAAATTTTCTATAAGTTAAAAAAATTTTTTTCTCGAGTGGAGCAAAACGCCCCAACAAGAAAAACCATCCAAAAATCGTCTGCAAATATTCCATTTTTACCAAAAAAATTTTTATTTGGTAGAAATCCTTATTCTTTTCTCGCATCCTACCCTATATTTTGTTAGAAAAATCTCTCTAAATTTCACCTAAAATTTTTTTTAAATTTGCGACAATATTTTTCAGTCAATTCCCATCAAGATAGACTAATCAAATTTTTCTCTAAAAAATTTTTTTCCAATCCTTTTCAAGGAAAGCAAAATACCACCTTCCTCTACTAATACACCCTTCACCCTACCAAAAAAATTTTTTATTAAAAAAACTTTTGTCTCACTCAATTTCCGAATGGTCAATAGGTGGCAGAGGGTCAATTTCCTTCTTCCATGTCCATATAACCTTCAAAAAACAATTTCAAAAATCATCAAAAAATTATCAAACAAACATTTCCTTCTTCATCATATTCAACAACATTTTCATCTTCGTCATCACTTGCATGTCTTTCTTTATATTCTTCCATAAATCTTTAAAATAAAATTTTTAAAAATTAAAAAACAAAAAAATACTTTATCATGCTTTCTTGCATATCTTCTTGTTCAATATCATCTCTTCCTTCTTGTCCTCCCGTAAAGTCACCTGTATTTATTACGTGTTCTTCCTTAAAAAATATTAAAAATAATATTTAAAAAATTTTTAAAAATCAGAAAAAAATGTTTCAAAATTTTCGAAAAGTCAAACAATTTTTAAAAATCTAAAAAATCATTTTAGAACAAATTCTGGCCAAAATAAAAATTAATTTCAACAAACGGACTCGAACCTTCGACCCTATATCAGTCACCCAAACAGCACCCAACTACACTATAAAACCCTAACTTTTGCCTACAAATTTTCAAAATGTCGATGACAATTTTAAAAATTGAAAAAAAATCCCTTGAATAAAAAGAAAAAATTAATTCCAACAAACGGACTCGAAGCTTAAACCCATTAACTATCAACCCCTAAACCCTTGCCCACTACACCACCAACACCCATATTAAATTCAAACCTTTTGTCTACTTTCATGTATTTCTGTTTGTGCCTGTTTATTTATTTCTGCCATAAATGCATCTAATTCATCATCATCATCTTCTTCTTCCTTTTCTTTTTCAACTCCATTTTTCTTATTCTTTTGTATTTTTGTATCATCAGATTTTTCATGTTCATCATCAACATTATTATTATCTTCATCAGAATCGTCCCCTTCAAAATAACTGCAAATCTTTTAGGTTATTTTAAAAATAAAAAAAAATTTAAATTGAATCCATATCATTAAAAAATAAATTAAACCAAGATTTATCCTTAGAAAAAAAATCAGCGTGGTCTCCCCCTTTTCTTGGTCTTTATAATCCCCTTAAGCCCGGTCCACGTTTTTAATTCAGAAAAAATAAAAGACAAAAACGAAAAAAGAAGAATCTCCATTATGGGTCATTTAAAAATTTAGGTATTTTGAAAGTTGAGCTAATTGTAAAAATTAAAGGTGAAATTTTCTAACAAGTCTGGATAGACCTATTATATTTTCGAATCCACTAACAATCCAAATTTTTTGGGTTGTGTATATGAAAATTTCAGCCCCTTGCTCAGCCCTTCTACTATCCTTGGATTCAATTTATACAAAAATTTTAAAGATAAAACCCATACTCATTCTCAACAGCTGTATCTGAAGCTTTTCCTTCCTTTTGTCGTTGCATCAATTCATTATACTTAATAAAAAAATTTTTTGTTTAAATTCATTAAAATTAAAAAAACCTTCTTTTCCTTTTCCTCATCTTCTGCTTTTCTTGATGACCATCGATAAATATCATTTCCATAATAACTCATTTTTAAGCAAAAAATATTTTTTTCTAAGTCTAAAAGTCTTTAAAAAATATATATTAGTAATACTTTGGGTTATGTCCCCCCTCGTTTTTTCCTTCATATTTTTTTCGTTATATTAAGAAATTTTTATGTCATTCGAAAAAGCTCTTCGAGTTGAGTCTATTTTAGTGTATAGTCTCAGCGAATCCTCAGCCTCCCAATTTTGTCCAAAATCATCAAAATTAACTCATCTTGGCTTCACATTCGACTCATATCAGCTCGAAGATCTCCTTCGAATGATACGTAAATTGTCTATAAAAAGACTCAAAATGGTCAGAAAAATAAAAAGAATCAAAGGGGGACATAAACCAAAGTATTATCAAAATAATTAATTCAGATAGAAAAATATTTTTTTTGATTAAAACAAAAAAACTGAAAAAATTTTATTTAAGGCCAAAATTTATTTTTTTTTTCTAGGCACAACCAGAAAATGAAAAAAAATTTTTAAAGGCAGAAAGAAAAATCAAGAGTCTAAATTAATTTTTTTCGTTTGAAAATTAAGTGAAATAAATGAAAGAAAAACATAATCACAAAAAAACCATAAAGTGTTGAGGAAAGAGCTTAAATAATAATAAAAGGCAAAAATTAGCGAGCAAGTGAATAATACTTAATAATTGGTAATTAATATTCAATAAATAAGAGGAATGTAAAGAATAATAAATATATTTAAGGGATTGGACTTGGATTTTTTAAAAAATTAGATCAGGGACCTATTCCAGTGCGTGTGATTGAAACCCAAAAAGTTATTTGGCGAAATGTCGCTTTGTGGAATAAATCCATGGGAGGGTGGAATAAATCCATGGGGGGTAGACCAGGTCATTGATCATGCTAGGGTCAAATCCACGGTGGTCATTGACCATGCTAGACCAACTCGAAAATAATTTGAGACGGTCTAGCATGGTCCAACTCGAACGAATCGATGCTAGGGTGGTCCTTAAATCAAAAAAATTTTTTTAAATGAAGTAAAAACAGCCTTGGAATACCCTAGACTAACTCCCAAGAAAAGAGAAAAGTGACTCATCAAAAATCAGTGGTTTTCGGAACAATTTTGGGTTATTTAGTATTTCCTTGTCCAATCCCTTAAAAATATATTTTATTTACATTTTTGTGTATATCATCGGGAATAATAATAATTTTTTTTCTTACTTTTTGGTATATAAGAAAATTAAAATGCCTTTTTTTTCTGTCACGGATCTAATCCTCTAAGTCGTTGTAATAATTCAACAGCACTTGGAGCTTTTACTGCATCTGCCACATATGGAGATTTTGGTGTATGCGGCAAAGATTTGTGTTGATCCAAAGATTTTGGTGGTGGATCCAAGGGTTTATTATTATTAGTAGGTTGTTGCTGTTGCTCCAATGGTTTATTTGGAGGAGGAGGATCCAAATTTTTCTTTAAAAATTAAAATAATAGAAATGAACCCCTTGTAAGCTCTGGTTCACTATTTTTTGTAGTGATGAGCCAAAGAACCCTTCCGCCGAAAATAAAATAAAATAAAACAAGCCAGTAATGAAAATTCACCATTTTTTGCCCAATAAAGTTAGTCGGAATTATGTTATGAGATCATCTAGACTGACTTATTTAGATGTAGTTAGACCCAACTCACAAGGGAATTCATACAAAATAACCTAATTCTGACACAGAACTTGAAGGTGACATTAATAAAAAAAAAGCTGGTAGGGCCTTCAGACGACCTTCAGGACATAAGTCCTCCAAATGAGTTACTTTATATAATACAAAAAATAGTGAACCCTGGCCTGAAAGCCTTAACCTTTTAATTCCTCCCCCCCCCTCGTCCCAAAAATATTAAAAAAAAATTTGCAAAAAAAAACCTGTACTGTTGGCTGTCCTTTCCTTCTTACTCTATACCTCCTCTGTGCTCCTTCAGGTAAATCTGGCCTATATTTTCCTTCAACAAGCATTTGTTCAATTCTATCAATAACACCTCCTCCTCCCCCACCATCCATACTTTGATTCAAATTACTTTTCATTCTTTCCCTAGCTTTTTTAGCCACTTCATTAGCCATTTCTGGTTGAATTTGATGAAGAGGTTTTCTTCTTTTATCAATTTTGGAACTAGCTTCTTTACGTCCTCCTTCAGATTTTTTATACAAAGATTTTGATACTTGTGTCCAAGCATTCTTAAAAGGGAATGGAATGTGTTAACAACCAGGACTTACAAGCTTTTAGAGTTTTGGTATTAAGGCTCGTCCCATGAGTTGCGAACAGAACTTACGGACTTTATAAAATGACCCATAGAAACCCCCAAAATATTTTTTCACTAATAAAAAATAAACCTGATATTGACACACAAAATTATTTAAATCGCCAAAAAGTCTTTCCATTGGATATTTTTTCGGATCAAAACATAAATACGTTACAAGTGATTTCCATTTTAATGTCATATGTTCCCAAAGCTTTAAAGTTAGAAAAAAATTTTTAAACATTAAAAAAGTTAAAAAAAAACCGAATCAATAACAAATAAATCCTTTTGTGCCGTTTCCACAAAAATACTTATTTTTGACTGAAAACAATCATTAGCAATTTGTTTTTGGTAAGTTACCAGATGTGTTGAAATCTTTAAAAAAATTAATATTAAATTTTTTAGACGCATTTTGTTCAAAAATTAGCAAAAAAACCAGGAGAAATTCATTCTCTAGGATTTAGATGACACTTCGTCCCAAAAAGATTTTAGATGACATTTGGTCCCAAAAATTGTTAAAAACAAGAGGAATTTATTTTTAAGTTTTTAGATGACACTTTGTCCCAGAGATGGTGAAACGAAAAGAAATTTATTTTTAGGCGTCAATTTATCCCGAAAAATAAAAACCCTTCCATCATTTAACAATAAAATTAAAAAATAAACCTTTTTAACAGAATTCTTCAATAAATTCATAGACTTTTCCAAATCCAAATAATCAATTTTACAAGCTTTAGAAACATGATGAAAATCATCAACAACAAATTTGTCAAATTTTCCATCAAATTTTTTATGAAATAAAAATATTAGACCATGCAAGAGTGTTTCAGAATTTTCACAATCTTTTGTATCTACCAACTAGAAAAAAATTAATTTTAATTAGGTACACCCAAAAGGAGGGAAAACCCCCCACAAGAGTCGTCACCCGTAAGGTCAACTCCAAAAATTTGGGAGAAAAAGAGGACTTAAAATCAAGAAAGTGTTTGACTGCATCTTTTGCCTTATGCGACGTTTCGCGAGATAATTTCCATCTTATGTCCCTTAATTCCAAAAAACAAATGATTCATGATCAGCCCAAGTATTTTAAGCTGACCCTCTGAGTATCTTGACATTCTGGGGTTGATCTTTTCGGTAATTCAACCGTTTGGTAGTTGTCCAAGGGTAGACGAATGTCAACCAATTTTATTGACCCAATTTTAATTTAAACAAAAAATAAAATTAAAAAATAAACCTTATTTAATGCTCCTAATTCAAAAGCAAATGCTGCACCAGAACTCTTTACTCTTCCCATAAAATTTCCAGCAAGTAAAACAAGATTTATAAAATTCTTTAAGCCATGAGATTTTATTATTTCCTATTAAAATTTTTAAAAATTTTCAAAACAATTTTTTATATTTCTAAACCTCACACGCCTCCGCAATTGTTGTTACTCCACATTTGAGTTCAGAAAATTGATCAGACCATGAAAGCCAAAGCTGTATAGCTTCCAAACGTATTGGTAAATGTTTAATTTTTGATAAAGTTGCAATAAACTGAAAATTAAGGAAAAAATTTAAAATTTTTAGGACGTTTTCTATTAGTAGGTTGTCAGAGAACGGGAAGAAAGTCTGGGTCTGGAACAATTTTCGATTTAACGATTTAGGCGTAAAGTTCAAGAAAGATCTAAAAGTCAAAAAATGACAGCTCTAGTCCAAGAAAATAGCCTGGCCTTGGTCCAGTCCAAGCTTAGTCTCTATAGATTCCAAGAAAAACCAGTAACTCCAACAAAATGTTTTAATCTGGGCTCTAGCTACAAGAAAACCCCAGAACTTACATTAGTCCGACCCCAGTCAGATTTCGATAAATTAAAGAAAACCTGTTCTCCTTCAGGCATATTTTGCATTTCTGCCTCCGAACAATCCTTTAATCTATTCAAAATGTCTGTTGAAGGTAAAGCATTTCTTAATTGTCCAACAAGTTCGGAATGTAACACAGTTTCATTCAATTCCATCAAAGCATTATACCATTCTTTAAAGCTTAATTTACATGAGCCTTGGAGAATTGCTTTAAAAAATAAATTTAAAATTTTTCCTCAAAATTTCAAAAAAAAATACCCAGTGTTTGTAACTGTTTTTGATCTTGAATAATAAGTGGAATCTTCATTTTTGAATGTTTTTTGGTTGTATCATTTGCTAATGTCGTGCTACTTTTACTTTAAAAATAAATTAAAAAAATAAAAATTTAGAAAAATATACTTAGTTGCAGAATACTTCATTTTTAAAAAATCAAAAACATCATCAGTAGCAATTTCATCCTCATCGATTTGCGCCCAAAGAGATTCTTTATTTAAGTTGGTTGGTTTAATCTAAATTTTAAAAAAAATGAAATTTTAAGAATAGTCTGGATCCGATCCTTTAATTTTCCAAAAGTCCGCAAGAAAAATCCGAAATTTTCGGTTGTCCGCAAATTTTATCCGCAAGTAATACCAAAAGCCGAAATACCAAATTGCGGACAAATCAAAAAATGCGGATAAAATTTTCGGACCTTTTGCGAGTAAGAGAAAAGGACCCAAAATAAAATCAAGAAACTTACAATAGCTGCATTCCACGGGATTTTTCTCATCGGAATTTCTGCAATTTTTTCCTTTTTCTTCCTCAAATATTCAGGTATCTCAACTACATTATGCAAAAGCTGTGTTGGCGGTGGAGGTGGACCACCACCAGGAGCAGTTTTTCCAAATTTTGACAATAAATTTGGTGGTGGTGGCGGCGGTGCTGGTGGCCCAGGACCTCCAGCTCCTCCTCCCCCCTTTTTCAACAAATTTGGAGGAAGCGGAGGGGGTGGCGGTGGTGGCGGAGGCATTGAAGAAGAATTTGATGGTTGGACACTTTTAGGTTTAGGAAATCTCTCCAATTCTGATAATGTTAATTCTGATGGAGCAGGCAAATTAAAAACTGTTTCAGGTGGAAGAACAACATTTCCTGCGTCACCCTTGTTTTTTAACTTGAAAAAATTTTTTTGGGAATTTTTAACCCCCTTAAAAAATTTTTACATATTTTCTCAGCATACTAGTCTCTTCTTGATATTCCTGTATTTTTTTATAATATTGAAGTTGAACAGAAAAAGCTTCTTGTTTGTCCTGTATAGCTGATTCAAGTCGTTTATTGAGTTGCTCGTTTGATTGATTTTCAATTTTTTCCAAAGTATCATCTTTAAAAAATTCTTTTCTTTTCAAAAAATCCTCAAAATTTTAACAAACCTATTGGAATACTAAAATTGAATTGTTTTGAATTCGGTCCATAACCCATATCACCAAATGCAATTTCTGATACACACAGTAAAAACATTTTTAGATAGACTTCTCTACAAAAAAAATTTTGTAAAAAAATTTATTTTTAATTATTTTTAGCGATAAGGGCGTTTAGGCGCCCCCTTTTCATTTATTCCAAGCTTTAGTAAGGGTTACTTTTTGGAGTTCTTAAAACATTTGGAAAAAGACTCGTGGAAAAGGAGACTCTCGTGTGAAGCGGAACCCGAAAAAAAATTGAAAAAATTCCATGTAGAGGACCCTGGAAAAACTTTGGAAAAGGCGGGCATGGAAAACCTTGGGAAAGTAGGACATCCAAAAACCTAAAAGAAAATGAAACCATAAACATCACCTACTAACAAAAAATAATTAATGAAAAACCTTTTATATTTTCTATCATTAACCAAAAGCAAACGAAGAAAAATTTCTTGAAGAATGAATTCACAATCTGTATTTTTACATGATGCAATTAGCATATTTGTACAATCAGAAACATCGCTAACATCTCCTTTTCTATAAAACAAAAAGTTTTTCTGAAAATTAAAAAAATTTTTCTTACAAATTTTCAAAACGATTGAGCAGTTCATCATAATCAGCTTTCAATTCATTTTCGAATGAAGTAAATGCCAATCCAATAGTTTCATTTTCTTTTTCTGCTATTTTTCGAATACTCTTAAAAAATTTATTAGTTTTAATTAGTTAAATTTTTTGAGGAAATCCGCAAGTAAAAATTGCGGACAAAACTTGCGGACTCCGCGAAAAAAATTTTTTTGAAAAAATCCGCAAAAAGCTGAGAACAAAACTTGCGGATTTTCCCAAAAAACATGATAAAACCCCCAAAACAATTTAATAAAAATTACCGGAAGTAAAGGTTTCAATCCTGCAGACATCAATTCATTTCTCCACAACATACGAACACTCCAATCATTGTCATCAATACATGACAATAAAGTGTTGATAAAAACCAAAGCTTTGTACTTAAAAAATTCTTTTTTAATTAAAAAAAATTTAAAAAAAACCGTAATTTGTTTATCTTTAAAATGTAAACATCTAACAATACAAGCAAAACGAGAATTGAAATTTTTCTTTTCTGCAACTGTTGTCATGTCTTTTATAAGGAGAGAATTTCTATAAAGCGGGGGAAAATTAAAAAAAAATTTTTTACAAGTCAAGCCTCTTTCTCATAGAGAAACTTAACATTACCCGACTTAACTACCCACGGGATACGTTTTCCTAAGGTTGGTTAGTAGCTAGGTGAAGTTGGCGCATCCTGGGAAATCTTTCAAATATCGGGATCTGGAACCGATATGAACATAAAATTTTTAGGAAAATCAGGCTTCCTGCCCGCACACAGGGTGATAATAGGTAAAAATTGCTATCGCAAACAGGGCTGGGCCCAATTGGAAAAAAATTTTTTGCAAACGCAATCCGCAATTTTAAAACCCGCAATTGCGCATTGCCCTGATCGCAAATAGCCCCCACCACTATAAGATTAAATTTTTCCGTCCCCAAAGGATAACTATTAAAATGAGGTTCAAATTAAAATTAAAAAGCAAAAAAAAAAACCCTGATATTTCAGATTGTCCAAATCCATCATCTTTTCCCATAAAAGAAATTACTGCCAAAAGTGTTAATATAGACACAATTAATTGATCACATATCGGCAGATTGTGTGGTTTTTCCGGTTTTACGTCGCTGGGAATATTGTGTGATCTTTCAGATTTTAAGTCAATAGCCACATAGAGCGCTTCAATCATTTTACTGCAAAGACGAGAATTTGGGCGAAGAAGGAAATGAATACCAACCTTTAGAAAATTTTTTTGCAATTTTTTAAATAAAATTTTGGCTCTAGGGCAGTTTATGAGTCCAATCAAAAAAAATTTAAATTTTTGTTTTAAAGTTGTGTCATGATTCCGTAAGTCTTCATGTTCAAGAACTACGCCCCCCTGGGCTGGGACCGTTCCTTACGCTATTCCTCGAAATTCTAAAAATTATAATCGTTTTCTAAAATTTTTTACAAAGTACCATAATTCAACTTTGAAACAAAAAAAACAAACAAATTTTTTCTAATTGGACTCATAAAGTGCGATTGGACTCATAAACTGCACTAGAGCCAAAAATTAAATTTCCTTACATCACAATTAAGACAAGCTCTAGATATTTCCAATATTTTATTTAAACAAAAAACATAATCATCTGCAGCAGTAGTACCCAAATCTGTTTCACTTTTTAAACGTTCAATTTTGACCAATAATTTGGACATCATTGAAACTAAAAGTTGAAAACCTCCCTCTCTTCCAAACTAAAAAAATTATAAAAAAGATTATCAAGAAAATTTTCAAAAAAACCTCTTCAACCCAAGGATAATTTTGAGTACTTAAAATAACTCCCAAGCTTTGCAACAATTCTTTAAAATCATCTTTTGATTCAAGCGCTTTTTTCATTCGTTCACAGTAAAAAGAGGGACCCTTAAAGATGATAAAATTTTAAAATTTATTTAAATTAGTAGTCGGAAGGGGGTAGAGCCTTCGGTGTTAAGGTCGGGGTTTTTGCCGATAAGAATCGACGAGGTTTCGGAGGACGGGAAGTCCTATTACATCCAACATTTTTAAAATCTTATGAAATGGGAAATGAACTTTTTTTTTAAAATTTTTTATCCAAAATATTTTTGCTGATACGTGTCCTTATCCAACGAACACAAATTTTTTAAAACTAATCTTTCAGATAAATTTCCAGAACCCAATTACTATTTCCAAAAATGAAAATCAAAAAACAAACCTCCTGTTTTCCAAAATCATCTCGTTGAAGACGATATTGTTGTTGACACAAATGAATTTTCATTCTTCGATCAAGAGCCTGCATTGTTTCCTCAACATTTTTTTGTTTAATGTTATCCATCTAAAAAATCTTAAGAACAATTTAAAGAAATTTAAAAAACCAATATTTTCTTTATTATTTCATCCAATTCAGAATCTTCCAAGTCATTAAAATTCGGGACATAATTGTGAGCCTAAAAAATAAAAAAAATTTTCAAAAAAAATTAAAAATTTTTTTGAAATTTTTCGAAAAATTTTCGAGAATTTTTCGTAAATTTTCAATAATTAGAATTTTTTAAAAATTAAAAAAAATCAAAAAATTTTTTCAAATAAAAAAATTTTAAAAATTTAAAATTTTCGAAAATTTGAATTTTCGAAAATTTTCATTTAATTTTCGAAAAATTTTTAAAAATTTTTCCAAAAATTTTTTCTTCCTTACGTTTGATGTTGTTGCTCTATTAGCCTCATCGCTTTCCTTGTCTTTTTTGCGACTGTGCAACATTTTTCAAAACACTCAAAATTAAAAAAATCTTAAAAAATTATAAAAATTATTTAAAGGTATTTTAATAGGCATAGATTTCAGCCCTTAAAAATTAAATTTAAAAAAAATTAAAATCTTCTATTTATAAACTCTTTTTTTTATAGAAAATGAGAGATCAGAATTTTGTAAGTATAATTAAAAGTATCAAAAATATGGCAAATCCTGCAAGTAAAACAATTAAGTGCATCTTTTTATTGCCTCTTTGATATTTTTCTGCCTTTTGTACACTGAAAAACAAATTTTTTAACGAGAAAAATCAAAAAAGACAAATTTTTGTTTTTGCGGATTGTCCGCAAAAATATATTCTATCAGAAAAATGAACGCAAATATAATCCGTAATTTTTAAAAAAATATGTCACATTTACACATGTCTCCAGAATATCAGACAAACGTCGAAATACCAAGTACTTGAACTTTTGGCATTTCGGCGGTTTTTAAGAGGTTTGGTATTTCAGCGGTTGGTAGTACTACGTCCTACGTAATCTCAAATCTTGTGTAAAATTATTTTTGCATTCATTTTAGAAAATGATTAAAAAACTTCTTTCCAAACCTTTCCATAGCCGATTTAATTTTAGTCGAAGAATGTTCTACATTATAATCAATTCTATCCAAAATTGTTCCTTGGTCAACAATCATTGAAGCAATATCTTTTAAAAAAATTTTTTTTAATTTCAAAAAATATTTTTCAAAAAAAAACCTTTAAATATTCCATTCATTTCTAATATAGATTTACTTATTTTTAATATTTCCATTTCTCTAACTTTTGTAACATGTTCATTTTCAAGAATTTGTTGAATTTGTAAAATTGATTGTTCCTCCTCAATTACAGGGATTTCTGATGGAGCAGAAAAAATTGTAGCATCTGATTTAACAAGAAATGAGTCCAATTTACTGTTGGAATCCAAATGACGCAAATAATCTGATTGACTGAAAATTTTTATTAATTTTGCGGACTGTGCGCAAAAAAATTTGCGTAAAGTCCGCAGAAATCTGAAAATTTACCTAACACGAAAATCATTAATAAAATTTGTCAAAGTAAGCATCATATTGGAAATAACATTCTTTCTAATTTCATCAAGAGCACCAACGCTAATATTATCTGAATCTTCCAGCAGGCTAAAAGTTTAATAAAAAAATAATTTGAGGATAGTATTATTTCTTTAAAACAATGTGAAAGGGAGAGGGGGGTCGAGTTACCAAACACATGGATTTTATTCGACTCAAAATCCGAAAGTTGATTTGAATAGAATTTTGAAACTCCGAGTGAAACCCGATATTTTTACTAACCCACCCCTCAAAAAATATAAAGGAATTAATATCCAAAATAGCGTTATGACAAAATAACATTTTTTAAATTCACAAACCGTATAAGTCTTCTAGCATGATTAAACATGTTTGTTATTTCTTCAGTCAATTCTTGTATCTTAACTTGTTCTGAAGTCATTTCATCATCAGCAATTGAAGGATTTCGCAATTTCTTCTGAAAAAATATTTTTTAATTATTTAAAAAAAAATTAAAAAAAAGCAAACATTTTGTAATTCTCTCAAAGAAAATATTCTCGATTTAATTCTTGTAAATTCATAATTAATTTCATCAATTACATTAATCCATGCTGGTGGGGTTTTGTTATAAGAAATCTTGTCTTCATTTAGATTTATTAAACGAACTGTATCTTCTAAAAAATTAAAAAAAATTTTTTCGAAAAATCGAAGAAATTTTTTACCAAAATTTCTGTAGAAAAATTATAGAAAATTCCCAGAAAATTTTTTAAAAAATTCGAAAAATGCCAAAAAAAATAAAAAAATCCACAATCCAAAAACTTCCAAAAAAGTTGCAAAAATTCCATCAAAATTTTCAAAAAAAAAAAAATCACGAGAAAAATTTTTTAAGAATTCAAAAAAATTTCCAAAAAGATCAAAAATCTCCAATCCAAAAAAAAACAAAAAAAAACCCCCCAAAATTTTTTACCTGAATTTTGTTTTTGTTCAAAATCTACAGCAAAAAATTGTTCTTGTTTTGTAGCATTTCGAAGGTAAACAAATACCTAAAAATAAAATTTGAGGAATTTGATGAATACGTTTATAGGATTAAAAAGAGAACCACAAAATAAAAAGCAATAGAAAAAAAACAATAAATAGAATTTGCATTAATCATGACAAAATACCCAAAATTTTTATTGAGGACATTAGAGTCACAAAAAACTATTTTAAAAATCTTTAGTACATTAATGACGGAATCAGAAACTATGGGGGGATATCCAAAAATTGCCAACCCCCAAAAATATTTTTATAAAAATAAACCTACTTCCGTAAGATTTCTCATCGCTCCGCTAGGCGGCTGAATAGACAACGAGCCCATTTTTGTTCTGTTTTCTGTTCTTTGTCAAATCAAAATGTCATTCATATAAAATTAAAGAAAAAAAAATTTTAGAAGAAAAAAATTAAAATATAAAGAAATCAACTTTAAATGACGAAAAAGATTAAAATATTTTTAAATAATTTATTTAAATATTTAAAAAAAACAACCCAAAAAATATTTCAAAAAATTTATAATTCATCTCCAGCAGGAATTGATTCATGCAAAATTCTATGGAATTTAATTCTTAATTCAGTTGGATCAGGAAGATCAGCAACAAGAGTAACCTTTTTAATTAAAAAAAATAATTTTTGATGCTCCTAAAACACAAAATAAACCCAGCAAAAAAACCAGTATTCCATCGAAAATGTCAACTTTAGTTAAGTGGGATAATTTTTGGAAAAATCGACGAAGGTTCGAACCCGCCTGTGGAAAATTATTTTTAAAGACAATATAAAATGTTTTTCGACCTAATTAACTTTTAAAACCCCCTCTAAATAAAAAAAATAATTTTAAAAACCTGCACTTCCATATGCATAGCTTCTAATGCTCCTCTTATACATCCACAAATAACCTTAAAACCATAAAAAATAAATTTAGAAAATTTTTTTAGAAATAAACTTGAGAATAACACAAATCTTTAAATTCCACAGGTTTCTCAACAAATTCAGTCAATGGGTTTTGGTCAATAATTAAAGAAAATTCATCGCCAACATTTCCAATTTGATTGCTTTGGGCTATAACACCTTCAAAAAATCAGAAAATTAAATTTCAAAAATTAGAAAAGAAAACCTAGATATGTTTTTAACCCATTTTTTGATATAAGCTCCATAACTTGACGAAAATCTGAACATCTACCAATACGGGGATTTTTTGAAAGAAAATCGTCTGCAAGCCGAAGACCCCTGAAAATTTTATTATTCGTATAGGTTGGAATTTTTTAAGTAAATTTTAGAAATTTTTCCTCCTTTTTTGGAGTGGGGGATTATGTTATAAATTAGCAAACACGCATAGCATAAATTGACTAAAAAATGGTGTTCCTCAGACGGGTAAGAACCTTTTTCCTTTTACAAGATTATCCCACTACACCAAAGTAGGCGTTTTTGCCATTTTCGTTTTTACCTTTGCCATTCAAAAATTAACAAGAATTTATTTGGCATATAAAAATTTAGAGGGAAAAATTTTTTCATAAAATCATCAAAAAACTTTAAAAAATAAAAACAAACATATTATAACCAATTTTGTCCAACTGACGATTAACCTCCTCGGGGGATTCCAAATCACTTATCAAATCGTTGACTAACGCTCCATATGTCAAAATAAAGAGTTCAGAACTAACCTTGAAAAATTTTTATTTTTAATTTAAAAAAATAAAAAAAACCATTTTAAAATCAGACGGTTGTTGTTGTTTTGTTGATTTAGCCATAACTTTTTTCTTGCTACTAAAAATAATATAAAACCAAAAAAAGTTAACGTTAAAATTTTAAAAAAAAATTGAAAAGAGTTAAATAGAACTCTCATAAAAAATTTAAAAAATAATTTCCAAAAATTAATTTTATTTAAAAAAATAAAACAAATCAAACTTTTAAAAAAACCACACAACTTCAAATTAAACATTTTAAATTCATTCATTCTTCATCTGAACTTGATTCTTTCTTTTTCTTTTTAGATTTTTTTGGTTTACGTTCACGTTCATCTTCATGATCCTAGAAAAAAAATTTTTTTAATGTAAAAGAAAAATAATATTTTTTGCGGACGAATTTTGCGGACAGACAAAACTAAAAATTAATAAGGGCATTAACCAAGTCCGTTCATGGTTTGATGAAATAATATTTTATTAAAATTTAGGTACTGAGTGATGGAGAGCTAACTATGAGAAACAAACTTGGGGTCGAAAAATCGCAGCCTAAAACGTATTTAAAATCGTACCCTAAAACAATAGGTATTGATTATAGAGCTCAAGGGCATAGACAGGAGGTCGATTTCGGGAGGGGAAGGGGCTACGCCCTTGATGCAGCTCCCTCCTCAATGTCAAACTCTTAATAATTTTAACAAAACATGACTCCATCAAAAATTAATAAAAGCCTTGTTTTATTGACCTTGCAAAATTCTGTCACTGATGCGAGCAACGGATCCATTAAAAATTTTTTTAATCCGCAAAATTTGTCCACAAAATTTCTTTTAATTTTCCAAAAAAATTCCAAACCTCTTCACTCTTTCTTCTCTTCTTCTTTTTTTCTTTCTTCTTTTTAGATGAAGATGTAGTAGTACTATTTGCTTTTGTTGGTCCATGAAAATGTCCACAAGCTTCTTGTATTGACCTTATATAAAAATTAAATATTTGTTCTTTTAATTGGTCATCTTCTATAGCTTTATATTGTTCTTCATCTTTTATTAATTCTAAAATTTGTTCCCATTCAGCTTCTGGTTCTATTGGTGGAGTAATTGATTGGAGCAGACTAATAAAGGATTCTTCTAATTTCTTTTTCTAAAAAAAATTTTTTTGGGGAAATAAAGTCTATTTTTTTTTTTTAAAATAAGCAAAAATGTGCTGTCAGACCTCACTATAAGCACACCCTTGAAACTGAAAAAACGTACACTAAAATGAAGTGTATCAGAAAATTAGGAGGTTATCGCTTATGAAGCCAATGACAAGGCCAATGACTAACCAATGACAAGGGATATTGCATTATTAAATACAAGGATATTGTTACAAGGATAGTATTACAAGGACCCCAACTTCTAGAAAATAACGACCCCACCCCCAATCCCAACTTATCCATTTTCTTGTTAAATGTCTTTGGGCCAACCGACCTCTGGCCGTTCAAAGTATCGGTCCTCAGTTTTTTTAGTATGGGGCTTAAAGTATAGCTAGTGTTGAGTGCAACTTATATTGACATCTACAACAACCAGAAGTAGGCTTCAATTCCAAAAGCTAAAAGTTGCGGTGCTATCGTCACTTCCTACCCTTGTAATAACCACCAGAAACCCCATAAAAATTAATTTTTTGAAATTTTCACAAACCTTTTTATCCATTTCCCGTTCACTTTCCTTCACCTTTTCAATAGCTTTATCACACAAAGAATAATAACAAAATTTTAAACTGTTTGTAGAAATTTTCTTTCCTTTAGGATGTTCTCTAATCCATTGTTGAAAATGATCAAAAGCCACAGAATCTTTCAAAACAATTTCTTTTTGAACCAAAATTTCTTTAACAATTTTTTTATCAGTGTAAAATTGATTTTTTAAATCTTCTACATAAAATTTAAATAAATCAAGAGATGTTGAACCAGTTGTTAATAACATATTTTCGAAACGGCGATCTGCAGAAATTGTTGGGTATAAGGATGCCCATGTACTTGTTGGTGTTATCTTTATTAAAAAAATTTTTTTTGAGTATAAAATATTTTCTAAACTATTTTTAAAAAATAATGTTTATCAGAGGAGCCCACCCATCAACAAAAATTATACACGAAAAAAAGAATAAGTCTCAAGACCAGGACTATACGCAATTGCGAATTGCGTAAAATTGCATGTTTCTTTGAGTTACGAATTGTGTTGCGACTAATCGGTCGCGACTAGTTGGCCCGCGACTAATCGGGCGTGTCCCCCCAAAAATCCGTAAAGCCAAAAATTATCTCGAAAAATTTCATTGTAAAAAGTTAAAGGTCTAGTTCACTTTTTTTACTTTTCCTATAGCCTAACCTATTTAAAATACTAAATAATTTTAAAACAAAAAACCAAACCAATCCTCTTTCAAATAATTCCGATAAAAATTGAATAAATTGTTCACGTGTTTTGCGTTCACTTCTTTTTATTCTAAGCGCTTCATTTTGCTTTTCTTTTAAATAATGACCTTCAGCAGATTTTATATGATTTTGAAAAACAATTAAAGCATCTTCTTTATCCATACCTACAAAGAAAATTTAGACAATAATCAAAAAACATGCAAAAAATCTCTCAGGAAAGCAATTTCAAGTAAGTCAAAAAAGTAATAAAAGGAAAGGGGGTTCTGTTAGGAATGTGAGAGCCTGATCGCTAATGACCAGAATACATTCACAGATCCAATAGAATTTTTTTTTCAATCTTTTTCTAATAACAGAGGGTAGCTCCATTCTTCTATCAGTCTTTAATTTTTAAATACACGTCACCACATCAGTCAGTGATATTTTTAAATAAAGGCCAGCCCAATTAAGCTACCCTCCCATCACCGACTTATCAAAAACCAATCTTCCCCAAAACCAAAAAAAAACCTTGTAAAATTGTATCTCTAGCAAAATCCGGATTTTCAATCAAAATTCTCTGTGCTTGTGCCCAAGTTGTTGTATGATCTATAGCATCCATTCCTTCCAAAATATCACCCAAAGTTTTTATATTTCTTTCTTTTGTCACTTTTTTCTGTTCAGCATCCAATTTTATTATTGCTTTTTTAACATCATCAAAAATTTCTCTTCTTTCAACATCTGATACAGCTCTCCATAAATGTTCATCAGCAAAATATTTTTCAGCTTTATGATATCTTAGGGTTGGCTTCATTCTTACATTTGACATTAACCTTTGAAGAAAGAAAATTTTTTTGTTTTAAAAATTATTTAATAAACCATTCTTCCAAATTTTCTTTAGCTTTTTTAATTGCTGTTCTTCGTTCATGCTATAAGAAAAAGAATAATTCATAATTTAAGAAATTTAATAAAAAAATTATTTCAAAAGAGAAAAGGAAAGGTTTACAAAAAATGACCCAAGAATTCGAGTTACCTAGGCGAAGATGACTAAAAATTCAAAACATGAGACATTTACTAATAAGGATGTAAAGATGGAAGGGGCGTATCGAGGGGCTCAACATAAATTTGTGCTTCGACATTAAGGCAAACCAGAAGGTCAAAATAAAAAACATCTTAATTCAAAAAAAAAATAAAAACCCACTCTTTCATCTTTTGATCTCTGAATCTTCCATGCACTGAAAATTTGTTTTTTCTCGGAAACTTTGGGTAATATTTTAAAACGAACATCATGTTGAATATATTTACTAGCTTGTTCCCAACTCATGTTTGTATTTATACGACGGTCGTTAGCCTAAAAAAATTCATTCGAAATTGTCAAAAATTTCTCGAAACCTTTTCTTGAAGCATTTCTCGAAAAATTTCAATTTGCCGTTTCTTCAAATTAATTTCCTGCTCATCCTCAGGCTCTTCTTTCTTCGGTTCCTCAACCTTAATTTTCTTTTTATCTTCAGATTTTCCGTCAAAAGCCATTAATGTAGCTTCCATTGCCTTCTCTATTTCGGAATTTGGTGTATTTTGAGCTGGTTCAGGTTTCTCATCTTTAACTAAAAAAACCATGGTTAGGGTCGGCGGATCGAAAAATTTCCGAATAACTAGATCCGTGATCCGAACAAGGGATGCCTCGGATTAACCAAAACCCGAATTTTTTACTTCACAAAAAAACCCACGAATATTCCAACGTCTGCCAACTTTCCTATTAATTCACCTCAAAGATCGGACCCGAAATCTGAGCTTTATTCCACCCAAACTTTTCCTCAGCCTGTGACATTCCTAATCCAAACTGAATTTTTATCAGATCCAGAACCCAACCCTAACCATCGAAAAATAAAATTATTACCTTCATTTAATATTTCAGGTTTTGTCCATGTCGTAATCTTTGTCACAGTATTGTAATAATATGTCTTTTCTTCTGGCGTTTTATATTCCCTCCAAACTGATTTTTCCTTCTTAAAATAAAAATGAGTTTTTAAAGAGAAAACTTCAACAAAACCTCTTCACTTGTCTTTAATTCATCAGGTTTAGTCCAAGAAGAAACTTTTGTCACTTTATTGCTTTAAAAGAAAGCTTTTAAAAAACGAGAAAAATTTTTTACTAAAAATATATTCGTCCATTATCTGCAACGTGTTGAGACCAAATCGAACTTGCTTCATTTGAAGATGAAGGCTTTACATCAGAATCGTTATTTTCAGCTTTAGCCATCTAAAAGTGTAATAAAATGTCTAAAACAAAAGAAAATATTTAAAAAATGAAAAAAATCAGTTGAAAACAGTCCAAAAAAGAAGCCAAAAACAAGCCAACCCTATTAAATTTTGACTCTACTTCAACTTTTTGTCTAACGTCCCTAATTCTCTCTTTAACCCACTCTCTAGTTAATAGAAAAATGTCAAAATGTAAAAACAGAAAATAACTAAAAAGGCATAATTTTCAAAATATTCCTCTACTTTTTATCTCTCACCGCACTATTTCATCTATTATTTTCACTCTAGCCAAAAGTCAAATGTCAAAATGTAAAATAGTAAAATAACTAAACAAGCTTCATTTTTAAAAACATCCATAAAAGTTTTCTCTCTAACCATACTCTCTCATCATCATTTAGAGTCTAAATCATCTTTTAGAGTCTCAAAGTTTGTGTTGTACACAAAGTTTGGTAGAGAGCACAACAAACATTGTTTCAGCACAAACGTTGTGTTGCACAAATTTTCTAGCTTTTCTCACAAATTTTATGATATAAAACCCTTCAATTTGTTCTAATTTTTTTATTTAAACAGATCTACCCATTCTAATTACTGAACAAAAAAAATCAATGGAAGGTTCAAATTCTTCTACAGAAAAATCATCTTCTAAAACTTTAAATGCTTTAATCGACCAATTAAACAAATTAAAACATTTTCGTATTCACACAGGAAATATTAATACTTTTGTTGATTTGAAACTTAAAAGATTTACAAATTCTGCTGAGGAACTTAAAGAAACGTTTAAATTGGTTTTGAATAATTTACCTTCAAATATTTCTGTTGGGTTTGTTTTTTTTTATTTTTTTAGAAATCATTTGGCTAGACTATTCATGAACACAACCAAATTCGAATGATTTTTGACCCCAAAATCAGCTTGGTCTTTCCCTGTTTCAAATTTAAGGGTCTGAAAATTTGGGGAAAAAGTTCTCAGCCCCACCACTTCTTTCCCCCACGGTGCTGCCTTCCAAAGACTCGCAACCACTTTCCCTAAGTTGCTCCACAACGATGATTGTTTTGAGCATTTTTATTGGTGTTATCACGTCATTTAAGACATGAAAACATGAATTTGGTGTGTTCAGGAGCGATGGTTTTACCAATCCCCTTCTCTTTTTTAGGGATGATGGAATGCTTCTTTTAGTTGATAAAAAACATTGCGACAATGTTTATGAAAGAGAAGATTTGAAGATTACTTTAAAACTTTTTCTTGAGAAATTTGATTACGATTATATTAAAGATGCTGTTGGTAAGCGATTTTTAAGAGGTTTTTGGGGGTTTTTGAGGGTTTTAAGCCCCTGGGTTTTTAGCCAGGAATTTTTTGGAGGGTTGAAGTCGATAAATCGGAAACTTTTTTGAAGATTCCCCCACCTTCCCCCCCCTTGGAACTACCTCTCACTCCGTACCATTTTTTTCCATGACACCCCACCGTCGGGAACAGCCCTAGAAAGTTTTTATTTGTTACTTCTTAAATTCTCCCAATTTTTATTAATATTTTTTAGAGGCTGTAATAAAACAACTCAAAACGGATTCAATCGAACAATTAATTCTATCCTTTCCAGAATCAGGTTAATTTTAAAAAATTCTATTTTGTCCGCAATTTTTTGCGGACAAAAATTTGCAGAATTTTCCCAAAATTTTTTTATTTTCCCTCTCATTTTAGAATCAAATTCTCCCGATTCAATTGACGAAAAATGGTTTAATGAAGTTTTGCGTGTTTGGAAAGAAACAGAAAATGGATTGATAGCACAACGGAAGGTTTTGTATATGGGGGTTGCCGATTTTCAATTACCTGAGCTTGATCTTTTATTTAAAAAAGCTGTCCATAAACCAGGGATTGTTCATGTTTTTATCGATGGATGTTGTGTGGTTAGTTTTTTTTAAATAAAATAATTTTTTAATTGAAGTGTTGGAGGAATTGGGGGGTGTGGGGGAGGGGTCGGTCTTTATATGCAGTAAAATTTTCAAAATTTTTAGACCTGGAAATTCAAAAAAATTTAGGTATAAAAAATTTCAAAAAAAAATCTAAAAATTTTCTAATATTTTTTAAAAAATTTTACTTAAATTAAAAAAAAATTTTTTTTGACTTAAAAATTACCCAACAAAATTTTAGACCTGAAATTCAATAAAAAAATTTTTTCCAAAAGGTTAATCCAGAGCTTCAAGCCTATGCTAAACAAAATTCAATTCAACTTTTAACGCACAATGATCCAAAGCCTTTTCCATTAAAAGAGGTTTTGTTAAAATTTTTAAAAATCAAAAATTTTCCAAAAATTCTTTTCAGGTCTTTCATTGTTTTTGTGAGGACAAATCTGATCCCGATTCGTCTCGAATTTGTCAAACTTTATTTGAGCCTGTCTGGGCAGCTAGATATACTGTTTGGGTACGGAGGCGTTCATTAATGGCTGCAAAGGTTTGGCAAAAAAATTTTTTAAAGGCATTTAAAAAAATTTTCGAGACTAACTAAGGGATGGGGATAATTTAGTAAGGTCTCGGCCTTTATTCTCTTCCTTAAATTAATTCTGAATTTTTCATAATATAATTTTTTACAAAGTCAAATATCCCGTAAATTCATTTTAAAAAATTAAAACAAAATTTTAAAAAAATTTTGGGTAAATTAAGAAAGGGAGGAGGTGTCTAGGTCCCTCGCTGGTCCCCGCCGTATTCCCATAAATTCATCTTAATAAAAAATTAATAAATTTCTTCAAGTCGATATTTTCAAGGGATTCATTGTTCAGTTTACCGCTTCAGATGCCACCAAATAATACAAAATATTACTTTAAATTTTAAATTAGTGGATGGTATAATACTTTTTAATTATTTTTCTTAAATTATTTTTTAAATCCAACTTAACTGTTTTTTTCGATTAAAAAAAAATTTTTTTTAATTTTGGCTGAATAAAAATAAATTTTTTTAATTTTAAAAATGATTCCCAGGAAATATCAGAGGCTAAATGAGATCCCCCAGCCTCTTCAAAAAATTTTTTCTCCAAATAAGAATTAAATTTCCCTCTACCCCCTCCCTTTCCTCACTTTTCTCCCCTCTCCTTCAAATCCAAAAATTAAAAAAATAATTCCCAAAAAAATCAGAGGACCTCCTCGACCCCTCCTTAAATTTTTTCCCTTCAAATAAAAATTCGTTTCCTCTCCCCGTTAAATTTAAAAAAATTTAAATTGTATCTTTTGTTTACAAAATTTTTATGTGTGAAAAAATTATTATTAAATAAAAAAGCACAATTTCGACTATTATTCCCTTCCTGTTTTCCTTCTCCCTCTTCCTTTAACCTCATAAAATTGCTCATTTTTATATAAATGTGTAAGGTCTCCCTCCAAAATAAAATTTTTTTAAATTTCAATTAAATGAGGTAGCGACCGTTTGAATGTTTTTCTCAATTAAATTCTCTCTCTTTTTTCCCCTAATTCCTCCCACTTGTAAAAACAACAAAAATTTTTCTGTTTCCTTCCTTTCTTCCACCCGATTTGCGCACTAAACGCCCTCAAAAAAATTTTTTCTTCCCTTCTCCCGCTACTTTTTTTTAAATAAATATATTTTTCTAAACAACCAAAAACATTCAATCATCTTTCTTTTTAATAAAGCTCTTTAAGTCGATTATAAATGATCAAAATATATATTTAATAATAATATTATTTTTAGCTTTCTTTAATTTATTTTCCTTGTCATTTATTGATTTAGACAAATCTTTCCACTAAATTTTTTCCTTCGATCTCCAAAATCTCCCCTCTCCCTTCTTCAATCCCCAAATCTTCCCCTAACCAACCTCACATCTCTCTCCTCTTAAATTATCATTCATTTAAAGTTACACTTTCAGTTCCACTCTAAATTATCTCGCCTTCAGCCAAAATTTTCCCCCGAGCTGTTTTGAAACAAAAATATTTTTGTAAATCGAAAAAAGTTCGAAAATATTGAATCGAGTAACCTAAAAGTCGAAAACGAAAATTTAAAGAAAAAACCTCGAAATTTCGAAACAGCACTGCCCCCAACCTCCTCCCGCTTCTTCCTTTAATCCAAATCTCCCCTCCCTTCATAAATTATCATTCATTTAAAACACACTTTCAAATCTCGGGTGTTTCTTTACAAACAAATATTTTATTTTATTTAATCTCGACTGATTGGTTCAATTTGGAAAAAACTTGGAAGGATTTTTAATCGATCACTTTCAAGTCGATCTCCTCTTCCTTAATTTTCCTTTTCTCCTTTAACTTTTAAAATAAAAATTAATCTTCTAATCTTATTCCTATCTCCAAAATAAATAAATTTATAATATATTTTGGAAGTCCTCTTAAAAATATCACACACAAATAAACACAGTTGTCATATCCTTCTTTTTTAAAATTTTTCAAAAAAAATTAAATATAGAAAGTACCTTTTCTCCAAAAAATTTTTTTTATTTTATTATTTGATTCCCCCCATTTCCCCTCTCTCATTTCCCCCATTCTCTCCCCTTCCCTTTCCTCGTCAAGAGGCGTCATTTGGCCATAAACTTGGAGGAAATTTTACAAATCTTTTTATTTTCATATATTTTATTTAATCAACTTGAATAGGTTACCCCCTGGATTTTAAAATTTTTTTTTAATTTTTACAGAAATTTTTTTTAATTTTTTTTTGATAAATAATCTCTTAAGAGAGAGGGTCTTTATTTAAGTTTTTAAATTTTATTATTTTTTCAATAATTTATTAATCATCTTTTTTTAATACACACATTCATTCCCTCTCTCAATCCCTCCTTTTTCTATTTTTATAAATTTATTTACCAAGTATAAAAAAATTTTAAAAATCAAAAATCTTTTTAATTTTCTGAGAAATCATTTTGTTTAAAACTTTCAAATTTTGGCCCTTTTTTCTTCATTATTTAATCTAGGATTGCCAAAATGGACCGAGACTCGGACCAAAAGGATCGAGTCATGCCTAAGATATTTGGCCCGAAAAAATGACTCGTACTGGTCCGACTCGATAAAAACAAGCCTGAAAAAATGCCTCGACCATCGGCCCAACTCGAAAACGGCAACCCTAATTAAAAAAACCCTAATTTTCAGAAAAATCTTTTTTTATCTATCCATCTATATCAATTTATCTACAACATTTTTCAATTTTTTGATTTTTTAATATTAAAAAGCCAAAACATTCAATAAATAAGAAAAGGATTTGAAGGGAAAAACATAAAATAATTATTATATAGCCAAAAATCTTCCCCAAAAAATCCCCAAAAATTCCCTAAAAAATTTAACAGCAATAAAATTGTGTCCCATACATTTCCTTCTTTTTCAAAGCAAAAAAAGCTTTTATCTCCCCATGTCCTCTTTATTTTTTTCCTATTTATCCCCTCCATTTTTATTCCTATTTTATTATTATTATTCACTTCCGGGCTTTTCTACCTTTTTTTTACTATTTTTTCCTTATTTTCCCCTCAAAAACCTTATGCCATTTCCAACATTTATTTTTATGTTTGTACTCATTCCCATGCATTTTTCTCTCTTTTTCCTAATTTTATTTTCTAGTTTTTTTTAATTAAAAATGCAAAATACTTTTTTTAAACCAAAAAAATGAATCGAATAAAATAGAACATATGTATATCCACTATATTTTTGGCTGAATTATTCTCCTAAAAATTAGGTTGATAGACTTTTTAATCCTAAAAAATTTTTTTAACTATTATCTAATCATAATTTTTCATAGTTATCCTCACAGTTATCTCACTGGCCATGAGCGCTCTATCTTATCCCTTTTATCTTATCCCTTTTATCTTATCCCTTTTAGTGTACCATCAAAAAAGCTCTTAGTTATCCCACCTCTCCACCTTATCTCACTTCTCTCATCTCACTTATCCCAGCTTACCACATCCTCTCTAAATTATCTGCGCTTGTCTCGTATGCAACAAAAAGCTTTAAATTATCCCAGATGACATGATTTCCCCATCTTCGTGTACCGTCAGAAGCTTTCAGTTATCCCAACTGACTATGATCTCTCCATATTATCTTACTTATCCCATTTTCGTATACCTAATCCAATTCATTTTTAATTTTTTTCAAAGGGTCAATAATTATTTACATATTTATTTTAACCAAAAATGTCTTCCCTACTAAAAACACAACCCTTTGGATGTACCCAATTAGAAGCACTTTTTCGACATCAATTGCTTCACCGCTCTGCTGGTGATCTACTCAAACTTTTAACTATTCTTGTGCCTATACAATTAGCTCTTGCTCTCTTTCGCGTTCCAGAACCTGGCCCAAGCCTTTTTTGGTTGAGTGGATCTGCTTCTGTTGGACTTGGTAAACGAGTTTATTACCGTAAATCCTTTAATAGAACCACACATGCTTCTATTTTTCAATCCTCTCGTAGGGCGTAAGGTTTACGGATCCGGATTCGAAAAAGGCTAGAAAAAGGCTTCATTAGAAATGTTGTTCTATTAGAGGACTGACAGAAATGTATATAACAGTGAGTTCAGTGCCCCCTCCCTCCCTCAATTTCTTCTTAATATGTACATAATGGTCAGACTTCTTTCTTTAACTTCACTCGATTTCTTGTGGCATATTCAAAGTTATAATCGAGTAGAATTGAAGGAAGTAGTTTTATTAAAGAATTAAAGGGTTAGTGGTCTGACTATTATGTACATAATAAGAAAAATAGAGGAAGGGGAGGGAGCGAAATTCGTATTACCTAAATTTAAATAGAAAATCGAAGATCATGTCCCTGATCACTCAAAAATCAATCCTAAAATTAATTTTTAAGCACTCGCCCTCGGCCTAGCTTGCGCCTCATCATCAACTCAACACTCCCTAGTCACTTTCTGTGCAATTTGGTTATGTTCAAATTCCTTAATTTTAATGTTCTGGCCAGCCATAGCTTTACTCCCTTCATTATCCATTCTTTTATTGCTATATTCCTTCTTTCCTTTTCAACTTTTAATTACTTTTACAATTTGTTTGGCCATTTCTTTTTTACAATTGAGTAGTGTTGTCCTATTTGCAATTCGTGAGGATGAAAGGAATGAAGGAATTGGATTGACAAAATCTGTTGCTTTGTTGTTAGCTCATTTATGGGCACATATTGTTGGACTTTATTCGTTTTCTACTAGTTTGTTGCCTTTTGGTATAAAATTTTTTTAAAAATTAGGCAGGAAAATTGGTCGAGCAGTTTTTTTAAATGCTAGGCTTGCTTTAGACAATGAATCTGAATTACAAAATGAAGTTGGACGAATGGTGGGATATAAAACTATTTTTCAAAAACCTAGATTGTCGTAGCTACCCAAATAAGTACCCTATGTAAGCATTGTTTCAACCTCTCGCTAGAGGGGGTTAGTAAAAGGGAGAGGGTAATTATTTGAGATTATTTTAAAAGGGCTATAAAGGCTAGAAGGAAGACAGGCTATAAAGGCTTTTTAAAGGGGGAGGGGATAATTATTGGTTTCAACCTCCTGATAATGGAGATTGAAATGGAGGGATAATTATTTGAGAGGTTAAGTATCTCAGTATTTTTTCTACTGTAATTTTTCAAAAAAAATTTTTTAAAGGCCCAAATTTTGTCTGGTTCATTACCTCCACATATTGTTCGCTCAGTCCAAAGCCAGCTAGGAGTATCCGAAGTTCCACGCGTTTTTGTTGAACATTTTGATCAGTGCAGTGTTGTTTATGCTCATCTTTATGGACTACCTAATTTATTGCTTCAATTACAACCCCCAGATTCTGCCAAACTTTTAAATGAATTTGATTGGAGAGTCTCAAAATTGGCAGAGGAGAGTGGTCTTTTACTTGTTCCAGCTACAAGTTCAGAAATTGTAGTGGCGCTAGTTGGGCTTCCTTTGGCCATAACTGACTCAGAAAATGCCCAAAACGTCCAAGGACAAAAAACATCCCTCTCCTCCTATCAAAATGCGGCAGCTATTGCCTGCCAATTTTCTATTGATCTCTTAAATTTGTGCCAATCATTTTGTGAAGCAACAAACAATAATAGCAACAACAACAATGAAGCCCAATTACAAATTAGAGTTGGTATTGGAAGTGGGAGTTTGTCTGCCGGAATTGTTGGTTCTAGACGTTGGCATTACGATGTTATGGGAATGGCTATAGATGCTGCACTTCATTTGGAGGCAAATTGTCCGGCGGGGGCAATTTTGCTTTCTGAAGATACTTGGAGGCATTTGGCTGGGGGAAAATTTGCTGCTGAACGAGTTAGTGTATAAAATGTTTCTGACCCTTTTGTACCTTTACCCCAAAAATTAAAATTAGGGTTGGGCCCGACCCTTAGGGGTTTGGAGCTGGGCTTGCCGAGGGATGAGAATTCGGGGTCAGGGTTAGGCTGGGTCGAAGACCAATCAAAATTAAAATATTATAATTTTATCAATAAAGATGGGTCAAGGAGCCTGGAAATTATTAACAACAACAGAAGCATCTCAAATTGTTCAACCATTACTATTTCCAACACCTTCAAGGAGATTATCCCTACTTACATTACAACAATTACTACTTAGACTTTTACAGCAGCAACAGCCCAAAGTATAGACTAGGGTTGTTCGCAGTCTGTTACCGAACCGTAACCGAAAATCGGGTCGAAAACCGGCCATGAGCGAAAACCAGGGGTCGAAAACGGGGGGTCGAAACCTTAGATCGAGGGTCGAAATGTCATAACTGGAAACAAGAAAGTTACCGGTTAATAACCGGCAGTGAACAACCCAAAGTATAACCCCCTCTCATTTACCCCCCTTCAGAAATCAGAAAAATATTTTTTTTAAAAAGTAGGTATCAGCATTCTCTAATGCCCTCAGTACACCTGTTTCTGCTACATTCCCTGCTCCTACAACACCTTTTACAAAAAGAAGTGTTAATAATCCGTTTGCATCAAAAGGCCGTCTAGTTTCCGTTGCTGGAAGCTCTAGACGTTCCTCTAAACTGCCTAGAATAGGTTCATGTCGCCAATTAGACAGCGCTACTGGACCTCCCCTTTTGCCTGGAATTAATCCTTTAACACTTAAATTTATTGATACCCGTTTGGAACGGACTTATCATGCCCAACCAGACAGATGGTTAATTCCTGGATTGGCTCTTTGCGTTTTATTTCTTGCCCTTTTTGGACTTTTTCAAGGTACATAGAAGAGATTGGACTTTAAAAATCTTTAAAATAGCTCTAGCAATGCCTCGTATGCTGCCAAATTTGGCTACTTTAGCTTTGGCTCTTATACTGATGTTTCTTCTTTTACTAGCTCTCTATACAAACTTTCTTGAAGTAAAAATAATTTAAAATTTAATAGCTGATTTTTCAGAGTTTTTGCCATTTCGTAACCAGAACATCTCTTGGTTATTGTGTCACCGTACTTTTAGTTCTTACTGCCCTATGTACTTGTGGGCTTGCTAATACTGTAGGGAACAATTTTTTTAATTTTCTAAAAATTCTTTTAATAGTTCTCCTGTCCTACTGACCCTTCGCCATCAGATATAACTTCAACCCCCTGTCAGCCCCATCAATTATCAGCTGTCTCTTTGGCCCTTTGGATGTTACTGTAAGCTAACGAGCTCATTACTTTCTCAATATACCCCTTCCCTTTTATAGCTGTTCAGCATTTTTACGTCTTTCATCTTCACTTCTTTTATTTGTTCTTCTTTCTTCTATTGCCCTTTTTTGTCCACATATTTTCTTAACTCATTTCGACTTATATCCAAATTTGTTGGCTCGTTTGGATGTTTTAACTTTGCTTATTGGCCTTTCCCTTTTAATATTTTTATTGGCACGCCGAAATGAATTGTTGTTGAGGATAGACTTTTTGGCCCTTCTAAAGGGTGTTGAAGATGGAAAAAAGTTGGAAAGGACTGAATTTCTTAATGATCAAATACTTCGGAATGGTAAAATTTTAGATGGATACCTTCGGTACTTGTGCAGTTTACGCCCCGTAAGCTCCGCCCTCTTTTCTCCTCTTTTCCTTTCGCAAAAGAGAGACTCCCATAAGGAGACCAACAATGAAAAATTGACCTGTCACTTTATAAGAAAAAGAAGAGAAAAGGGGAGGGGTTTATGGGACGGAAACTGCACAAGTCCCGAACCTTCTACCTAAAAAAATCTCCCCTTTCTAGCCCTCCCTTCACATATTGCTTTCAATTTTGGATCACGAAATGAACCCTTTTCTCATCTGTGCCCTTCAGTTGGCATTCTTTGTGCCAAAATTGGTCGTCCTGGTGATTGGGTTGGTGAATTTGGATTTGACAGGCTTAACAGACTTGTCTGTGAAATTGATCAAAGATTGGGGCAATTAAGTGAAAGTTCAAGATTAGAGAAGGTCCGAACATCTCATTGTTTTTATACAGCTGCTTGTGGAATTTTGCCTGAACTTGCCAAGAATGTAAAGGGGGATTCTTCTAGGAAACCCCAAAAAAAAATATTTTTTACAGGTCCACGATGCCCCTTGCACTATTGGTGAGCAACTTTCAAGTCTGGCAGATCTCGCCCAATTTATTCAAGATTTGGCAGAATCTGAAGCTTTAGACATTGCTATTGGAATGGATTGCGGTTCAGCTCTTTCCGTTGTTGTTGGAGGTGATAAGCCTCGATATGAATTACTTGGTCAACCTAATACACGTGCTAAGGTCCTCTCCTCTTTAAGCTAAGGCTCTCAACAAACCCCTCATCCCTTTCAGAAACTCGCAGAGGCAGCAAGCGCTTTGGGCGGTAGTTGTGTTCTTTTATCCGAAGATGTTTTTCTTGCATTACGTCCACGTTCACAATTTCATTTTGATGAGAATAGTGCTTTAAGGTAGTTCAGAAATCACCCAAAATACCCTATTTCTAAATTAAGTGTTGGCCCTGGACTTGTTGCCTATTCATTGTTGAACTCTCCTTCGAACCAAACAGCTTCTCAATTTTTAACTTCCCCATTACCCCCTCCTTTGCCTCCTCATCGAACCAATAGTCAACAACAAAATAATACAAACAAGGATGAGAACGAAGCAAAAAACGTTCAAAATATTCAAGAAAGTAGTCAAAAAACAGCAACAAATCAACCACACATTAGAGCAAATCCCTTATCTGAAGATGCCGTAATTGAAAATTCGGGTGTAAACAATAACAACAATATCCATTCATCAGCACAATCTTTGTGCTCCTCAGAACTACTTTCAATTGATTTAAATTTGGAAACTGATTCACTTGAATTAGAATGGGTAACGCCTGAAATGGTTGCTAATGGACAATATCGGTAAAACGAAAACTAGGGTAACAACTCGACCACGAAATCCCAACTCCGACGATTTTTTTGGCAAAAACTCCGAACAAAACCGCGAAGGCTCTATCACAACTAAACCCCAAACCCCGACGCAAACCCCGAGTTGGGCAAAAACCCTCACCTCCGAAACCCCTACGATTTCTTTGGCAAAAATTCTGGATTACTAGAAAAGCTCTCCGAAGTCTCTACCTCACAAACCCAGACACTCCCGATCCCAAAGAACGAGATGCTACCCCTAATACATCTAAAAAATAAAAACACTTTCATCCTTTTTCAGTCTTTTCCCTGAAAGTCCACCACTTACTAACAACAATAAAAACCCAAAATATAAAGCAGACAGAGCTGATGTTTACTCAGAACTTTCTGATCCTGAAGGCTATCATCCACACACTCAAGAACGTTCAAAAATTGCTACATTCAAAAACAAATTATGGAGACACCCCTCTTCAGTTTCCACCAACAACGAAGCTTATCGTTCTTCACATCCTTCAACCAACACAAGTCTAGACAGAAAATTGATAGGAAAACAACAAAAACAAACAACAACAAAGCCCTATAAACGCAGCAGACATTTTTCCAAAAATTCTAGTAAAAATGGTGGATTTAGTGGATCAGAATTTTCTCTTTCCCTGCTTGCTGGGGATGATTATGGAGGATATAATAATACTACATCATTACAGAGATTAAATAAAGCAGCTAATAGAATGGAGAGAATGTTAAAAGTGAAAATTTTAGACTAAAAAATTTTCCTTTAAAAATTAGTACTTTTCCGTTGTCCCTACAGGGATTACATTAACCCCCGTTATCCCTACAAGAAGCTTCACTCAGAAACGACTCAGGAATATTGACAAAATATAAATAAACCATTTGAAGTAGCTCGACGAGCTTAATCGAATGACACCAGAATCCTGAGAGGCTTGCAACTTTAGGCTGAGATATAGAGCTCGGAATGGTCAGAAACTCAAAAATATTGACAAAATACGTCATTCGAAGATATGCCATTAATAACCAATAATAACATAGGGTGGGAAATGAAGGAGACAAATGTACCCGCAAAAAAAGATAGAAAATACACAAAAAGACTTTAGGAATAACGGAAAAGTACCAAAAAATTTCCCTCAATTAAAAAAAATTTTCTTACCCAAGGAAATGGCAGGTGTTCCCACTACTCAAAAAATAACTAATCATGGTCAACCTGAATGCCCTTTTCCACGAGAGGATTGGACAAATAACAATAAACTTAATAATGATATAGATGGTCGTTACTATTGTCACCACCACCATCATTCAATGTCAGAATATGAAAATGCTACAAATAGTCAACGCTCTTTAGCAGCTTCGTGCTGTTCAGATTTTGAATCTGCTATTGACAAAGATGAAGATAAAAGATTGTCTTTATCTTCATTTTTCCAATTTAATAATCAGAAAAGGAAAAGTATTTCGAAGCTTGAAAGATTAAGACAAGCACTTATTTTGAATAATGATAGAAATTGGAGAAGTAATAGTAGCAGACCTGCTGCTAATAATAATAAAAGAATTAATATTAAATGTGATGGAAATGAAGCTGATAGAAGTTGCTCACCATCTATTGGGTCAATGGTTAGTTGTTATAGATTGAAGGAAAATCACATTTGAGGGACTTCGTAACGGGATAATTTTTGACGAGATCAAACGGGATGGAATCGTGGGATTAATCCCGCTAATCCCGTTCTTCTCTTAAACTGAAATTCCGCAAAATCCCGTACGGGATGCCGCCCCATGCCACATACTAGTTAGTTTTACACCCCCATTTAACATACGTTTTTAAAATTTTGGTTGGCCAGTAGGTGGAGGAGGTGCTTAAGCAATACCTTCTATTTAAGATACACCTCACCTTCAAGCTAAGGTTCACCTCACTTCCCATTTAAGATACACGCACCTCACCTTTACTCACCTTTATTTGACACCTAGCCTCTTAGATAAAATACGTCTCATTTCCTTTAACACACACCTCCTCGTAAGACAAAAATTTTCAGCCGCAAAACCTCATCTTATAAAGAAGCTAAACTATATTTTTCTCCATTTTTAGCAACAATTCTCCCCTACCACTACCAACAACAATCACGAAAGATTAAAAACAAAAACAGCAAAATTATTAAAAACCCTAAAATGGCGTCAATCAGTATCCCATTCTATTGGTTACGAGGATGAATATGAAATTGCTTCTGCTCCCCTTTCTTCTTCTTATGCTTCTTCAGTTTCTGCTACAAGTTGGGGAGCAGAAAACAACAAAAATATAAAATTATTGCCTAGTGTGGGGGAAAATACACATTTTATTCCTATTGATGATGATGAGGAAGACAAAAATAATAATAATGAAGACAAAATTAATATTAAAGAGCAACAATTAATAGAAGATAATAATTCGCTGCAGAAACAAATGCTTGAATTAAGCAGGTAATTAAAAAAGCCCGTTAATTAGACCCCCCACTTTTCATCCTCCCAAGAAATCCAAAAAATCCCCCCACCCCCTCCCATTCAATTGCTTTTAAATTCAAAATTGGGCAAGTAGGCCCTCCTGATATTCCATTCGAATATTCTTAAGACCCTTCTTCAAACATTCCCCTCCCCATTCTTCAATTCAAGTCCTATTCTGTTTTTAAATTTTTTCAAACTTCTCGACCCTCAGTTAAAAAAACAAAATTAAGCAGGGTGGGTACATTTAGTAAGTTATTCACAAAAATATCCACATAGAAATTATTCAAAATTAAAGGTTGAGCCCCCCACTCCCCTTATCTCAAAAAACCGTCTTCCACAAAAATCCTTCCTCCCTTCAAAGAATTTCCATATTAAAATAAATCTTTTTAAAAATCTTGCTTTTGTTCCACCAAAATTTTTTATTAAAAATAAAACCCACCACAAATCACAAATAATTATTGCCCATTTCAGAGAAATCCGACGAGATTTTGGCGAGTTCCAATTGGCCAGATTTTCAAATGATTTGGAAGATTGTCCACACAGAACATTTAAAGAATAAAAAAGAAATCTAAAAAAAAATTTTTTAATTTAAGATCTCGCGGGTAAATATATTTTTTAGAAAATGCTCACCTAAAATATGTGCCCTAAATTCTGCCCTTTTCAAAATATACACTGCGGTGCATATGTTTATGCACACTAGTTTTTTGTTCATAATTTTATGCAATCTTAGCAACAAAATACGTTCTATATAGCAATCGAAAGCTCTATTTGTATCTCAGTTGACATGTTTCTGCATTTTCCATGAAAATGAAAATTGGCCGAGATAATCCGGATCTACCGGATATACCAAATCCCATATCCTCAGAAAAATTTTTCGGAAAAAATTTAACAAACCCATTTGATAAAGCATATTTTTGTGAGTATTTACCACAAAACCGCTTAGAAATATCTTTTTCCGGAACGGAGATATGATTTTTTGAAAATCGAAAAAAACGCGATTTTTTACGAAAAATGGCAAAAATATGGTATTTTTTCGATTTTCAAAAATTCATAACTCGCTCGAATCTCGACCGATTTGGATGATTTTTTTGTATTATATGTAGAATCTAGAGGAGAATCACATATATATTTTACAGACCTCAAAAAAATTTCTTCGAAAAGTTGAAAATGTAGTACCTGTTAGACCGGTCGAAAAGTTTTCGAAAATATCAGAATTTCGAAAAATGCAGAAACATGTCAACTGAGATACAGATAAAGCTTTCGATTGCCATATAGAACATATTTTTTGAATAAGTGTGCATAAACTTATGAACAAAAAACTAGTGTGCATAAACATATGCACCGCAGTGTATTACTAAAAATTAATTTCATATTTGTTATTTATTCTTTTTTTTAAACTGTTTCTTTCAATGGTGCAAACTTTTTTCATTTCCTTTTTTATTAAAAATAAAATAAAAATTTTTAAAATATTTTTTTTCTTCTAAAATTTTTTTTTTAATTTACAAAGCCGAAAAATGAAAAATAGAAAAAAATATATATGTAAATATATAGAATTTTGGAAAAAAGAGTTTTTCATAGACTAAAAACATTTTTTAGAATTTAGTAAAAAGAAAAGAGATCAAGAAAATTTTCTTACGTAAACTCAGTACGCAATTATAAAAAAATCACGCATATTTTTTAAAGAAAGGTTCTATCAGAAAATTGAATATATTAGAGAGATCGGAAGTTTTTTGAAAAATCTTAAAACTTTCTTAAATTTTGGTTGAGAGAAGTGACTATATTACTAACCCCAAGACAAGGAAAGATCGAGGAATATTAAAAAAAAATCGGCATTGGGCTTGACTTTGGATTAGAGCTCCACCGGAGTTCCGGGATTTTTTGGTTCCAGTTCCGGCCCGGGATCAAAAAATTAGATCCGGTTCCGAATTCGATCAAAATTTCAGTTCCGGTCCCGGTCAAATTTCCGCATTCGGTGAAGCACTACTCTGGATCCAGTAAAAAATCAACAATGTCTGGATCTAAATCCTGGCCGATCTCTATTAAAATATATATTATGTACAAAATATTTTAAAAATAAAAAATAAAAAAGAAAGGAAGATTTTTGTCACAAAAATTTGTTAGCAAAAATAAAAAAATAAATTTTTAAGTGTATTTTTTAGGAGAGAATTGTTTTACTTATATAAAACATAAAAAATATTTAAAGAAAAAATAGGAAGTGAATTTTTTGTGTGTGTTAGAAAAATAATAAAATAATTTTTTGGGCATCTACTATAACTAAAAAAATAAACTAGGCAAATTTTTAATTAATTAAAAAAAAACTTTGTTCAAACACTAAATCTATTTTCTTTCCCATTTGGTAACATTAATGTCAAAGATTTTGAATTAATCCAAACAAGCCTTGCACGAAATAATTGATAACTTCCACCAGGACTTATTACTGGAAATTCACCTGGAGCAGATTGCATTCGAGCACATCTAACTTGACTTTGTCCCATTCCCTTTTTAATTAAAAATTTTTTTTTTGAAAATTGAAAAAAAATTTTTTTTGTTAAAAAAATTTTTTTTGAAAGTGAAAAATTTGCAAAAAATTTTTCCAAAAATTTTTTGACCTTGACCAATTCTCTTTTCCATTAGAAAAATTTTTTTTTAATTCATAAATTTTTTCCAAAAAATTTTTTCAAAAGATTAGCAAAAAACCGTTTTTTTAATTTTTAGGCATTTTCTAATACAGCCAAAAAAAAATTTTGGGCACCCGTTCCTTCCCTTTTAATTAATTTTTTATTTTTTTTTACTTTTCTAAAAAAAAATTTTTTTTGAAAAAAATCTTTCTAAAATTTTTCAAAAAATTTTAAGTTGAAAAAAAATATAAAAAATTAAAATACCAAAAATGTTTGTTGAGTTTGCCAAAAACTTATTTTTGCTTCTTGGGCAGCATATGCTGCCAAATATTTTCCATCTTCAGAAAATGCTAATGCAGTGATTGGAACATTGTGGGCTTTAACTGACTAAAAGAAAATTTTTAAAAAAACCAAAAAATTCTAACAAAACCTGTGATTTAGATAATCTAAGTTCATGTATAACTATAGTTCCATTCTTTCCACCAAATGCTAATCGACGTGTTGTTGGACAATAAGTAACCATATAAAATCTTAGAAAATTAATAAAATAAATTAAACTAAAAAATTATTACTTTGCAATAGGAGGGAATAAATCTGTTATAGAACGTTGTTTAAGTAATGACAAATCAAGGCAATGGACTAGAATATCTCCAACCTTTAAATTAAAAAAATAAAGATTATTAAAAATAATTAATCAAAAAGAGATATCTAGAAAAAAAATTTTTCGAAGGGGAGGCTAAAAATCTGATATTCAAGTGGCTAATTGGTGGAAAGTGTCGTCGTTAAGATCAAAAAAAAGTCAAGGAAGGAATTCTTATGATTCTTTGGGAACCCGGATATAAACACCCAAAAGTCATTTTCCCATCTAAAATTTTTTTTATAATTCAGGAGTAATTTTTGTGACTTCATACCCATCCGAATATACTAAATGCCAAAGTCGTTTTTAATTTTTTTCAATACCAAAAAATCAAAATCAGCAAAAAACTAGAAAATTTTTTCAGTTTTTTTCTAAGCTCATCAAAAATAAATATTTTTTAACAAAACTAATAACCAAACCTGTACAATTAAATCAACAACAAAATTGTATTGCCTTTCTGATAATTGTTCTAAAAGCCTAAGTACTTCATTTCTTGATTTTGTTAAAGGGCTGGGTATTGGATGTTGAATTGTTTGATGTTGAGCTACTGCATTATAACGAATTACCTAAATTTTATAGTCAAATCTAAAATTTTTCTTAAAAAAATTTAAAAACCTCCATATTAAGTGCAGTAATTAATGCTTGAGGTCGTGAAGAAGCAATAAGTGATAAAGCATGTCTGGCTGTACGACAAGCATCAGCTTCAGGTGAGAGTTGTACTCCAGATGGCAGAGGTCTAAAAAGGAAACTTTTTCTTTCCAGATAGAAATTCGCTTACCCAGCGGGCAAATGCCTTTCGCACTCTGCAGCTAAATTGAGTAATCCAATAAGCATTTTTGGCAAATCAAGATGAGGCTAAAAAATTAATCATTCATTTTACAAACAAAAAATTTTTCTAAAGAACCTGCCAAAGTACAAATCCTCTTCCCAATAAATCTATCGCTGCTCTTCTCAAAAGTGAATTTTGAGGAATTAAAAGTGGAGGATAAACAGTTGTAGGTGATAACAATAATTCTAATAATGAATGAGCTGTAGCACGGCAAATATCCAAATGGCGTTGTAAATCATTGGGAAATTCAGCACCTGAAATTTTTAGAAAGATTTTTTATTTTTGTTATACTAGGCGTGCTTTACTAAATTTTAAATAGCATAAAACTCTAATACAAGCCATGGGGTTATATTTTTAATAGGTCACCTGAGTGGCTTCTATTAGAGAGTGGGCTTCTATTAGAAAGAAAACATATATTTCTCGCTGTCTCATAAAGTGGGTTTCAATTAGAGAGGGTGTTTTTATTTTTCGGTGGGTCTCCTCGGGTGGGCGTCTATTATTAAAGATGGGCTTCTATTAGAGTCGGGCTTTAATTAGAGCATTCACGGTAATTTATAAAAATCAAAAAATGATAAAAAAAATACCCATAACACCAAGAAGAATAATTGCTGTTGCCTGATTTCTGCGTATTTGATTAATTCCACCCAAATATAATTGATCATTCTTTTAAATTATAAAATATTTTTTATTTTAAATAATTTTCCTTACAAGTATTGTAGAAGAATTTTCCAATTGTTGTTGATTTTCTGTTGAAGTATTATAAGACGAAGCGAAAGCAATAGTTGTTGTTTGTTCAGTAACATCACTATTAGTATTATTTTCCCCTCCTTCTCCTCCTCCACTAATTGTTGAAGTACTTTTACTACTTTGATTAACACATATTTTATGTGAATAATTATTTGTTGTTGTTGCTGTAGTTGTTGAAAAATCACAAGAAGAAGAATTATTGTCTTCAATAGATGTTAAAGGCAAAACTTGTGGTAAAGGTGTAGAATTTGATGATCTTGGAGGTATTGGTGGAACACTTGGACGTGGTGGTGGTGGACTTTTTGAAGAAGATACTGATGATGCTGAAGATATTCTTGTACTTGAAATTGCTGATAAGGAGTCTAATTGTTGTAATTCTGTTGGATTATATTCGATATTGGCGGAATTATTCAAATTTTTAGAAGGTGGATTTGTAGTCGAAGCATTTTGTGTTGAAAAAATAGAAATTGATTGATCGAGTAATACAGGTAGAAAATTGGCCCATTTTTTGATTAATTGTTGACGGCCTTTAAAAAAATAAAATTGAAATAATGAAAATTCAAGAAACCTTCTGGACCAAGTCGATTCAATTCTCTAATTAAAAGAGCTTGTGCAGCATCGCGAATTTCAATACAACTGTCTTGCCATCTGTGAGATAAAAGAAAACATATAATACCCTTTAAAACTATAGATGGACCATATTAAACGATTCCCCCAAGCTTTAGGATTTGAATTCTAGTTAAGTCCCGGTTTTATTTTTGGAGGATTTTTTAAATCACTTATTTTCAAAAATTTTCGGTTTTTGTTAACTTTTGGCAAAAAATATCACAATTTCGGATTTTAAAACATATAGTGTCCAACCCTACACAAAAAAATGATTCTTTCCCTTACTTTCTTGCAAGCATATCAAGTTTAGGAGAAGCATAAGAATTTTTAGGTTTTATTCTTTCAGGTAAAAGAATACAATGTAATGCAGCAATATTTGACCAACTTTGTTTAACTTTGTGACTTTCACATTCACTTAATTGTTCTTCTGTTGATTTGGAAGAAGGAGAACGTCTAGAAGAAAAACATATTTTCAAATTAAAAAAAAATTTTTTTAAATAAGAGTAGCCACCCGAACCTAAAGGATCGGGTTTGTCGGGGATCGGGGTCGATGGTCAGAGGTCGAAGTGTCGGGGAATCCCACCACCACCTGCTTACGGTCCCGGGCGGGGTTCTCGACAAAAAATTGTCAGAGTCAGAGATGGGGGTTCGAGTGTCAGATCGAGGTTTCAGAGGGACAAGTTACGGGGTTCTCAACATAAATAATCGACAGGGTCAGAGATTGAGTTTCGGGTGGCAGACCGGGGTTTCAGGGGGACAAGCTTCTCTATATTTAACAAACCTTAAAGACATCCTTTTAGAATTATAATAATAACGATTTTTCAAAGCCATTAAAGTATTTGAAAGTGATACAACTGCAAGTAAATGAATTGTTGTTAATGTTTTACTCATTTGCCAATGTATATTTTTTGAAAAACTTTTAAAAGAAAAATCGTCTAATGCTGGAATTTTTCCAGAAGAATATGGTGTGTAGAGAGAAACATAACCTATAAAAAAATTTTTTAGATTAAATAGGACAGTCGGATTTCGGATTAAAAAATCGAATATAAAAATGATGGGTAGCTTAAAGCGAGCGTACACCTATGTAATGGACCTGCAATACATATAAGGACCTGGCGCACTTTAAAAAGCAGAGGACGGAACCGGAAAAGCATCAAAAATGGAAATCGGCGGAAGACGGAACTGGAAGAGGTGCCATCCAAGCTAGGCTAGGTCTCTCTACCGATCACTCCCCTAGTGGTTAAGTTAAGATCTTATAAGGCTCAACGAAGGAGAAATTTTTGGAAGTAACTAAATTCAAAGTCCGATATTTTATTTTAAAATTTTCGGGTAAATTTAAAAAAATCTTTTTAAAAAATTTCTGCAAACCTTTAGAAATTGTACCAAAACATAGAGGTATTTTTGGTTTAGACAATTTTAAACTATTTATTGCAATATCATCAACAGATTCATCATTATCCCATGCATGTAAAAGTGAAATTAAAAGTTTTGCAGTATCCAAATAAAGTGAAGGTTGTTGTTGTAATAAAATATTATTATTTTTACTGGAAGAAATTCCATTTAAAGAATTATTGGTTGACAATTCTTTTAATGATAAATAATTTGAATTTGACAACCCATTTTGATGTTTTGAATCACAATTATAATTTGTTATTGTATCTATTATGCTAATTCTTTCTTTATCAAAATTTTCTCTTTCATCATCACATGAATCGAGTATAAGAAGGCCATCTATAAATGCGAAAAGAATTTTTAATTTAAAATTACGGGTACCCCCCCCCCCCCCATCAGATTAACTTTCCTTTTTTTCCTATACCACGACATATAAACGAACAAAAGACATATTTCGGACATATGGACATATTTCCAAGGCAGTAAAAGTCCGCAAAAGAAAGGCAAAAGTCTGCCTTGGACAGTAAAAATTAATCTGATTGTAGGTCTCGAATATGGACGGGACAACAAGTAACAAATTATTTAAAAAATTAAACAAACTTATTAATGCATTAACATCAAATAAAATTAAATGTGTTGTATCCGAACATGTAGACATTTGTACAATTTCTAAGGGAGGAGATATGAGGTGTAAATTTGTATTATTATTATTAATAGTAGATAAATCATCTTCATTTTCTTTGTCTGTTCCATGTTGTCCAGCAATTATTTTTTTCATCTTTCAAAAAAGTTAATTAATCATAGAATATACTAATGATTGAAATTTGTGGTGAAAAAAAGAAGGAAAAATCATGATGTGAAAAGGAAAATTCAAAAGTGATTTTGACAAGTCTGTGAGGATTTAATAATTAGAAAACTCGATAATCAAGATTATTAAATGCGATCTCGCCTGGACAAAATCTCTAATGTGCAACATTTTTTCCTAATGGTGCAACTCTAATTTGACATAATAAAATAGAGAAAAACCACCACCATCAGTACATAAAATAACCTCTTCCTCGTCATCAGGTTCTCGAAAAGGTGGAGAACAACACAAATTATTAGAAGAACTAGCTGAAGAATCACGTCGAAAAGAAGAGGAAGAAATAATACAAACCGATGATGGTGGAGGAGGAAACAAATTTCTTTTGATTTTTACCGCTGCCATATCCTTTTGTTTAAGTGCCCGAAGCATTTGAACAGCTGTTTGTGAAGCAGTGCCAAAAGAATTTTCATCTTCTGATCCGAAGCCAAGTTGCTCATCAGTAGAAGAGTTCATCAAAATCTTAAAATATGCAAAAATAATATGATAAATAAACACAAAAATAACCTCATCAGAAGCTAATCCAGTTATTACTTGATCAAGTACACCTTTAAAAAAATTAAAAAAATAACTCCTACTAGGGTTGCCGTTTTCGAGTCGGGCCGACGGTCGAGGCAGTTTTTCGAGACTAACTTTATCGAGTCGAGCCGTACGAGTCTTTTTCGGGCAAATCTTAGGCCCGACTCGATCTTTCGGTCCGATTCGGTCCATTTTGGAAACCCTATTCCTCACAAAACTCAAAAAAACCTGTTTCAATATTCCAAACATAAACAGAATCATCTTCACATTTTAACAAAATTTGATCACTTAAAGGACGCCAACGAATATCAACAATAGGAAATTGTTGTCTGCTAGCAAGAAGAACACATCGAAGCTTTTTTAAACTAACAAAACATGCAGAATTGTCTGCAGCAATACAACACACACAATCCAGTAATTTTGTCTGAAAATAACAAAAATGTTCTAAATTGCATAATCCACAAATATTTGCGGACAACTTTTGCGGACATTTTTAAAAATTAAAAAATCTCACATTGCAATTAACTGGTGGAACAAGCAATTGAGTAATAGTTCCCCCTTGTGAAGAAAAACGATGAAGCCTTTCGTCATTTGTCACATTCCAAACAATAACAGAAAAATCAGCACTACCAGAAAGTAATAAATTTGGATCATATCTATTGCTTTCAGCAAAAGGATAAAGAAAACAAGTCACCGAACTAGAATGACCATTTGGGAGTATTTTGAATTGGGTGGATTCTTAAATAATTTTAAAAATAAAAAATTTTTTTTAACTAAAAAACCGTTATTGTAACCATCCAATAATGCAACCATTATTACTTGACAAGCACTCATAGTCTAAAAATTGATAAAAAAGTTAATAAAATATTCAGAAAAAAGTGAAAAACCATTATTGAACCGTCACTTCTTCCAAGAAACAATTTATCTTGTGTAGACACATAAATAGTGGCTTGGATGGTGGATCCAGACTAAAAACATTAACTTAAAAAAAACCCAAAATTAGCTTTAGAAGAAACCTCAAAATTAGCAATTGCTGGAGGGGTTGGGGAAAGTCGACTCCAAGCGTCAGAAAGACACTGTCTAATCGTTGGTTCATAAACTTTAAAAAATATAGAAATTTTTAACAAAAAAGACAAACCTATTGGACGTCGTGTTCTCACAAACTCGCTAACCAACAATTCCAAATTTTTTGGAACATGCCAAAAACTGATTGAAGAGCTTTGTTCATCCAACCGATATGTAATTTGGCGATGAGTTTTATCAGAAGAAAGTTTTGAATCGAAGAAAAATTTAACCGGGTTTAGAAGAGGCTGGAAAATTTCTTTAAAATTTTTCTAGAACATTTAAAAAACCTGTAAATTTGGAGAAGCAACACTTTTTAAAAGAGCAAAAACAAAGGGTTGTTCAATTCCAGCAATGTTTGAAGGCTTCTCACCAAAACGCTCACGAATCTGTCGACCAACCAATTTACTTTAAAAAAGATTTTTAAAGAATCTCAACAAAATAAACCTTCTAGGTAACTGAAACAAAACAATTGTTGAATCAGCAAATCCAATAGCTACTTTATCAATGTCTACAATCATTCCTTCCAGGGCTTCAATAGCACATTCGGAGACTACTAATTGGCCGAGGGTGCTGGGATCAATAACCTGAAAAATTTTAGAATAGAAAATATAATTCGTCATGTCAAACGCTTTGCCGGGGTAAATGTCCAGTTGATGTCCTTCCTGTCCGCAAAGACTCTTGCGGGCAGGGAGAACACAAAAAGATATACACCGGCGGTTCCAAAAATTAAAGGACCGCGGTTTCGATTGCTGTCGGCACCAATTTACTTCAGGCGGTCCGACGGTTTATGAAACCATGGAACCGCTTTCTATAATCAAATATTCAATAACCTGCCAAGAATTAGCACATACAACCAACATCATTCTAACATTCTTCTCTGAACAAGTTATACTATGTACATTCCTAGGTGCTATAAATTTCGATTCTCCTTCAAATAAAATATTTGTTGTGTTATCCTTCATATTTAATTCATTTAAGGACCAAAGTTTGGCAACACCAGATAAAGATACACCAATTAGGACGTCTAAAAAGTTGAAATTTATAAAATAAGTCAAAACTAAAAAAAATTACCAATCTTGTCGTTTGGTTTAACCAAAGTAATAGAATTCAGCCAATCTGGTTCAGCACGCGAATTGAGGGTATAGAGGACATTCAAATCATGTGGATGAATTGCAACAACATCGGTATAGTCACCAACACAAAAAAGAATTTCGTGGAGATTTTTACAAGCCTTGAAAAGAAGGAAATATTTCGTAAATTTGAGGGCAAATTCCAAGAATTTTAGGAAATCTGTCAGACAAATGGACAAAAGATAACTTACATAGGGTTTCATTTTCCTATGAACATAATTCGTTCTCATACTATCTATTATCCGTCCATCAGCAGAATCCCAAAGACAAATATGCCCATCTTCTGAACATGAGATGAACTTCCTGGAAAAAAGATTAAATAAAAAGGTTAAATAAAAATAAAATTTACGATGCCGAAACAGATGTCGAATTAGGAGATATACAGCTTATACAAGTTTTGTGGGCCAACATAACCATTTGTGGTTGGATCCATCCAAGTGATTCGTCTACAATCCATTGCATTACAATTCCATCTTCACTTCCCGTCAGAATTATTTTGCCATTTCGTATTGATGAAATTTGTTTGATTCGACTTCGAGGGGGCTTAGGCCCCCATAGGACAACAGGGACTACAAGTCCTGATTTTTCAGAAATCATAAATAAGGAATCTAAAAATCAAGAAACTATAAAACGAAAAAAATTGACAAATCATCAAGTAAAAAAAATCACTACGACAAATTGACAATTTTAGTTAATATGGACGTTTTGAATTTTCGGTGTTTTAAAAATACATAACGACAACAGACTTTTCGTCAGGGACTTTTCGTCAATGAACTTTTCGTCAATGGACTTTCCGTCAATATTTTTCGTCAATGGACCTTTCCTCTTGCTTGCGCGTATTATCTTGCGACATTTTTCGCATTTACCTTAATTTTTATCTTATTTTCAGTTGATTATAGAGATTATTTTCTTTTGGTTATTATTATGAGAGCAAACTATCAAAGTCATAAGCCTGAGGCGGCTTTGCAACGAGCTCATGAATTTATTTCTGTTGGGAAACAACGAGATGCGCTTCAATCGCTTCATGATTTAATCAAGGTTTTAAATTCTTTAATTTTTTTAAGTTCTTTTCCCTTTCAAGGGTCGTCGACAGAAGCAATGGTCACAAATATACGAACAAATTATGCTTAAATATGTTGAGCTTTGTGTTAATTTGCGGAACTCAACTTTGGCAAAGGATGGACTTTATCAATATAAGATATTAACTCAACAGGTTTTACAATTTTTATCCTTTTACCAAGTCTAGTCAGGTTTTTAAAATTTTCCCCGAATCGGGCAAGTAGATAGCCGGGTTTCGGTTCGAGTCATTTAATGTGATTTGAGTTATTTAATGGGATTAGAAAGGGAATGGTCGGGTCGGTTTTTGGAAAATTTTTAGGATTGGGTTTCGTTTCTGAAAAAGTTCGGTAATCGACTTTGGGGTTCTCTTTACAACTTTTTTTTAAAAAGGTTGCTGTAAAGTCGCTTGAAACAGTTCTTGAAACTTTTCTTACTCTTGCGGAACAAAAAACTTTGGAAGCTCAGAAATCTTCTATTGAAAAGATTGAAGAAATTGATGATCTTGACGTTGCTGATGCTCCAGAAAAGTATTTTTATTTATCAGTTCGTCAATTTATCTTCTTTTAAGTTTATTGTTGTCGTTTGTCTCTGGCGCTGTTCCACAAGATCGAATGGACCGAACTGTTCTAAGTCCTTGGCTTCGTTTTCAATGGGATACTTTTCGCAATTGTCTCGATTTGTTGCGTAATAATGTTTATGTTGAACAGATTTACCATCATATTGCTCGTCAATCTTTTGCTTTTTGTCTTCAATACCAGCGACGAAATGAATTTCGTAAACTTTCGGATATGTTACGGTTTTTCCGAAAATTTTGAATTTTTTCAATTTTAATTTTAAGCCTTCATCTTACACAAGTTCAAAAAGCTCAACAAGCGCAAACAATTCCAGCTCACGCGTCTGCTTATTTTCTCTAAATTTCTATGTAATTTTGATTTTAAGGATTAAATTGACAAATATCGAGTCTTTGACGCTTATGTTGGAAACACGTCTTTGTCAATTAGATACAGCGATAAACATGGAATTGTGGCAAGAAGCCTATAAAAGTGCTGAAGGTTTGTTTTTATTGTTTGATGACCTAAATATGAATTTTAGATCTTCATAACTTGATGCAAATTGGAAAGGATAAGGACAAGAAAATCGCTAAACCTTCTAGCTATGTTAATTATTACGACAAGGTTTCTTGGAAATCATTTTGCATAGGTTTTAACATTTTAGATTGCTCTTGTCTTTTGGAAAGGAGGAAATACGCTCTTCCATGCTGCTTCACTTTTACAAAAATTTAATATTTACAAGGATATGAAAAAACAATTTACGGGTGAGGAGGCGACAGATCAGGCTACAAGAGTCCTTCTAGCAACACTTAGTATTCCTGATGGGGCTGAAAATCCGTCAATTTTGACAAAACATTTGGATATTGAAGAACAGCATGTGGCTAATACAAGGTTAATTTTTGAGATTTTTTGGAGGTTTTAGTTAACATATCGTAAATGTGTAATAGAAGCGATGGGCTTTCCTTTTTTACTGGACCCCAATAGTGGGCATAGGCTTCTATTGCAGGTGGGCGTTTATTAGAGTATTAATTGTTTTATTCTTTTCAGGATTCTCTCCGCACTTTTACGTATGCCTATTATTCCAACTCGTAATGGAATTTTGAAAGAAATTGCCCGTTTAAACATTCCGGAGATTGCAGCACCTGAAGTTTTTAAATTATACAAATGTATTGAAAATGATTTTGATCCGTTACACATTGCCGTCAATGTTCAGGAAATGCTTTTAGAGATTGAACAATTGGGCGAAAAGTTGGGATATTCTGAATATGGTCAATATTCTAATTCGATTAAACAAACTGTCGCTGCAAAGATTGTGAAACAGGTTTTTTAATCTTATTAAGTTTTGAGGCCGTTAGCATCTAACTGTAATTCTGGCTCTGCTTTTGTCAGAAAATTTGTGTTTAATTGCCGTGAAATTTTTAATGGAATGGTCACCTTAAAATGGTGTCTCCCATTAATAGACGACTTTTGTAGATTAGAACCCTCCATTAATAGAATGACTTTTTTGAGGATGGTTGGCAAATAAAATGGACAGCCATTCTATTAGAGATATTTCTTTATAGTCGTAATCAACTTGACCTTTTAATTTTTCGTTTTAAATTTTAGATTTCGTCAATTTATGAGTCAATAACACTTGAACGTCTTTCTGAAATTATTCCATTTTATAATCGAATGCAATTGGAACAATTTTTAGTTGATATTTGTAAACAACATTCAGTTTCTGCACATATTGACCATCGTCAAAATTGTATTTATTTTGGCCCAGAAGATGCAATTTTAGCAAGTGAACTTGAAAGTGAGAATGGAAATATTTCTGAGGTTTTTTTTTTATTTAAAGGGTTATTAAATTTTTTCCTTCACGTTTTAGATTTCAAAAATTAAAATGCAAGTATCATCGGTTTATTCACGTTTGCAGGATGTTTATCTTGATATTGATCAAAGTTCAGTTAAGGAGTTGCAGGAAAAGGTTTTTTTGATGTTTTTTAAGTTCGCTAATCCAACCTATTTTAGTTAGCTCGCCAAATTAAAATTTATTTAACCCATAAAGATGGCGATTTTGAACGTATACTTGCACGTCGTAAGAAAATTGAACATTATAAAGAAAGTACTGAGCAAATGAAACAAGAAAAGTTGTTGCAAGTTCAGATGTTGGCTAATAAACAAGAAGAAAAACGTCGAACTGAAGAATATAAAAAATTAATGGAAGAAAATAAAGAAAACGAACAGCGTCGAAAATTGGCTGAACAAGTATATTTTTTAGTTATTTTTAAGATTTACTTCGGACTAAATTTTTTGGGTAATTATTAGTAGAGTTAGGAAATTTAGGCACTAAAAAGTTAAAAATAGGCGCCTATATAGGCACTAAAAAACTGCCAAAATAGGCACTAAAAATGCGAAAAAAAGGCAAAATAGGCACGATTTTTTCGAAATTTTCTTATTTAAATTGGCTAAATTTTATCAAAAATGATAAATCTAAGCAATAAACTATTAAATACCGTACTATTTTTCAACCCTCTTCCAAAGGGCCGTACTATTTGAGGGGGCCGTACTAATTGAGGGGGCCGTACTATATTTCAACCATCCTTCGAAATTATCTAAGATCTCCAGCAAGCCTTATCTCAGTTTTATATTTGTAATCTTTGCAATTCGGTTAAATTTAACCGTCTTTTATCTTCTTCCGTTCTCTATTTCTATACCAAAATATCCCAAAAATCCAGGCTCATGCACTTATTTGTTATGAGTTATCAATGGATTTGATGAGATTTAGGAAAGATATCGCGGAATTTCCCTGAGATCCATCCAAATCCTCGGATATTTCTTCTAATCCTGCTTAATCCATCAAATTCTCTAGATATCCTTCCAAAACACTGATATGGATTAAGAGAAATTTAGGTGAATCAAGAATGATTTGAATGGATATCCGAAGATTTGATTGGATATTTGAAATATCCAAGGATTTGGACAAATATTAGGGATATCTGGGGTATTCGATATTTATAGGAATTATGAGGGATATATGCTGATTATGGGGGATTTCTAGTGGGAAAGTATAAATAAATCTTAAAAAGGTCAAAACATGACCGGATTATAGAAAACTCCAATAGAGTCACTTTTTTGTATGGTTGACCCAGTTAGGATCCAGAGATGTAGGACCCAGAGATGGCCACTGTACTCAGTAGATTTAAATCAGATGGATTTCTTTTTTGGGTCTATTTTTAGGCAAGGGTCAATGCTTATTAACCCAAGGATTTGTGGAGATTATGAGAGATTAAGAGTATTTTATTGACAAATGGAGGGATATGAGAGGATTAAATGGTCAAATATTTAATTGTAAAGATGAGGATTGTTACTATAATTCGAAAAGCAAATTTTGTAATATTTTTTATATTTTTAAATGGGGGCCGTACTAATTGAGGGGGCCGTACTATTTTTCAACCCTCTTTCAAAGGGCCGTACTATTTGAGGGGGCCGTACTAATTGAGGGGGCCGTACTATTTGAGGAAATACGGTAAATTAATTTTGACGATCAGAATCACATATAAATTTATTTATATTAATTATTTTGTTTCCGAAAATAATTTGATAAATTTTTCAAAAGAAAATTTTTCCCGAAAAAATTTTTTGACAAAAATTTTTTGGAAAAATTTTATATTTTACCAGAAAAAAATTTTTTAGTCGACAATTTTCTCAAAAAATGCCCAAAAATTCGCAAATTTTAGTAAAAATATGCAAAATAGGCTAAAAAAAGGCAAAATAGGGCATTTTTCCAGAAAAAGCTAAAATAGGCAATTTTAGGCAACGATAAAAGTAGTCAGAAAGAAGATTTCAGTAAAATAACACCTGATTTGGACGTTTCAGCATCAAGCCTATCTAGGAAAAAAACAGGCATTTGCCTAAAAATCCTAACTCTAATTATTAGTTAAAAAGTTTAGAGGGACGTATAGAAATGCCAAATACTGGAAAGTCTTTCCCCCAGTATTTCGGCGTTTTTGTCATTAACGTTCATCTATTCCTTAACTCTATTTTTCTAACTAAACGAATTTTGGGACTTTATAACAAAAATTTTCTAGGCTGAAATTCAACGTAAAGTAGCTGCCGATCGAATGCAAAAACAAAAATCTCATCCATTATACGAAATGTTGGTTAAAGAATTGGGTGAAGAGGCTGTTGAAAAGATGGATTTGGAGCAATTTATAATTGAGAAGGTTTATTAAAATTTAAAAAAAAATTTTGATTTATTTTTAAAAAAAATTTTTAGCGTAACCTTTTGGATAAAGAACGAAAAGAGCAACAAAATAGAATGCTTCAACAAGAGAAAAAATTTGATTATAATGTTAGAGCAGTTCATTTGGAAGAAATGTTAGTTTGGAAAGAATTATCTGATGAACGACAAGTTTCTGCTCCAGAAATTTTTGATCAATATGAAACTAGAAGAATTGATGAAGAAATGTTTGTTTTTTAATTTTTGAAGGAAAATTTTCTTTTTTAGAAAAGCACGAGAAAAATCACTTGAAACTTTTCAACTTTTAACAAAAGTTAAAGACGATGCTATTAAATTTATGCGTAGTACAATTCAATCACATGCTGAAGAATTAAAGGTTAGTAAAGAACAATGGAAAGAGAAGGTGGAATCGGTTCGTGAAAAAGCTATTGAAAAATTGGCAAATGAAAGAATGAAGAAATGGCAAGTTGAAGTTGAACGTCAAAAGCGTTTGGAAGAAGAACAGCTACGTAAAGAAGAACAACCGCCTCCACAACTTATTCGTAAAACGGAAGTGCCACCTCAACAGCAGCAACGGCAACAACAACGCCAGGAAATTCCGCCTCAGCACCAGGAACCTCCATTACAACAGCGTCGTCAAGAACGTCAAGAACCACCATCAGAACCGAAACAATGGCGTCAAGAACAAAAACCACCAGCACAACAACAACAGCGTCGTCAACCAGAACAACCGATGCCGGCACAGCAACAAAGTCAACAACAACCACAACAGCAAATTGAAGGGAAAGAACCACCGAAGAGGGGAAAATATGTTCCTCCACATGTGCGTAAAGCTCAGCAAGGGCAGCAGTAATAAAAGGTTATTAAAATGAAAGCTGTTATAGTATGTATTATTTTTTATAAAAATTGTTAAGAATTAATTTAACTGTTATTTTTCTTTTAAAATTTGTGTTTTGGGGTATGTGACCAACCAAAAAAAAATTTTTTTAATTATATTTTTCGGGACCGTTTTGGCGCGGTGCCGTTTTGGCGCGAGCCTATAAAACAGCGAGTTGTTTATATAAAAAATAAAAATTTTGCAATAATAACTCTCGTGTCATTACCTAATTTTTCCAAAAATTTCAGAATTTTTGATCAAGAATTTCGGAAATTGTGGTCAAAAATGTTGATTTTCTGAAAATTGCCTAATTTTTCGATGTCTATCGACTATAACTTCAGAAAAATTTTATAAAAAATTCTGAAATTTTTGGAGAAGGTAGTCAAGGATGTTAAAGAAATTTGACAAAATTTTTATGAATTTAGGTCTAGCCTAAGTGCCATTTTTAGATCTTGCGCCAAAACGGTCCGGCGCCAGAACGACCCCTACTCAATTTTTTCAAGTTGATGGTGTTCCTTTTTTCTTTCCTTTTTTCACCGGTCACTCTTTTGTAGACAGAAAATATTATATTATCACTAAGTTAATGAAAAAAATTCTTGTTAAAAAATTTTTAATTGTCGTATAAAAATTATTTTTTCAATTTTATTAAATAAATACAAATGTTTTATAATTTTTCTCTTCTTTTACATGAAGAGAGAGATTAATATACATTATATCTTTTTTATTTTTTTTGTCTCTTATGAGAATTTTTTTAATAATAATTTTAATTTTATCTCCCGTTCAAGGGAAGCCTTTAAGGATTAAAAATATTTTTTTATTGGCAAAAAGAAGAAGAATTATATAATCCATTACAACAACAGCTAAAAAGTAAAAATTAATTTTTATTTATCTGCTTTTCTTGGCTTTACTCCATAGATACTGACTACTATTAGACAATTAAAACAAACACACCTTTTAAAGGTTAGTAATTTTTTTATTATTATTTTTTAATTTTCTATGAATCATTTTTGGACGGTCTTCGTACTTATTAGCAAAAATTTTTTAAAAGTTCATAAAAATAGATTTTTTTGTTATCAAATGTTTTTTGAGTGTCAACTATTTATATCTTTATCCGGATTTTGTTTTTATCTCCGAGAAAGAATTTAAAAAAGACCGAAAAAATACTAAATCCTTAGAAATTTGGTAAATTTATTTTTTGGAAAAAAAAAACTAACTTTTTCATGAAACGACCTAAATACCACTTTTAAAAAAATTAAAAATTTTTAAAAGATATACTACTTTTAATTGTGATTATAGTCTTTGTAAAAATAGTTGGGACCACCCTGGATTTTTTTTCAAATTTTAATATTAAAATGTCTGAAAAATTTTTTTTAAATTTAATTTTCAGCATTGTTTTTTGAATCATGCTTGGCTATACTTTTACAAGGATATTCGTTATATTGTTGATTTATGTTTTTACTTTGATGGCTACAAATTTGGTATCTAAATTTAATCTTTTTTAAATTATATTTTTAATTTTCTTAAAGGTTTATTCAATGGAAAATGAAGTTCGATGCGGGTAAAAAATTAATTTTTTAATAAAAAATTTTTTTGGGTAGACTTTGTTTATGGGTATGAAGCAAGGAATGTGACGGATTTCCCGAATCTCGGACTTTTTTCTTTCAAGATACGACTTTTAGCCAGGCCCTTCTTTGTAGCCAGGCCCTTCCCTTATCTGACCTCTGGCCTAAAAGCTGATCCTTTGAAAATTTTGTAAACCCCACCTGCCTTTTTTCGAAGTCTGTGACATCTCTGGTATGGTTTAGTGTGTATAAAATTTGAAAACAAATTTTATTTCACCTAATTTTTTTTATTCCTGTTTTTCAGTTCTGTCGATATTAGAAATGATCCAAGAAATGCTTTTCATCAACCTCGTAGAAATATGAAAACAGATGAGGATGGAAAAGAGAGGAAATTGAAATATAGAGAATGCACAATTTTAGAAGGGGATTTTACTATTTCTATGGTTTTTTTTTATTTTTAAAATTTAAAAAATTTTTTAAAAAATTAGATTACAAGAAGCAATCTTACTGATGGTCGGGTTTTTTTCTATTAATTTTTACTTTAATTTTTTTTCTAATTTTAGATCTGTTCCCAGTTTTTGAAAATTTGCGTGAAATAACTGGCTCAATTTTGGTTTTTCAAATACGGTTTTTCTTTTAAAAATTTTTTCTCTTATTTTTAAACATTTTTTTAAGTGGATTAACCAGCCTTGGACGTATTTTCCCAAATCTTCGAGTAATTGGTGGTCATTCATTAATTATGAATTATGCTCTTGTTGTATATCAAAATTATGATTTGAGGGATATTGGGTATTTTTTAAATTGTGTTTATTTTTTGTTTGGGTTCCAAAAGGAAGGAAGAGTATTTGGGGATAAAGGACGCAAAACTTTGGGATTTCATGCTGTTGAAAATTGAATAATAAATTAATAACGAAGTGTGTCCAATGTCTTTTCAATAGGAGTCCACCCAAAAGACCTATTGACCCAGAAGATACAAATTTTTAAAGCGAATATCGAGGGATTTAGAGGGATTAACATGGAGGAGGGTAAATACTTTTCAAAAGCTGTAGGTCTTTTAGGTTAAAGTATTATGAAAATAGGGGGAGTTTGTTGTTGTTCTTTGACCTGGGACCTAATGTCTCCAAACCAAATTTCCCTTGAAATAAAACCTTGGTAGATTTACGTAATTAGCTAAAGGCTTGTGTAATTTAGCCAAATTATTATTTTTGGTCGTCCATCTTTGTTTAAAAATTAAAAAAAAATTTTCTACAGTTTAACAAAACTCGTTGCAATAAAAAATGGTGGTGTTAGAATAACTGAAAACCCTCGCTTGTGTTATACTCGAAGCATTTCTTGGAAACAAATATTAATTGGAAATATACGCGATTTAATTATTGAGTTTGTTTTTTTTTAATTCTAAAAAAATAATAAATTTTTTTAGTCAAGTTGCTGGTCATTGCAAAAATGATTGTCCAACAAGTGAAAATGATCCACATTGTTTTAGAGATCCGTTTACTTCTAATATGGTTTGAACTTTTTTGAATTTGTTTTTGATTTTTTCTTAATTTTTAAAGGCTTGTTGGAATAATACACACTGTCAGAAAAGTAAATTTTTTTAATTAATTTAAATAGATAATTTAAGGTTTGCATTTTTTCTATTAATTTCCTCTAAATTTTATTACAGAAAAATTAGTTCTGGACAGAATAAGATCGGATTTTTTCAGAATCTGTGCCCCAAATCTAAGGCTTTTTTTGTAATCTCTGGGTTATTTCCGTAGTTGCTGGAACGGTATCCGCCTTGATTTTTTCAGTGTATTACATAAAATTAGTGAGCGAACGGGATAAGGCCTGATTTTTCAGGAATCTGTGACCCATATCCCAGGCTTTTTCTCCTAATCACCGGATTTTTTTCGGGACTGATTTAGTCCAGAATCCGATTAAATCGGATAGGATAATTTAGAAAAAGCCAGTCGATTCCAGTCTTGCTCTAATTTCAAAAACCGAGGTGAATCGATAACTGCTTAAAAATCTTTTTCATTTTATGATCAAAAATTAAATTTTTTATAAATTTTAGTTTGCATAAACAATCAAAAGACTCTTTCTGGTTGTACAATAAACGATGAACTTTGTCATGAAGAGTAAAAAAATTTTTTTTTAATTAAAAAAAATGATTTTTTTCAAAGATGTATTGGTGGATGTACTAGACCAAATGATACTTTTGCATGTTTTTCTTGCCGTCATTTAGATTTGAATGGTCAATGTGTTTCTAAATGTCCTGATCATTTGTAAATTAATTTTTGTTTTTTTAATATTTTCCTTTTTTGGGGATTTCTTGGGGGTTTTTATTCGATTTCTTGTAGAAATTAACCACCATTTAATAAAAACCAGGCCGGTCTTAGAAACTGGGTCGGACCCAGGAAAACACTGAAACGAGCCCAGGACCGAGGTTTATCAGGTCCATGGAGTTTTTTGGTTTTTGTTATTGGTTTTTTTTTGTGGAAATTAACCACCATTTAATAAAAACTAGGGCGTCTTAGGAACCCGTTTGGACTCAGGAAAGCACTGAACCGAGCCAAGGACCGGGGGTTTCCCGTGTCTATTAGCCTGAAAAGCGCATGTTTTGATAAAACCGGTTTTTCATTTTCCAAACTCGGCCCGGGTTAATTGAAGAAAAGAAGACTTGGATACCGGATCCGGCAATTTACAAATTTCGAATTCTATTTAAAATTTAATTTTAAAACTTAAAAAGATATGAGCAACTTGGTCGTCGTTGTTTAACAAAATATGAATGTGAAGCTTTATATCCAGTAACATCATATCCTAGTGCTGATGAAAAATCTGTATGGAAAGCATTTAAAAAACATTGTAGTTATGAATGTCCTAATGGTTATAGAGAAGGTTTATTTTTGTTTTTTAGGAAGAAAGGATTAAAAAAAATTTTTTAAGATCCGTCAAATTCCCATTCTTGTATTGAATGTATCAACTTTTGTCCAAAAAAATGTCCTGGAGATACTGTTGATTCAATTAGCTCTGCACTCAAATTTTCAAAATGTAATATGATCGAAGGAAATTTAGAAATTGATATGAGAATTGGAATTGAATCTACTAGTGCAGAAAAATTTACTGAAGCATTTGGTGAAATTGAAGAAATTACTGGGTAAGTGTTTGAGTGTTTTATCTTTGTAAAAGTGAACAACAACAAAAAAATTTTTTTTTGACCATTACAAACTTTTGAATTTGGAAAATTTTTTGAAACGCCTTTGATTTAAGATTTAAAATTGGCTTATAAAAATTTGTATGGTTTTAAGTTTGGGGTATTTATTGTTAGACTATCTTGTCCAGCTGATTACAAGTCTAACATACATAATAAGCGTTAAAACTTTCTAAGACATTTTTAAGTTTAATTATGGTTATGCAGTATGCTGGGCTTTAGCGTTAGACTCCCAAACAGAGCTATTTCGATTTCCGATTTCCAAAGATTTTTTTTGTTTCGAAGCTCCAAGTTGATTTTTTGGTGTTTCCTTGTCTTTTTCTTGTTTGTAAATTTGCCTTAATTTTCTTCTTTTCAGTTACCTTCTAATTCGTTTTTCTTCTGCATTTATGTCACTTCATATGTTTAAAAAACTTAGACGAATTCATGGACAACAATTATGGAAAAATTTATATGCTTTAGTTGTTTTTGAAAATCAAAATTTGCGACAATTATTTAATGTTGATGAAGAACATAAAATTGAAATATTGAGAGGAAAAATAAGCTTTCAAAATAATAGAATGTTGTGTTATGATAAGGTTTATATTTTTTTGAAAAATAAGGGGCATAAAATAGGGTTCGACCTTTGCCTCCTCCTTCTCTCCCCCAATAAAGCGAATTTACTTGAGTAAAGCTCGCTTGGGTGAATCTATTTAGTAATTTTCTCTCTGAATCTGAATTTCCCACAATCAAGGTTCACCGTAAAAGCATGTCTTTGCTCTTATAGTACGATGCTAGGATTTTTAGACCTCTTTGCTCCCTAGTCCTGCTTACGATTTTTTAAAAACTTTGACATGATTTTTAATGACAATTTGTTACTATTCCCCTCCATATTTTTTTAAATTTTCCTTTCCTTCACTATTTGTTGATTTTTAGAAGAAAAGGAATAAGGAAAATAAATTAGGGAAATTTTTAGAATAAAGGGAAATATAATAGAAAATGGGGGGGGGGGGTTAGGAATTTTTGAAATTTTTTCGATATTTAAAAAAAAATTTTTTTTCTTTATTTTTTTAAAGATTAAAAACTTCATTGAACATTTGGGAATGAAAGTATGTACAGAATTTGGAGATGAAAACAACAAAGCTAAATGTGTTGGTGAAAGTGATGTTTCCCCATTTAGCAATGGAGATAAAGCTATTTGTGATGAAATTCCTTTAGAAGTAAAAATTGTTTCTGTTTATTCCTATGGATTTGTGATTACTTGGACACCTTTTAATACAACTGATATGGATCATAGGAAATTTTTGGGATATATGGTTTGTGTGATTTAAAAAAAATTTTTTTTATGAAATATAGGCTTTCCTCATGGGCTTTCTGAAAAAAAATTTTTTAGAAAAAATTTTCGGAAAAATTCTTTTCAAATTTTCTAAAAATTTTTTTCGAATATTTTTAGTAAATTGAAAATTTTTTCGAAATTAAAAATTTCAAAAATTTTTCCGAAAATTTTCAAAAATCTTCTTTAGAGAATTTAAAAAATCATAAAAAAATTTTTAGAAAATCTTTTTAGGTTTTTGAAATTCTAAAAAATTTTTTTTTGGAAATTTTCGGAAAAATTTCTGAAATTTTTAAAATAAATTTCGAAAAAATTTCAAAAAAAATTTTCAGAAAGCCCATGTTTTTAATTATCAAAAATTATTAATTGAAAATTTTTTTTCTACCCACAGATATTCTACAAAAAAGTTGACAAAATTAATTTAAATATGACAATTGATGATGATCGTTCAGCTTGTTCAGATTCTTGGAGTATGTATTTTGTAACTGATGGAAGTGATTCAACAAAGGAGGATATTTCTGGGGAAGATGCTGGAACAAGTTCGCCTAAAGGAGAATTAATAAATCAAGGAGTTGAAGCAAATACACTTTATGCTGTTTATGTACAAACACGTGTAGTTAATCATCCTGGTATTTTATTTATTTAAAAATTTTTTCAAAAATTTTGAAGATTTGGACTTTTTTTGAATTTAAAATTTTTGTTAAAATTTTCTGAACCATCAAAAAATTTTCGAAAAAAATTTTTAAATTTTTTTCGAAAAATTTTTTTGAAGGTTCAGAAATTTTTTTTTAATTTTTTTTGAAAACTCGAAATAATTTTTTTTGAAAATTAATATTAAAATTTTAATTTTTTTTATTTTTAGGTGCAAAGAATGCAATATCTCCAATTCTTTATGTTAAAACGCTGTTTGGTGTCCCTGTATGTTTTTGGCTGAATTTTATTTTTTCTAATTTTTTATTTTAAAGGATCCTCCACGAATGCGAGCTTCAATAGCATTAAGTCCAAATTCTATCAAGTAAAAAATTTTTTGGATTTATTGGTTAAATAAAATACTCATCAGAGTGAGGTCGGCGGAAGTCTGATTTCCATCGTTTGACCACTTTCGATTTCGGACAGTTCCAATTTCCGATACTCGTCATTTCCGACCGACCCCTGATACCCATTAAATTTATTTTTTAACATTATTTTTTTCATTTTATCAATTTTTAGGTTAAACTGGGATCCACCTTTGGAAGCTTATGGTGATATTACACATTATATGGTATAATTTTTTAATTAAATTTTTATTAAAAATTTTTTTCATGTCTCTTGGAATCTTGCAATTGAATATAATACTGTTAATGCTGATGATGTTTGTGACAAGAGAAGTAAGGGTGGAAAAAAAATTTTTTTTGAAATTGTCGGCAAAAAAATTTTGGAATTTTTTTGAAATTTCAAAAAAATTTTCAAAAAATTTTTTTTAATTTTTTGAAAATTTTTCGAAATTTCAAAAAAAAAATTTTTTTTTAATAAAAAAATATTTTTTCTAGTCAATACAATTGTTTCATCAAAAAATATTCCAGCAAATATATTTCCTCCATTTATTAATAAAGACAACAACAACAACAAAGATACTTGTTCAGCAAAAGAAGGATGTTGTAAATGTAGTAGTAATAATAATGGAGCAAGTGATTATTCTGGAGAATTAAATTCTAATAAAAAGAAAAAAGATTCAAATGATTTGGATGCTGCACGTAAAGATAGCAATAGTTTTGAAGGTTTTTTTTAATTTTTCTGAAAAATAAATAGTTGAATCCGGGTCTTTTTTTCCAGCACTGCCTCTTTTAACAAGTGAACCATCCAAACAAAATTTCCCCTAAACGTTGCAGCCCTAAAATTTTTTTTTATTTTTATATCGATAGTTGAAAAAGTAATTTGATAAAGCTCTTTCTTTTGGTAAGCACAAGGTTTTGACATATTTTTTGGTTGATTCCTTTTTAAGACTTGTGGAAAGCATTCAGAATTCTGATTTTTTTTTTAATTCTTGGAGTTATGGATTTAGACAGTCGTTTTTCTGGGATGGGGTTATTACTTAAAAATTATTTTTTCTTTAAAAATTCTTTCAAGTCAGGGCTCTTAGCGAAACATCTAAGTAAGAGCGCTGCTTTAAGTTGATTAATACCAATTTTTATTTTCTTTTTTAGATGCTTTGCAAAATACTGTTTTTGTTCAAAAGTAAGATTTTTTGCACTTTAAAAAAATTTTTTAACAAAAAAAATACTAACATTTTTCTGTGCTTTTTAATGCTTTTTTACACACCTCCCTATAATGCTTTTATTAATAACTAATTTAAGTTGCGATGTAAATTATGATCCAAATCATTGTACTGGATCAACAACAAATAATAATAATAATGAAGCTAATAATAATAAACATAAAGGTTTACAACAAAAATTTGAAGAAAAACATCAGCAACAACAACAACAAAAAATATTATCACAAAATTTACGCTATCGCAGGCATAACAATTTTGCTTTTGCTGGGTCGCTTGATACAATATTGTAAATAAATAATTGATTAATTTTAGACTTCTTTTTCACTATTGGGATATAAAAGTTTTTTTAAGATTCTCCTGAATACTCCTGAATAGGGTTGCCGGCCCAGTTTTGTTTGAAAGATCTGAACGGGTATCGAACTTAGGCCCGAAAAAAATGACTCGAACGTCAGCCCGATTCGATAGAAATGAGACCCGAAAAAGACGAACAGCCCAGTTCGAAAATGGCAACCCTACTCCTAAATTAAAAAAAATATTCTCGATTTATTCCTGAGGTTTATCAAATCATTAATGATTTATTGTCACTCACGTGTTGTTTAAGGTAGGATTGTCGGATCCGAATATTCGGAAATTTTTGGTTCGGATCGCCAGAAATTTTTGGGCCGGATATCGGATATCCGAAGATTTCCAACTATCTGACAACCCTAGTTTAAAGATGCTTTTTAACATTTTAAAAATAATATTTATATTGACTTTCTATCCAATTTTTTCAGATACAAGTATCCAAGAGATCCCAATTTTATGTCAAAATCCACTGCAGCAGATACTGAACCATCACAACAACAACAACAAAAACCTAATCGTACTCGTCGACATGTCAACAACAATAATCAAAAAGCAATACCAACAATAAAATATTATAATTCAACAGAATTAAATGTTTCTAGTGGAAATATGATTTTTGAAGGAATTAATTTAAATTATACACATGGAAAAATGAATGTAACTGGGACAACGTTTATATTATCTGGATTACCGCATTATTCTGAATATCATATTACAGTGAGGAAAAAAAATTTTTTTTCTTAAGAAAAAAATTTTTTTGAAAATTTTTTTGGAATTTTTTAAATTTTAAAGAAATTTTGAAATTTTTTTTGAAATTTTCAAAAATTTTTAGGAAATTTTTTTTTCTGAATTTTTAACAAAAATTTTTTTCTCAGGTTTATGCCTGTCAAAATATTAGTGCTCCGGATAATTATTGTTCGGGAAGGCCAGCATGGACATCTGCTAGGACTTTGCCTATACGTAAAAAACCTTTGGGAATTTCTAATATTTTTTCTTCAAAATTTTAGCTGAAAATGATATGATTGACCCAAATACAATTTTATTATCAAATTCAACAACAGACAAAATTAATGAAAAAAGAATTTATTGGGAACCACCAGAATTTCCCAATGGTTTTATTCTTGCGTTTAGAGCTAAACTTACAAAAAATGATGACAGTGTAAGTTTGAAAAATATTTTTTTCTGAATTAGTTTCTTTAATAAGTGGAGTTTTCGTTATGGAAGGAGATAATGTTGTAATGTCAAAACGTCAATTGTTGAAATTTCAACCCCCCCCCCCCCCACAAAATTCGTTGTAATCTCAAACAGTGGGGGTTGAAATGTCAAACGTTGTCCTTTGACATTTCAATGACATTTTAACTAAAACACGGACTATGGGTGGGGGTGTGCGGGGGAGGAAATATAGGTACCTTTTGACCAGACATGCACGAAACTCCAAAATTTTTTCAGACGAAACGAAACGAAACAAAATTTTTTAAAAATCGTTTCGTTAACGAAACGAGACGAAACAGTAAAAATTTAGCGAAACGAAACGAAACAAAACGAAACATTTTAATTTTCAAAAAATTTAATAAAAACGGTTTTATTTTATTAATTATTCGATTTTAGATAGGCTAGCTATGGTTAATAGGCTAGTTATGGACTATAATTGATCTAATAGCTTAGTGGGACCTTAAATTGTGGTCCCAGGCTACAAAACATTCGCGTTTGACTCATAATCCACTATATCAGCCTTAATTCCACCAAATCGACTTTAATCGAATTATGTGTTGAGAATGTGTGTATATCAGGGACCTGACGACCCGTTTCCTGATTCCCTAACATCGGGAATTAATTTTGTCAGAAATTACTATCCCCCAAACCCGTTCCTGATTCCCGACATTTTTTTAAATATTTTAAACCCTCCAAATCCACCGATATCCCGTTTACTCTCTTCCAATTTCCTATACCATCATTGCTCCCGCCAAATCCAATGATATTTCTCAACTCAGATTTTTTGTTGATAACAACGTTCCTGATTAGGGTTGCCAAAATGGACCGACTCGGACCAAAAGATCGAGTCGGGCCTAAGATATTTGGCCCGAAAAGACTCTCTGGCCCGAATCGATAGAAACAGGCCCGAAAAAAAGCAACCATGTTCATGATCATTGCCATTAGTTGCTAAACTTTATTGAAACTCTTGCGCCTGCCCTATTTTGGCATTAAGAGGTAGATCGATTCTTATGCCTAATCTAGCATAGAATTTGAGCTTTGCATGTTAAAAAAACAAAATCAAACGAGAAATTCAAAAAAATGTAGTAAATTATGCGCCGTAGGCGCTTAAAATCCAGATTTTAGCGCCGCAGGCAAAAATTTTTTGAATTTTTATCACCAAAGGGGAAAATTTTTCAGTTTTTGGGTAAAATTTTGGTCTAAAAAATGGGTAATGTTTCGTTAACGAAACAGAGGTGTTTCGTTAACAAAACGAAACGAAACAAACTAAAAAGTGTTTCGTCACGAAACGAGACGAAACAGGAAAAAACATAACGAAACTAACGAAACAACGAAACGAAACGAAACGTTTCGTGCATGTCTGCTTTTGACTGCTTGATATTTTAATGTTTTACTCCGGAAACTTTTATTTTCTCAAAATTTTTTTTTGATTTTTTCTAATCAAAAAATTTTTTTTATTTATTTAGACACCATATGATCAATGCATTACCTTTGAGAGATTTATCAATGAATCAGGAGTTACATTTTCTGGTATTGCTGATGGTCTATATACTCTACACATTCGGACAGAAACATCAGCTTTAATTGCTAGCAATTTTAATCCAAATTATACAATAATTAAAGATTTATTTGAAATTCGTACACCAAGCATATTTACTTTTAAGGTAAAAATTTTTTCTTCAAATTTATAAATACTGTTGGCGATCTTATTTTTAGCTCCTCCCAAATTTTAGGTATTTTTCAATTTTTGTTGCATTTTTTTAAACATTGTTTGGTTTCGAGTGGTGGCAAGATATTTGCGGATATCCACGGGTGGATATCACTCAAAAGTTACTCGGATATAAACGGATCCGTGTCATTTGCATGTCTGGGAGGAATTGCTTTTAAGCTTCACCTGATTTGAGAAACCCCAAACTTTAAGACAAAACCCTCATTATAATTTTTTTTAATCGTTAATGAGGGTATTTAAAAATGTGGTTGGATTTTATTTGTTTCTTTAAAAAAAATTTTTTTTAAAGGTTGTTTCAATTTCTGCATCAATTGTTGTTTTAGTTTTAATTATATCAGGAATTGTAATTTATTATTTCGTTAATAGAATGTTTGGGAAGAAAGTGGAAGAATATTGGAGGTTTTTTTTAATAAAAAAAATTTTTTGATATTTTCTGAATTTTTTGAAAATTCTTTAAAATTTCCTTCAACAAAAAATTTTTTTTTAATTTAAAGACAAACAATATCTGCCAATCCAGAATATTTGAGTCAAATGGAACTTTATAAAGCTGATGAATGGGAATTAAAAAGAGATGATATAATTTTGGAACAAGAAATTGGAAGAGGAACTTTTGGGAAAGTTTTTCGTGGTTATGGAAAAAATGTTCGTTCTATAATGGGGGAAACTTTTGGTGATTGTGCTGTTAAAACTGTTCCAGAAACCGCTTCAAATGCTGAAAGATTACATTTTCTTATTGAGGTTTTTATTTAAAAAAAATTTTTTGAGGGTGGGGGTTATCAGGCTATTTATAGTTTTTTCCCTCAAAATTATGGTTCATGACTTTCACCTTTAGGGTGGGGACTAGGGTTGTTCCCCGACGTGGGGAGGGGGCCACGGGGAGAACTTTTCGGGGAGACAGCGCCATGGGGGGAGAGGTGGAATTTTTTATTTTTCCACGGGGGGAGGGGGGCTGGGAATTTTCAAAAAATCTCTCAAGTTTCCCGACTTTCGTGGACAGGGAACAACCCTAGGGAGGACCGTACTTATTTGTTAGTCTAAATTTATGGTCAAATTAAAATGGTTTGGGATTCTAGGTTGTTTACTATATTTGTTATTTCTCCCTCCATATTAACGACGGACACCGATGTTCGTTTTTCTGGTCAGATTCAAAGAAGGAAACATTTTTTAGAAAAAAATATGGGAATAATATTTGCTTGAATTTTTTTTTAATTTTATATCCAATTTTTAAAGGCTAGCGTTATGAAACAATTTAATACTTCATTTATTGTAAAACTTTATGGTGTTGTTTCTGATGGGCAACCTGTTTTGGTTGTTATGGAACTTATGGAAAAGGTTTGGAAAAAATTTTTTTGGGTGACATTTTATCCCAGAATTTTTTTTATTTTTTTTTAAATTTTTTTTAATTTTTAAGGGAAATTTGCGTGATTTTCTTCGTTCCCATCGACCTGGAGCAGAAGAAAACAAAGAAAATCGTCCATTACCTACAGCAGATCAATATTTTAATTGGGCTGCACAAATAGCTGATGGAATGGCATATTTGGAATCTTTAAAGTTTTGTCATAGAGATTTGGCTGCTAGAAATTGCATGGTTAGTGTATTTATTAAATTTATTGAATATTTTTTTATTGAGAGATGACATTTTATCTCGAAATTTTTAGGAATTTTTTTCTGAAATTTTTTGATTTTTAAAATTTTTTTGGATAAAATGACATCCAAAAAATTTGTAAGTTTTTTGAAAACGTTTTTTGGATGCAGTTTTTTGAATTTCATCCCAGAAATTGAACAAATATTTTTTGGGATAGAATGTCATCTCAAAAATTTTTTTGAAAAAATTTTTGGAAATATTTTTTACATTAAAATTATTAATAAAAGGGAATGAATTTTTGCATTCTTAATATTTTTAATTTAAAGGTACATGCTAACGAATCAGTAAAAATTGGTGATTTTGGTATGGCAAGAGATATTTATTACCATGTATTTTTTTTATTTTTAAAAAATAAATTTTTAAAAATTTTTTAAAGGAATATTACAAACCTGCTGGTAAACGTTTAATGCCTGTTAGATGGATGGCACCAGAATCATTAAAAGATGGCAAATTTACATTAAAATCTGATGTTTGGTCTTATGGAATTGTTTTATATGAAATGTTGACTTTAGGTTTTTTTAATTTTTTTTGTTAAATTGAGGGTGCAAAAGAGGGGAGAGGGTAAGGGAAGGATAAAATAATTGAAAAATTCTGGCCTTATAAATTCACGTGAACTGATTTTTTATTTTTAGATAAAATAGGATCGAGGGGGGTGGGGGTTAAAGTTAAAATCCGAAGCCATGGAAACAAGTCCTCAATTTGTAGTATTTTTTAAATTTTGTTTTCAAAGCTAATTTTAAGCTAAACCCCTCGGGACAATATTTCTAAAAGATTACCAGTCTGTGGGTCAGGTCCGTGAAAAAACTCCTTGTCTTGATCAGGTAATGAACCTGATCACTTGTTTTTCTCTCTTATTGTCTCAAATATTTTTTGTTAATTTTTTGTTAATTTTTTTAAATTTTAATAAATAATTTCTAGGCCAACAACCTTATGCCGGTTTAGGAAATGATCAAGTATTTAATTATACGGGTGTTCAAAGGCATGTTTTGAATAAACCTACAGGATGTCCTGATTTTTGGTAAAATTTTTATTATAAAAAAATTTTTTTGTTAATTTTTGGGGTGTCATGTGTTAGGTTCTTGAAAAGAGGGTTAGATCTCTGAAAAAATTTATTTAAAAAATTTTTTTCTAAATTAATTATTTAAAGGTATGGATTGATGCTTTTATGTTGGAAATATGATCCTAGAGAAGTAAAAAATTTTTATTTAAAAAATTTTTTGGCGTTTTGAATTTTTTTTAATAAAAGTCAAAAAAATTTCAAAAATTTTTTAAAATTCAAAAAAATTATTTTCAAGAATTTTAAAAATTTTTTAAATTCATAAAAAATTTTTTTAGCGTCCAACATTTCGTCAAATTGTAAGATATATTGAAAATTATGCTTCAGATGAATTTGTTAAGGTAAGAAAATTTTTAATTGAAAAAATTTCAAAAAAAATTTTTTCCTTTCAAAGGCTTCATATGTTTTAAATAATGTTCAAATTATGCCGGAAGCTTATAATTTTGATATTGATTTGGATGATGAAATAATGAAAAGAAATGTAATTAATGAAGAATTTGTATATGGGCAAGAAGAAGATGGAGAGGATTTGGAGGATGTTGATATTGGTGATGGTGGGGATCTTGCTGATTTTGCTAGTGAAGATGTAAGTTTTGGGGGATTTTTACAAGAGAGAATATTTTTGGAATATTATTTGGACCTTTAATTATAAGATACGCTTAAATTTTTTTGAGATTGGATTTTTTAAATTTAATTTTCACTGGGTGGTTCCGATTTTAAGGTGCTCTAATTATAAGATATTGCGAGGAAGAAAGAAAATACAAAGGATAAAATACACAAACAAATCCCATTTAACGCCCATTAAATTGTAACAATCACACCACTTAAAACAATCACACCACCTTTGGCATCGATCCATCCCAATTCCAAAGGAACCTCGGACCCACACCTTCACTCTCACTATATGATTTCTAGTCTCAAGGAGATTTTTAGTTCCAAGGAGGGCGTCTTATTTGTGGCGTCTTATATCTAGAGAGCGAGCTGGATTTTAGATCCAGACCTTGATTTTTCCTTCCAGATCAAGGATTTTTTAGAGTTCCTTGATTTTTCCTTGACTCAAGGTCAAGAATCTTGGGCAAGATACCCAATCTAAATCAAGGTCAAGGTTTTTTTTGAAAATCTCGCTCTCTACTTAAATTTTTCGGACCTCGTTATACATATTAAAAAAAGTTTTTTTTAATTATTTTTTCATTAAAAAAATAATCTTTTATAAAATTTTATATTTATAGGAATTAAATCCAGTCTGTATTAATAATAGGAGAAATAATGAAAAAAATTGTCTAGATGATGGAATAATAGAAAAGGTTGATTAATCACTAAATTTTTTTAATTTCTTATTTAAACCTTTTGAAAAAAATTGGTGACCATTTTGAGCTTTTTTTTCTAGGCTAAAATTTTGATTTGAATTTTTGATGGAATTTTCTGGTCACCAATTTTTTTAATTTTAATTTTTAACCCTTTCCAAACTACCTTCAAAAAATTTTTTTTCTCTATGTCATTCCATTCGCACACATATTTTATTTTTAAACTCGTGCATAATCTCAAGTACTATTTAGGTATTGTTTTTTAAAGAAATTTTTTTTCTTGATTTTTAAATTTTTGGATGGATTTTTAAAATAATAAAATCAAGAAAATATCAGGAAAAAAATATAATTTTTTTTACTTTTTTTTCTTCATTTGCCCACACTAAAAAATTTTTTTTTAATATTTCCATGTATATATTCATTCCTAGTGTACGTGTATTTTCTTTTGGAAGTTGAAAAAAATTTTGAAAATTTTTTGAATAATTTTTGGAAAATTTCAAAAAAAAATTTTCCAAAAAAAATTTTTTTTTCTTAATTTTTTTTTCAGAAACTTTTTTTTTCAACTTTTAACACAACTAATTAATTATTATTTTTTTCTTGTGTTATATTTTCTAAATTAATTTTTTTTAATTCTATCAATTTTTAATATATTGCCAGCATAAATATTATGTTACAACAAAAAATGTTTAATTCATTAAAATACCTAAATTTTGTATAATTTATGCTCTAATTAAAATATAATTTTTTAGGAAAATGGAGAAAAAAATATTTTTTTAAATCAAAAAATTGAGACAACAAAACACACACAAATTATAATAATTAAAAATCTTAAAAAACCCCATTAGTATGGGTGGGGGCTAACTCAAGGAACGGACAAATCAAGGAACGACAAGTCAAGGTTGTTCAATGAGTTGGTCGTTCCTGTCTTTTCCTTGACTTGTCTGTTCCTTGAGTTAGCCCGACACGATTAGTGTAATCTATTAGAGTTTGACTTTTGTGGGGAGATAAATTTTCTCTTCCCTTATTTCCAGACTCTAATGGTTAAAAGGGTTATTAAAAAAAATTTTTTTTTGGATTTTTTTTTAATTTTTTAGCCTAAGCATAAAAAAAGAAGAAAATTTAAAATTATCAAACACAAAATTATTTTAATTTAGTAAGAATTATAAACTACAAAACAATGTGTTTAGTAAGAGATAAAATTAAATAATGTGGGTAGAGGAAACTTAAAGTACTGAAGAAAAAATTAGACATTTTTCTTCACAAACTATAATTAGATAACAATTTAATTTCGATAAAAATATAAAAGTATAAAAAAATTTCTAATTAAATGACATTTCTTTTAATTACTCCCCATCAAGTCGCCCTATTTCAAAATTACCATTAGAGTCTAAAAATAGGGGAAGAGAAAATTTATTTCTCCACAAAAGCAGACTCTAATGGGTTGGCAAGTGGATTTTTTCAATATCAATACAGGGAATACCTAAAAGTGGCGGAAAATACCGAGTAGGTTACTTTAGGAAGTACCGGAGGAATACCGAACTGTGTCGATCACTAGGCTCTAATGGGGTGTCTTTTTGAGGTATACAAAGATTTAGTAGATGTTAAAATGTTCTTTGCGCACTACGCACATGAATTAACACTTATTTAATAGGGAACGTATGACCTTAAAAGAAACACTGGGGGAGCCGTCTTTTATTTTTTCTCTTTTTTAGAGACACTAGAAATTAGACAAGAATTAAAATCTTTCCTTTTTTTTAATTAATAAAATTCTCTTAAATTTTTATTGATTTTTCTAAAAAATTTTTTTTACCTAATTATTTTATTCAAAAATGTTTCTTTTGGTTTAAGAAAAAAATACTTTCAAAAATTACCATTAGAGTCTGAACTTATGGGGTGAGAAAATTTATTTCTCCACAAAAGTGAGACTCTAATGGATTTTTCGTTTTTTTAATTAAAAAATCCCTCGAATTTTTTTATTGATTTTTTATGAATAATTTTTTTCCCTTTCTTTTTTTCTAGATTTAATTAAATTAATCATCTCCTCAATTGACAATGGATTGGTTAACCTCTTCATTAAATTATTTTCTTCAAATGTTTGACATTGTTGATATTGCTGTAATTTTAATTATAACAACAATAGCTATAATTTATTATTTTAATTTGCATTCTTCGACACCTAAAAATAGCAGTACAACTCTAACAAATAATTTATCAAATGGATCGTTGACTAGCAATAAAATGGACAAATCCTTTTTAAATAGGATGAAGAATGAAAATAGACAGGTTTTTAAGCGTTTAAATGAGGGAATCTAATAAGGGAGTGGGTGGTGTAGTTGGATGTGTTTAGGTTTTGTGGGAGATTGGGTAGGGGTTCGAATCCTTTTGGGTGCAAGCATTCTTATTTTTAGTGGAAATATTTTTTTTGATCAAAAATTGACCTTAGCCTTCTCAGAAAATTTTTTTCTGATTTTTACTAGTGTTATTCACGGTACGGTATTACCGCGGTATTTTTCGGTAATACCGCGGTATTTTTACCGAAATACCGAAACCGATACCGAACAATTTTTTAAAAATCGGTATTTTTTCGGTATCGGTATTTTACCGAAATATCGGTATTTGCGGTATCGGTATTTTACCGAAAATACCGATACCGATACCGAAAAAACGCGTTTGAATAACACTAATTTTTACCATCTATGGTTCCCTGACATTTGGTTTATAGTGGGTAATTTCTGGGATTTCCTGTTAAATAGATAAGGGTTCGAATCCTGTTGATGGACCAACATTTTAAATTTTTAATGAAACGCTTGTTTAATCGAAAACGGGCCTTGGACTTTCAGAATTTTTTTTAGAAATTTTTTTAAAAAATTAATACAAAAAATTTTTCAGATTTTAATTCTCTATGGTTCCCAGACTGGAACTGGTGAGGAATTAGCTGGACGTTTAGCAAAAGATTTTGGACGTTTTGGCAAAAAGCCTTTATTAATTGACCCTGAAGAAATCGAAGCAGAAGATTTACCAAAAATTACAGAAGAATTTGAAGACCCAATTCTTTTACTTTTTGTTGCGACATATGGAGAGGGTGACCCTACTGACAAGTTTGCTTTTTTTGATTTTCTTTTTGGGAGAAGGGGGAAGGGAGAAGTCGAGTTTAAGCAATTTTAGGGTACTTGGTTGTCGTTCTGTTTGTTTGTTTAAAGATTTGATTTTTTGGGAAAATATTTGTAGAAATTTTTTAGGTGACATTTGGTCCCAGCCTCGAAAATTATTTTCAAAATTTTTTTGGATGACATTTGATCCCACCCTTCGAAAAATTAAATTTTATTAATTTTTTATTCCCTCTTTTAGTGCCTTTGCAAAATTATTTTAAAAAGTTCTAGGTGACATTTGATCCCACCCTTGAAAAATTAAATTTTTTATTCTCTTCTTTTTACTAAAAAATTTTCTTTAAGTGCCCAAGCTTTGCACGAATATTTTACAAATAATGAACCAGACTTGACAAAACTTAAATATTCTGTTTTTGGACTTGGAAATAAAACATATGAACATTACAATGCTGTAGGCAAATTTTTTGATAAAAGATTGGAAGAACTTGGGGCTGAAAGAATTTGTGAACTTGGATTGGCTGATGATGATGGAAATTTGGAAGAGGATTTTATGCGGTATTTTTTGTTTTTTAAGCGATTTTTGGTAAAGGGTAGTCTTTGACTGTCCCCGGGGAAAAATGGAGAAAGGGGCTCTTTTGATATTTTTTGAAGTTTGTCAGTAGGTAATCGAGTGTGCTGACCAAGGGAACATCGTTCACTGTGAGTGCGAATTTGCTTTACTTTGTGGTACCATTCGATAGAGGACCCCCGACTTCCTATTGAGAAGTGATCTTCGTTTTCTTACATGATGACTTTGGGCTGAGTTATGGCCAGTCAAAATTTCGGGGTTATGGAGGATTTGAGAAGGAACTGTCTTTCTCTTTACTTTAAATCTCGGACGAATTCGGACAAGCCTCGATTTTTCCCTTTTTGTTATTGTTCAATAGAGGACCCCAGACTTCCTATTGCGAAGTGATCCGTGTTTTCTTGCATGATGACTTTGGGCTGAGTTATGGCCAGTCAAAGTTTCGGGGTTTTGGAGGATTTGAGAAGAGAGTCTCTCTCTATATTCAAATCCCAGACCCAAATTCGGACAGGGCTCATTTTTCTCCAACGAATAGTTAAAAGCTACCTCTTATCCAATTTTTTAACTTTTACTTAAAAAATTTTCGTCTCTAGGTGGAGGGAACATTTCCTCTCAACTGTGTCTTCTCGTTTTGGATGGGATTTGGTAAATAATGGAAGTTTGGATCGTCAATACAAACTTGAAATAATAACTGAACAAAATGGACCTATCTTTAAAGGAGAATTTGGGCGTATTGGAGCTTTTGAAAAACAGCGACCGTAAGAAATTTTTTTGATTTTTTAAAAAAAAATTTTTGAAAATTTTTTTAGGACTTGAAAAAATTTTGAAAAAAAAATTTCGAAAAAATTTTTTCAAAATTTTTAAAAATTTAAAAAAAAAATTTTTTTTCAGGCCTTTTGACCAAAAAAATCCATTCCTTTCAAAAATCTCTGTTAATCGCGAATTACACACAAATCAAAGTGAAAGGTCTTGTCGACATGTAGAATTCGATATTGACTCAGCTAAAGTTCGTTATGATGCTGGTGACCATGTTGCTGTTTTTCCAACAAATGAGCCTGAATTGGTTGAAAAATTGGGAGAATTACTTGATGTTAATTTGGATACAATATTTAAATTAATTAATCTTGATGGTTTGTTTTTTTTTTGAAAGAAATTTTTTTTTAATTTTCTAATAAAATATATTGCCGGGAAAAATTATTTTCCTTCGGCCGGGTTCGAACCTTCAACCTTTAAAAAATAAAAATTGAACATTAACCTAATTTTAACCCACTACACCACAAAGTGATATAATTTTGATGCCACTAGATACATAGAACGAGCAAAAAGTTTAAGTTTGATATTTTCTTTTTTGGGTAAGGTGTGGGGTTCGAACCCTAAACCTCTAAAAAGTAAAAAGGACAGATTCCTAAATATATCCCACTACACCACAAAAAACACTTGAAAATTATTTTTCAATTTTTTAGAGGAAAGCACCAAAAAACATCCATTTCCTTGTCCATGTACTTATCGAACAGCGGTATATTTTTATTTTTTTTTTTTAAAAATAATTTTTATTTTTAAGTTAACTCATTATGTTGATATTAATTCACCTGTTAAATCTCACGTTTTAAAAGCATTGGCCGATTTTTGTGAAAATAATGAGACTAAAGAACGTTTATTGTTGTTGAGTACAGCTAGTGAGGAAGGATTGGTTTGTTTTTAATTTTTTTATTAAAAAATTTATGGGTCGTTTGTATGTACATGTAGGCAAGGTCTCCAGCTCCCTTATCTTAATGCCAAAAAATGATGAGATTTTCAAAAAAACGGAATTTTTTTCTGGGGAGTTTCTGAGTAATAACAATTTTTTCATAATTTCGTTTGCTTTGAAAAAGGCAGAGGTGATAATTCACTTTCTTAATTTATAAACCAACCATAGAATCTAAACTTTTCCGTTTTTAACAAATAAGACGGACAAAAAATTAAAAATTTTTCGGGTGTTTGGTGTGGGGTTCGAACCCTTAACCTTTAAAAAGGTAAAAACCCCAAATTTATCCAACTACACCAAAAAGACATTTTAAAGATTTTGGGGTAATTTGTTATTTTTGTAATCTAGGTTTTTTGTTCAATCATGGTTTTTTAATAAACCTAAAGTTCTGATTTTCTATTGAACTAGAAAACACAATTTTTTAATTTTTTACAGGCCTTATATGCCGATTATATTGTCAAAGAGCGCCGTAGTATAGTTGACATTTTGGCTACTTTTACTGACTGTAAACCTCCATTAGATTTATTATTGGAAATGTTACCACGTTTACAAGCTCGTTATTATTCAATTTCGTCCTCACCAAAATCAACAAATTTAAAAATTGCAATCACCGCCCTTTTAATTAGACACCAAATTGATGAAAAAAGAGTATTCAAAGGAGTTTGTACAAATTATTTGTACAAATTGTCTGAAGGACATTCTGTCCCAATTTTCATAAGAAAATCAACTTTGAGACTTCCAAATAAATTGTTAACCCCGGTTGTGATGATTGGACCTGGAACTGGTTTTGCACCTTTTAGAGGGTTTTTGCATGAAAGATTGTGGCAAAAGAAGTCTGGGGGAAAAGATATTGGAGAAATGCATTTATATTTTGGTTGTAGACATCCGGAACATGACCATATTTATAAAGAGGAAATGGAGGTTTTTTTTTAATTTTGAAAATTTTTAGGGGAGAGGGGGAGATTTGGGATAGTTGAATGGGAGGGATGTGGGACTTGAACATGGGATAGTCGAATACAGTCAGTCCTCATATTTAGATATTCCTAAGGTCCTTTAAGTTGAGTTTTTAAGTTAGTTATCCATTTGGTAATAGAGCCGACCAAACGACACCTCCATTAAATGTACACCTCATTATAAGGCAACCTTATCCTTGGTTTTGGGACCAAGGATAAGGTTGCCAGGTTCCTCAAATACTTCGGCTAACCGAAAACGAACCGACAAGTCGAACAGAAAAATCTTAGGTTTTTGTTTCAGTTTAAACGCGACAACCCTACCCAAGGGGATAATAAAATTCAGACTGTTTTAGAACATCTAACTTTAAAAAATTTTTCCTACAGGAATTTATCACTTCTGGTGTTTTAACAGAATTACATGTTGCCTATTCACGTTTACAAGACGAAAAAGTTTATGTTCAAAACAAACTTTGGGATAACCGTGAACGTATTTGGTCTCTTATAAAACAAGGGGCAGCTGTTTATGTTTGTGGGTTAGTTTTTTTTGAGTCCTTTATTTCCATGAAAATTCATTTTCTTTTAAAGAGATGCTCGTAATATGGCTAGAGATGTTCAAAATACAATGTATAAAATTTTTGAACAAGTTGGGGGGCTTGAAATTGAGGAAAGTCAAAAATTAATGAAGGATATGGAACGTCAACGGTTATATCAAGCAGATGTTTGGAGTTAAATTGAAAGAGAAAGAGGTTTTTTAAAAAATATTCTCATGCATTTTTTGTGACGCTCAATATTAAATCGAGAAAATTTTAATATTTTTAATTTGTGCACCCCTCAAACATAAATAGGGTTGGCGGATCCGAACCTAGAAAAAGCCTGGATATCCGAAATATTTTATTTGGATATCTAAGAATTTACTCGGATCCGCTAACTTTTGACCGCCTAATAGATTTAACACTAAAAAATTAAAATGTATTTTTTATTGAAAGGAAGGAAAAAATATTTTAAGAAGCCCTAAAACCTTTGCCGATTTTTTCCTAAAAATGTTGGATTTTTAGAGAAAATTTTTTTATTTCCCAATTCTTTTTAATAAAAAACTTTTTTAGATTTTTATTTTATTTAAAAAATTATTTTTACCACAAATTCATGTATAAAATGACACAAATAATTTTGTTTGTTTTTTAGGAAATTTGTTTAGCACCAATTTTAATTTATTTTTTAAAATCATATTCTTTTTAAAATCTCACATCAGTCTCTTTAAATCAGTTTTCAAAGCAAAAGGCATTGGAAGCTTGATTTTTGACGGAATGGGTTCATTTTGTCAGTTGGGAATCCGTTAAGTAAATAGTCATCTTTTTGCATTTCACGCGTGTAACTGATGAGAGAAAAATATAGAAAGATTTAAAAAATCAGAATTTTAGAGGAAATCAGAATTCTGATTTTATAATAGAATCCCGTTTTAAAAATTCTGATCTGTCAAAAGTTCTGGTTATAAAATCAGAAATTTACATGATTCTTTTTTCTTACGATTTAAAGTCTGATTTTTAGAGATCAGAATTTCTGCAGTTTTGCCTTTCCCAAATCAGAATTCTGATTTACAGAAAAATTCTGGCACGAGTTGAACAATTGTGGTTTCGAAAAAAATTTGATAAAACCAGAATTCTGATTTTTAATCCGAAAACTTTAAAGGAAAACCTGAGAAGCGTTTCTATTGCTTTTGAAGTCGAAATACGATTAATATTCTTCTCGCGCTTAAGTTGGTCAACGGCAGCTCGAGCTTGTTGAAATAAATGTAAATCCATTCCACTGCTCATTTTTTCTTTTAGTTTTTTAAAAATTAATTTTTTTCCTTTAAAAAATAATTAGTAGAATACATAAATTTAAGAGAAAAAAATATTTAAATCATAGAAATTAATGATTTGAATTTTAAGAAGAAAGAGAAAAAATATTTTTTTAATTTTTTAGTAAAAAAAATTTTTTACAATAAAAGAAATAAAAGGGGACAGGAAAAGAACAATTTTGAAAAAACTAGGTGAGAGGTGAAGGGAAAGGATGGGCCTAGGTTAAAGAAAAAAAGATTTGGGTTTCGGGTAACCAAAACCTACTCTGCCGGGTAATCCTCCAATTGGAAGAAAACAATTTTAAAGGTAAAAGAGTAACCGGGATGGATCGGACTGAGAAAAGTCGGATTTCGAGTCCGGAAAAAATCAGAGTCTCTGATTTACGGTAAAAAAATTTTTTTACCCGAAATAAAAAATTTTTGATTTTTAGAAAAAAAATTTTTTTTGATTAAAAAAATTTTTTAACCATGGCCTATCCCTGGTGAATGATCTATGATCTATCTTTAAAAACAAAAATAGGTATATTTTTTAATCTGAAGGTGTAGCAAAAGAAATTAATTTTGAGCTGTTCTCTGCAATTTCAGAAAGGGCTACTCTTCCTCTTTGGGTAATAAATTTGGCAACTTTAAAATAAAAAAAAATCTTTTAAAATTTAATTTAAAAAAAAACCATTGTTTAATTCCTCTGGGCTGATAAATATAAAAAGACCTTTAAATTGAGGGAAAAAAATTTTTTGAATTTTTTTAAAATTAAGAACCTCTATCATCAAAAACACCAGTAATTAATTTTTCTTCTAATAATGAATTTATTCTTTCAATAGTAACATCTGGTCTTAAATGGAAATTTGATGAGACTTGGTCAACGTGTACAACCTTAAGAAAAATTTCTTTTTTGATTAAAATAGATTTTTGGTTCCTCTGGGATCAAATGTCTTTCTCTAAAAAATTTGATTGATTTTTTGAAAAAATTAGTGAGCTGGAATTTTTGTTCCTTAAATCTTGTTTAAGTCTTTCTTTTATATGGTTCTCGCCAAAAATAATTTTTTAAGGCTAGGTTTTCTTGAGAGAGGAAGGGAGGGGAAGGACTTCTTTAAAACCTACTTACATAAGGAAAAACCTTCTTACATTAGGAGGTCCTTCAAAAGAAAAACTCACAAACCTTTCTCTTTCTCAAATATTCAAGCAATTTTGTAGTAAATTCAGTTGGATCATCTTCCTCATTATTTTCATTATCAAAGCCTTGTTCACTTATATTAAATGATTCTTTAAACTTAAAAAAAAGAAAATTCATTTAAATTTATTTTAAACAGTAGGGCGACACATTGGGACGGGCATCTGGAAATCCAACACGCAGTGGCTGTTGGTCGTGAATTCTTATGGGATCAAATGTCATTCTTTAAAGAAATTTTTACTACAAATTTTTAGGAGTTGTTTGTAGGGGTTCCTTTGGATCAAGGGAATCCCCAAAAGTCCAGAAACCAGTAAGAGTAGCTGTTCTCACATGGAAACATCCCAAAATGCCTCCCCTTGTCCTGACTCTCCAAAAAAAGAAAACCTTTAAATAATCCTCCCTTTCTTGTTTTTCTCTTTCTTCCTTTTCTTTCTTCAATTTTTCATTTCTTTCCCTCTCCTCTTCTTCCTCCTTCAATCTTTTCTCTTCTTTAAGTTGTTCAGCTTCTTCCTCCCTTCGTTTTTTAGCTTCACGCTCTTCTAATTGTTGTTCCCGCAAAACTTTTGCTTCCGCTTTAGCTTGTAATTTGGCCATTTTCTTTTTGCCAATTTTCTTTTCTGAGGTAGTCTCATCCAAAAAAGGACCTTGAAAAGTTTTGGGGATTTTTTTTGAAATTTAAAAAAATATACCGGCATCTTCATCATCATTCACAGGACTTCTGCTGTGTTTACTTCTCTTTGGTAATGCATCTTCATCATCAAAATTTTCTTTCCTGGCTTCATTTTCTTCTCTAATATCATTTTTTCGTGAAGTGGAAGGTGAAGAAGTTGGTGAGGGGGTTTTGGCTTTTGCTATAAAATTAGTGATTTTTTAATAAGTTTTGTGTTTGAACTAATTTTTGAATCCTCTAAAAATTCAACGTAGCCAAAAATCCAAGAAAAAATCCAGGGAGATCAAGGAAATGGTTCTTGGGTCAGACATTGGGTATATGAAAACCCTCAAGTCTTACCACAGATCCAAGCTCGAGATAAGGGAGAAATTACTTCAAAAAAGCACTTGTGTAAGGCTCTGGGTACAGAAAACCCCCTAAACCTTGCCCCTGTCCAGTTTCTTAATTTATGTCATAAATTTATAAAAATCATACTTTTGGTTTTCGAAGATTCATTCCTTCTAAGCATTTCATCAACAGCAGTTTTTGAATTTCGTTCATCAAACCATAATTTGAGAACAAATCTAGAGATAAATAAAAATGTATTTTAAATTTTAGAAATATACCCAATTATTATTGCAAAAACTGTACAAAGAAACGTTATAGAAGCTAATAATAAACCATCCATTGCCTTTGAAAAATTTTTTTTGGATAGGATTTTAAAGGAAAAAAATTCTAAAGAAAATAACGTTGAAAATTGGGTAGGGGACGATTCAGTATCGCCGATTCAGTATCGCCAATTCAGTATCGCCGATTCAGTATTGGCCGATTCAGTATTCAGGCTTTTTGGCCATAACTTTTTGCTCGATCAATATTGTAGGAATTGTTATATATGATTTGATAGGCCTCGGGGTGCTGCATCTTTTTCATAATTGGACTTACATGATCTGATCACTCTACAAGAAGTTATCACTGATAAACGACGTCACAGGCATAAAAAATCGGTTTTCACGCTGTAACTTTTTTTGAGATCATCGGATCAGATCGGGCCAATTATGAAAAAGATGTCGAATCTCGAGACCTTTCGAATGATATGAGAATTATTCAAATCGGTCGAATATCAGGAAAGTTATGGCCGTATACTGAATCGGCGGATACTGAATCGGCGATACTGAATCGGCTATACTGAATCGGCGATACTGAATCGTCCTTAACCGTTGAAAATTACGGTTAAAGCGGAAGTAAACTGTAACAGAAAAGATAAGGGTAACTAAAGAGAGACGGTTAGAGGGCTCCTATACAACTCATCTAATCGTTAACTCATCTATTCGTTAACTCATCTACACGTCCAAAAAGGGTCAACTCATCTAATCGTTAACTCATCTATTCGTTAACTCATCTACACGGCCAAAATGGGTCAACTCATCTAATCGTTAACTCATCTATTCGTTAACTCATCTACACGGCCAAAAACGCTCAACTCATCCAATCCTTGAAATATCGGCCGGTTGAGTCCCTGGTCAGTTGAGTCTCAACCGGCCCAAGACTCAACCGGCGGTAATCAACCACTCAAACGGCCGGGACTCAACTGGCCAGGGACTTAACCGGCTAGAGACTCAACTGGCCATGGACTCAACTGGTCATGGACTCAACTGGTCATGGACTCAACTGGTCATGGACTCAACTGGCCATGGACTCAACTGGCCATGGACTCAACTGGTCATGGACTCAACTGGTCATGGACTCAACTGGCCATGGACCCTACTTACCAGAGACTCAAACGGCCATGGACCCTACTTACCAGAGACTCAAACGGCCATGGACCCTACTTACCAGAGACTCAAACGGCCATGGACCCTACTTACCAGAGACTCAGACGGCGAGAGACTCAAACGACTGGTACTCAATAGTCTCGTTCCAAAGGATTGGATGAGTTGAGCGTTTTTGGCCGTGTAGATGAGTTAAGGATTAGATGAGTTGATGATTGGATGAGTTGACCCTTTTTGGCCGTGTAGATGAGTTAACGAATAGATGAGTTAACGATTAGATGAGTTGACCCTTTTTGGACGTGTAGATGAGTTAAGGAATTTTAGCCGTTTAGATGAGTTGAACGTTTTTGGCCGTGTAGATGAGTTAACGAATAGATGAGTTAACCGGACACGGGTTAGAGAATTAGACAGTTTAACGTTAAATAAATAAAATGCCAAAAATTACGCCAAAAATTAAGGCGTTTATTTAAATAAGGTTAAAAATTTCTAGTGATTTTTCCTAACTTTTCTCGAGTTCTTTATCATTTTTTCTTAACAGTTTGAAATTTTCTTTGCAAGTTTTATCCTCATAGGGCAACAGACAAACAGAATTGCCATGACCTTATTTAAATATAGCAACGGAAGTGCCTTAAATCAAATTAGAAGAAATTTTGCCCATTTACCTAATGACGGTCTTACATTTAATGATTTTATTTCTTCCAATGAAAAGTCAACAATAACAAATATGGATTTAAGAACAACTGATGGCCGTCTTCGATTGCCTGAATGGCTAAAAAGAGATGTTAAAATGACAGAAAAAGATGTTTGTTTTTTAAAGATAGGCCAGACTTTTAAGGGTCCAATGAAGCCTAACTAGGTTCTTAAATTATTTGAGTCGGTCATTTCGAGAGTGATTCTAGGGGTACCGAGTATGAAGCATTTTAAGTGTGAGGAACCGTTAAAAATAGCCATCAAACCGCCTTATTATATAATGGGTTCATGGGGTACCCGCCCAAACTAATGGGGGGGGGGGGGGTGTTTGCTTTTGTGGCACATTCTCTATCGAATGAGCCCGGTCTCGACCGTTTCGAGGTCGGACACCTCGCAACCTTTTCTTGTAAGTAGACTGACTTGCTATGACATTCTTAAGATTAGTTATAGTTCTGCGATAGACAGTGGGCTAGTGGTGACTGACCTACTTCCTTAAAACCTTTTTCTGTTTAAATTCAATTAATTTAGGTTAATCGACAAAAATTGGCAAAGCAATTGAAAGGCTTAAAACTTTCTACTGTTTGTCAGGTTTCTTTATACTTTCATTTATTTTTATTGAAAAAAATTTTTTTTAGGAAGCGCGATGTCCAAATATTGGGTAAACTCTTTTCATTCATTTTATTTTATAGATTTTGTTTCAGGGAATGTTGGGGCGGTGGACCAG